AGAAGACACGGAACATCTCGTTTGAGTTCTTGGCAAGTGCTAGACGGTCTCTCAAGCGAGCAATGATCGAATTCTCAACGCGGGCTGTGCGTTCATTGTATGTGGCTTCAGCACGCACCCAAATGCGGGTACCCTCCTCAGAAACGTCAAGAACATCCACATCCTTCAAGACAGAATACGCTTGGGAGATTTCATCGATTGCATCGACGTCGCCCATTTCTTCAATGATGACCGGGCCAGAAACACCATCGTTGTGGATGCTGTCCTGATCCTCACCTAGGACATTGGCGATGGTGTCGCGAAGCTGTTCGTGGTTGACACGGAAAGTGTTGATGTACCTTAAGCGATCTTTGGTCTGCTTGTGACGTGGGTCGATCTTGATAGGGATAAACTTCTCGCCTCTGCGTCGGATGACTTCTCTTGCAGCATTGGCGAATTCCTTGAAGTTCTCCTCCCAAATGTCCCAAATCTTATCTGTCGCAGCCATCAGGTCTTGGAACTCTTGGAAGTCGAGATGCATAAGACTACGTCCGTGGAGCAATTCATGGAGCCTGGTATCCAAGTCACCAGAAATGGCTTCGACCAGGGGTAAAGCACGACGAATTGGATATGCACACACTCTCAACTTCTTGTTGATATGCTGGAAGACCTGGTCCAATGCTTCCTGAATCTTGACCAGAGTAGCAGCGGCGAGAAGTTCTTCCAAAGGGAGCTCTCGCATTAATTGATTGTACTTGATCACCTTGTCGGCAGCTTCCTTGAAACCAGTATCTGCATGGAAACTGACAGCAGTCGCATGACGTTTGGCCTGGCTGAGCACATCAAGAGACAGACGTACGGGATCACTGTTCTGCTGACGTTCGATGCTGTCCAGAGCAGATTCCATAGATAACCAGAAATTCTTCTCTTGCATAGCCATGCCAGTGCTGGGGTCGCGAGAGCGCTGGGTACTCTCTTGGATAGCCTTGATCCAGCCATTGACGGCTGCTTGTAGGTTATTCAGGAAGTGAGCGTCAGTGAGCAAAGGCTGCGGTAGGTGTGCTGAGGTGGGCTTCTCGCCGCGAGCGGCAGCTTCGTCGACGGCGGCTTGAATTACGGGGTGTATGGGTAGATGCAAATCGGGCACATCGATATTCTGTTGTAGATTTCGCAAACTCAGTTCAAGCTCAGCAATCCTCCTCTTTGCTCCGGGAATACCAGTACGAGACTCGGCATCTGTGTGTTTTGTGTATGCATGATTTGATTCTTGACTCTTTGTGCAGGCGTCGAAGTAGGGAGCCAAGGCGAAATGTACGAGGGAGTGGAGAGCTTCGAAGGGTGATGCGGAAGAGCCAGCATTAGGGTTGGTAGACAAGGAGGCACCTGCACCAGGCAGGTTGATGACTGACAATTGGCTGCTGATGGGGACGGTTGGCAGGATGGGCACGGGGCGTTTGAGGATGGCAACGCATGAAGCGGTTGACGGTGTGTAGGTGAGTTTTGAGTCAAGAAGATAAGTGGACTGGGTTGACACGACNTAGATGCAGTCAGTGAGCAATGAGTAGGCTTTCAGAATGCAAGACAGCTACTCACGGGCGTCGCCGTCTCCCTGGATGCCATCAGCAGTATCCAGGGCCTCCTGCTGCACGTATATGGCAACTTGGGCTTCAGAAGCGAATCTTTGGCATCGTGCGAGTGTTTCTGGCAAGTTTTCCGGACTCAGGAAGCTGTTGTTGGCTTGCAGCTCCTCTCTCGATGCGCCCAAGGTGACATGGAGGACGGATTCCAGGTATGAGATGATTAACTGTGGATCTATTGTTGATGTAGGCGGCGGAGCTGGTGATACAGATCGTCCAATGGCCGCACCGTTCGTGGCCGGGACCAGAGGGTCCTCCATCTTAGTTGTGTCTTTCTGACGGGAAATCCGACATGAGAGACCAGCCGTTTATAGGAAAGTGCTGTGCGCGGAAAGTGCGAGACTGAGAGTGGGTTGTCGCCGTAGATGTAGAAGTTCAGGAAAGGGCGCAAGCTGCTTGTCGGCTTGTCGCTTCCTGTTTGCGAGCACTTTGAAGAGGCGTGGCGTGAATGGATTGATGTTAGACGGTCTATGGAATTGTAGCTCGCTGGTGTTTGACGCGCCCTGAATCTCCTCCGCCACGGTTGAGCCACACACCGCCACACTTCACTCTCCGCGCGTGTTTCATGTTTTGAAGCATCCAACGCTTTCACCGCACCTCTTTCGAGAACAGGCCTAACTCAGATATCATGTTATAACTGAAATTCTACCATGATTTACACGCACTTGTCATTTAAACATTATATATCGAGTCCTTGTCTCTTTTTGTACAGGTGTCATTATTTGCACATTTTGCCCCGTGACACAATCAAAGTACACTGTGCTTACCAACTCCGGTGACCTCGAAGAGCAGTGGATTGCCTTCTACCGCAAGCCAAGCAATGCCTGTAAATGTGTTAGTCGAGCTCGCTCTTGCCGACAGAATGCTTCGTACCTGCATAGATGACCAGCTTGGTAACAACCTCAACATCATACCGTACTCGCGGCTTTGCCAGTGCGAGGAACATCTGGTGATCTTGCTCTGCGTCTTCTCTTTCTTCTTTCTCTTCCCTTTCCTACATCGCTTCCATTGCCACTATCACTCGCTGGCGGCGTCAGAGGCAAGGCGTTGAATGGATTAGGCCTGAGAAGATCGCCTTTTGACCAGGTGTCGCTAGCGGTGTAGCTACTCCGAAAGAATCCGAATCGTCCTCAGGGCGTCTCTGCTTCATGGAATTTGACTCATCTAGTTTCGAGTTGTAGAAAGATCCACCCGATGGCCTGGTCAGCTGAGGTCGAGCATCATTGCCATCTGCAGACGAACGACTCTCTCTACGCTTTCGTTCCCGGTTGGCGATGAATTCGCGAGCATCTGCCTCCGATTGCGGTCCGACCGAGATACCGCGTTTGCGAGGATGGCGGAGGTTAGACAACATTCCTGGAATATCCGAAGCGGATGGGATAACGTTATCGTCTTGTCGAAGAGGCGGGACTCTCTTGTACTCGCTGCTGCGTGTCAGACTTGGCTAATATGAGGCACGAAGCAGTTCTTACCTTGCTCGCGTAAAGAATCGCCGAGGCAGAGTTGCTCCACTAGTTTCGAGGAAGCGGAAGAGTGGGGGCAGATATCTCAGAAGAAGCGGCTTCATCGTAGCTCTCCAGAGGAAGACAATGACGACGCCGCCAACGACACGCGCCAAAGTCTTGAACCATCCAAGTTTCTCGAGGCTGAAGAACACAGTGGCCGGAGCCTCACCAACAACTGCTACGTTAGTTCCTGCGAAATGCCAGTGACCCAACTGGCATCCTAGCACTACAGCAGCGAAAGCCACACTATCGTCATAGCAGGGGCAATTGTCCGCCGGCTCTGGATGGAAACGCACTGCAAGAAGGACGATCAAGAAGACTATCGCCGGATGAGTCCACGATCCAGCGGCTATCCAGTCATCAAAAGGTGTACCATACGCCAATTGGAGTACAGCAATCAATGCACCAAGAGCGCTACCTACGATTACGTCGAAGAAGCCATGCATGCCACAGTACATGCGACCAAGCACGATGGAAATCGCATAAAAGTATCCAAGACACAAGCCAAGAGTCCTCTGGGGTGAAGTGAGCTCATCGGGCGAGGTGTGCAACTGATACAGAAAATAGAAGGCTACAGACACGGCATTTGTTGAATGCGTGGATGGGAAGCCGTATTCGAGAGCAGCAGAACCAGACATGGTAATTCTTTGCAGGGGGAGGTGACAGAGGTCTTGGCAAGCATACCAGATCTTTGATCCAACCACTCAGGAAAACACCCAAGGCAAGCATGTGCACCAAGCTAGGTAGATGTTAGTTTGTTATAGCATTGATAGGATTTACGATCATCATACGCTCTACCGACGCCAGTGTAACCGCACCAAAAGCATACTGGAAGGGCCGCCATGAAGAAAGTATGGGTACCGAGATTCGCCGTCATTGCAAAGTAAGAATCAAGGAAGGGGGTCCGGCAGGTTTGTTGGACCTTGGCCAGATATGGCGTTTCCCATCTGACGACTGGCAGGAGGGATTGCCTTAGACGATAGCGCCATCTTGGAAGTTTACGAGAATCTTTGGATGGTTAGCAACAAGGAGAAGGGATGTAGATTGTGGTTCTGGTGATGACGCACAGTGGTCAAGCCCTCGTAAGCCAGCATCTGGCAAGTTTTTGGACAAGGCACGAGCTTGTTGAAGCGGATGGTCAGGCGGGGTAGACACGGCGACATTAGACATGATGTTGATGTTGTCGAGGCGGTGACGAATGACCAGTGTCGGAGGATTTTTTCGGAGCGAGACTAGCTGGCGCAGCTAGCAAGCACAGCGCGCGGCAAGAACAAGATAGGTTAGGACCTCTGACGCGGAAAATGGCGAGAGGTGGGTGAGAAAATAGGAAACGCTTATGGACGGCCCTCTATTATTAACGTAGCAAGATTGAGTGTGGGGGACTGGACTCCATGTGCTAGACCGCAGCCAGAGACCTCCGGTCTATCTCACAATCGACAATGTCGATACTGGAGGGCGAAGCAGTTGGCGACCCGATATAGCAACGGCGATATAGCAGGACAATCTACGCGCACGATAGCGATCGATTAGTGCTGAGTTTGGCGGTCATGATGGTAGTGGGTGGTGGGGAGGGTTGTGCGGCGGGGCTTGGCAAGATGGTGCCGTGGCAACGGGGCATCCGTGTGTCGGTAAACAGCGACGCAGCGCCTCTCCAGACAAAAGTCGACCATGATTATCATCGCTGCTGCTGCCCTGGCCTGTCTCTCTTGACCTCGTGTTCAACGCTCAAGTCTCTCGTTCCACTTCCATCCAATCCACAATCCACAGTCCACAATCCATATCCATCCAGCCAGATCTATACATAACCGCCAGCACATTCCTCGCATAACTGGTCTACCCCAAACTAGCTTCACCAATCCACAACCACCACGCGCACACCATGTCGGCCACACACCGACACAACTCGAGGCTGCAAAACGCCTCGGTCACATCTCTCCGTCGTGGTCCGCAAAGAAGGGACAGTGGCCGTCGTAGCGATGGTTCAGTCACATCTTCAGGCCGTGAGTCCATCGGCACCGGTCTGACTGAGCCTCCTGCCTACTCCAAGAAGTTTGTCGTCGTCGGTGACGGCGGCTGCGGTAAGACGTGTTTGTTGATCAGCTACAGTCAGGGTGTCTTCCCTGAGGTGTGTCTCCCTGCCACCAGCGTCCTCGGATTGCAACTAACCCGGCCTACAGNNAAATACGTCCCCACCGTCTTCGAAAACTACATCACCCACTGCGAGCACAAGCCCTCGGGCAAGATTGTCGAACTGGCTCTCTGGGACACGGCTGGACAGGAAGAGTACGACAGACTGCGCCCTCTATCGTACCCCGAGACCGATTTGCTCTTCGTTTGCTTCGCCATCGATTGCCCAAACTCGCTTGAAAATGTTATGGACAAGGTACTGTTTATCCTCTCTGACACCCATACTCTCCAACTAACACAAACCTAGTGGTACCCCGAGGTCCTTCATTTCTGCCCAACCACTCCGATCATCCTCCTTGGTCTCAAGTCCGACTTGCGCAACAAACGCACCTGCATCGACCTTCTCAAAACCCAAGGACTTACCCCCGTCACAACCCACCAAGGCCAGGCCGTCGCCAAGAAGATGGGTGCCCTTTACATGGAGTGCAGCAGTAAAGAGATGACCGGTGTACACGAGATTTTCGAAGCCGCAATCAACACCGTTGTCGCCGAGGCTGAGGGTCTGAACCCTTCTCCTCCTGCCAGTCGTGGTAGTATCACTGCTGGAAACTCATNNCATCGCAGCAACCTCAGCAAAAACGTCCCCAGACCTCCAGCAGACCCTCGGACAATCCCACCCCAATGATTGCTCCCAGCAAGAAAAAGAAGAGAAAGGNCTTGTCTGATCTTGTAATCGTCATGTCTTTTGTCTTCGAGATACCCACCTCTTTCCAGCATCCTCTTCCAATGTGCTGGCGTACTTCCGCAGTACTGTTCACTTTGGCCTTTTCCTTCTGCCTCTCACCAGGTTCTTCTACGCAACCAATTTCTGTGTTCTTTCTGTTCTTTCTTGCGTTGGGCTATGAGAACTCTTGTGCATAAATATTCGGCGTTTTAATGGTGGATTCCCCTTTTGTCTCTTTCTTATCAATCGACTACCCATTTTCCTTTTACCTTGTCACCACACACCCACCCTTTTTTGCAACGTCGAAATGTTTAGTTGACCCCCTTGAACATGGTGGAAGTTCTAGAGGACTGGATTGAGAACAAAGAGAAACAAAAGGCTCTGGCAGCTTTTCCTACTTTTGCGATGAACAAACGATTACGGCTGCGACGAACCAAGAATCAAGAACCCACACCAACAACATTTTGCGCTTTTGTACTTTTTTTCCTTCTTCTTTGTTTTGGCTCGAGGATTAAATTTTAACTCTGCATTTCTTATCATCTTTCCATCTGCGCGTTTCAGACTGCAACCCACAGACCTTGTCCACGATTCTGGTACCATTAAGATTGAACCCAGTTTGAAACACTTACTTCCTCTGCATCATCGAGGGTGATCTCTCAAGACTTAGAAGTCACACAACATACAAACAAGCGTAATGATCTCGAATATCAGTCTCTAGGCGTGCTGTTGGATGTCGAGTGTACAGGGCTTGTGCATGACATGTACATAATCCGTACAACATCTCGTGCACATCTCGTTGCATGAGCCGTGCACAGTTGTGCACCGGCATAACTTCATATCAGGGTGGTACCCTCTACATCATCTCCAAACATCAACAGCAACATTGCAAGCGTCAACATCAGTTTCTCGCATGTTTTACAGACGCTATGGGTAGAACCAGTGGTTATACTCGACACATAGAGACGACATGACTCCGAAGCTTGTCACTCGTGAGATATCTCAAGATCTGTGTTTTCGAAAGCTTTGAAAAGCTTCATCAACCCTAAACCATACGCTTTGGCAGCAAAGAACAACCGATAGAAGAAAAACATGCCATATCATTTTCGAGCAACCGCTAAGCGGTACGGTTAGTATCATCCAGAGCGTTCAAGACCGGAAATTAGAACCAAAAGATTTACGAAAAGTGTAAGTCGGGAAGCGTCGAGATCGAATACTTTGAAGCGACACAACTTCCCTCACAAGCGTCGCTGGATGCCAATGGTGCGAACAACCGCTCACAGCCTACACGAGAAGAGACTGACTAGAGAAAGGTATCCATTTCTCTGGTCAAAGAGAAGTGTATCAATACTACACATGAAGAGGTAATGAGGCACGCATAGTTTAGCCGAGCAGATCCGAAGTCAAAATTGATCGATTACCTTGTCGTACATAAGACGTGAAGCCGATGATCTAACACGATTGGTTGCAGCCAACCATCATGTCTCTTGCAATTCACGATGTGTTGGACTAGCAACATAATTATCATCGAGACAGCAACAACACTGGCCATCTCTACTACAGTATCCAACGGACACGACAGTTTGAAGAATAAGATATTATTTTCGATATCAGTGAAGGACAACAAAGAGACAGGAAGACACTTGCTAGAGCGACAGAGTAACTGCCTGAACAGGATAAGGACAAGACGTGACGAGAAAGATGAGCGCGACTCGATATCAAAGAAACAATTGCCAATGCAATTCACCGTGCCCCGGTGATGCCGTTCTGAAAACAAGAAAGGTTTTGAAAAGCAAGACGCGTCCGTGATTCCATGATACCCAGATGAGAGAAATGCGTTGTTGGATCCAGATTGTGCTGTGGTATGTCCGTGTGCCGAGCAGACAAGAGAAGCTGGAGAAGAAGGAGGTAGAAAAACAAGAATAAAAGAAGTTCGGTCTTATCGGGGTATGAGTGGTCGAATCGAAGGTAGGAAATTGGACAAGAAAGAAAAAAGGTGTAGCTCCAGCTCCTGTTAACGGAGACCAATAACGCTCTGGAGACGTTTGTCAGCATCTCTTGTAAATTGCAGGCTCATGATACAAGTCTTACCATCTCGAGGGTCCAGACTCTGCGGATCCAAACCTTGAGTGTGCCGTCGATGCCTTCGACATTCTCAAGGTCAACGCCTTCCCACCAGCATCGTCGCGCGGGTTTGCGCCAGAACAACAGCAGCTTCTGTGCCATACCAACGGCATTAGAGTTGGCGTCGCCACGAACGTCAGTGCGGAGACGAGCCAGCGCAATACTGCAAATTACGGCCTTGTTGGGTTCTCCAGCGCGGTGGCCCCAGGTGTCATCGTGGTTGAAGCCGCTGTGAATAAGAGTGTTAGCAGAAGACGGCGAAGGTAGATGCAGTAGCCAAACTCACCCAGCGGTCAACATCTCAATAAGATGTTGCTCGGTAGTACCAGGCTCCTCACTCTTACGAAGACCACTGAAGATGCCAGCCTGCTTCAACAGAGCACGACCAGCGGCACGCTTGACCTGGACCATCTCGGGGTGACTAATGTCGCGTCTTGGGGGGATGACGTAAAAGTCGAGATCTTCACGCAAGACGATGATGCCAGCTCTGTCCTGCAGCATGTCTCTAGCATTACCTTGCATGGGCTCAATGGGCACAGGGGCTTGGTCGCCCGAGAAGGGAGGGGAGTCTTCGGTGGGGGAAGTAGGAATTGTTTGAGCGACGGATCGGAAGAACTCGAGCATGTATTGCAGAGAGGTGGGGTCATACTGGGAACGATAGATCGTGTCAGATAAATATACATCATGATTTTGGAGGACGGTTTGAAGGGCAGCAATGTCTTGAGGACGGAAGGAGGAAATGAGGCGCGGAGCGGCACTAACATCGACGGGATATACGTCAGGCTCGTGGAACGAGTTCATATGGCCTTCGGGGAGGAGCCCATTGGGGAAGAGCGACAGAAGCACAAACTCGGGGAGAGTGAGAAGCTCATCGCGTGAGAGGGTGAAGCGGGTGCCTCTGNNTTGAGTGTCAGCTGGTGTTGTTGAACGAGTCGTCTTGCGCGGGGCATACCTCAGGTCGATGTTGATGTGCTCGTCGGGAGAAGTGTGAAAGGCGTTTGTGTTGATGGGAGCGGGACCACCCTGAGAAACCTGGGTGATGATGCTCGCAGCACCTCCGGCTTGGGCCATGAGGTAAGTGAAGCCGTCGAGCGGGCTGGTACCTTCGGTATACGGCGGAGGAGGTTCGCTGTCGTCGGGCGCTTTGTCAGAGCGAGGCTTGGTGTCTTGTGGGAGGGCAGCCTTGGTGTCTTCAACAACAGACGAAAAGGGCGATGAGGCTGATGACGACGGGCCTTGTTCGAAGTCTGGCGGCGGCGGTGCAGGCTGAACGTCGAGTTGTTCGGGCGGAAAATAGAGTGACGGGAAGTTGTGCGACGCAAAGGGCGGAGGATCTTGTGTTTCTTCTTCTGGCTCGACTTTGGAAAGAACTGGGAGTGATTGGATGTGATGGCGGGTCGCGGGTGGTGGTGATGCAAGCTCGTGCTTGTTGTCGCTGGCGTGGGCGAGGGCCGAGTTGGACGGGCCTTGGGTGGTAAATGAGCGTGTGGTCGATACAGAAGAACGGTCGCTTTCGATTAAAGAAGCCAATGTNGCTGTCGTCGCTTTCTTCACTGTCACAGCATCCGTCGCTTGGATGTCGTTGCTGTGTGTGCTGCTTTGTGTTTGTATCATGCACTTCCACTCTGGTCGTCGTCCTGCCCTCGGCCGTTCGCGCTAGCACCAGCCCCCGAATTGCGCCTTCCCAATCTTGTTCACTCTTGGCGCCTTCCTCTAATGAATGCCGTCAGTCTCGTCACCTCAATCTCATTCTCGTTCTCAGCAAACGTCTTTTCTTTCGCATGGAAACACATCAATAGCCAAATCCATGTCAGAGGTCACAAAGATCCTCAGCTTACTGCAGACACAAGCAGCTTGTTTTAATCCCAACACAAAATACTCTGTCTTGACATTTATGCTACATGCTTGCATAACTCTACTCTAGTACATGACCTCATGAGATGCCCGGCAAATTTATCGTCCATGTCGTTACAAACGCCTCGACGGGCAAATAGAACAAGCATCGGAACATCTCCACCATGATGAAAAGCCTGGTGAAGCCATACAGCATGAACCCGACCAGAATTACAATCGAGAATACTATATGTTTCGTGAAGGCGAAGCGTAGGTACAGCTCATGCCATGCCAGCAGGAAGAGCGGTAGAATCGTAGAACCTAACGCGCAACCTCTCCATGCCCACATCTCGACTCTGCCAGGAAATCCGAAGTTCCAGGCAGCACAATGAACTGCTCCAAGCGCTGTTGCACAAATCAACATGATTGTGTTGGAGAATGCTCTAGCTTTCAGATGCTCGCGAGACTGCCTCCAACTCCTGGCACGGTAGAGAAGTGAGCTTGTCTCCTCCAGACCGCATTGCGCCAGCTCCCAGGCTTCAGCGATTGTGGGTCTCCGCACGGCCTCCAAATATATTGGTCTCGAGACTCCTTGTGGCTTCTGCCACAGGAAAATGTAGGTGAGGAATGTGGTGATTGCGAATGCTCCAGTTGCAACCTCCAACTGGCAGACAGCGAGAGATGATGCAGCACGCGATATCATTTGGATGATGAGCCAGAGGACTTGACAAACAGCTAGTGCTTTAGCCAGGCCATCGCTATTGCTGATTGCGTCCAGATCCTCTTTTTCNATGTTGGGAAACGTCTCTATGATTCCATACTTCCGCGCAAGCTGGATCTGTTCGAGGCTCAGAGTCCATATATCAGTAGTCATTCTCATGGCGGTCAGTGCAACGTCTCCTGCCCTGGGATCGCTCTGGTGTCGGAACATCATCTGCTCGATGAGAGCTCCGTTTCGAGGATCTGGACTCCAATCAACAGGCCCGAACGAGGCCGATAACGCATCGTGTTGTTTGGACATGATAGCAAGGTCCCAGGAGACCGACTTGAAACTCTTCTCGCGGACAGCAATGTCGACGGTTTTGGAGAGTGAATTCAATTGTGACTCGACGGCCGTAGAAGTTTCGGAGACGCGATCCCAAGAGTTGGCATGCGGAAAGCTGAGTCGACCAAGCAAAGGCTCCTGAGAGGGTGCTGCGATGCTGTGCTTTTCTAGTGATAGCTCCTTGGCGACGTTAGATGTCCTTTGGAATGCTTGAGTCTCAAGGTTGCGGAATCGAAGTCGAAATCCTCCCATCTGCGCAAAAAATCCATGGCTTGCTGTCCAGTCAATTCCATCATCGATTACTCTATCAGCACTGGATCTGGCAGCCTTGCAAGCTGTCAACCACTCTTCAGCAGCTACACCGCACAACAACTCTGGAGCGATGAGCGTAACTATCATCCATCGAACCTTGATTCCTATTTGAACCACAAACTTATTGATCTGCTGTCGCATACTCCGAGGACGACATTGGTCTGGAATCTTCAAGTGTTGAATCGACCAAGTGCACAAAAGAAGCACACTCAGACAACTCCAGAGAATATCAAGAGTACCTCGTACATTTGGACCCTCAACGAAGTTTGAGCCCTGCGTAGGCAGCGAACAGTTGGTGTTGAATATCGACATGGCGTGTGTGCATCGCTGCCATGTTGAAAGCAGCCATGCCTCTCTTCTTGAGCAAAAAGTCCTCTGAAAATCTCAGTCGAGTACTATCGGCTTGCAGTGAAGATCGCTGATACGATTCAGTCGGTCGGCTGAAAATAGCAGGTCTGTATATGCAGTGCAATATTCTGATATCGCTTGGAGCGACTGTGTGGTCCGCGGAGCACTTCACGTGCTGAATCGTCCAATCTATAAGAAGCACTGTATAGTAGTGATCTACACTGCACTATGAGATGGATACCGGGCCGTGTGTAGCATTTTGCTGCTTTGGGACAATGTTAGTCAGTTCACAAGTTGATCATCAGGCGCAGTGCATTGAGTGATATGGCGTGTCCTGGGAAAACCATTGGTCATTATTGCATTGATTGCTTGACATGATCGTGGTGGTTTGGTTCGTTGAAAACAAGGCGGGCCAAGGCGGTGAAGCCTGAGCACCTGGCAGAATCTCAACCACCTCCCAGCCTCCTGGTTGAGAACCTCGGAAGGCAAGTACCAACCACCTACGATTATACATAGCGCATAAATATGCATATCTTCCCAATGCTCATATCTTCTCACGCTCAAGTCCCAATTCAACCTGACATACAAACGTGACCAAAATGGATTATATTCAGCAGGAACAACAACGACAACAGCAACGAACCGAAGAACTTATCGGCTATCGCTTCCGCTCCAACAAATATGTCATAGAGGCATTGACACTCGCTGTCCCAGGCGGAAATAGACTTGCTGTCGTTGGTGACTGCAAGATGGATCTTGTAATGGTAGCTGATTGGTATCGCGGAGGTGGACCCAGAAGTCAGTTACTGTTGCTCTCGATTTTTTCCACATTCTTGCTGATATCTCTCAGAGNNGACTGGGACGCGATGCGTACGAGTCTGCTCAGCAATACCAACCTCACAAGAGTTGCGTTTGAGACAGGCCTTGCTGCCTGCGCAATGCCTGAAAACTCCCTTTGTACACACAATCAGGCCGCGACTCTTGTCGAAGCCGTGATTGGTGCCGTCTACATTGATTCGGATTGCGACATGGTATGCGTCAAGTCAGTCATGAGAACTCTGGGCATTTGCCAAGTGGTAATATTATTTCCCCTCCGCCCCGACTAACAGTTTTGTTCCTTAAGTCACCTCGACATGTGGCGTATCGGACGGAAGCGATCTCAGAGAGCCCTGTGGGGCTCACCTTAGGATACATCATGCAGATGCTCTGCAGGCACGGTCGCAGACTGTGTTGCTTTTCACGCGCGATGGCATCAATCAGGTCTGCGACTGTCTCTACAGAGCATCCGTAGGATGTATCCTAGGGTGGGCCCCGCGGCGCTCTCCGGGATATCTTTCGTGATGTAGACTCCCTTGGGTAGGTGCTATGATAATGAAATATCGATTTCATCTATCGTTGAGCACCTACTGACCATTGGTGATAGTAAGTTCGCACGACAGCTCTTGATCATCAGATCGTTCGGATGTAGTACTCAACTCTACATTCTGACGTGAAAGAAGCGTCTGAGGAGCCTCTCAACTAGGCATGGATTTCCTATGTAAAGATTTGCTCCAACTGTCGTCCACTCTTTTGGTTTTTGTTTTCAGCAGAGGGAGGAGCAAAATTGAGAAGAATGAAGAAAGAATAACACATTTCCTCTCTTTCAAAAACTTTGTCTGTTCGTCAATCGTTATATTGTAGAAGTGCATATCATGTTTTACGCACGACTCTCACCACCTATGCACAATTTTGTGGTCGAAGCTTATGCAAGGTGTTTGCTGCTAATATACAGCAAGTATCAATTAATTGCAGTTTCAGGCCTCCAATCACGTGTCAGACCAAACCAACCTACCCTCCAATACTAAGTACCTCTGGTCGCTATTCTTCTGATCCTTGACATCATCTGCAAAAGTCAAGGGCGTTAGCTGACCCTCCATCAAGCACCATACTGTGCGAGATGCTGCACCTTCCACAAGATGTTCAGCTCTGCATCGTGGAGCACTTCTCCACTAAATGTTTAATAGCTCCAGAACAACACGATGATCGGAGAATCGCTACCAAAACGCTCTCGAGCCTATGCTTGACTTCCAGAGGACTTTGCGCGCTCGCTCAGCCGAAATNNCTCTTCAGAGTATCGAGAGCCTTGGGAACGGACGTTCTTGGAATGGGTCTTTGTGACATTGGAGTGAAAGCAACAGAAACACTGAAGCTCTTTATACGTACCTTGTTGGATCGACCCGATTTAGCAAACCAGGTCTGGTCTATCTGTCTGCAAGAACGAGCAGACGAAAAACGAGACGATGACACTGACTCCGAACAACTATTTGCCTGTTGCTTCGAAGACTTCGAGACGCTGGAAGAGTACGAAGCATTTGGAAGGCGCGAAACCACAGTTAGGATACCGGACGAGACTCTGTTGGATAGATTTCTTGACTCCACGCGAAGAATACCTGCTTTCGATTCAGAGTCGGAGGATCGTGATTGGCACGACACATGGCGCTTGGGGTTGGCGGAAGGCAGGGATGACGCAGCGATAGCTCTTCTCTTGACTTTAGTCCCCAATCTCAAGCACCTAGATATCGAATCTGCCCAGTCGACGTTCAATCCATATTTGGGCATGCTGATTAAGCGATTGCTCGGCGTTGCTTCATGGGTCAAAGACGAAAAGAGTTCTACAGCCAATGTCCCTGGCTTCAAACTTATTGTCTCGATGCCATCACCCCAGGCATCTTTGCCGTTCCTCTCGCAACTAGAAGACTTGACACTTCGTAAGGAGCATTGGCCGGGCCGGGATGATAATGAACTGTATATGCCCCTCATGTTTGTTCCTACTCTCAAGTCTCTCAACCTCATTGGCATGTGCGACTTTTTCAAACATGACCCCGCTGACTATCAGATGCCCCCATTGAATAATCTGCAACACCTACGGGTTGAAGGTTTCAATACAGACTCATCGGGATTGCTCATTTTGATGGAAAGTTGCAGTCAGTTGCAATCATTCGAGTATATACCAAGCAGGTTCGACTTCATGCCTTATTTTGGTCACGACTGGGTTGAAGCTCTGACGAAAAAAGCCAACGCTCTCAAGCGGTTGCGGTTGCAGTCGCACTTGCCGCTGCAGTTGGTTTTGCCTTCGGATGGTGGTTGTCAAGATGACACAGTTCACTTGGCCGATGAGCTCAATCTTCAAAGCTTCTCGAAGCTCGTTTCCTTGGAGATAAGCCAGATGATATTGCTTCCAGAGTCCGGTCCGCAGGATGCAGAGCTCTCAGACTTGCTGCCGAATTCGTTGGAAAGTCTGATTGTGCGAGACGTTGATGCCACATCCACAACCTTGCTATCGAAGTTTATCGAANAAGAAGGCTCCAGAAACTTTCCTCGACTACGGTACATTGAGCTTGTCGAGGCGGAGCATTTTGCCAAGCTGTGTTCGAACAATACTGAACCATCAGAGAGCTCTGATATGGATCAAATGCAATGGCCTGCTATTCGCGCTCGGTTCATTGAGATGTGTCAGGATGCCGGGATTCGATACAAGATCTGGTCAGAGGCTGCAAAATGGCGGGTGGATGAGGGAAAAGATTACATGGACTGGCCAGAGGATGTGAGGGCTCACTTCAGCGCGGGTGTTGATCAGATGAAGTCTTAGTACTCATGGTGTCGATGAAATTATGCCTCCTGATGTGCTCAAGACAGTCACAGTGTAGCTGTAGAGATGCACAGTACTTTCGTGCACAGTACAATCTCCGTAGAGAGAATGCTAGTGAAGGCCATCTCCATGGTCATGCTCTTGTCCAAATCGTGACTGTGCATTTCGATAGCTCATAATGACCCTTATAGCTCGGGAAGTAGAAGGGCTTTGTTGCAAGATTTGACTGTCTATAGCATATGGCGAGGTAGTACTGAACATGAATCTTGTTGTCTGAGTCCCTCAGCATTTCCTTGTATTTGACCCAGCTCCGCAGCTACTTCGGGACAATTGGCTCTACCAACACCGTCGCTGAACGACAGTCTGCACTTTTGGCATCTCGTTCTTGAGCTGATCGGCGCTTGCAAATGTGTTACAGAACAAGAGAGAGTGGTATCGGATTTGTGAATTGTCTGCACGGCGACACTAGAATCATGACACTTTTCATGATTATCGTATCTGATTGGGATGAGCTGCCCGGTCGGGTTGGGTGTTTTGCTTCGTTCCTCCCGTCTGCAAAAGTTTGTAACGCGGATGGCTGTAGGAATGCACGATATAAACGTGGAACAAGATCATATTCACTGAGAAGCAATGATTTGTCGGTTTTCTATGGATGCGCCTGGTTTCCCAAAACAACTGTGCTTGTTTATAGTCTACACTCTGCTCTTAGATAACGTCAGAGTAACGCGGGAAGTTACATACTTTAGCACATTTAGCACGCGGGAAGGTTGGATGTAGAAGGTGCAGTAGCTGAGCTGTTGCAGTTTCCTGGGTGCGAAACAGCAGGACAACATCTGAATCGGACTTTCCACTGGACTCTAAGTAAACACAACATCTGATTCCCTTTGTCCAAGACCGCCGTCTCGATCATTTCCATTCCGTCAACCTCTATCATGGCAACCAATACGCCTCACGCCTCGTTGAGAGATCGGTGCGACCCATTTGTCCAAAGAAAGCTTGATGAAGTCAGCAATGAAAGAGACACTGCCATCAGTCGCCTCGGCGAAGCCACCACAATAATCAAGAAACTCAAAAACACCAACACGCAATACTAGGATATCATTACCAACAAACAGAACGAAACCAACACCCTGTGTGCTCAGATTGCTGCCTTGCACGAAGAAAATCGACAGCTGAAGAGAACTTTGGGTGAAGAAAGACTGGAATTCAAGAACAAAAGAACCGTTGGTTCAAGTACGGCAAACAATCAAGATACAACCTTTCGTCGGCCTCACGATGTCACAACCTCTCTTGACACACCTTCGGACGCTGTTCAAACCTTACCTGTGTCCAACGGAGCAAGCCACAGAGCTGCTATCACCGTGGACCAAATCACATCGGAGGTCGCCAGTTGGAACAGGACCATACAATACCATAATGCTGCCAATCGTACCACGGTTGAGAAGTGTAGGGATCTGGATGCCGAAGTCACCACCCTGAAGCAGAACTATGATCTGGCCGCCAAAGCACATGAGTGTGCCATGAGAAAAGCAAGGGAGACACAGGAGCATCTTAACAGTGAAATCAGCAAGCTCGAACGCCAGGTGAACTTCGTCACAGACAAACATCAACGCGCAATTCGCCACGTGAAAGATCTCACTGTACAATTGGACGGCCTTCAACACCGCATGGATGAGACTATCGACGAGCATGACGCTGCAATGGAATTCGCAGCCTACGAGAAGGCCAGACTCCGACACGAGACCATTGAGTTGTATGCCGATTTGCTGTCAACGGACCAGGAATACCGCCAGACAAAAACATACTTGATGCGTTCCGCAACAAGATCGATGAGACCAGATCCCACAATCGTTACAGGGGCAGTTTGAAGCGGCCTAGACACGAATGATCACCGGTCTGACCCCCGGCCTGCACGGGCGTGCGGTCGGCGTGGTGAAGGCTGAGTCAGGGATATCCACGGATGCACCATGATGAATGGTTTGGTCTCCCGGCTTACACGGGCGTGTGGCCGGGTGGGAAGCGGCCTTCACGGTTTACAGTGCAAGTAGCTTTGGACTGCAGTCAGGATTCAGTATACCTCTGTGAGTAGCCTTTTATGGACCAGATCAAAACAGTGTTCTCGCACTGGCAGGCCTGCCTTCTAGACATGATTTCGTCCATATTAGAAAATAATATGGATGAATGTTTCATGCTTTGCCATGGTACGTTGTGCCATCAAAACTGTCTCCAAGAAACAGTTTTCATCCATGGATACCGAGTCAGATCTTGAAATTAAGCGCTTGTTGCATCTAGCATCACCAAAGGTTGTAGTTCGTGTGTAGAGAGGAAGATATCTTATTGCTGCTTTCCATGGCCCGTTAGGTGATCTTTGTATTGATCATATGTACGACAGGCAGTCAGGGGGAGTTGCGAATGATCACAACATACGTACTGTTCGATTTGGTCGACAAGTGTCCTGAGCAGAACTAGCCACCTGATGATATGTTCAGATCCTTTCAAGCACGACTTCATGTCTTGAGCTGTCAGTATAAAACGATTCAAACTGTGAGAGGTCTTCTGAACATCGCGTATGTGAATTGTGGATGGGAAGAGAGAAAATGTCACTCTGATGTCCCGGCACCCGGTTTGCTGCCCCGCAAAGAAGGCTGGGATTGCGTCAACGCTCGTCACGACTCACCAACCACGAAAGTTGGAATACGACTCGCTTTCTTGCCAAACCATCAAGAGTGTTGAGTTTAATCTAAACATCGCACTCGATAGCGACACTGAACATCAGCAGCAGCTAACATGGTTCTCAGCGACCAACGTGTGATGAACACGGGCGTGCTCATAGGTATGCAGTTTTGGAATTCATATCTATCCGATTGCTGCCTTGTGCAATCATGGTCAACGCATGCTAACTTCTTCGACTAGACATCATGGGTGAAGGAGACAACCGTGGAGGCTCGTCCTCATACAACAAGCTGATTTTCACCGTTGTGCCTTTGCTTATCGTTGCTATTCCTATGGTACTAGCATTTCTGTATCTAAGGCAAAAGCAACACCGCGTATATGCACCCCGAACCTTCTTAAATACACTGGAAGATCAGTAAGAAGTCTCACAATATGGTCTATGAAAGAAAAGTATGCTGATAGGAACAGGGNAGAAAACACCCAAGCCAGCATTTGGCATGTTCAATTGGATCTCGGCTTTCAGAAAACTGCCAGATCAGTTCGTCTTGAACCATCAGACACTAGACAACTACCTCTTCATCCGCTACTTCCGCATGCTCACCTATATCTGTCTCGTGGGTACCATTATCACCTGGGTCGTCCTGCTCCGGGTCAACTACACTGGTGGCGGTGGTCAATCTGAGCTCGACACGTTCACCTTTAGCAATGTCTCGGATCCTAACAAGCTCTATTGGCATGCCGTGTGCGCATGGCTCTTCCTCGGATTTGTCATGTTTGTCATTACCAAGGAGACTCTTTACTACATCAACCTCCGTCAAGCATACCTCACAACTCCCCGTAACGCCACTCGCGTGTCCACTCGTGTAGTGCTGTTCACAGGTGTCCCAGAAGACATGCGTCACGAGAAGTGGATCAAGGCAGATTTCTACGGTGTCAAGCGTGTGTGGTTGGCTACAGATTGTACTGAGCTCGAGAAGCTGGTCAACAACATGAACGACACTGCCATTACGCTTGAGGAATCGGAGATCAAGCTATCTACCATCGCCACGAAAAAGCATTTGAAAGGAGAGAAACATTTCGCAGATGACCCTGAAAGAGCAGGTACTGTCACACAGCAATGGATCGCCCCCAAGGAAAGGCCCTCGAAGCGCATCGCAATGGTCGGCAGAAGACTGGATGCTATTGAGATGTACCGCGAGCAGCTGAAGGCAGCCATTCCCAAGGTCGAAGCTCTCCAAAAACGACATGTACAAGGTTATGAGAAACTTCTTCCTGCAGCCTTTGTCGAGTTTGAAACTCAGCGTGCCGCACAGCTTGCCTACTCAGATCCCTTCTGGAAGCAGCCAGGAAAGATGGAAGCAGCGACAATTGGCATCGCTAGCCCTGATGAAATCGTTTGGCCAAACTTGGCAATCAGCAAGCCTGAGCGTTGGGCACGTACAATTATTGCGAACACCATCGTCATACTATTGATTGTCTTCTGGTCCGTCCCTGTTGGTCTAGTTGGCTCGCTTGCCGATATCGACAATCTTGCTCAAAATTTCCCTCCTCTTGGTTTTGTCAACAAGCTTCCAGCCTCGACCAAAGGTGCCATTAGTGGTTTGCTTCCCACTCTCCTGATCTCTGCGATTTTAGCCCTTGTGCCTATCATCTGTCGCTGTAAGTTCAACCCGACCACACATTGAGTCATGTGCTAATACACGTGCANNGTTACTGCCAGAAAGGCTGGATCCATCACGCTTGCGCAGATTGAGCTGCGCACACAAGGCTGGTACTTTGCCTTCCAGGTTGTGCAGGTCTTCCTTATCACTACTTTCAGTTCGGGTGCCTCGACAGTAGCTAGTATGTATCCCTGGTGTTCAATGCCTTGATCTAAGCACGCTAATGCTTCTCTACAGNAACAAATCTGGAACGACCCTGGTCAAGCACCTAAACTTCTTGCTGACAACCTGCCAACTGCTAGCACATTTTACCTATCTTTCTTCATCCTGCAGGGTATCGCCGTCACTGCTTCGACAATCTTCCAGATAGTGCCGTTCCTTATGTTCAATGTTCTGTCACCCTTCCTGGACACAACACCCCGAAGAAAGTTCGAACGATTCATCACGCTCACTGGACTCAGCTGGGGAGATACCTATCCCAAGTTCACTCTCTTCGCCGTCATAGCGATTTCTTACTCTTGCATCGCTCCGCTGGTCCTTGGATTTGCCCTGCTCGGCATCTACTTCCTGTACCTGGCCTTCCGTTACAACGTCTTCTACGTTCTGACTATGGCTGTCGATACCAAGGGCGATGCCTACGGTCGTGCTCTGCAACATCTTAGTGTTGGTATCTACCTCGCAGAGATCTGCTTGATTGGCCTTATGGGTGCGCGTCAAGCAGATGGTCCAGCCAAACTGATGGTGCTTCTTCTTGTCCTTACCGCTATCTATCAGACCTACCTCAACATGATTCTGGCTCCTTTGACAAACACGCTGTCAGATAGACTCATGGCCGAGAACGAGGAAGAAGCATTGGCACAAGCTAACGAAGAGGGTGCAACCGTACCGATCGATGTCGACGGCCACGGCGTGCAACCCAAACAGACTGATCCCTACTCTGACAACAAAACCACCAATGCTTTCGTCGAACACATCAAGCGAGGCGGCATCTTCGCACCGTTCCTCTTCAACGGATCCAAGAGCAATTATCCCGCTCTACGTCGCCAACTTTGGGATGCCTTCCCAGGTCAACCTGCTCCTGCCATCCCTGAAGAGACTCTGAAGCACGCTTACCACCACCCTGCCATCACTGCCAAGCCTCCCAAGCTCTGGATCGTCAAGGACGAGCTTGGTGTCTCTACACAAGAAATCAAGGAGACTCAAAAGGTCATTGAAATTTCTGATGAGGGTGCTCGCTTCAACGAGAAGGGTAAGATTGAGTGGGATGAGGATGATGTGAGAAAGGCTCCCATCTGGAAAGACAGAGTGGAATACTAGGCCTGAAAAGAGGTGGAGATACGCAATTGGCAAGCTGTTGATTGACGTTTACAAAGCAACAAGGATGAATAACTTTATCATGATGGCACGATGATGAACATAGCAAAAGTACAGATTTTCAGGTTTTCCTTTATTCTCTCTTACTGCCATGTTGCGTTGACCAGCAAAGTTATCTGCATCGATTCACTCGCCTTGCTGAAGACTGTTACGGTAGCTGTGGAAATACACAATACTATCGCAAAGAATGTGATCTCCACACAGAGGGCTCCCTCAAAGGTTATCTCTCTGGTCAGATTGATTTTCAGAATGTAGTTGTGCATGGCGGCAGCTTACCAAACACTCGTGCCTTAGTTAAGATGAGAAAGGGGCTAGTTACATGAGTGTGACAGTGAATGAATCAAGGTTCAGAAGTCGATATTATGTCGCCTACTGATGCCAACTCAAGTGGTCATGTATGCTCCTTAGCGCCTTTCAAGGTAGGTAGGTGGGAATGTCGGAAGTTTGCAATCACATGCTCGAAGACATGGGAAATCACATGTCACGTGTTGGTGCTACGTGGAGGAATGCAACTTCAACCTCGACAGTCGAGATCAGTGATTCACTCGGACACCAGATTTCATGAATAGACGTGTGGGGGACAGCTTTGCTACCAAACAATAGTCGAATAATTGGAAGTCGTGGATAGTGACCGATTCAAAAGTGCAGGAAGCACAAAAGATGAGCAAAGAGTAACCTTTTTCCTCAACACTCAAGAAAAGCAGTCTTGGAGTTCAATATCAAGCTGCAGCCAGATATTGACTGTGGGTTGGAGACAGCACCATCATACTCATTGGAGTCCAGCGTATTTTCTGAAGGCGGTGGCAGGCAGCGATCTCGTGAGGATAGTCTTGGGTGCAATTTCGGGCATCTACAAGGCATCGATCAGGCATCGACAAGGCATCGACGAGAAAGGCAATTGTCACAAGACAATAGCGAATTCGAGCGGGTCGTTGAACGACGTCGGTAGGCAGCGAAACTCGGGGAGGTGGTTTCACGGGACAAAAGAAAGATCCATCCCCTCCTTCTTTCTTTCCTCAACATCAACATCAGCGTCAGCGTCAGTCAGCGCGTCTTTTCGAATCGTGCAGCCACCCCGCAAGGAAACCACACCCACTTACTTCTTTCATCAATCTTTCATCCAAAAACATCCAACCCATCCAAAAACATCCACNNGCAAACATGCCCACCACCATCAAAGACATCCCCAATGAGGTCCTCAAGCACGTTTTGGTGCAAGTTCGTGAACAAGGCGGTTATGACGCTCTGAGAATGGCACTTCGTGTCTGCCGCCTCTGGAACGACGCAGGCACACCAGTCCTCTACGAACACGTCGTGCTTGACAACAGAAACATCAGTTCTTTCCTCGAGAGCTTTTCCGAGCCGCATATCGATCTTTGGGAGTTGATCAAACCATTCCACGAGTTTATGTGCATTGGCCACAGACACTGTTTGCGAGAGGCGTCAAGCACATTCGAGGAAGCAAAGGAGATATTCGCAAAGCCTTTGCCCTCTGTCGAAGAACTGGAATCCAGACGCGGTAAGAGATATATCCGCAATCGAGAAAGGACGTGGGAGAAAATTCATTCTTTGACTCTCAATATGAAGCCCGAAGGGAGTGCCAACNCCCACTATGAGGAGATCAACAGACAAGGCGGCAAGTTGACTCCGCTGGATCTGCAACTGGTGAGACTGGCAAGCTTGCTGCCAAAACATTTCCCTCTGCTCGATACCTTCTCAATCTTCACAGAGGAGGTGTACCACAAAGACCAGTACGTTGTCGAAAGAGACTCGCCCGGCTTTTGTGACGCCCAAGTCTTCATCGAGCTTGTTCAGTCTTTACCAAAGTCTTGCACAAGCATCATGCTCGATACCAATGCCCGCGAGATCAAGTTCGGCAGGGTGTCCCCTCGCATTTGTCTATTGCTTCGAGAGATGGTGCCAAGACTGCGCCATCTGTCGCTCAGAGTGTCGTACATCTGCGAGTCGATGCTGATGGCATCAGAGATAGAAGACGAAGAAGAACCCGAATACATCAACGCGCCTCATCTACGCAGCTTGTCGATCTCTTTCGTTCCCAGAAACGTCCCCTACTGGTTTGACTTGATGTACGCTCGCAATGTCTGCAGAAGGGTTCACTTTGACCCTACAGAACAATTACCCAACGACCACNCCCTTGGATCAAATGACGAGTCAGGAACTGTTCGCTTGGCTAAGGCCTTCCAACAAGCATACAGCCAAGGTTGTTTTCCGCATGCCAAGAGTATCCAGATCGTCTCGCCAATGAGAATACATCGTCGTGACAGCTGGCCGTGGTTTGATCGAGAATTTGACGAGATGATGATTGTCAGAGACTGCATCCAAGACAAAACACACGCGCTCCGTTTTATGCCATCTAAGAGATCGTTTATCCATGACGAGGATTGCGCAATCATCGATCGCCAGGACGTCTTCGCGATGGGTAATCACGAGGCCATCAAGCTGTTCGCAGAAAATGGCAAATGGCATGCGACAGCCAATTACGAAGCCAGACTGCCTGTCGACACACCTGAGGTCCAGTTCGAGAAGTGCTCGTTGAAGACGTTGACTAAGAAGGAGCTGAAGTACTTCACCGAGAGTCTTACCAGAGAGACACACGAAAAGTTGACAGAGCTTTACAAGGATCTGACGGAAGGCGAGAGACATCCAGGAAGAGTCTTTGAGTTCGATGGTGCTGCATTTGCGTTCAAGGACTTCATGCCGGAGAACCTTTCAGTCGAGTAGAAGCTGACGTGGAAAAATTGGCGTATGAGCGCGAGGAGGAAGAGAAGAAGGAGATCAGAGCCGAATGGTCTTACTTACTAGACATAGCCAACCAATGAGAAGATGAATGTATTTTCTCCAGAACTTTGTTGTTGTGCTGTGATCGAAATAAAGTTGCATCAACTCAACTCGACTTCTTCGTCTTGAGCAAGAGGCTGCCATGCTGGACGACTTTTTCGCTGCATGCACTTCGAAGCATGGAACAGATGGCCTCGTCGCTGACGGACAAAGAAAGCATACATCAACCCAGCGAGAACGACTGCGGCAGCACCTNNGATCGCAGCAGGGATTTTGAATTGGTCGGGCCGAGCGAAGATAGCGGTAGATGCGAAGGACAACAGCTCGAATATACTCTGTAAAGATGCCTCCGTTGCAGAGAAGGAGCCTCGTTGGTCAGACTCAACAGCNCTGTGTCACGTCAGTATCGGTAGTGTAGAAGGATCAGGCTGACATACCTCTTGGACGATGACCTGTGCAGACAGATCAAAGCCCCACAATCCAACTCGGCTCGCAATGGTACTAGCAAGCAAACCAAAGACAGCATATTTTTGAGGCACCTCGATCCAAAGCATGGTGGCCGCAATGACAACCCAAACGATTTGCCAGTTGAGAAACCATATTCCACATCTGATGGCACCAATCTTATGCATGGCCTTGGGTGCGAGCCATGTTGAAGAGAGTTCGAAGAGGGTGGATAGAGTACGGAGAAGACCAATGGATATAGAACTGAAGCCGGCCGAGAGGAGGTACGTGACCATCTGGCCGCCGAAGGTCAAGACGGTGAGATAAAGCAGGGATAGCGAGAAGGACGGGAGGAAAGCCGGATGCTGGATATATGATATGCAGCTTCGGAACGTTTGACGAGCATGACGGCTGACGTCCGGAGAGGCGGCTGGGCTGTCAGCCAGCTGCAAGTCTTGAGAAGGTGCAAGGCGCAGCTGCAGATCTTCTACTTGGTAGTACACTTTTGCAATGGCGTAGTACTCGGCAAAGACAGATACAGCTGTCATACCAAAGGTGACGAGGATGGCTACGCTGGTGGAAAAGCCAGCGATCAACGCAATGCTCAGGGGTCCAACGAGTTTGCAGAAAAGGTCAATTCGACGCATCTGAGAATTTAACTCNTGCTAAAGTTTAGCTCTAGTATTCGATCAGAGTAAAGGTAAGTTACCTTGCAGATCATCCGTATTCTTCTGTGATATGACAACGACCCAATCCCGTTCAACAGATATGGTGTTGACAACAGAAGAGAGCTTCTCCACACAGGCAAGGAAAGAGAGAAATATCAATGCAGCTTTTGCAGACCATGAGCAAAGAGAAGTATAACCAGAGTGTTGTAAGAGCCACAGCAAGATGCAGGATGCTGCGGTTGCCATCCTTTGTCCGACTNNGGAAATGGTCAATGTGATTGATCGAATAGAAAGAGAGGCAGAAGATGGGCAAGAAGCCTGAATGACTACCGTATAGAACAAACATGACATTGGAGGGGATTTAGCATTGACAAGACTAGATAACTTACTGATTGACAGACGGATCAGATGCATGCGTTCTGAGCGATCAACCAGATGTCCAATAAAGGTTGAGAAGATGACGACAGAGGCAGAACGAGTCAAGGCATAGATGGAGGCAGGGAATAAGGTGCCTGGAAATATGGTAGAGATAAACAGGACAGCACCAAATTCAAACAGTCGAGAATTCCATGTTGAGAGGAAGTGTGAGATATAGAGCTTGCTGCGAACGTGGTATGAGGGAAGTTCAGGGCTGGACATGATGGATGATAGATTAATGAAGCGCTAAGGAAGACTGTAGTTTTTTCTGAGACATGGCAGGGACGAGTTGAAGAACAAAAGAGTCTCGTGTTGAACCGAAGTAAAAGTGGAGCGATTGCAGAGAAAAGATTAAAGGAGAAATAAAGATGGAAGGACCCTGGTGGTGGCTTCTTCACATGGCTTGGCACTCCGTCACTCGTCGATGCAGCTTCACGTCGAATGCGCGTTCTTCTACAAGCGGTATTCACTATCTTTTGCACAACCGAATTGCGCGAATCTCTGAACAGACAATCTTTTATTCATTTCTGTTTCTCGCTTCTCCTGAACTATCCAAGTAAATTCTACCGACCGACACTCAATCCTCTTCGACGACATAGCCAGATCAAGGGCTTGGCCCCTGTGTAGAAAAGATGCCCGCCAGAAAGCGCGCTCGCCAGGAGGCCGAAATAGACAACAGCATTGCCGCCGTAGAGAATGCACAACCTCACAATGAGACGCTGGTCCGTCTACGGAACATGTGGCAATTTGCTGCTCTCATGCAATACATGTACCTTTTCGGCAAACCCGTCAAGATTGATCCCGATTTCGACATGGAGGTATGCGCCCAGCCCTACAATGTCCCAGACCAACTGCTGATGATGCAACAGGATCTAGAGCATGAATGTCTGAGACCCGAACCATCAGAAAAGCTGGCCGAGATTGCTCTCACCCTGCTCAAATTTGTCTCATCGCATAGAGGCCTCAAGTGCGTTCAGCCAGCCACCGACTATGAAACATCTCACTAACCATATCNNAGCTTCGACAACTTTGACGAGTACACACGCCGCCAATTCGTCGCCAAAGCACCCCAGCGCAATCCCTACGGCACTGACGAAATCCCCAACAAATTTGCCGACTTCGACGTCTTCACAAAAATCCGCGTCCTGCATCAACTCTCATCATGGACCCTTTGGAATGCAGAGCGCATGCGTGGCTTGATGGAAGAGAAGGATAGCGAACAGACTTTATGGGTGCGCTCGCCCTATACCAAATCATATACACCGAAACTAACAACATGAATAGNNCGCATCGAAGAAATTGGTTGGGATTCTCAAGAACGCTCCTACTTCGTACTGGACGACGACCGCTTGTACCGCCGCACCGAAGCACCACTACCACCTGCTCCCGCACCCAAGTCGAAAGCAAAGCCTAAACCACGCAGGTCTCGCGGCTCTCGTGCTAGCAAGCGCATAAAGTTGGACACTTCAACCCAAGAGAGTGAAGTTGAGGGAGAAGAGCATGAGACTACCGAGATTGAAGCGAAGAATGACGAGACGGTTGAAGATGACGGATTTGGTGGTATGAAGTGGGAATGTATCGCCGTCACGCACGAAGACTACACAATCTTTCTGGAGTCACTCCGCAAAACTCGCGACCCGGAAGAGAAGGCTCTCGTCAAGCGCATCAACGACCAGATTATGCCGGTCCTAGAGAAGCGCGTCGAAGCACAACGCCAGAAAATGCTCAAAAAGCAACGGGAACTGGAAAACCTGCAGAAGATGGCCACAGCGAAGAGATCAAGCAGACTTGCTGGCAAGGCAGAGCAGCGCAAGGCCGAAGAAGAGGCAGCCGAAGCCGAGAGGAAACGACAGGCCGAGCTTGACATGGCTCGCAAAGAGCAGCAGAAGCAGAGCAAGATGGAACACGTGAGTTGCAAATGTGGCCAAGCAAGGGACAGGACGACTAACATGGCATAGGCACGCGAATCTCGTATGCTTACTAGAGAACAGAGGCTCAAGGAGCGCGAAGTCAAGCGTATCTTGCACGAAGAAGAGCTCCGCAAGCTCGAAGAGAACCACAAGAGCTTGGAAAACGGCGATGAAACCGAAGGTCGCCTGTCTGAGCGTCACCTCAAGGCCGAGATGGAGAGAAGACAGAAAGAGCTGGATGCGTTGGCTGAAGAGGAGGACGAATGGATCTTCGATTGTGCCGTGTGTGGCAAGCACGGCCAGAACTACGACGACGGCACGCATTCGATTGCTTGCGAAAAGTGTAACATCTGGCAACACTCGAAATGCCATGGCATTGATGAGAAGGACGCAGAGAAGGACGATTTCCATTTCATCTGCTCCGACTGCGAGAAGAAGCCAAAGCTGCCTCCGTTGCACCTGCACTTCCCAGGCCAAAAGGACGCTGCTGCACAAGACGCCCCTCGCGGCCGCCCACTAAAAGCTGTCGAGATAACCTCGACTCCTCGTTCAGCAGCCCGACGCTACAATCTTCTCGACGGCCCTTCGCTTTCGCCTTCAGGTCAGAGCCCTGGTCCGCCAGGCTACCATCGTCCTGCAGGTCCCCCACCAGTTGGCGTTCCTCAGCAAGCATGGAATGGCACTACCTTACCTCCACCTGCTCGGCCCTCGTCCAACTACGGCAGTTCTCCTCCACCTCCCACACAAGATACCAATGCAACCGATCTTTCTGCGCTACACGCCCAAGCCCATGCTGGCGCCGTATCAGCACACTCGATACACCCTCCTGTCTTGCAACCCAGTGGCTTGCAAATGGGCCATCCCTCGCCCACCAAAGGTTCTCGACCATCGTCATCCCATGGGCTCTCAGAGCATCGCACAAACGGCTCAGCAACCCCTCACCACCATCATCCATCAAGAAACAGCCTTTCGCCTTCTAGTCAACGCCTCTTCCAAAGCCCCAACACATCGTTCCCTCCTCCCGCTTTACTGCAGCAGCAACAACGTGCCGCCGCCCACTCCCCAACCAAACAACCCAGCTCCTCGCCCTCGCACGCTCAACCCTTCCATACACCCGCCGCCAACGCTACACCCTATACCTATCAAAACACCTCCACTGTAACTCCTGCATCAGCAGCAACAAACATCCTGCGTGCCGGTCCTCACATGCAAAGCTCGCCTTTGCCACCCCTTCCTGCTGGCAACACACCTGTCATCCCCACGAAACATGACACACCACGCCCTGTGTCACGAGACAGCATGGCTGAAACTCCAGTGGTACCGCCCATCACTGCATTGAGCCCCAGCCCTGCTATCTTCATGCCTTCGATGCCTGCAGCGCCACCAGAGGGCGTCGAAGGCGTAGAGACTTCGCTCGGTGTGGGTAGTGTTCCGGTCAAGAAGATGCCTCCTAATGCCAGTCAAGAGAGCGACGGCGATATCAGTATGGCTGATATGTAAGGAAGGATTTCTTGTGGAATAGGCTCAATACAACGTGTGATATGAGATGCAAGAAACTTTGGGACGAGAAGGAGAACAAGCATTGCAGCATTTTTCCTCAAATTTTTATCATGTTGTTAGGATAGATGAGATAAGCAAAAGAGCCCAGAGTGCCTCAACAAACAGCAAACACAATACGAAATAAGAACTTTGAATCACCTCGATCAAGTTAAACAGTGCTGCAACAAGAGCGTGAAGAGTCAAACGAGAGAATGGGGAAGAGATTAAGAGGTAAGAGATGAGAATGGTATTCATAGTGATCGTCAAAAGTTCGTAGAAAGCCAGCCAGTACTACGCTGTCGTTGCTGTTTGTTCGAGTAGAGTTTCGAAACCTCCAAAAACTCCTCATGTAAAATCCTTTCCAACCATTGTTCTGTCCTCCTGATCTTGTTGGTACAATTTTTGCTCCCCTCTAGACACTCAACCCCCAACCAAAATCCTCGATCTCATATATCCCTTTTCCCGTAATCAAACATCCTGTTCAGCCGCTCGCAAAAGAGCCACTCTACTGCAAAAGATTATTCTCGACCGAAAACTCTCCACCATCGCCAAACTCTCCCATGACCTGTCCCCACTCGGCATCACTGAGTTGAAACAACTGTCCTTCATCCACAGCACCCAACTCCAACACCGTCGTCGTCGCCGTCGCCCCCGTTTTCGTAAAGTTCAGNAAACTCCGTTGCTGAAAATTCGGTGCTGGAGAAATCGGACATGTGTGGGAGGAGTGTGGACATTGGTGTGTCTTGCATTGTTTGTTGCTGTTGTTGTTGGTATTGTGGGAATTGTTGTTGTGGTGGTGGCTGTTGAGAGGGGATTTGTTGTTGNNTGGGACTTGGTTGATGTACATCATTTCTGGAGATTGTTGTTGGGATTGTTGCAAGGTTTGCCAGTTGTTGGATGATTGGCGGAATATCAGTGTAGAGTGATTTGCAGGACCTGTGGATGAGGAAGATGAATCAGAGGGAGAGACTCCATTGTTACACAACTCCATCACGTCTGCCTCGCTGGATCCAAGAGTCTGAGGCGACGTATGGGCAGTAGAGTTGTCCGAGGCAAGGTTCATTCGTACAGGGAAAATGCCTTTGAAGTTGCCTTGATGCGGTTGAGACATCATTGCTGCAACCTCGGGTGGGAAAGTGCCGCCAGAGGGATGGTTGCCTCCTCGGCTTGTCTTTGGATTGGAGTGTTGGGCTAGACCGTTGTCTCCAAATGTAGGTCGGTTTCCCTCTTCATCGGCATAAGGACATTGCATGGCCTCTTGGGCTTGGGCTTGGGCTGCTCGAGCTGCACGAACGCGCAAGCTGCGTAGCTCATCAAGGCCGGCTACTTCGAGGTCGACATCTAGTTGCGCTATGAATGACTCGGCAAGTGGATTTGTCTTCTTCATGGCCTGGAGAGCGGAAAGGAGGAAGTGTAGTGAGCCTCGAGCCGTATCATCACGAGGTCGTGACTTGAGGTATTGAACAAAGACTCTGGCAGCGACGTATAGAGAGAAGGCCATGAACGGGTTAGCTTGAGCCATGTCGAGGTGACTGGACATTTTCATCAAGCTTGAGATCTCGGCGGCCGCGGTCAAGCAACGCATCTTCGATTCGGTAGCGAGTTTGGCTGGCAGCTGGTGCTTCTCCACCTTGAAGATAGCAGCTTGATGAAGACATATTACGGAAGTGTGGATGCACATGTTCATGAACACAACCTTAGGGTCGGAGACGGCGAGGGGCAGTCGTAAAGACTCTGGTAGACCGAGCAATAAGGAAAGGATTATGCCATCCATCTGTCGATGGCGCTTCCAGAATACGCCGTTGATGTCGCCATCGTTCTGGTCTTGTGTGTGCCGATGTAAATGCAACAGATTGCGACCGAAGAGAGCAGCAATGACACCAACCGCGCCCATTGATGATAAGCCATCAGCCCCACCGGGCGACAGAGCTTCCATCAGGGATACGGAAGGCTCGGGTGTACCAGCGTCAAAGGCTTCGTCTGAGGCCGGCAGATCTGTGCAAATGTCGGCCTCATCAATAGTCATGGGCCAGCCAGTACCAATACTCGCATATCGGTCGCCAGAGAAGATCATCCAGAACAGACGTCTTCGCTCCTCCCTCTCTATCCAGTCTTTGGGTGGGGGCAGGCATTGCTTGACGTCAACGTTAGGACCGTCGACACGGTGCAGACCCATCATGAGAGCCAATCGGGCACTCCTTCCAGTGCTGAGCCATGCTCTTGGAAAGTACATCATCTTGAACTCGTAAGCTGATATGCATTGCCAGGCCTGAACTGTGGCTATATTGATCATCTTCTCGCCAACGCCAAACATCTCATCACGCTCGAGGTAGTGACGAGCACGGCGATACAAGGTGTCGACCATGCTTTCATACTTTGGGTGAGAGCTAGCAGCCAATGTCCAAACAGCATACTGGAGGGACAGACGGGGACGTAGGACGGGCGACGTGTTCTGCATGGCCATGAGATAGCGAGGTCGATGCAAGACAGGGACGGAGGGGTGAACACGTTCAAAGTAGATAGCGGTCAGCTCGGCACAGACATCTGGAGGAGGCAGAGGTTCGTCCATGCCGGTAGCAAGCATTGACAAGTTGGGCATCCACGAAGGTGATTTGATCTCGCCCTCCCAGAAGGCGGGCTGTAGGGTATCATAGGCCTCAGACATTGACTGCTGACGTGTAGCAGGGTTTGAATCACTGGCTGGGGGTGGAGACTGGCCTACACGCATTTCCTGCATCAAACGTCCTTGGTCGGGGTCTATACCACCCAAGTCTGGCAGATCGTCGCCGTTGGTGACAGGCTGGTCGATAGCATTAAATGGCATTTCGACGCCAGCATGGTTGTTGAGGAGTGTCTCGACTTGGGCCAAACGAGCCTCGAGTTCTTTCACGTACCCCCTCTTGGGGCCGCTCTTCTTGCGAACCTCATCATATGTGCAGTTGTGCGAAAGGCGAGTGCATGTCGCGCATGACGGTTTCGCTCCATCGCACCGAAGCTTGCGTTTGCGACACAGCACACATGCTACTCGTTTGGATTTGGGTGGTTGTGCTTGGGTGGGCTGGTCGGGGAGTTGTTGGCTGAGGTCGTTGAAGTAGCCGTCGGTCACGGCTTCGTCTGGTGACGGCATTGTCGCTCTCACGGTCAAGTGCCGGTCCACAAGAAAGGATGCTGGTCGATCAACTTGGTGCTTGCTCCGGACAAAGAACAAGCCTTCTGAATGTCGAAACAAAGCGTCTGGGTTCTACGACAGGAGATACGGCGAGGCAGTTAGGCAGCACTCGAATCGTCTTCATCGAGCTCCTCCAACCCACCAATGCTATTGGTTGGTCGATGCGGCCCCAAGAATCCTTCAATCCTGAGAGCTGCAACCACTCCTGTCCCGTTTCGTGGCTGTCTCACGCCCTGCCTTGGCCTTGGCTCAGCTCTTTGATAGTGTAATCAAACCTTCTTTGACTTTCTGGAATACGGTATCTCTGTCGAGACATGATGATTCATGAAGCATTCTTATCTTGACTATGCTCGCTTCTTGCCCTTCAACGAGGAGCCAGCATTTTAGGGCATGAGCACCCCTCTCCGAATAGATGCTTCAATTTAACCGCGTGCTTATCTTATCCTATATAGTACATCGCTTTTTTGTTGCCCATCAAGGTTCAAGCCCATTGAATCTTTCCCTCTTCGCGCAGATATAGTAGTCATCCCAGTCCAATGCTGTATAAGCCACCTTCTATCTCTGCTGCTGTTTTTGCAGGTCTACTCGCCCGTAAAAGATATGCGCAATTCTCGGGTCTTTTTATAGTGTCGGTTGGCACTTCCTTCTCTGCGAGACAGGGTGCCCCTATTTACTTGGGACCAGGTGAATGAGCATATCGACGTGCTCGATTGAGGACCTACAACTTGCTGAGGTTCTCAATCACAAAGTGAGAACTGCTGAATTTAATGATATAATCCTTCTTTGCGGTGCGACAGACGATGGAGTGGTCATGATTCGTGTTCGGAGGGCCTGCAACATTCAAAAGCCGTGTCTAGCTCGATGATCAACAAATACTTTTGCTTGACGACAAACTGTGAACAGGTCATGTCTTTTCAAGAGTTAAGCCTCTTCGTGTGGGCTACACGACATGTTAAAAATCACATTATTGCATGGAATATCGAGTGTATTGTTCGTAAACAAGAATTTTGTCAAATGTATATACTAGAAGCAATCAGACCTCAGTGATACAAAATCTCCAGACTCTTGAGTCTTGCTTTTTTTGCTGGCCAATCAAGCTCTAAAGTGTTTCTAGAAACAAAGTAAGAAAAAACGCATGGTGACCCAAAACACCGGGGAATGCAGATGAGGGCAAAACAGAAAGAAAACAAAGAGCGAGTGGAAGAATTTTCTTAAAGAAGAGTGGCGCCCAACAGAGTAGACAGGGCAACAAGGCCAGTCATGATCAGAGGAGCGAAGGAAACCTCGCCCATGTTGACGCGCGAGGCAGCACCAGTGTGTGTGGCATTGCTACCAGAGCCGGTAGCCGAAGAACCGGAGGCAGTACGGGTAGCAGAACCACTTCCAGCAGAGGCAGTAGCAATGTTGTCACTACCAGCTTGCTGGGAACCGGGACCAGTAAGACCGGGGCCAGTGCCAGCACCAGAGGTCATGTACTTCTTGGCATCCTCGGGATAAGCAGGAAGATCTACACCCTGGAAGTCACCGGTGTTCCAGGTGTCGCTGTTGGGGGGNCATTGAGAAGGAGTGCCGTCAGAGTGGAAACCGCCATCACCAGTAGGAGCAGTGTTGTTGGCGAATGCATTCTGAAGGTAGGTGAAATCCTGGTTAGGGGTGACAGAGGAACCATCGATGGTGACGAGGCCGTAGTTGGAGTCCTCCTGGGAGTACTCGTAGACGAGACCACCGCTGTAGACACCAGTCATCTCCTGGTTGTAGAGAGCCGAAACTTCCTCGAACTTGCGAGTGTTCTTGTTGCAGCCGTACTCGGAAAGGNNGAAGAGGGGCAGACTGTAGTTGCCGTAGGTCTGAACCTTCTGGTCCCAGCCAGAGATGGTGAAGGACGAGGGGTCGCACCACGAGTAGTCGTTGAATGCGAAGAAGTCGCTGCGCTGGTCGTCGGTTCCGCAGTTCATGTACTGGGCAGTCTCGTAGCGGTTCTCGCTGACATCGGCAGCGGAGTAGCCAACAGGGATGGCACGGTAGCCTCTGTTGTTGCGGTACTGCTTGAGGTCACGAGTGACGGCCTTGATGTAAGGTGCACAGTCGGTAGTGTTACCATCGTTGATGACCTCGTTACCCGAGAAGAAAAGAAGAGTGTTGGTGTAGTTGGCAAAGGCATCAACAGTAGCGAACAGACTCTGCAAGTAGACGGCGTTGTACGACTTGGCGGGATCGGCGCGGTTGATCGAGTACAGAGGGGTGTTGACATCGAGAGCAACGTAGATTCCAGCGTCGGCAAGAGCGTTCATGCAAGTATCGTGGTTGGCGCTGTTGTCAACTGTGTAGACACGGACAGTGTTGATGCCGAGCTGCTTGAAGTACTTGATGTCACGCTGGCAGCCAGCCTCGTCAGCCAGAGGGTCCTTAGGGTCAGACGAACCACCGGGCTGGTAGTCGACACCACGAATGTAGAAGCGGTCGTTGCCGGCGAAGAAGGCATTGCCCTTGACAGTGACGGTAGGGAGACTGCCGGAAGAAGTGCCAGAGGCTCTAGCCTCGAGGGTAGGAGTGGCAATGGCCAGGGAGGCGCCCAAGGCGACCGAAGCAGCAGCGAGTGAAGCCTTCATTGTGTGCAAATATGGAAATTGGAAGATATCAAGTTTAACGTCGAGAAAGCGGTCTAGTAAGACAGAGAAAAAAGCTCCCGATAAAAGAGTGACGGGAGGAGTGTCCAAGAAAGTCGAGTATTAAAAAGTCGGATTAAGCAAGACTGCACAACGAGAGTGGCAGGAAAGATGATGGAACGACGGCCAGCAGGGGATGATGAGTGGGTTTTGTTTGGGCCCAGCATTTCTAGACGGAACATGCACGGGTCAAGCAAGCCTCAGCCGCTCGCCGCGGACGCCCCTACCAAGACTTCGTTGAGGTGCCTGTTTGATCGTCACCGATTTGTTTTGACAACCCGACAAGGCAAGCAATTAAACCTGACCATCTCTGCAGAGCGATTCTGGTTCCTGATTTCGTAGAATTCTCCATCCACGCTTGACCATCGAGCAGACGATCCAGGGACATTCTATCATTACCTAGCACTGTATTACCGTTTCCTTGGATCACCTCAATGTCTCCCCGTATCCCCCCAGAGTCCGGGAGATGACTGAAATTACACTTCTGATGCTTCTGAAACGCCACCGCCTTACAGTGTGATCAGCGCAATCCTCGGCCTCGATCGTCACCCGCATATGTTGACCTGCAACTTCTCTGACAATGGTTGCGCGTCGTGTCGGCTCGGCGTGGAAAGCCCGTCATTGACATTTCTCTTTCTATGCTAATCTCTAATTTCGCTTGCGCCCACCCCTCCACCACTTTGCGCTTGCACAGCCATAATTGAAAATCATCCCAGCCTTCCCGAATCTCCAGCCATCTTGTGAGACTCCGAAAATAAAACCCCATAATAAAAAGCAAAGTACTCCTAAAAGTTGCGCCGCATGACGTTGAGAATATCCCATGCACCATAGCATGGACGCCAGACAGGCCCTGCAACATGCGAGTAGAAACGAAGGAAATGGGTGATGTAGAATAAGAAAAGAAAAGAAAAAAGAAAAATCATGCCCAAATCCTCACCACAGTTTTCACTTGGTTTGAAAAGGGTTGGTACGTGAATCGCTTTTGGATCTCCAGAACATCAGCTTACTCAGACGATGCTCCTTCTTCCTCTTGTTTTCCTGGTGAACAGATGGTGGGATGGCTGTCTGAGGACGTTGCTCGGTCCTGAGACTGTGCCTGCTCTCACCAAAGGGGCCACCTAGGAGCATGCTCAAGCTTTGAATACTCGAACGCTTGCGACGACGTTCAGAAGCTTGCATATCTGCCTGACCATTGCCACATGCCACCGACACAGGTCGATCCATGGTCTCGCGACGGGGACTTGTTTGGTACATGGTACTGATCATGGTCGAACGACTGCTAGTCAGAGAGGGAACATCATCAGCCGACATGTATAGCTCGGGGGTTGGCTCTGCAGTGGTGAAGGAGCTCATGGTACGGGTATCAGCGATCGAAGATGCCGATGTACCAAGACGTAGTGCGTCGAAGGATTCTTGGTTGCGCGCAAGGTCCGGAGATGAGAAGGTTGAGGCGACATTAGAGGTAGGTGTGAGGGGAACATTGTTAGGAGCAGGAAGGCCAAGACCAGTGTCATCTGCCGAGATAGTGCGAGCACCACTAGACTCCGAGGATTTTGTGACAGAAGAAGCTCGAGGCTCTTCATCGTCTGAAACAGTTTCTAAGAGCGTGGGTTCCTCAACAATAGTATCTTCGACCACCGATGTGCGTGGTGGGGTGGACTGACGCTGAGGATAGTCACAAGTCTGAGCACCCCTCAATGAGCCTTGAGACTCGATTCCAAGACCATCTTCGAAGCTCCGGTCGAAGTTTGGCTCAAGCTGCGCGTTGGCAGTGTCGACAATCTGAATACCAGTGCCGACTTCTTCATCTGCTTGGCTCGATGCTTCGCTAATGCTCGGTTCCTTGACCCCCTCAACAGGTAACTCATCTTCCTCTTCTTCAAACACATCGTCCATTGGAGATTGTCCGGGAGAGCTGGCTCTACCAGCAAACTCGAAGGGGACCAAAGCAGGGGCACTTTCTGTTCTACGGTGGTAGTGCATGCCCGGTCCTGTGAAGTCTCTGTTCAACCGACTGCTGTGAAGTTGTCTTCTCTTCGTAACAGGGCGGGATTCTTCCCAGCTCATTGTAGGGGTTCCGTAAGGGCCTAGAGCGGCGTCCAAATCAATGACGGGACTCGTGTCATCATTTCCCTGGNNCGAAGAAGGCGAGAGAAAAGGGAAGAATGAATCCAACATTTCCGAGCGTGGTGAGAGAATTGACGGACTTGTGATATCGTCGGCATCGGTAAAAGGATCTTGACCAAATAAAGCATCAAGATCAGGTTCTTCACCGAACGTATCTGACACCTGTGGTCCTAGATCAGGAGTCTGTTCGCCATTCTCACTCTCCTCTGAAGCATCGGCTGTTTGCTTTGCTTTCTTTGCATCCTTGGCCTTACGACCAAGAATTGAGGTTGCCCACTTCTTAACTCTCTTGCGGGAGGACTCGCGATGCAAGCCCTGGCTGACAGCTTCAGATTTTCTTGCAGGGATCTGAGAGTCATCACAAACCACAGGCTCTTGCAGCGAGATGGTGGAAGTTCCAATGTCTGCTGATGCCGTGAGCGAGATCAGTGGCTCACTGCGGCGACGGTCGAGTTTCAAGAAGTTTTTCTTTTTGGAAAGTCGAGGAACTTCGGCAGCAGGTTCCGGAGCGAAGGATAGGCTGTTGTTAGGGAGTTTGAAGGTCGGAGGAGGGCTTAGAACAGGCATTTCGGCATTGACCATCGTGTCAGATGCCATATTTGACACCGTTCTGGGCGACACTTCAGAAGGAAGATCGGGTATTGTTATCATTGTCCTTCTAGGAGAAGGATTTCCAATACCACCGAGACTGATGACCGAAGACAAGCTGTTTCCTACGGAGTGACCACGCACAGTAGATGCGGAGCTGGTAGTGTCTGCAGAAACAGTCGAAAGTGGTCGAGGGATGAACTCGATCTTCTCCGAGAAACCAACGCGGGGTCTAGAAGGTGGGCGTGCAATCGGCTCTTCCGCAAGTGATCCAGAGGGAGATAGCACAGTCATGACGCTTTCGCTAGACTTACGATCCTCGTTGACTGATTTCGCTGGTGAAGGATGTGGTTGGGAGACAGATTCAGTGGGCGTTTGTGGACTCGCGCTTTGTGGTCGTACGTTGGCGTCTCTTGGTTGGAGAATGCTGTTCAGATCATGACCGGAGATGGCAGTTGATCTGCGATGGGCGTGTCCACGTCTGCGAGATGGCGAACCACTGAGATCTGGCACAGGCAGAGCACCAAGATGTTTTGAAGGACTAGGGCCTAGCATCAAAGCCATTCGACTGTCTCCGCCGACCAGTTCACTTGCTCCTCTACGATGTCCAGCGCTCTTTGGTGGGCTAGTAGGAGTTGTCATGATTGTGGGTGATGAAGGTTGGTTGTCTTGACGGCCAGAAGTGTCAGACGAGTTGAAGCTGAAGGTTGGCAGGGCGGATGTAGACTGCCGCGCTGACCGAGAGCGACCATGGTGTGATGTGGGAGCCAGATTCATTGACATTGGTCGTCTGGGGTTTGACATGACAGACTGCTCTGTTGTGGGTCGAGGAGGAAAGACAAAGTCCGGCACGAGCTGCATTTCCTGGTCCATGTTGGTGGATCTGTAGTGCTGGTCGTTCATAGGATGGTGGAAGGACATTGTCGTGGCCATAGCATCCAAAGAGGCACTCGTGAAGGTGCGGCGGTGATATTAAAGTGAGTAAGATGAGTGAGGTGAGTTGTATGCGTTTGCGCGCGCACGATGATGTCGTTGTAATGTCGACACGAGTAAAAAATATTAATCTGGAACAATGTCAGTGGACGTGACATCCTACCAGAGAGTTGATGTTAGAAAATACCAAACTAGAAACATGGGACGCTCGCAGAGCTAAATCACTTTGTTACGGAAGAAGGAAGGCGCAAACAACAAATAATCAAAGCAAGCAGTATCTCGAATTAAAAAAGGAATGGACGCAGGCTCGACTACAGACAACTTTTGATAAAGCCGTCCGAGAAGATCCCACAGAAAGAGGTTGTTGAACAGAGGTCGAGGAGGGGTCGCGGAAAGAGAGAGGAGCAGAGAGAAAGGTGAAGCCCGGCGGATGCAGATGCATGTACCAACTTGGTAGCAGGCTCAGGCTCGCTCGGCCTTGGCTGCGTTGCGCTCGGGCCAAAACGCTAGGGCAGAAATAATCGAAGCGTTTACGAGAGCGTTGCGAGTGAACCGTTTCCCTCATCCTAGAGGGAGCGGGATCCATTTTGCATGCCATGGGAAATAACGACTGCTCTCTGTTTCCACGCGATGCTCAAACGGTGCATTCTACTGATACGAACGTAGTGATTCCCTGTTGTCGCCATCTCATTGCCCCCAGATTGCCTATCGTAGATTGCATACACAATCAAGAAAGGTGGGCAGCGGATGACGGCGGCGACTCGGGACCGCCCTGGTCACCTTGGATCGTTGCCGGGCAATAAATCATCAATATAACTTCGCTGTTCGCTGCCTGCCTTGCTTCNNCCAGCTTGGACTGGCAGGACGAGCAGTGCCACTAACGATGCCACTACTGGATCTACGTATGCAGCACCACAGACACAGANNCAGCTCTCAGGCCATACGTTCCTGTCTCGTGTGTTATCTCGTTGCCATGATACCGCGTTGCCAATCGCGTTGCTCTTTCTCAATAGTAAGGCCGTTTGCTATCGCGAACTATGGCAACTGTCCAAGTCTGTTGTACCTGTTATCAAGTTGGNNTTATGTCATTGTCTATTCCTGGGCACACTCTCTACTTGTTACTCTGGCATCTATCCGCAAGCACATCCGCATCTGCTGCCTCCGGACCCAGCACGTCCTGACTCCGCGCGTCAACCAACCAGTCATGTTGATTGTTTCAGGNATAGACCCTTCTTCCCCACAGGCCACAGGTGATCGACAGGCCCCGCAATCAAACCACAGCGACTCTCCGACGAGCAAAAGTCTCTGCGGCCTCGAATGTTGGGTTCCTGAGTCGCAGAGGCGAATTCTTACGCAAGGTGTTTCGGTTCAGATTCAGCTTCCATCTGTCCGGGCTCTCTGCTTCTCGAAAAAAGCACTCGATTTCTTTGGCTCCGACTCGAGACTGTGGCCGAACAGTTCCGCGGCATCTGCGTGTCTCTGACTTGCTGCAAGCTGCATACGTAGCATTGCATGCAACCTTTTGGGCTGCTCGAGTACACCAATACAAGCCAACCCAAGCTCGAGCCAATTTTCACATGTTGTGCGCGTGTACTTGTGACTTCATGTACACTAGATGAATAATGCTGCAACCCGAGTGTACACGCAAGAACACTTGCAGCGGGATATAGACCTACTTCTTGCCTCACCAGCATGTATTCGGATGTGCGATATATACGATTCTGCCGATCCCGTTTAGCGAGCGCGCTGCGACCGCTGAACTGCTGATAGGCTGTTCTGTCTGAAGAGTGTGCCTCAAGCAGGGCCTGCATTTGAAGCAGGGTCTCTAAGAGATCATTGCACGTCTATTGGTTTACACGGAACTATTCGCCGACGCATGTGCGTTGTGCTATCTACAGAAGAACCCCAAGCGGGTAAGCCGGCGGGATGCTGTTGGCACCCTTTGGCATGACGCTAGGTACAGTCGCATAGTCTCGAACAGGTATGTGCCGGCCAGCCCACACAGGAGGCTTTCTGATCTGCGTCAGAGCTTGGATCTCGTGCGCCATCTGTAGCAGCTTAGCTTCTGTCCATGGTAAGCCCATCAGTTCGAGACCAATAGGAATACCGATCGCGGCTGTCTCGGTAGCTGAACTGAAGCCTGCAGGAAGCGCCAGTGAAGGGAAGCCAGTCACTCCAGCCAATATTCCGTTGCGTCCATGTTGGGATGCGGCTCCAATCCTCACTGGAAGGTTCCTCTGCTGTGGGTAGATGATTGCATCCAAATGATTCGTTTTGAAGGTGTCATGCAGATGCATGGTCAGATCTTTGATGTTGTTCAACACTGCTTCATACTCAAGATCTTGTGTACTGCCTTTCAACACAGCCTTGATGAAACCGTACTGCTGAGGCAGCACAAGATAAGAATTGCCCTCGCTGTAGAGGTCTTGAAGAGTTGCAGGGTGTTGCCCCTTGAGGCTTGCCCTTGCAAGGTACTGGTCCACTTCTTGCCTCAGCTCGAACCTCTGAGTCTCACAAGACGCGAGTATGGCATTCACGTTGTACATGGGGTCGTCGATTTGTACAACCCTGGCGCCGGCTTCTTGCAATCTCGAGATCATCGAGTCCAAAGCATCGTTTACGGGCTCAGTCTCGTTGGTCATGGTACGGTCAAAGAATGTTTCAAGAACCCCGATCGTCTTACCACTTAGAGAGCTTGAAGCAAGATCCCTGTAGTAATCCGTTCCACGGATACCTTCAGGTACAAGTGCAGTACTGTTGTCTTCAGGGTCCAGCTGCGAGCTTGCAATTGCCGAAAGAGCGATAGCAAGATCCTCAACGCATCGCGCGATGGGCCCAACGGCGTCTTGTGTGTGAGAGTTTGGGACGACCCCAGCTCTCGAAACGAGGCCTCTTGTTGGACGCAGCCCGAAGAGGCTGTTCGCGCTTGCTGGACTACGTACACTGTTTATCGTGTCTGTACCCAGGGAGAACACGGCGAAGGATGCAGCAATGCTGGCACCACTGCCCCCTGACGATCCGCCCGGAGTTCTGTCGGCATCGTAGGGGTTTATGGTCTGACCACCAAGAGAGGAGACCGATATTCCTTCCAAGGCGAGTTCTTGTAGATTTGTTTTGCCCAAGATGATGGCACCTGCATCCTTGAGCGCCTTGACAACCGCAGCATCAATCGAAGGTCTCGAGTCAGCCAGAGCAAGGCTTCCGCTGGTAGTTGGCAAAGACGCAGTATCAAGATTGTCCTTCAGAAGCACGGGTACACAGAACAGCGGTCCTATTGTGGCATTCTTGGAAGCGAACAGTGCGTCTTGTTGTGATGCAATCGAAAGAGAATCCGGATCCAGAGATATTATGGAATTGATGTGCTCATGGTCTAACGCTTCGATACGCGACAAAAAGGCAGATACGATGTTGCGACAGCTCTCGCCAGAATACAATGCATTGTGAACTGAAGCTACTGTGGCCTCTCGTGGATCAAACTGCTCTTGACCATGGGCGGTGATCGAGGTTGACACGAGGAGTAAGGCCCAGTATTTCAGGTGTCGCAGCTGCATGGTGAATGAGATGAAACGCAGTCGCGTGAGGGTTTGATGCTCAAGACAGAGTTGAGTGTGAACTGGCTGGAGATGATGACGATTTGCTTCGGCATATGTGCACGGGAAGCAACATGGTAATTCAATTTCGAGCAGATCAACAATTATACAGCACATTCATCATCACGAGAGCAGATGTTGCAGAAGATTCGGGTTGACTGAATATTCGACAAAGGATCATTTTCCACAACCACGGATTGATTACAGGGATGAATACTCAGGCCTCCCATGTAATCACCATGACAAGACCAACAACGCTCAGATCCAAGGCACTGATTCTTGCGTTCGCTGCAAAAATCGATATTGATGCCCTGTTCACCAAATGTTGTGTTACTCTAACGTATCTAACCCTGGTAGCTGAAAACAGGTTCCTCAAGCAACAAAGCCCCTTCATAATTCTGTGCTCCCAGAGTCGATGAATATTCTTATTTCCGTCCAGCATGGCGGATCTGTGGTTCAAAGAGCTTCAGAGCGTTATTGCATAGGCTCAGTCTTGTGTGGTCTGGTCTGTGGTTTCGACACGCAAGTATAACGACGAGACATGCGCATGACAAGCTGCTTGTTGGCCTTTTTCAAACACACTAGACAGAAATCTCTTGCTCAAGCACCAGTCTTTGTGGTTCCAATCATTCCTTGCTCAACGCCTTGGGCACCCTCAAGATCTTCGAGGCCTTTGTCTTGCAGGACGTCAACGTCTAGTTCCTGCATGACCTGTAACACGACGTTCAGACTCTCGAAGAAACCGTTCACAGAGACACGGAGCATGCGATTGGTGGTGGCGCGATAGATTGTGCGAAGCACGGTGGCATCTTCCTCATCAGATATAGGTTGTGTCGGTTGAAGGGTGTCTAGCGAAGTGGTCGGAGCGGCGTTGGTCAGGAGAGAGGCGCGAAGAGGATCGCCCTCTACTGCGTTTGGAGCAGCATCTGACGGACGGTGAAGCGAGAAATGACGGCGGACCAGCGGCGACAGTTCCTGGTCGACCGAGAGAGAACGAATGGCGGCGCTGGCTAGACGGTGGGTAGGGAAGGGTGTGTCGATGGTTCTACGCCAGGCGCATGAGCTTCGCAGTTCGTTCCATGGGCGTTTCTAAGATGGTGAAGCTCACAGGATACACGGAAACTCGTCAGAAGCGGCCATGGTGAGTGTGACAAAGACGACAATGTTTGTCTTTTGGTCCCCGCATCGTCGCTCGTCGGTCATCGATTCATCAAGCTTCAATTCATGCTTGGCGCTCTGTGACGTAACCGAGTGCTTGCATGACCATCTGCAAAGGTCACTGGGACTCGTTCATCTTCTACACAAACACAATTGCTGCTCTTCTTCATCGACCTCATACCAATTCCTACCAAATTTACAAACTTCAACATGGCTTCGCCTTCCGAGTTCCTCACCTTCTACCGCCGCACTGCCCGCCTCAGCACCCTGAGACAGTCTCGCCTTGTACCAGCTTCTCCCCGCCGCACCTTTGTTTCGTCAACATGCCGTTCCAGCAGCGGTGGTAAGCTCAGCACCGACGACAGCGTCTCAAACGAAGCCTACCCCGACAGTGAGCACGCCACCGACAAGAAGGACAAGCTGGACGTTCAGAGTGCCAATGCTGCCGAGGGCCAGAAGTATCTACTCCCTTCTCTTGTTCACATCAACCTCGTACTGACCCAGCACTTTTGCAGGTCCAAGAACCGTGATGAGGGCGGCACTGCCACCCAGCGCAGAGACTCCAACAACAGCACCTCAAAGGCTAAGAAGGAGAACCCCGAGGCCCCAGACGTCGTCATCGGAATGCAGGATGAGAGAGGCGGAAAGGGTGCCTAAACATTGAAGATGAAATAACGACCTTTTTAATTCTTGTACCGTATTTGACGACAAATCGTCCATATCTCTCTTGTCTTCGAAGAAAGTGTGTATAATATTGATCCAGTGCCTGCCAACGCCTTCGCTATGCATATCAAATAGAGAGCACCCAGTCCATATCGTTATGATTGTTGCTTGGCGTTCCACTTCTTGACTCTCTTCTTGAGGTCACCGACGCTCTGCTGCATGGGGTTGAGTCTCATGTCGCGAGCCATGGCAAGGTAGTCGTCGCCGTGCTTCTGGACCAGTCGCTCAATCCATTCTTCTTCACGCTCGCTCTGCTTTCTAGGAGCCTTCTTGATCGGGCGTGCGGCTTGCTCCTCGAGTTGACGGACCACGTCGGTCTTTGCACTGCCTCCTTGTCTTGCTCCGTCCAGAACACCGTGCTCATTCACGAATCCTTGCCAGCCCTCGTCGTCGCTGTCTTCGAGGTCGTTCAGAGGGTCGTTCAGCGGGTTGGCCTTCTTCTCGTCCAAGACTTCCAGAATAGCGCCAGTCTTGGGGTCTCTCTTGATCTTCACTTCCGAGATGTTGATGGTAGTGGGCAGTTTTGTGCTGATGTTGAGGTTGTCGGGTGTAGGCTCAGGTGCGAGGCCATTGGCAGCCTCGACTAATGTCTTGGATGTCTTCTCAACACCACCGGTCGGGTGGTTCAACTTGGAAACGAGTCCGAGACGGCGGTAGTTTTGGCTGAGCGTCTCCTTTTGGTTCNNCTGACAATCCATGAGTCTTTGCACGTGGAAAAGCGCAATGTGACGGGCTTACCAGTTGGCTGCAATGATGGGGTTCTGCAACAACTTCCTCTTCGACTTTGCCTTCTGGGTGACTTTGGAGGTCGAAGAGCGGTTCTTCTTCTTNTGCAATTCGCGACCCATCTTGTCTGATTTGTTTGTATGGTTGTATGCGGAAAAAACTGTTATCGGCAAACCGCCATCGAGAAAGTCGGACCCCGAAAATTTGGATGCAAACACCTTCGCGGGCTTCCCCATGTTTGCACTCTTTCTTATCTTATCGCTCCACCTCGTGCCTTCCCGTTCGAGTTCAAGTAGAGTACAGGTGACAAGTTGACATCTCACACTCGCAAGGGAGTTTTGCTAGATAAACTCAAGAAAGATGGCCATCATGAACCGTGTGTATGCCGTTTTGTTGGTTGTTCTCGTAGTCTTGTGCCAAATCATCGCTGCACAATCTGAGAAGACCTCTGTTGGAGACCTCTCGTCTGCAGAAATCGAGGAACAGATTCAGGTTGGTCCATCGCTAGACATGAATACTCAACAATATGCTGATTTCTTCNAGCAATGTCCTCTCGTCCAGTCTCTTAATGCCCACAAGGCTTCAACAGCACACGAGGCTGCTACAGGCTTCACAGCTAGAGCATTCGCCGTATTGTTCCCTGGATCACCCGCTGTCAATACACTTTTGTTCGATTAAACCCTTCATGAAACATTTGGCATCTTCTGATAGTTTTGCAGGAGCGTACTCTACATCTCTGGACCTCCCAATTTCTTGCTGGCTCTATGCCCTTCAGACATTGATCCTGCATCCTTGAACACCATGGTTGCGTTTGCTTTCGGCGGACTCATGGGCGACACTCTCTTCCATCTCCTCCCGGAAATCTTTGTTGGTGAAGATAGTCCAGAGCATGTGACTCTTGTGGTTGCCGATGGCAACAAGAATATTCTACTTGGAATTGCCATCATGGTTGGTTTTGTCAGTTTCGTCATTCTCGACAAGGCTATTCGTATTGCTTCTGGAGGTGATGAGGGGCACGGTCACTCTCATGGTCATGCTCACGGCAAGGTTGAGGGAGGTGACAAGGCAGCCGCTTCTGCCAAAGCATCTGGATCTGACAGCAGTGCTCAAAGCGATGGTCTCCGCCAGCGTAACTCTGAGAAGACAAACGCAAAGCCCGTCGTGCCTGTAGAGCAACAGGAAAGCGGACCAAGCTCTAACAGAGGCTACCTAAACATTATCGCAGACTTCACTCACAACATCACTGATGGTCTCGCCATGGCATCTTCATTCTATGCTTCTCCCACTGTGGGAGCATTGACAACCACCGCAGTCTTCTTTCACGAGGTAAATACTCTCTTGAAATCTGTATACATGAACAGTTCTGACTGAATCAAACCACAGGTCCCTCACGAAGTCGGCGATTTTGCTCTTCTCATCCAGTCCGGCTTCTCCAAACGTGCAGCCATCGGCGCACAATTCTTGACCGCAGCAGGCGCTCTCACAGGAGCACTCATGGGTATCGCAGTCCAAGAATACGGCGGCAACGGTGTTGACGCCATTGCCACTCCGGGACTCTTCGGCACCAGTCTCCACTGGGGCGATTTGCTGTTGCCTTGGACTGCAGGAACTTTCATGTTTGTGGGCATGAGTGTTGTTCCTGAGCTCATGGAGACTGGTCCCAACAAAGTTGCCGAGATCAAGAAGATTATCACTCAGTTGGTGGCCATTGCCGCTGGCGCTGGCATTATGATTGCGTAAGTCTTTTGATCCCTACTCATATCGTGTCTGAACGACATTGCTAACAAGAACTGTAGCATCTCGTGGTCGTAAGCTAGACTTAGCTTGTGCTGGTCAAAACCGTTTGGTGTTTGATCACATGTCAAAACTTGGAAGATGTTTGGAAAGATTGGTGTAAAAAGCATAGCAGAGGCATTAATGCATATATGTCTACCTAGACCAGAGTCGTGATAGGGGGTATCGTAGCGTTGAAACGAAGAAAAACAGAACAAACCCAAAGAAACCTCAACTTTCCACCAAAACCGAAAAACCTGGGTTCCTTCGTGTAGGGTAAAAGAGAGTCAAAACAGGAAAAGCATAAGAAATAGGAAGCGCGCTGATCAAAAGGCCATCGAAAACACAGCGTTCGCTAAAAATGGTGGAACTTTCATCAATCTTCCCAGATGGTCTCGAGGTCCAAGTCGACTGTCCTCTCACCACCACAGATACTCCATCTCTTTCGATTGGCATCTCCCCCTCTTCTGCCGAAGCCAAAGCCTACGCTTCTATGGCCCGGGATATCTAGACTGCCTCTTCTTCTTGGCTCGTTGTCGTCGCCTTGCTCCTCGGCTTCTTCTGCAGCGCGTTGCTTGGCTGCGCGGTCGGCCTCGATAGCTTCCCATTCCAGATCAGGGTTGTCCTCGATCGTTTCGAGAGATGAGATACTAGGCGATCGAGAGCGAGCAGAGGATGGCGTTGTAGAAATACTTGAAAANGAAGAATTGCTCGAGTAGTGATGTAGCGGAGGGAAGTTCTCATTGAAGCGAGTTGTAGCAACTGAGGGTGAAGAAGTAGCAGATGCCGAACGGGATGTGGCAGCCGAAGGAGTGAGCGAATGCAGAGGAGAAGATGGTCGTTGTCGGCGCAGGGATTGCGAGCGTCCGAATGGAAATGTGTGTGAGGGGTTGTCGAGATGTGATCGTGGGGTTATGTTGAGCTCAGCATCTTCAGAAATGCTTTGGAAGGCCCCATCATAGGAAGAAGATTGTTGGGCATAGGTTGCTTCGTCTAGAGGTAAGGGCGAGCGAGGACGGAAAGGAGAAGTCGGTCGCATTTTTGGTGAGTATGGCTGGCGCGGCGACAGGGAGGACATGGGACTTGACGGCCGTAGCAAGGGCGACGCTGAAGGAGAAGAAGGATATTGGTGACCGGCCGAATGCACCGAAGGTAGTGAATGTGCTCGCGGCGCCATGGGAGGAGCAAGCGCAGAGGCGTGTGATCTGGAACGAAGATGAGGCCTTGAGTAAGGAAGCTGGTTGCGCGGTCGCAGGGGCAGGCTGTTGGAGCTGTAGCTGGCGGGGCTGCTGTTGGGATTGTTGATATATGGACGAGGAAAGGTGGGAGAGTCGCTGTCGACGGCCGCAGGAACAGGCGGCTTCTTCAATACGGCAGCAGGATGCGTCGTTCGGCGCGGCGCATCCGGGCGTGGTTGCGCACTCTTGTTGTCCATGGTATCAACAGACTTCAACTGGCCGCCGTCGCGCGTTCCGAGTTCCACTTGCTCCATAAAGTGTGACGTGGGTGGGTTGCGACCGTTTGCTTCCGCTTCGCTCGTATGCACCGTGCCGACAAGTTTCTGACTTTCTCTCCGAGTATTGGATACACAAAGCGACGAAGGTGCCTTTTCCTGCAACAAGGAAAAAGTCTTGCTTGGTGTTGGCTGCAGGCACACGAGAAATGTCACCCCTATGCTGCTATGTAAGCGATTGGCCGCCTTCGCTTGTGTGAGCAGCTGGAACGTGGGATGTGAGTAAACTCTACAGTCTGTAGCCTGAGGGATCAGCGGCACATGCGAATCTGTCCACGAGTCTCTTGTCAACAAGCGTAAAATGTCTCAGCTGCGGCTATTGCGCCTTCTGAAAGCCCACAGTTTCTCAAACGATAAAATCACAGGATGGGCTTTTTGGGCACGCATGAAACCCAACAAACAAAATAACAATCAAAAGACGCTCCGAGACTGCCGTTCGTCATGCATCTAGGTCTGCACGAGGCACAGGGGAGCCTGCGCATGCTCCACACTGGTCCCTTGCCAAGTTCCCATGGTCGAATCTCGGCCCAGACCAAATAACCACGAGAACGTCTTTTGCTGGATCATTTCTGCCTGTATCCGTCATCCCTGGATCTTCAAACGACAACCTCTCTGGAAACTTTGTCCTGGGAGCTGTCATGTACGACTACTAAGAAGAAGCGTGATCGACATCCAGACTGAACTCCATCACAAGAGCTCTGGTCCAGCAGAGATTCAAAACATCAAAATCGACAATAACACATAGGTCAACCATTCAAGTAGGTAACAACTTCGAGCTGTCAATTGAACACTGGTCTTTGCGGCCTTTTTATTCGACTCTACAAGATCTGGAATGCTAGCGCAGCGCGTGAGATGAGAAACACGGCAAAACTTTGTCTGACAAGAGCCTCGTTTCTTCAGAACATCCATACATTGTTCTCTTGAAAGCAAGGTAAAATGGTAGTACTTTCTGTCGTGTTATGTACAAAGTAGCGTGCGAAATCCTCTCTGAATGACATCAGGAGCTGAAGGACAGTCAGTTGTAAAGGCTGTTGGATAGATGGACAAGTTAAGTCTGATTGTAAGGCATGTCTCCGACATACAGCGACGTCGAGCGTATAGTTTTCTGTTTGCACTCAGGCGTTTGCACGCTCCCGACGAGTTTCTCAAGTCCGCACCATCCACAACAAACGCAGTCCTTTCACGGCCTGCTACCTTCTGCAAAACCCGCGCACGCAGAAAACCAGACCATGTTGTTGCCTTACCATCACGCGACCAACATGGGTCTCGTGTGCCTTCTTCTCCTTTTGTTGTCCGTTGCTACGAACACAGTTGCTCAGATTACAGCAGCACCCTCCTGTCCAGCTCAAGCAGATCCCTTGCACTCGCAGCTTGGACTGCTGGTGCAGAAGCGTGATATTAGAACATTCTGTGATTCGAGCAGCAAGTGTAAGTTAGCCAACTCCTCAAGATCTTTGTCAGAGATAACTTATCGTCATCCAGTCTACTGCTACCAACCAGCCGCTTGTGTTTCTGGAAGTGATGGGTGCGCGTGGTCACTAGTCTCATGAAGCCATAATCGCTGACTGAATCATGCAGATACATTGGCTGCTGCACTGCTATTGGCACCACCTGCGCTCCTCGCACAGAGTGCATCGACTATACGGCAGGCTTTACAGCCTCTTGTGACTATGTTACCGGAGGATGCTTCTACTGGTGAGCAATTCCACATGTCCCTCCTCCCCGCGTGCTTAAGACAGTCACGGTTTTGCAACTGACCGGGCTCTCCATCCCGAGCTGTCGGGTCACAGTGTAGCTATCAAAATGCACAGTTATGTTCTGTAAATGAGCGTGGCCACTAAGAGAGCGTCCTAACGGAGGCTCTCTGTGGAAACAACCTCTTCTACGAAACCATTGTGCATTTCTATAGCTACACTGTGACTGTGTTTAGCACACGGGGAGGCCGTATACCTGGAGTATCAAAACACTGATTCGTCTCATCCAGCTCCGAACCTAGTCTTCCTTTTTGTGTCAAGCAATACAGACACAATAACTATGTTTTCAGCTGCGGTACCGAACGATTGACCACCACTTACGCCGACACCGCAACCGCGAGTCCGGTCCCTTCGCCTACGGATGGATCTGCTACACCTTTGGCCGGTCCTAAAACCGACGCTCAGCCGACGCAGACCAAGTCTCCTGGCGACACCGAAGCATCTTCATCTCCAACATCGATGGTGTCGTCTGTGTCATCAGCTTCACCTCCATCCCCAACAAGCAAGACTACGAATACTTCTATACCCGAACCATCTCAGAGTGGTTCCATGGCCAGCTCTCGCGGACTCATCATTGGTGTTGTGATTGGAGCAGCTGCTGGTTCAGTGCTCTTTTGGTGCTTGCCTTCATTCTCTGGAAATGTTGGAGGCGTCGCAGATTCGGGCTGGGAAAAGAGTCAAGAGACAAATCAAACAAGGCCAATTACTCTCTGGGCTCGGGCGAAGACAGCATTACGGAGCACAACAACAACCAACACGATATGGTCAATGGATTGCTCAACCCAAAGGGACGAGCAGAGCTAGAAGAGCATTCGCATCGCTCAACCGATGACACTTCTGGTTCTACAAATGCCTACGATGCTACCAGAAGTGCTGCCAACAACGTCCCTGGCGCTCAGCCATACTCACCTGAAGATATTCGCGGAGCAGCAGAGGCACCAGCACACACTCCTCCTTGGCCCTCGCCTAGTATCGCCATGACCAGCCCAACTCCTTCCAACTCGTCACTGTGGATGACCCCTGGGATGGGAACGCCTAAGGTGCCATCACAGTACGTTGCATACACACCGTACACTCCATCTTCGAGCTACTCTCCTAGTGGACAGCCACCATCTAGTCTCCCTCAAGCAAAATACAGAGGCGAAAACACAACACAAGGATTGCCATTGGCAGAGCTAGAGGCGCACGAGGTGGGCAGAGCACAGTAAGCGACAACCGCAGCGCCTTCTATAGTGTCTTTCGGGAGTTTGGAAACCAAGCAGGGAGACTAAGGTGGTCAAGTCTGATAGGAGTCTGAGAGCAGAGCATACATACTAGCTACACTGTTTCCAGAGTGAATTTGAACATGTAGACCCCTAGCAAGGCAGCCAAGTTTACGCAGTGTTTTTTAGGTTCTGTATTTCATAACAACGCTAATAAGAATCGCGGTGAGAGTGCTGAAGTGTTTTACACGATAACGAAGTGTAAGAAAAGGTTGGATTTTGAGTAGTAGACACAGGCGTAGGAAGATGGGGGTTGCTTCGTGAAAGCGTTTATTGTCTCATGGTTCTCAGACCGTCTCTGGTGGGGGCAGCAGCGCGCTTGAAGCTCNNTGTATATTGTCAGAAGGCGTCTACAAGAGATATCAATGGACATACGTTGTCGCACTCCTCCCAGGCTCTACCGGCACCGAAACCGAAACCGACAAAGGCAGGCCATGCGCGACGCTTGAAGAGGAGGACAGAGAAGATGACACCGAACGAGGCACCGAGGGTAGAACGGATGAGCATGGTGCTCAGGCAGTGGTCCCACTAGCATGGCAGAGTCAGCAGACGGTAGGCAATTGATTGAGGCAGATGGTCGCATGCCTTCTCGTTGAGCAGGGCCTCGCTCATGGGTCTGTTAGAGCGGAGAGAGCCAGGGGCCTGGGGCGATGAGGGAGCAACAGAGTCGGACATTGTGAATTGGTTTGAGTTGACGAATTGGACAGTATCTGGGTAAGAAGAGTCGTCGTCGCGATGAGGCCGGCGCACCCTGCCAGCTCCGACAGTCGTTCGCGCTTTCCCGCAGCCGCAAACGATGAGCTTGGGCCAGCTTCACATGCAAAGTCCATCATTCGAGGAAAGAGCGTCGACTTTTTCCACACTCTGCTCGAGCCGGTCATGGCTGCCTCAAAGGTCCGTCAAAACATGCATCTGCTCAGAGTCAATTGCTGACCATTCTAGTCGTCTCTGCAACGTCTTCTTTCCCTCGACAAATCCTTCGATTCTTTTGAACAGCGCGTCCAAGAAGCTGCTCGCATCCTTGACATTTCTCTGGACCCTCAGCCCGAATCCGAATCGCCTGTTTCGTCCTCGGTCTCGCATACTGCTCGTCTGGACTTTGTCTTGCGTTGGCTATTGGACAAGCTCTCTGCCCAGCCAGAGACCTGCCAATCTCTTCAATCATGGATCCTTCTGCGCCGTATCCTTGAGCGCATGCCCTCAGCTGCTCTGGCCAAGTCATTGTCTGCCGCCAACCCGCTGAACACCTGCTCAAACGCTCTCGCTCAGATTTTCCCTTCAACCTCTTCAGCTCCGAGTACTGCAGATGACGCCAAACACTCCTCGNAAAAGAGAAAGAGGCAAAGTGCCGCTAACGACACGACATCTGATAATCATGCTCTCATCTTCAGTCAAGTCATGACTTCGATTCGTATCTTGATCGCTCGATCCACTCAGTCTCCTTCTGTTGCAGATGCCGCCTCAGAGAATCGCGTACATGCTCTCTTACGTCTCGATCATGCAGATCTGATCCGCTTCGTCAAACATACTCTCCATGCCTTGCTGAACCTGCAAACCTCGCACAGTATTCCCGCTTCTCTTATCGCGTCCTCATTGACCCTCATTCAAGACCTGGCAATTCTCCAACCGAATGCTTCAATCGATCCTCTAGACATTTCCTTCTGCACCGAATGCTTGTGGCCAGCCGCTCTTCTCTTACAATCCCTGCACTCAGAATCGGCTGCAGACGGTGCTTCCCGACAACATGCACAGCATGCTATCCGATCTCTCGACCGTTTATTGGCAACACACCTTTTCGTACCAGCAAGAGTTGCTTTCTATAGCTCAAAGGCCGTCATACAAAAGAAACGCCAACAAGCAGAGGTTCCTGGGCTGGTGAAGAGGCTGGAACCTCTGCGCTCGCATATCACAGCTCTTCTAAATGAAGATACTCTAGACCTCNGTCAAGGCCAGCTTTCCCATGCATATGCATGTGTGCCATTATTACTGGATCTGGCCTTGCGTTGCGCGCCCATTGCCAATCCCAAGCAGAGGATAGTTGAGGCTCCATGGATCCACCTTGTTTTTAGGTCCTTATTGGATATCATCACTTCTTCTGCGAAGACTCCGGACGTTTTGGTCGTCAACCAGAAACTGAACGAGATGTTCGATATCCTTTCAAGCAAAAGTCTGGTACTCGATGCGGATGTGCTAAGCGAAATTCTGGGTCAGCGATGCAACTTGTCGACATCTCATCCAGACTTCCCGCTTGTTGCTAAGATCCTCAGCATGAATGCTAACATGTTCACGGATATCAATGCTGCTCCGGCCAAGGCTTTGTTCGAGGCACTGACGAGTAACGGAGAAGCAAAAGCATCCGCGATCACAAATCTGGAATCCAGTGATGACTGGTCAAATCCTCAAACCATCTGCTACAAGATCGTAGTGCCTCTGATGCACGCTTACGCTCGTACCCGCAATCTTCCTGCTTTCCTAGACCAGTGGTCCGCCTGCCTCAGCGCCCAGGTTTCTTCCAAGAAGACATCCAAATGGCTTCTCTGGGCAGATTTGTCCTTGGAAGAAGCATTGAGAGCTGTTCTGGAGACGTCCCTTACATCCGCACAGATATCAGAGCTGTTGGACTCTCGCCAAAATGCATTGAGCCAATCAGCTTCATCGTCTTCTATTGCAAGCCCCCAAACCTTCGCGAACATTGTCTTGCTGAACGCTATTGTTGGTGCTGTGAAGACCGACGCTACCATTGACACACTTATGTCTTACCTAGAGTCGTTGCTTGCTGCAATGGAGGGTGCCTTCCTCCAGCCTACTGACATCAGTGGTCCTCTTTCTGCTCATATGCTCGGTCTATGTTCCCGAATTTTCCAGCTATGGTATCCAATCTGGTCGACTTCAAATTCGAGCGAGGAAGTTGAGACGAGAAACGCAACACTTCTGGATGGATCGATTACGAAATTCGCCATGGAAAGGATTCAAAGCGGCTCCAAACCAAAAACTGGCACCTCTACAGGCACCATATCAGAAATCGATTCTGCGTTCGTCTTCATCGCATCGATATGCGACATGCAGAGGCAACTGACTGGCCATGAATCCGATTACGCACATCTTTTCTGCCGTGCGGCTTTGCCCATCAAAGAAGGAGACAAGTCCAGCAGTTATGCTGCGCAGCGACCCGTCGCTTTCTTGACCGTTCTAACTGGATTCCCTAGACTTTTGACTTGCATCCCTACGACCGAGAGAGTCCAACTCTTCAAGACTTTGTTCAGCAGCTTCTTCTCTGGTTCTGCGCAAGCAAACTCTGTGCTTCATGAATTCTTGAGCGCGGTGTTTGCAACCAGCGATCTTCCTACCAAAGACGATCTTTTTACTGTTGTCTGTGAGGCCATAGAGAGTTCCGATTCATCAGGCTCGTGGTTTGATATTCTCCTGCAGTGGCCGTTGAAGGGGTTGTCACGTCCACAACGTGAGAAAATCTTGGACGTTATTGTATCCTCAACAATTAAAGAGGTATCCAATGAACAAACCAAGCAGCAAGCACTCGATCTGATTGCAGAACTCCTCGAGCTACCTAATGCGACAGCCAAGATCTCGGTGACGCCTGCTGTGCTCTGGGACCTTGCTGGAGTACCTTATAACGGCACTGAGCTAAACGCCTTCGAGATTGTCTGCCAACGTCTTCTTGGCCACATAATCGACACGAAAGAGCAGGACCGAAGTAAAACATATCTAGAGCAACTTTCCGTACTCGCATCGAGTTTCATCAGTAAACAGAAAGACTTGGGTTTACCGTCAACACCAGGTAGAGTCTTGTTGATCAAAGCACTCTTTGAGTTCTCTGAGGCTCGTCTCACTCCAGAGGAGCTGTCAAATTTCTCCCATCGCTCATCGTCCATCATCGATTCATTGGTCAAGCGGTTGTGGGAGGTACTATCAAGCTCAACAGACAGCGAGCTTAGCGGTGACACTTTGGACAAGGCCCGTATTGTTGTCCAAGTGTACACTGGCTTACCGGCATCGGTTTTGTCCTCTGGCGGGTCTTCGACTGAGAAATNNGTAAGCCCCTAAGAGATAGAAGAGTTGGTATAGTCATACTAACGATTTATAGACGCAAAACGCTTTGCTAAAAAATTGCAAAGTCTGGTTGAGGAATCTGATGGTGTCCCCGTCCCGATCCTGGTCCAATGCTTCCAGCAGCTATCTTCGGCAGCATCTAAGGCTGACCTTCTCGACATATGCACAACTGCCGAGCGTCTGCTAACGCAAGAAACGGACGCCGGCCAGTATTGGACCATCACTGATTCTGTCATGAAAGCTGTCCAGAGCACCTCCGAGGACGAGAAGCTCTCGTTGGTTGAACAGATTTTGCCTGCCTCGGCTCAGCAGTGCACTGCAGAAAGAGTCATGTTGGTTCGATGTATCATCAGTGCCATGCATATTTCTCGTAAGCATGAGGTTACCGCTTCTGGAGCTGGCTCGATCTCCGTTCTTGTGCGCTTGCTAGAACTCCTGAATGCTTGCTCCGAGTACAACGTTCATCAGCAATTGGTCGCATGTGTCACCGCGGTGTTGAGAGAACAGGTATGTGTGATAGGGTCAACACTTCTTCGACGATCCACTAACAATATATTCNAGCCAAATCTCGTTACACAATACTCTGCGGAGATGACTATTGCTACAGTGACTACTCTCGCATCCCCGTCGTCGCCCATCAAGAGTGTCAAGCAAGCATCGCTTATGTTCGAAGGTCTTTGTACTATCACTCAAAGCCTCTTGCAGTTCCATCGCCCCAGTCTAGGTGGCCGTTTCCATCTCCTGGTCCCTTTGATGCAAAGACTTCTTGCTTGTCTCTTCCTGCCAAGCAGTAGAGACGCGGGCACTATCAACAGGTTCAAACATCCAGTATGGCTTGATCCTGTTAATGCTCCGTTGACTGTGAAGCACGCACAAAAGTTCTCAAGGCTTCTCGAAAATCTTTGCAATCCACCTCAGCTCAATGTAGCAGGAAGTCGAGGCAAAACAGCCGAACTCGTTGACGAGACACGCAAAGCTCGCATGCATGTCTCCCAGCATGCTCCTCACATCCTTCACTACTACTGCACACTTATCTTGAATGGCAAACTAGGCGAAGGCATGCGAGATGCACTTACTCCAGGTATGTGGGCAATCATCGATGTCGCCGAGATCGGTGCAGATGATAGCCGTGGTGTCAAGGCATTGAGCTCTAGCATGGGTAATGCCGATCGTGCTGTCTTGAGAGGCATTTGGGAGGATTGGCGTAGATTTGGTGGAGCTTGGAAAGGTTAGATGTAACAATCAATCAAGCATCAGCACCCAACCTATTTTCTGTCCGCCTTACATTAGTATTTCGTTACGGGTGGTCAGCAATTTTTTCCATTCAATCCCGACTATATGTTCCGGCATCTTTTAGTAGCACATAAATCATACCACATCTACACGACGTTTTGCCGCGACACGTCTAAACAACTTGGCATTTATAGCAAGCACTGAAATGTAGATTTGATTGATGCACATATGGGAAAGACAGCGGTGTCATCATGCCAGGGTCGCCCCACAGACATCTGCAATTGTCAAGGATTCGTGGATCAAGGTTGTCATTCTTGACGAATCGTCACCATCGAGCCCATGAAGGTTTCTCAACAGCGTCAAAAGAGCCATTGGCCATATAAATACCAAGCGGTGACAATTCTGTCTCGTACCTGTTCACCACTGTCACAAAGTAGATGCCAAGCCTCGAATCCGTATCAAGGTTAACGATGACTGTTTGATCCATCTCAACTTTTCACACAAACAACATCTCTTCTCCAACAATGACTGTCCCAACTTATGAACTAGCAGCAGAAGCCCATACCAGATGGCAAGGCAACGGTCAACCCATTGCTCTGTGGTTAGATTGTGATACTGGCCACGATGTATGATCTTATCTCCCTACCTTCCCCCTTTAAAGTTTAAATGCAGTTGTTGACTTGACGATACAACAGGATGCATTTGCTATTCTGCTTTCTGCACATTGTCCGGCGCTGAGACTTTTGGGAATTAGCACTATTTATGGCAATGCTCCTTTGGTCAAGACGACGCAGAATACAAGATCTATCTTGAGGGCTATTAGCAGGGAAGACGTTCCTGTGTATGCGGGTGCCAGTAAGCCTTTTTGTAGGCCTGCGGCTTCGGCTCCTGATATCCATGGAGAATCTGGATTGGGTAAGTTGATGTTAAGGAGTCTAGATGTTTGGTATGGTTTCTGATGTGCTTGGTTGACAGATGGTACGACCGTTTTGCCTGAGCCTGGGACACCGGAACGTACGGATATGTCTGCTGTGTTGGCTATGTACAAGGCATTGATGGCAGAGCCACCGAAAACAGCATGGCTGGTTGCGACTGGTGAGTGTTTACTGTCAATTGACTTTTGAGTCGTCTAGCTGACAGCATTGTAGNGTTGTCTCACCAATGCTGCATTGCTGTTCAACACTTTCCCTGATGTGGTTGACCATATTGCTGGATTGACAATCATGGGAGGTGCTGTTGGAGGCGGTTTCACAAACGCTCCGATGGGTTCGCTCGAAGGCGAGGGAGAGCGGTTTGGCAATTGGACACCTTGGGCTGAGTTTAACATCTACATTGACCCGGAGTCTGCGCAATCCATCTTCAGCAACCCTGTTCTTGCGGCAAAGACCACAATTGCTCCATTGGACTTGACGCATCAGATGGTAAGTGTGCTTGCTAAATCTTTGATAAGACTTTACTAACGACTGCAAACAGNNCTAGCAACACCAGAAATCTGCCAGGAACTGCTATACGGGTTTGACAAGGAAGTAGATGGCTCAGAAGCCTCTGTGCTTCGCGTCCTGTTCAACCAGATCCTCACCTTCTTTGCAAGCACATACGCAGACGTGTTTGGCTTGACAGAAGGACCTCCGTTGCACGACCCTCTGGCCGTTGCGATGACTTTCCTCCCCGATCTATTCGACGACAAGGGCGGAGAGAGATTTGATATCAAGGTTGTCATTGATGGTGAACACGGTATTGATGAGATTGCGAGAACGACATCGCAATGTGGTCGCACTATTTTGACACCGGTGAAGGCTGGCGAGCCTGGTGTGCGTGTGCCTAGAGGTTTGAATGCAGGTCTCATTTGGAGGATTTTAGACTTGTGCTTGGNNAAGCAAGCGGAGGGCGAGAAACCGAAGACCATGGCTATGTCAGCACTTTGGAGCGTTTCTGAAGACCTGTAGAACAGGTAGCAGCGTTAGTTCAAAGGTAGTTTAGATATAATAGAACTATGCAATATTTGATTTCGTATGTCATGAGCGGCTTGCATATCGATCTAGAGCTCATCCTTACCGGCGGCTTGCATCTTAATAGCCTTCTGGTGGCCTTTCTGGTACNNCTGCGACGAATTAGCTGGCAGCCACTTTGCTGCCGTTCAGTGCGACTTCACTTACCAGCTCCAGATGTTCAAGCCGATCTTGACACCACTATGTACAGGCATACCAGCATGAAGACCCTGCTTCCATCCCTTGCCGTCAACGTCAAAGTTTTCCCAAAACACGGCAGCGCCAGCCTTTGGCAAGAAGGTAACACCATTCTCTTCAGGCTCCTCGCAGTCTATAAACTCACACCAACGCTTGTCTTTTGGTCTGACGAGCAATGGGAAGTTTGTACCTCCACCGGTGCAGTTGGCTTCGATATAGACCATGAATGTACTGACACGGTGTGCTGTCTTTGACGCAAAGGCCCAATCGTAATGGTGTGAGTAGTGTCCCGATGTCGTGTATCTCTGTGTCCACAATCGTTCGATGAAGGTGTCGAAAGGCCAACCTTGAAAGTCCAGAGCACGTTGTTCGATGCATTGGACCGTGGTGTCGCGTTCAATCATGGCCTTTTCAGATTTGCGAACACTGGTGTCTGAGCTTTCGACATTGTTCTTGTAGATTGTCGAGGGTTGCCACTTGTCTTCACTGNNTTTATGCGCAACAAGGTAAGAATCCAGAGCTTACATTGGTAGATACAAGATGATTTACCTGATCTCTATCATATGCTTTGACTCCGCTTTTGATAAAAAGTCAGGTATGTATATTATCAGAGGACTTCTCGAGAAGATGTGGACTCCATAAAAGTGAGGGTCGCACTGCAACGCCGAATCCGGATAGACCAGCTGTCCTGCCTTTTCTTGGGATAGAGGGATGTCAACGCTCTCCTCGGAGGTGGATTGGTCTTGTGAGACGCCGGAGAAAGGGCCATTGAAGAACACGTATATTGCTGAGAGAATGGCGACATATTGCAACAGTGTTGCAGGATGGTATAATTGGGGATTCATCCTGGAGATGCACAATATGAAGGGGTGAGCGAACGACGATAGGTAGTTCACGAGCAAAGCGGACGGTTCGATGGATCTTCGGCAGGCACGGATGGTCACTCGTCGTATAATCGGATATTGTCCTACCTCGATCTCGACATACTGTTCAGACGGAACAACTATCGTACATTGATGTCGACTTTTCAACTATAGGCAAAGCGACGACATCAGAATATTGAAGGAGTTGACAATATTCGAATGGTTGTGGTTTGCTGCGCGAGTGAGAAGCTCGGGTCACGTGTATTGAAGTGGTGCCAAGCCCTCGCTTAGCGCACGCTCAACTTCGCACCTTCCGTCGCAAGTTGTTCAAGAATTCGTCTCGCGCCGCCAAACGATTTTACAGACCGGACGTCCCTCATTCTCGTCGACAACAGCAATCATGTCTCACCTTAACAAGATCGCCCCCAACTCGCCTTCGCGCCAGAACCCCTCGGAGATCGAGACCAGCATTGCCAATGCTCTCTACGAGCTCGAGAACAACATCCAGGACATGCGCGCCTCCCTGCGCCCCCCTGCAGTTCGTCTCTGCCCGCGAGGTAAGAAGCAGCACTACATGAACACAGCTGCCATCGCTTCGACGAACGACAACGCCGGGTCATCGAAGGTTGTGAAGAAAAAAAGTGAAAACTTTCAGGAGCAGAATCAGAAGGCTCAATACAGAAGAGACGGCATGGGCAGATACACACATCCGACCAATGGCTTGATCAATCGAAGAGGCGGTGGGCACTGGGCGGCGAATCATTCGCTGACACCAGGATTCTTTTAGATCGAGGTTGGTCACGGCAGAAAGGCCATTGTCATCTTCGTCCCCGTCCCTCTCCTCCAGGGCTTCCACAAGGTCCAGCAGCGGTAAGCATCCACCGACACCTGACTTCTCCTTGCCCTCAACTAACATCTTGCCAGCCTGACCCGTGAGCTCGAGAAGAAGTTCTCTGACCGCCACGTCCTCATCGTCGCTTCCCGCCGCATCTTGCCCCGCCCCAAGCGCAGCAACCGCTCGCGCACCAGCCAGACCCAGAAGCGCCCTCGTTCGCGCACTCTGACTGCTGTCCACGACGCCATCCTCGCTGACCTCGTCTACCCCGTCGAGATCGTCGGCAAGCGCATGCGCACCAAGGAGGACGGCACCAAGGTCCTCAAGATCGTTCTTGACGAGAAGGAGCGTGGTGGTGTTGACTACCGCCTCGACACCTACTCCGAGGTCTACAAGAGACTGACCGGCAAGGGTGTCAACTTCGAGTTCCCCGTCGCTGCCGCCGAGTACTAAATGTATTCATAACTGAGGGATGATTTGCGTCCAAATCATAAAAAGTCTTGGTCTCTTTCAACTTCTCCATTTCCAAAAATGTGTTGTCACGTGGGGGCGCCCGGCGCTGGGAAGTTCGGGAATGCTTTTGTTAAGGTAGACGAATACCACGCATTGACACCGTCAGCTATACCCTTTCATCTTCTTTTGATCGGGTCAATCATGAGTTACGTTCCATTCATCCATGTCTGTCACATCGGTGTCCTAAGTCTTCCTGAGTTCACTATTCGTTATCACATCTTGATCACTGTGGCTTGGACGCGGACCCGGTAATGTAGACTGTGCTTGAAAGAAGTTCGTTGAATACGTCTAATCTAATCATGTCGTAGACAGGTAAGAGATACATCAACCCAGACGCCAACATGCATGGTATCATCTACAGACTCTTTTCAATCTTCATTGCTTCGGCAATGCCTTGCTTGACCTTCTGTCTGGCCTCCTCACTTAGTCTCTGCAGAGGACGTCTAGGGAAACCGCCGTAGCCGTATTCCATCTCGATGGCTGCCTTGGTTCCAGGGATGGCCGACTTGGTGAGTACCCAGTCACCCTTGGACAGGATTTTTTGCAGCTCCATGGCCTCGTCGTACTTGCCCTCAGTCCACAGATTCCACACCTTGACACAGAGCTTGGGCATAACGTTGGCACCGCCAGCAATGATACCGCTACCACCCGAAGCTGCGGTTTGGAGAGTGAAGTCGGCGATACCACCGAAAGCCATCCAGCCGCTGCCTTGACTCTTGGTCGAAGTAGCATTTGTTTCCAGAGCAACACGAGTCAACTTTCCGGTCTGGCCACAGGTGAATTTGGCACCAATGATCTTGGGGTGCTTGGCCAACTCGATCATGAAGTCTGAGTCCATGTCAATGCCAGCAACAGCACCGGGGTAGTTGTAGAGAATGACGGGACAAGGCGATGCATCAGCGACAGAGATGTAATACTCCTTGATTGTCTTCTCATCCATAGCGTAACGGTAGTATGAAGGAGGAACCAGAAGAACGTACTCGGCGCCGACCTTGTGGACTTGGGTTATGAGCTCGAGAGTGCCGCGGATGCTCATTTCTGAGGCACCGACAATGACGGGAACGTTCTTGTAGCCGGCTTCATCCAGAGCTTCTCTTGTTGCTTTTGTCACGGCGACCTTCTCTTCGCGTGTGAGGTGCACGGCTTCACCGTTGCTGCCCATGCATACCAGACCGACGAGGCCGGCTTCGGCCAATCTGACGGCGTGCTTCTTGATTGTGGGGATGTCAAGGTCTTCTGTGTCGGGGTTGAAGAAGGTCATGGTGGGGGCGTAGATGCCATGACGAAGAGGAGTCAGGTTTCCGTTGGCGGCCATTTTGGCGAATGTGTTATTGCTCTCGGGATATGGTTGTGGTATAGATGTTGAAATGAAAGTGTCTCACGACAGTATGCAGAACAAGAAAAGAGGAGAAAGTGAGAACGAGGAATTTACCACTGGACAAACCTGATACTTAACACGGCGGTTAAATCCAATCCTTACAATGCCCTCTCGCGATATTTAACCCCCGCCGTAGACGGAGGGACAGCGGGGTGTGTAGCAGCTCAGGCCGGGCATGTGCCCAAAACAGACCTGATCCGATCTCGTCGGCTATTGAAAATGGGTGCACAGGCGCTTGCTTGCGGTGGAGAAACACATTTCCACCAATCGCATGAGGTGTTTATTGCTTGCGCCCTGGTCGGCAATGGAACAACTCCACAAAATACACCCCGCCATGCTGGCCTCACGCAAGTAATTGTCCGTTTTGGTGATGCAATTACCCTTGGGTTAGACTGTACCCTCTTCTCCCTATTCTCTCTGCTTTTCTCGTTCTGTTTCTCTCTGTCTTCGCGCTCTTTAATCGAGTAAAATAGCTTCTGCGCAGCTTGTCGCACATCATGGCCCCTCTCAATGTTTGCATGGTCGGTACCGGCGAGTACACGACAGGTTTCGTCGGTGGTGGTGCCTCTGGATCTGACAAGAAAGTTGGTGTCGTTGGCTTGACCCTTTTCGACTTGAGACGACGAGGCAAGGTGGGCAACTTGAGCATGGTTGGAACTTCTGGAAACAAGTTCCCTGCAATCCGTGAGTTCTCATTGCTGTCGTGTGACAAGTATTGAAGAACACAGGACTAACAGTCGTTAGGCGAGCACCTGAACATGAATATCTCTCAGGTATACAACGGCCTGGACACATCCTTCGAATCGTACCCTGCCAATGACCAACGCGATCCTGAAGCCTACAAGAAGGCAATCGACGCTCTGTTGCCAGGTGATGCCATCACCATCTTCACTCCTGACCCGACGCATTTCCCCATTGCTATGTACGCTATTGAAAGAGGCATTCACGTCATGATCACCAAGCCCGCCGTCAAATTGCTATCTGAGCACCAACAACTGCTCGAAGCCAGCAGAAAGCACAATGTCTTTGTCTACATCGAGCATCACAAGCGTTTCGATCCTGCTTACGCAGATGCCCGCCATCGCGCTCTAAAGACTCTGGGTGAATTTAATTACTTCTACAGCTATATGTCACAACCAAAGTCGCAACTCGAGACCTTCAAGGCATGGGCTGGCAAGGAATCCGACATTTCATACTATCTCAACTCTGTAAGCTCTTCTGGTGGGTAGATGGATGCGAACCAACACTAACACTCTCAGCACCACATCGACGTCAACGAGAGCATGGTACCTGATTACAGGCCGGTAAAGGTCACTGGCAGCGCCAGCAAAGGCATTGCAACTGACCTGGGCTGCGTTGATGAGACTGAGGATACAATCACCTTGCTCGTGGACTGGGAGAAGAAAGACGGCAGTGGAAGACGTGCTACCGGTGTCTACACAGCAAGCTGGACCGCACCGCAAAAGGCAGGTGTCCACAGCAACCAGTACTTCCACTACATGGCCAGTAAGGGTGAGGTTCGCGTCAACCAAGCAAAGAGAGGTTACGACGTGACCGAAGACGAGTCAGGCCTCACCTGGTACAACNCCGTAAGCTTTGCATCTTACACTCTTTAGCACCTCAATCAGCTAATTCACTCTTTTAGATTCTACATGAAGTACGCCCCCGACGAGTCGGGTGACTTCGCTGGCCAAGGCGGTTACGGTTACGTTTCGTTCGAGAAGTTCGTGGATGCTATTACCGCACTCAAGGACGGAAAAGTCTCTCTAGACGACCTTGATAAGCGCGGTCTGCCGACATTGAAGAATACCATTGCTACCGGAGCCATTCTCGAAGCTGGTAGAAGGAGTTTGGATGAGAACAGAGCGATCCAGATTGTAGAGAAGGATGGCCAATGGGAGCTGAAGTAAATACGACCAGTATGACATGAATATAGACTATAGAGACCGTTGTTACGAGACAATTGTTGCGAGACGATTATGCATATGAAGTGTTGCTGCATACCCAAGTGGAGAACAGGTCCTGCTCAACGTCATGCAGTGTGGGGATGCTCATGTCATTCTGAAGTCGGTCGCTCCGACCTCCCTTCCTCTTTATCTCATGAACATCATTCAGACCACTTGTAGAAATATTTCTCGCTCCCTCACTAGGCTGCCCTACGGAAACACACATCACGTCCCGTTTCAAAGCATCCGAACATTATCACTGACAACACCCATCATGGCCGAAGCCAAACGCCAATCTACCGAGCCCCAGTATGAGTTACTCTACCACCCTCAGATCCCTGGTAGAGGCGAGTTTGTCCGCTTGATGTTCGAGGCCGCAGGTGTCAGCTATGCCGACGTTGCCAATGACAATCCACCAGACGACTCTGGACCCAATGGATATGGCTTGGTCCAAGCTGTCGCAAGTCCCGAAAGCACTGGAGATGAGGATGGCAACCCTCCTGCTTTTGCGCCACCTGCTTTGCGTGTCCACGGAGCCGGCAAGAACGGAAAGGCCCTGCTGATCCATCAAACACCCAACATCCTACTGTATCTCGGTGGTCCTCTGAAGCTTGCTGGCTCGGACGAACCGGAGAAGTACTACGTCAACCAGCTTGCTTTGACTGCACTTGATCTCAACAACGAAACACATGACACACATCATCCTGTTGCCGTCATGAAGTACTACGAAGGTAGGGACCGCCATTGTTCTTACTATCCATTGTTGCATCTATTAACACGATAATCCANNGAACAAAAGGGAGAAGCACTCAAGAAAGCAACCGACTTCCGCGAGAACCGCTTGCCTAAATTCTTCAGCTACTTCGAACGTGTACTCAAGCACAACAAACCCTCAGGACAAGGCAAATATCTCGTGGGCGCGTCTTTGACATATGCCGACCTTGCTTTGTGGCAAGTCATTGATGGACTCAAGTTTGCTTTCCCCAACGAGATGAAGCACAGAAGCTCAGAGTCGCCATTGCTGTTTGACCACTTCTACCCAAGTCTGAAGGCTGAGCCTTGGTTGAAGAAGTACCTGGACAGCAAGAGGAGAAAGCCTTACTCCATGGGCGTCTTCCGGCACTATCCCGAGCTTGATCGCCAGTGAGCTAGGATAGTGTTAGAGAAGTGATGAAGATCGATGAGGGGGTCAAGACAAGCAATGATGACGAAGCTCTAGTGTAAGAAAGAATAAAGCATCTGATTGTTCACTCACAACTACACACAGCACTAGTGATCTAAAGATGACTGTAGGTCCCTAAAGTTTCCAGCTCTCGACAGGAACAATCGTTTTTCAAGACAGTTCGTGGCTTCTAACAAGAACTAGGTCGGCGATTGTCGGCGGGAGATGTGGAAGTGACGCGCAAATTCCTTTTATCGTCTGCTCCGACCACTCAGCTTGTGAATCGTCTTGATTGCTAGCGAGAGCAAACCGGAATCCTTCTGCTTCTTGCTAAGACATCCAACACACAGACTTTATTGCTGCATTACATCAACAACGTATGCCCCTTCAGAAACTCAGACATCACATCACAGTCTAGACAAGAGATCGTCTCATCTAACATGTCTGACCTTCAACAAAACACTAAGGCGGCATCCAAGACCAAGAGCAAGAGACGAACCTGGGTGCAAGAAAGACGACAGAATCAGATCGAGAGAAAATTGGCAGAGGAGGACACGATCTCTAGCATGCCAACTCAAGTCTTCGATGGTGCTCTGCGCAGAGCAAGCGTCCAAGGCATCCATGCCACTCTCATGACTCCACCCCTTGAGCCTGAGGAGACTAAGAGCTGCCCACCTTCTGCTCTTCGCCACATTGACAACCCACCTGCTGCCAAATCTTCAATCTCAGAGAGCGTCAAAATTGCACCACAACTTCCAGACGCCATGGAGGCCGCCTCGCAGACAGTCCCCGGAATCATGATTGACACCGGCTTGACTGCTGCAAGCTACGCCGTAGACACCACTAGACGCGCCACTACCACAAACACCACGAGAAGCACCACAACTCCCGGCATGAGCGAACATCAAACTTTTGCTACTCTGGCCGAGCACAAGTTCTTCATTCCACCAACTGCTTCGCTCGACGCCTCTTCACTTATCCTGTTCAAACACGACGCACCATCTCTTGAGCGCTTCCGCCTGCTCCACAATCAACTGTTCATCGAGCTTGGCCGTGTGGTTGAAGAGCAACTACAGCCTCCTGCATTTCCCGAGACCAACACCGAGGCATACGCACAGAAAGAGAGACTGATGTTGGGATTGTTGACTGAGGTTGTTCCGGCATTGAACCATCTGACCGAGAGGGTTGGTAAGGAGATCAAGTCTAGTATGGAGAAGCATGAGGCAGGATTGAGATTGTGGGCTGGAGAGAGAAAGCAGAAGGAGGAAAGCCCTTGAATGGTTTGGGAGTATCGTCCTTATATTGAGGCAACTCTTCTTGTGTCAAAGGCGATTCAAGGATTTGATCAGGGCATGGAGGGGGAAAGTCGAGTTGATAATGCTGCTCACTGCGCACATCATCTGGAGAGGAAGGCCATATGGACAGACGGCTACCGGCCAGCCTTTCTGCCAAAGTCAACTTTTTCTTTTCGACGGAGGATTACAATCAGTATACTGTGCATCGACAACTTCAATGAGCATGAGCAGGCAATGGACAATTGTGGATAGACGATCAACATTGAACTCCAAGACTCTTGGCCAGCCAAGAAATGATCTTCATTAATCCTGCGTATACCCCTCCCTGAAACTCCTTCCTGACTAGAACATGTGGAACCGGTGAGGCAGCTCAATATCAGATGATTCGTTCCCCCCTCACAAAAATAGGTAGGTACGACCTCGGTCTGTGCTCCTAGTCTTCTTTCCATGTTCATGACTCCATGCACCCTTCAGCAGCTCGATTTGATACAAAACTCTGAAGCTGAGTCTGCTGAGATTTCCACGTCAACATGGTGTCTTTCTATCCTCTTTTCGCATTGCTATTCGCTGTGATCTACGCCACCTGCTGTTTTTGCACATACGATTACGCAGACTCGTCAAACGCAGATGGAGAAGTCCCATACATCCGCAACTACTTTTACGTTGGTGGAAAGTACGTGCCTGATGGCTCTGGCGGACATGCCTTCCAAGACCAGATGTACGTGGAAAAGTTGACTCCTCTCGGAGGACCACGCAACCAGACACCACTAGTCTTCATCCCAGGTGCTGGACAAACAGGAACAGTACAACTTTCCTTCTTCGTCTACATCTGTCATCATACTAAAACCATATTCCCACAGAATTTTCTGAACAAACCGGATGGTGGTAGAGGCTGGGCATCGCTGTTCATCACGCAAGGTTTTGAGGTTTACATTGTTGACCAAACGTCTCGAGGGCGTTCGGCTTGGAGACCGGGTGTTGGACCCAACCTCACAGCCAACTCTGCAGAGTTGATCCAACAAAGATTTACAGCACCTCAAGACTACAAGCTCTGGCCTCAGGCAGTCAACCATACGCGATGGCCTGGTACTGGACGAATGGGTGATGCAGTCTTTGATGCGTTCTACAGCTCCAATGTCCAACTGGCCGATAACGACAGTTACTCGCAAGCAACCGTGCAAGCTGCTGGTGCTGCGCTGCTGGACCGTATCGGTAAACCTGTCATCGTCATCGGTCACAGCCAAGCTGGTCCAATGGCGATTCTGGTTGCAGATGCACGACCAAACTTGACGGAAGCCGTTATTCTGCTTGAGCCTGGCGGCCCACCTTTTCGTGGCGCCGTATTCAACAATGCAAGCGCACGTCCTTGGGGACTCACCGAAGTACCTCTCGTCTACTCACCATCCGTCTCAGATCCAACCATCGACCTTGCCAAAGAGGTAATTCCTGCCTCCTCAGAAAACCTCGATGGCTGCATTCTACAAGCGTCTTCACCAGCTCCTAGACATCTCACCAATCTAGCGCCCAAGCCAATCCTTGTCGTGACAGCCGAAGCGTCTTATCATGCAGTCTATGACCACTGTACTGTATCGTATTTGCGCCAGGCTGGCTGTATCCGGACAGATCACTTGGAGTTGGGAAATGCGGGCGTGCATGGCAATGGCCATATGTTCTTTATGGAGAAGAACAGCCGTGAGATCTGGGTCTTGCTCTTGGAGTGGATTGAATGGCATCTGGGCTAGAGCTTTTGGGTTAGTTAGCCATCTCCTGCTCTTTTGATAGGAAAAACGCGTAGGATGTCGACACCATATTCATGAGATAGTCGTGTCTATGATATGGCTTGAGCGCTCGTGTTGGTGGTGATAGATGAACATCATGAGAGAGAGAACGATCAGTGTTTATGATGATTCATTGTTTGAATCTCCCCAGTCTTCCTATTTACATCCGTGCATCAAAAACAGCTCTCGATCATGTTGCAGGGATAAGAAACCATGATGCCACAAATTTTGACCTACTTTTCCTGTACATGCTTTGCACAGTAGGTCAGACTGGATATTTCCTATCCATCATCGTCTTCTACTTCCCTCCTTGCACCCCACCCACCCCCCCTCCCTTCTTCACAAACCCCTCAATCTCCCCCCTTCAACTTCTTGACCCATCTCCTCAGCACAACAAGCTGCATCTCCAACACTCTCTCCCTCTCATCCACTCCATCACTTCTTTCCAAATACTCTCTGGTCAATTTGATTGCACCACCGCCTCTTATCGCTCCTAGACCAAACAGATCTATAGTTTCGAAGCCTGGGATTGTCTCTGTAGCGGTTGCAAGGTTTGCTTCCTCGGCAGCCAGGGCTGCTTTTTTCTTGATTGAGGGCTTGGAGGGAAGATGCGATGGTGTTGAAGGCTTTGGTGTACTGGAGTGAAGCAAAGAAGACCGGTTAGCGAGACTTTGCTCAGAGTAAAAGCAGCAACAGAAAGAAGGAACGCAGAACAAGAGAGAAGAAGGGGCAGAGAGAGCAAAGAAGAGGCGGGCATAAACAAGGAAGAAGAACTTACGGCATCGATGTGACGGTAGAAGCGCTCTACAGTAGCGGAGCGACCATGGCTGGCAAGCTTCTCATCCATGGAGTCCGAAGAGGTGGAAAGGGTAGAGGATGAATCTGGACTATCCGATCTTGGTGTCATATTTGCGATATGGTTTCGTTTCAGCTTCCTTGAATAGAGTGTGCAGAAAGATGGTGTTGGAAAATCTGTGATTGTGCTCGCAGATATCAATATCGAAACAGTGAAAGGTGAAGCCAATACACTTAGATATATACCCTTTCTGCATACTGAGAGCCTTGCTATGATACAGCCTCAGAGACACTCCAGAGACATACAGTCTTGTAACTTCGGGCTTTGATGAAAGCAAATAAGACTGTTTCTTGACCTGACAATGAACGACTACTAAGATTGACACAGATGGGAAAAGAATAGACGTGCTCAAGGCAGGGGCGAAGCAGCTTCGTTGTGATCATCTCAACTGTTTGGTTTTGCTATATACATTTTGCATCAAGAAAGCCCTTGTCCGCGTGTGAGAGCGAAGAAGCCAAAGGGTAACTTCCTTGGCGAGCTTCTGGAAAATTGCAAGTATTGAAAGGGCAAAGAGAAGAGTGAAAAACACCTTGAAATGCATGAGCCAACATGAGCGCAAGGGAAAATATGCACGTCCGCCTCGAGCCCTCTGTCCCACGCAAAAAAGCACATGGCAGCGAGACAGTAGAAATTAGTCTACCCTTGCCGAAAATCGTATCCTCCTCTTCGTGTCGTCTTCGTTCTTCTGGTTCCTTACTTCGTGCTTCGAGTCTTCGTTTCTGTCGTAGTATTTCTTGATCATCTGTGACGTGACGAGCGCCTCGTGTGTCTGGTCCTTCTATCATCAGAGCTAGCACTGCCTAATTTGAACTTGTTAGCAACTTCGGATATGTAATGATCAAAAGGATTACTCACTCTCGCTTGTGTAGTAATCACTATACGTAGCATCCGTATAAGCACTGCTATACTCACTCTTCTCATCTCTGCGACGATCATTCCTCCTCTTCAAACCCAAGACGCCTGCCAGAGCAGCTAGACCAGCACCGATGCCCAGCATTTCGGTGAACTTGCTGCGTTCCTTTTCTCTGCGAGGTGCTTCGGAGCCATACCATCTTCTGTCGTCAGGCCGGCTAGCAGCATATGCTCCTCCAGCACCGCTGTAGGCTCTGTGATGGTGGGATTCGATGACCTCTGTGCGCTCGGTACGTCTTCTCTTGCGACCACCGAAGATGGCGACCCAGATCGTCCTTGCACAGCAGAAGAGGCAGAGAAGTGAAAGCAGGATGAGGCCGGCGATAACACCAATCACAATACCAGCGATGGCGCCACCAGAAAGGCCATGCGAGTTGCTGGACTCTGCACCTGTGAGGGTGATGTTTGCACCAGTGGCGACGGGAGCGAGGAAAGGAACAGTTGTGGTGGGAGAAGAGGTTGCTGTAACGATTACCAAGGTGCTACTTGTTGGCAGGATTGCGGGAGAAATACCGGTTGAGCTGCCTGAGCTGAGTTTGGATGTGCTTGCACCTGCGGCAGCTGCACATTGACCGGACGTTAGGCAGTATTGGTCGCTTGCACAACATATGTTGCCACAAGAAGACTCGCCCTTGTCCCAGTTGCAGCTAATCGAAGCAGCAGTTGGCGATGCAGCAGCAGTGGAAGGAGCTACCCAAACAGAAGTTGCTACACCACCACCTCCGCCAACGACAGCAGTAGTGGATGCGTCGCCGCACCAGGAACTTCCAGTACTGTATTTGGTGATGATGTCGGTTTCTGTTTGTGTCTCAACCCAAGTGCTCGTCCAGTATTTCCAGTAGCCAGTTGTCTCACTGCCCACAGCAGCCGCCGTTGTGGATGCACATTGTGCTTGGTTGCTCGAATCGGTATAGCAAGCCGCTCCTTCAGCGCAGCATAGAGCACCAGACCAACCACAAGGGTTCTCGCAATTGCCTCTGCCGAACAGCGAATTGAAGGTCAAACCACCAATGCCGAGTTCTTTGGGGATGAGCGGATTTGCCAGTGTCGGACTGGTTGTGAGAGCGATGACGGCTAGTTGGAGAAGTGGTCGGGTGTAGGGATTCAGGCGACAGGGTGGTGATGGCATGGCTGACTCGAGGCGGCGGAATGCCTCGCTGTGGGGGTGTGGAATGTGCGCGTTGTGGTATAGCCGTTGGCAACTCCACAGTATGCTCGTCGATAGAAGGTAGACGATTTTGCGTTCAGCTGGACGGTTGGAAAGTTATCAGCAACGACAGTTTGAGTTGAACGGTGCGACGGTGAGCGGAAAACGACTGCAAGGTGTAAGATGGGAAAGTGTAAAAAGTGATGCGGGAAGGTGCAGATGGGTGGTGTGTTGGGTTTATCCTTGTGCACCTGCAGGCTAGCGACCAGCCTCCGAATATGCCCAACCACCTCGATTATCGCCAGTTGGATCTGCGCCGCGATGACCAAAGATTCGATGCAACAACTTGGTTTCTTGCAAAATTCAATAGCCTTGAATCAGTCCTGACCGCAAAAAGATCATGCTGTCGAGTCTTCATGGTTTTATCGCGACTGCTCGACCATCCTTCCTTGGCGCTGTGTTTACTTCTGCCATAGCAACACAGATTGCTTCCGACGCACACAGCCGCAACTTCTCCTGCTGTTCGCCGTGTTCGACCTCACACGAGACACACGTTGCCGGGTTGATGTCAAGAACAAACACCTTCTACTGGAGTACGGTGTCACCACCATCGTCATCTGCTTGCTGTGAAAAGAATTTAATGTCTAGAGTTAAAGCTGTGTGTATGGGGATGAATAGGTATCTTTAACAAAGGAAAGAGGGTATCTAAACTGTTCAACCAAACAAGTGAAAAAATACAGAAAGAGAAAATCGTATGCTTCTGACATGATCAGTGTCTCGTCATGCATCAGCTGATAATCAAACATTTTTTCGCGCATCATAGCATCAACCATCGTGTTGGACTCCATTCGCTTGAGATGTCCGACAAGATATCCGACATAACACCAGGATGCGCCATTAGTCCGTGGCCTTCGCCTGGCAAGACGCGGATTTCGCAACCGCCATCGTTTGCTTCGGCGTCTTTGTCTTGTAGACTCCAGTGCAGCGTGTTGTGTTTGTTCATCTGATCGCCGATCCATCGAATGTTTTCCACAGGCACGCGCTTGTCCTCGCTGCCGTGGGTAATCACCACCTTCTTATGCACATCCACGTACTTGAATCCGATGTTTCTGTATCGCTCAAGACAGACAATCAAATCAGTAGCGGGATTTGCGTCGCGTGTTGCCAGAGTCCAAGTCCTTTCCGTCAGAAGAGCAGAATATGCCGCTTGATGTTCTTTCGCTGCGTGTTCAGCAGCGCTGAGGGCTTCTGCTGCGAACATAAGTCCAGGGTCCATGGGAGATGCTGTCGCAGAAAGTTTAAGGGAAACTTCCGAAGGCTTGCGTACTGTCTTGTCACCTTTCTCGTCCTCACACAATACAGGTAGTGGGAACATAGTATCTCTGGGTCTCTCAGGTATGACTTGATCCATGAGAATCATGCTCTCACGTCTTGCGGGATCCGGACGCGTTTTTGAGTTCCTCCTGCGAGGAACACCACGAGGGCTCGCTGAGCCGGATGTAGGTGATCCATCGCCTTTGTTAACACTGGCAGGTTTGAGAGATGCTGGAGAGAACAAATTGCCGTTTGCAGCCTTCAAGAAAGGTACAGGTAGCACCCGAAGAAATCGTTGACCTCTTGTCAATGCAGCCATTGGCACATCGTCAGGCGATCTATCTTTCTGGCTGATGTGTTCGAACTGAGAAGGCGGGATCCAAGGTGCGAGAAGCTGTACTTTACCGCGTACACTATGCGGCAGTATCAAAGCAGTTGCCAAAGCATAGATTGCGCCAGCCGAGTGTGCCAACAAGCTAAATTCCGGAATGCCAAGGTGATGAGTTATGGTAACCACATCGTCTGGCCAGGCCAAAGGTCCAATGTGATCTCTGTCTCGATATGCTTGGCTAGATCCAACACCTGGTCTCTCCGGCGTGATAAGCCGAAGGCCCAAGGAGGATGCTAAGTCATCATAGAAGACGCTCACAAAACGCGTAAGACCCATGCCAACGCAGACAATGACTGCATGTCCATTTGGATCGCCAACCTCGGAAAAGGAAATGATTCGACCAGTTTGAGGGTGTGCTATTTTNTGGTTCAACCGCGGGTTGTTCAAGAAAGCGTTGACCGACATGGAGACATTACTGTTCCGCTCGTGCAAGATGTCATCTTCAAGTAGGCGGTTGTCACGAGCATCACTCATAGACTTCCTTCGAAACCTGGCGTCATAGGAGATCCTTCGACTGGATTTTGGGCGCGATTGTATTGTAGAGTTGGAATGGGCAGTACTGGGTGGTGACATGTCGAGGCCCTCAATGTCAAGACCGTTTAGTAGGTGAGATTGAGTTGACTTGCGAGCCACAGCGCGTCTACCGACTGAAGATGAATCATATGGTTGCTCGTCTGCAACATTGGCAATCTGGGTATGGAAAGGACGATAGTAGTCGGTCGAGGTAGAAAAGGCATTTCCAATGGTAGGAGAGTCGGGAGGAAAAGAAGACAGGTTTGCAGAGACGTTGGGAGAGTCACGGGCGACGCTAGGTTTTGTGCGAACGTTACTGTCAAAAGGGNNGGAAGCCGTTGTGGTGTCTTGAGACTGAACCACGGAAGCCTTAGGTGATAGTTCGTCGAGGCCGAGCATACGGTGAGCCTTGCGCAAATCAGGGACTCTGGCGGGGCCTCTATTGGCGGCTCGCATTTGTAAATCCGGCAATTTAGTCGCCGAAGAGCTTGCCGAGTCGTGCACGAGCCCGATGTCGTTCTGTGTACGCAGAGCCTCATCAGATTCTATGCGGAGACGATCTCGCTGTGCCTTCTGCTGGCGGAGTTGCTTGATGCGCATTACAGTCTCGTCTTGTTCGTCCAGGCCGTCAAACATGTCTTTCAGCGCATCAGCCTTTGACTTGCGCCGAGGACCGCGTTCCTCCTTGACTTCCCTGAGAGCAGCCAAAGCGCGTTTGCCTTTGCTGAGTTTCTTGCCTTTGGGTTTCGTGGGGCTAGAAAGTCTATTGAGGGAAGAAGATCGTGGAGGTATTTTCGTAGCCATGGGGCTGCTGGAAGAGGTTGGAAGGGTACTTCTCGAACTGCTGGCGGGCAGACTTTCAGCTGAAGCCTTGAACGAAGCACCTCTGCTATTCGAAGGACGAGCATGATTGGATGATGGTCGGCTCATGGATATGGTGGGACTCGGTGTAGCCATGTCTTCAAGCACATCCTCCAAGTATAGTCTCCCTTTGGAGCTCTTTCTTCCAGAATCCTTGGCTTCAGAGCCCAGGTTCGGGCTCAACAGAGCCTGGTCGGCCAGATGCTGAGGATCCTTGTTCGGCTGGAGTGTTTCGCGCGACGTCTGACGAAGCGAAGCTCTGCGAACGAGTCTTTCGGTAGGTGACTGTGCGTCCAAAGAGAGCTTTGTAGGAGAGGACAGGGACTGCTTCCTGGAGCGACTTTCGGCACTCAGTCTACTGTTGCTGCGACTGAGTCTGTCAAGGCCGTTCAGGGACAAAGATGTCTTGGAAGCAGAGCGCAGTATCTCTCGCAAGCCGTTCAGACTCGGCGAGGGTGGTGCAGTGTGTGTAGATTTTCCTGAAGGGCGTCTCGAGGTGCGGATAACAGGAAAGTCGGCGCCGTCGCTATCGTAGTCGTGGGATTGGATTGGCTGACGGTAGGCGCCGTAGTCCATGCCAAAACTCTGGCTGTGTTTCAGCGGTGGGCGTAGGTCGGGGCTTGTGCAGAAAGCGCCATGATTGTCGTTGGCGTCGGATGTCGAGACGTAGGCGTACGAGGCGTGGGTAATCGGAGAGTTGTTTTGGTCGAGCGAGGCAATCAGAGTAGAGATGACCTGGGGCTCATTCGGCGCATGCTTGTTTAGATCGTCGGCAGTCGAGGGTCTCTTGTCGCGACGGGCATCGTAGGGACGATGATGTGGATAGGCCGATGGCATGCTGAAGGGATTGCTGTGCTCAGGCTCAGGCTCAGGCTCTTGTTGCGTGCGACGCGCTTCCTCGTAGCTGTGACATGGGAAGGCAGGGGATGTTAAGTGCGCTGTTTCATATGTTGCCAGGTGCTTTCACGTCGCACAAGCAGCTCTTGCATGCATGCCGTCTCTGTTGTCGAGACGATCCTCTTGTGCACCGAGGACAAGGACAACAACAGAAGAGGCTTCAGACATGGCCTGACGGACGCTGACCTTGACTTGGCCAGCGCCGATCGCGTTCGCTGATGAGCCATGGACCATGGCTGCCCTGCAAATTAACATTCAGCTTTCAGGGGCCGGAGCGAAGTAAGCGAATCCACTTTCGCGGCGCACCCCACCATCAAGTAATCAATCGCTGCATCCTGCAGCTACTCTATCTCCCACACGAGCCTTGTTTTTGACACATTTCCGATCTCTATGACGTCTCGACAAGTATATCTACGCAAGCCTGCGACATTCCTTGCTTGATATCCTCGTTTGATCCCGTTGAGAAGAAACATTTGCGCTGTCTCAGCCCTCACGTGGCACCTGCGATTGACTTTCGCTAGACTCATCGCTTCGGGAGCTTGAGACCACACGATTAAGATCGACCCCACCACCCCTGACTTGCTGCCAGCTGCACGGCAAACGCGTTCGCGACATCTCCATCCCGCTTCTTGACATCAGCGATCCAACTGTGCATTGCAGCATTGTCGTACTGCTTGAAGTGCCGCTTTGCATAGTCGACAGGTCATTCAGAGCTTACGAGCTCCAGCCTTCCATTTCTGGCAGCCATGGCTCTCCAAGCACTTCGCGACGAATTGGTCTACTACTATGGTTACTCTCAAGGTCGCGGCTTCTCTATTAGTGACTTCTTCTCGAGAACCTCCGCCAAAGTCTTGTCACAGGTGACCTCTCTCATGACTATACCGCTCCCCTTGCTCTCCTTCCTTGCTGTCCCATTTTTCGGCTCCTCATCCACCACCATCAGCCTTGCCTTCTTCCTCTTGACCTGGGTGACCTTGGTCTCCACTCATGATCCCCTGTACTTGGAGCTTATCGGCACTCTTGCAATCAAGATCATCTTTNTCCTTCTGCCTAGCTTGGCTGTGCTGGGCTTCGACTCTCTCATACCCAGCCTCTCAGCCAGCATAAAATCTCGTGGTGTTACACAATTACCAACCCAACTCAGCTCTCGCAGGTTGAGAAATGTCATCTTCGTATCTTTCTTCAATGTCGCCTTCTCGGTTCTGGTCCAAGGAATCTGCGATTATGTACTAACTGAAGTCCTTAACATTCGCTCTGCTATTCGCGTCAGCAAGATTCCACCTGCGCCATGGCCGACTATGGTGAAGGAGGTGCTGTACGGTCTCACATGTCGTGGATTCCTGCATTACTTCATACATCGCGATGTCCTGCATGCTTCCCCAAGAGACTCGATTCTGGCTCGCTGGCACGCTGACTGGGCGCACAGTCTAAGGCATACCTTCTCTCTTGCTTCTGCTTACGATCATCCTGTCTGCTACTTACTCACTGATTGGGCACCATTGTATCTATCAACCTTATTCTTTCGCTTTCACGTCCTGACATGGTATATTTTGACCGCCATTATCAGTCTGGAGCAATTCTTCATCTTTTCCGGCTACTCTGTACTGCCGTCACAAATATTGCTAGCTGGCATGGCCAAAACAACAGATTCCCACTATGCTACTGGTGGCAAAGGCAACTATGGAAACTGGGGTGTCCTCGACTGGATCTTTGGCACTGGTTGTCCTGGCGATGCTGATGTCGTAGATGATGTTCAAGGCGAGGTGGACAAAAGAGCCGTCAAACAACGTGCTTCGAACATGATCGGAACTGCTGAGGACAGCCTCAGAAAGAGTAATGATAGCGTAAGAACTTTGAATCGTGATTGTCCCGGCATGATGCTGACGNTCTTCGCAGGCACCAAGATCTACGTCCCAAGGCCGGAGAAGAAGCAAAAGACAGGCAGCATGAACTCTATTGACGCAACAATCTGTCGTAGAGTGAGAGTAGTCACCAACTCTCGTTAATCAAAGACAACATCTGGTGATGCTAATTCATTGTACCTTTATTCGTCTATTTCAGGCAAGACATAATGGTTTCAGACATGTTTGACATACTTGTCGCAAACCGAATATAGAACAATAAGCAACTCGGATCAACTCAACTCCATCAGTCTTGATTCCAATCATCTCAGCACATCCATCAATCTCATCGCTTCAAGAGATGCCCATCATGCAGGAGCCGCAACAGCCAAGCCCGGGCATTCTGACCACCGCTTACAACTTTCTCATCCGTGGTACAAGATTCTTTGCGAGTCTTTGTGCTCGCAGATCGGAGAAGAAAAGACAAACCTACGACTGGGAAGAAAGACTTGCATATGTTGGTGAAGAGGTCGAGGTGGAAGATGATGGGCCCAGTAGCGACGAACATGATATGCAGCTTGAGCGAAGCTGTGGAGTTGCGAGGTACAGAGATTGACCAACTGTCTTCGTCCCTTTCGATGCGATGGTCTTGTTGCTCGAGCAGGTCTTCGTGAACCGACGCGCAAATTTCTGATGACACGTCTTTGTGAGAGAAGCAGAAGTTTCCGGAACCACANACACTCTACGACACGAAGGCACACCGAGGTGCTGTATAAAAGCTCTCCATCTCAACTTCTCTTCTCCACACACCATCAACCAAATCTTATCAAGTGTAACAATGGCCGACGCGGAAGACAACAAAAACCACAACAATGGCGCACCTGCTCCTGGCGAATCATCAGACCCAATCTCTCCCAAAATGGTCGCTCGTCTTCGTACTGTCATCGCAAACAACCCTCGTCAATCAACCTCTGTCCTTGTCACTGCTCTCATGGCCGTTTGTCCTGCTCTGCTTACTGGACCCCTTCTCACTCTTCTGGGTTTCGGCGGTCTTGGTCCTGCTGCTGGTCAGTGCCCGCACCTCAGGCTGTTTCTTGAACACGTCAAGTACACAATGACTAACGAATCAACGATAGGAGGTCTTGCTGCTGGCTTCCAAAGCTGGTTCGGCACACCCTGGCTCTTCCGCGTCCTGCAGAGCGCTGCTATGGGTGGATGGGGCTCTGCTCTGATCCAGGGTGTCGTTCGTGCATTCTCAACTGGTGGCTTGGTTCTTGAGGTGGTTCAGAAGATCCTGGGCCGCGGTGAAGAGGGATCTGGCGATGATGGTGGAGAAAGCAATGAGGAGTAGTGTCTTTCGACATCGCCTTCAGATCTGTCTAAGATGCTGTCGAATCAGGATGCACTCTCCGCCCGCTCACTAGACGGCAAGGAACCATGAGCGTGCTATAGAACGCACGGCGCTTTTCAGGCATTAAGCATTGTCCTGTGAGGACCATAATTCAATTGGCTTCCCTTGAATGGATCTCCAAAAACTGTGATCTTTGACAGCCAACATCATAACAGACAATCTTTCGAAGGAAGCACGAAGTAAACAAGCAGTCGCGTCCACGTAGAGCTTTGTTTACAGTTTCATGAAAAGCAACTCGCGCTTTCCCACCGTCGTCCAAACTCTGTCTCGCTTCTCAAGCCGCTTAGTTGGAACTACTGGCTCACAGCCTGCACACATCCCTCGAGTGCGCTTTGCAAGATTTCACCCTGCTACCTTAGCCTTGTGCAGTGAACAACATCACGTTGGTTCACTTCATCAACAACGTCTTCAGCCACGTCTGGTGCAGCACAACTCACCTGGTGCTTCACTTTACTTCAAATCATTTCCGATCACTCGCCTCTTTGTCTCTCACTTACTTGGCGCTGCAATCGCAAATTTTTAGGTGAATCTCAGCTGCACTATTTGAGAAGCATCTTCAGTTCACACTTTATAGAGATGTCGAAAAGACTGAAGCAGCAGACTGTGGATCATTACAACCAGCTGTGCGCGGCACATGGCATCCGTCCGACTGTACCTCAGATCCAGCGGATCAAACAAGTGGCCGGTGATGTCGCGAAGAACGTTGCTGAACGTTTCGAGTACGGTCTGTTGTACTTCTTGTTAAAGTCCGCAGTGGTCATGGAGGATGGGCATATGCTTGTGGGCTGGGTCAACAAACCAGGCGGCCTAAGGCGAGAACTCTGGTTCGAATACCTAGCCAACAGAGGCCATCTGTATGAGGGTAGGACGCCCCTTTACCACGCTGATCCCGAGGCACCTTTTTGCGACGAGTGGCACCCATCTCTAGACGAACTCTGCAAGCAGTGGCAGACTGGTGGTCTATCCAATCGTCATATGCTCTTCGCCTTACTCGGCGCTGCAGTCAGAATTATGAAGGCTGACGTTCAAACGCCATGTATCGCAGACAGCATTGCGACCCCTGCTATGGCCAAATCTGGTCAGAGGGACACAACAATCGAAACCCAGAATGTACTGGCTGAGTCTAGCCTAAGAAGAGAACCCCGTAGTGAGAAAGCTCCTACGGACGGCCAGCCACGTAACACTCCCACCACTCCTACAGTCCAAGCTCATTCCTCAGAACAAAATTGTACCAAGGTAGCAAGCCAATCTGTGGTTGTCGATCTCACTGAATCCGACTCTGAGGGTTGCAGCAAAATCAGAATACTCCCAACTCCTCCGACCACCGACCGCATCGAATGCGAAAGAACCACATCCGCGAAAGAAGAGCTTATATTCATGCTGCAGTGCAAGAGAGTCAGTGAGATTGAGGTCATGTTGGCCCAGCGATCTGGTCAACTTCCAGACTGGATTGAAAGGGTCATGAGGGAGGAGATGGAGAAAAAGATGGTGTGTGATCTAGACATGGTCAGAAACCTCTTTTGACCACACAAATTACGGGAAATTAGTTGCAGAAGGACTGCAGCATAGGTCGAGAGGCAAAGTGAGTGGAACTTTCCTCCCCGTGAGGCATGCTCGCCAGGGACCGCAGCTAACACATACAGTCCACAGTTGAAGGAAAGAATGTCCCCTGATCTGGCAATGGGTGAGAGCATAGTCCGATGGCGCGAGAGATGCTAAGAAAGACTGATGGTCGGGAGGAAGGGGGTTGCTGCCTTATGCCTTATGCCTCATGCCTTATGCTTTTGCTCCTCCACTCACCAGAAGCAGAACACCTCTGCTCATTTCAGTATCTTGATCGTACAGCCAAGATATGCATCAGTAGATACGGCGTGAATACAAGCACAATACTTCGATCGGAAGGCGTATTTGATTACCAAGTCTTATCAACTGCATCTATACTCTTCTTCTCGACGACAGCTCAGATAATAGGACATATGCAATGTCTTCACTTCTTCCTATAGCGAGTTGCACTTAATTGTATGATGGAGATATTACAATGTATAAAATTCAACAGGCAGTCGCGTCTTCGTAGAGCTTTGTTTACAACGGAAGTTCTTCGTAAAGCTTTGTTTCCAGAGGCAGTCGCACTTTTCCATCGTCCTCCACACTCTACCTTTCTCTTTTCGAATCGGTCATCTAGATTTATTCATTCTCGACTTGCATCCATCTCCTGATTGCAATTTTCAGAGGCCCTCGCCGCTGCCTCGCTCGAACCGTCAATCCATCATTGGCGTTGTGCGGTTCGAACAACATCGCGACGTGTTGTGCATCGTAGTCATAACACGTAAACACACAACACATTAACTCACTTCAACGACTCGCCTTCAATCCTGTTGCTCTAAACTCGCTCGATCAAGACTTGACTGCTACAGCGTTCGCTGCCCTGTTTCGGATCCAAATCTTCTGCATCTCTCTCATTCAAGATCGTTCAAAGTCCTACTCGAGAGTGATTTGAACACTTTCCTCAGCTCAGCAAACAGTAAACTGATTCATTACAGCAAGATAAGGTTGAAGAGCTGCGCAGGAAGATGCAAAGTAGGACAGTCGCAGAGATCAAGAGCATGCTGGCCAAGAAGTCCGGTCTACTTCCATCCTGGATAGAGGACATCATCAGAGAAGAACTGAAGAAGAAGATGCTTCGAGATCTCCAGACTGTCGAGAACCTGTTCTAATAGCACGGAGTGTCACCAGAAGAGATGTGAGAAAGATGTTTGCTGATGGGGCTTTGCTTTTATGACAAGGAGCTTTGAGCTTTGATAGAAGATTTGCTGATCGCACTTCTCAAGCTGGCAAGCTCGATATGGAAGAGAAGAGAAGTAGAGAGGAATCGAATTAACACAATTTGTATCAAAATGATACCACGATGGTCGATATGAATCAGTAGGTAGCGAGCGAGTTGGAGCATAGTGGGATTGCTAGACATGTGTCTACCAGAATTTTATTACAAATTGCACTTCTACCCTCATTCCCAACGACAGCACTGTTCAAAAAAAAGTGCCATCTGCATTTTGATACAGCACGAGCCACATCTATGGCAGACAATTTTCCGTGAGAGACGCGTCCGTAGGACTTTGTTTACCATCACAATACAGGCGAGTCACGCTTTCCCACCACTGCCCGCGCCCCTTTTCTCTCTTCCATCCTACCGCTTGGTCCAACCAACCGAACCACCATCGGCGCCGATAATACTAGCGCAATCTGGAAAGTTTTATGGTGTTGCCTTGATCGAAATATTGATTGACACGGGTGTTGTAAAACTCACACGATACCACTGTCGTGTTATACACCAAAGACAATACACATAAGCGCATATCACATCGACTTGCATAATCAAGCTATTCCTCGCTGGATCGCCCAAAGCAAACTTTCCAGAACGCTTTGTTCGTGTCCAAGCGGCGTCCTTGGAAGTCATCAGGAGCAGTCATACTGCTGCGTCACCCTCATGGCGAAAACCAAAGGTGCGCCTGACATATGTCACCGGAGGAGTTCTCAATCATCTGACTGTCTTTAGGAAAGTGTACAAAGCCTCCTGCCGGAGGTAAAAGACACACGACCGAATACTTCAAGCAAATCTGCACAGCACATGGAGTTGAACCAAGCGAAGCTGAGATTCGGGATATCGAAGTCGCTGTAGATAAGGTCCCCTCCACTGCTAGGGTCAGAGGCTGTTTCCAGTATGGCCTGCTCTACTTCCTACCAAGATCCAATGTTGTCTTCAAAGATGGCACACTATTGATTGGCTGGGTTCATCAAACAAACGGAGCAAAGCAGGAGATCTGGTTCAAACAAAGTGACCACCAAGGCATGGTCTATGAAGAATGCGGCGGACCACGTGGCTCTAGGCATTTCAAGGGCAGAAAATCTCCTCGGAGATCATTTGCAAGCCATGGTCAGCAGGTCATGAGGACTGCCGTCGAATGCTATACGCTTATTTCGCCGCCGTGATCCGCTACATCCAAGCCAGCCCTCGTCCACCGTCTATCGNNAGGACTCCGATGCATCGAACGAAGATGAAAGCTCCCGTCAGGCGGAGACACTTAGTCAAACTGATAGCGACACTCCTATGGAAGATGCTGTCTTCTTCGACGACACTTCCATTAATCGACGCACAAAGAGACGCAGTGCTAGAAGAGTCGTCGAGAGTGAAGAACCAGAGGAGGAAGATCTCGCAGCTCCTGGTGTTGGTACGGGACNAGGCAAACGAAGAGCACGCCGAGCAAGCAAGCTTGTCTATGTCGACTGAGAAGGCTGCCATCATCGATCTTACAGAATCCGACGCTGAAGACGCGGTCAAGCTTGAACGAAACACCACTGCTATGCTGCCCAGCCGCGACCGAGATCAGTCAGTCACTTCGCCCCAACAAGAGCCATCCATTTCGCCTGAACAAGAGCTACACAACATGATACAGAGCAAGACGGTTGATGAGATCGACGACATGCTGGCCAAAGGACGTGGCTCAATCCCCGACTGGATCAACAAAATCATGAGGGAGGAAAAGGAGAAGAAGAAGTTTCGCGATCTTGAAGCGATCAGGAACTGGTTTTGAGGGAATGAGATATCATCGATGAGGATGAGAAAGAGATGATTGATGAAGGAGCAAACCCCCGCTTGGGGCCTCTTACGGACACATTTCTACACCCCCTCGACTACCGGTGCGAAAATCTTCGTCACCCTGTCGCTGTGTAGAGGTCGAAATGCTCAAGGTGAAGAATGTGGGTTTTGAAAAACGGAACGACAGGGTTCTCTGATGGAGAACAATCAAGCACATCTACGCTTGATTCAAAGGTTTGACAAACCTACCTATCAAGGCAAGCTCGACAGTAGACAATAAAGTTAGTTTAGAGAGATGAAATGGAGGCAACGTACACTCTCGCAATGGTATTCGTATCTTACCTTCTGATTGTGGCTTAGCGTTGGCGATCATCCAGCCACAGATAACAGTCCTTCTGTCCTGCTTCAAGAGGTACAATTGTCTTGGACTCACACATAACATTAGAAGAATAACTTGGCGACTTTCGACATGGCCATTATCGATTCCAAANAAGTCGAACCAGCTCAATACCGCTGGCACAGAGTTCAAGATACAGCAAACTCAGTACAACGACGAGGAAACGGCACCGAGAACTGGGTCGGCCTTCGCAAGGAGAACGCCAGAGGTCAATACGACTGTCACATTGCTGTCAAAGCGACTTTGCAACATCCTTTGACACTGGCTACAATTAAACAGCGACTTCTTAATGGTCTTTNNTTGAAAGAGAGGTTTGAGCATCCTAATATTGCTTGCAAGGCTTTCTGGGATGAACAGTTTGGTCCTTTAATCCGATATACGCCTCCGTCTGATAATGAAAAAGCGGTCCTTTGGGCTCAACAAAGGGTGCAAGTGTGTGCGACGACTCAGACTGCTTTGGAGTTGAGATGGGAAATTGCGTCGAGAAGGAAAGCACAAAACAAATCGTCTGAATCTTTCACCATCTATGTTCTAGCCGATATGTCAGACACTGACACTCTTATGGCCAAAGGCTCTTCTCTTGAGATTCTAGTCCACTTTAACCACATCTACTGGGATGGTATCAGTGCTCGACTGTTTCTTGGACATCTCTTAAGTAGCATCGGACAAGACTTGAAGCATGCACGATACGATTGGGGCTGCGAAACCAATAACCTAAGTCCACCAATCCTTGACGCGTTGAAGGTTGATCCGCAGACGTTGGGCAGAGATTACGAAGACAGCCTCGAAGAATTTGTGTCAATCATGTTCAAGTTTGATGTACGTCTTGAGCTTATGCGTAAATTTATCAGAATAGCATGGCTAATTCGAGCTTTCTAGTCAAGTCATGCCATGCCAATCGGGACTAATCCAGGACTGCCAGAAACTGCTGTTCTCCAATTGAGTCCTGTTGAATGCCAGAAGATCATCAAGGCAGTAAAGTCTCGGCTCGGCCCTGGATATACCATAACGCATCTAGGTCAAGCGGCAACCCTGTTGACTTTACTCAAGCTCAGTCCACTCTCACAAGAAGCCCTGCGCGAAAAATCAGTCATAATGCCATTACCTGTCAACGGACGACGATACCTACGAGAAGGACTTGCAGACCATCAATATGGTAGCTGTCAAGCCTGTGCAGTGGTTACTTTTGATAATCTTGAGCAATTTGCTGTGAACTTTGATAACAGAGAAGCTGTGATTGATGCTTTGATGAACGCCATGAAAGTCACAAAAACTGCTTATGACTATTGGCTTGATAAGCCGTATCTCTTGCCACTTGGGATTGCGAAAGACAACTTCTTTTCGGCATTGTTGGAATCGTAAGTGAATGATTCTCTCCCTACAACCACAGTCAAGCTGATTTGATGTTTGCTTGCCGGATAGGNNAGCGAAAGCAAACCTGATGGTAAAGCCGTACCAGTGAGTCTTGATGCTGTCTTGATTATTGAACAGAAAGATTTGCTAATGTTCACCGGATGACAGATCTTTGCCAGCGACGGTTTGGATGATCTTTATATTCCGAGAACTGTTTCAAGGCCCGATGGATCTTCAGTCTTGGATGTGGATGATGTGGTGTTTCTCACAGACACCTACGAGCCAGGGATGTAAGTTTCGCCATCTCTTAATTCGGCTTCTAGTTGACTTCACTGACTACTACAGTNNCTATTGCGGATGGAAGGTTGGAATGGAACTACTTCTCTGTCACTGAGTTACTGCGATGGCAGCTATTCCTCAGAAGAAGCAATGGCTTTCCTGCAATGTATGAAGGAGTTCATGATGGGCCTGGCAAATTGAGCCAAGATAGGGTCTCGTTTTGTTGCATTTGTGTTTAGCTGTTGGCTTCCCATAGCACTCCATGGAGTAAGCTTGTCTCTGGGTCGAGCCTTTGTGAACTCCACCTTTTCAATGCTCACAGAAGCTGAAATCGTCCTGTTCGTACATATCGTTGACGTCACCCACAAAAGCCCTTCTTTCATCCATCAGTTCCTCTCTCAACTTCTTCGCTTCCTCAAGGTTGATGGGGAAGTCTTCTACTTCGGACATGACTTGGTGACGCAACTCCGGAGGCAGCTTGTCCAGTTTGCAATCTAATCCTTGCACGGCTTCAGCCCACCACTCTCTTTGCTGAGGCGGTACATTGGCTGTGCTGATGACGCGATGAAACGGATCTACCAAGAAGAGAGCGAGAATCTTGCGGTGGCCAGGTTTGGTAGGATCCGCGAGCTTGAATGGCTGAACTTGATGCTGCAGCACATTAGGGAAAGCCAACAGGCGTCCTTCATTCGTGGCTACTTGTCCAATTCTTTGAACACCAGGGCCGTTTCGCTCAACATCGAAAAGATAGCATACACCATCGTTGTCGTCCTGGGCGTAGTCGCGTTCTACCAAGCCGTAAGTTGAGACCTTGGTCCTGAATGCGAGATGTGATTCTGTGATGTTCTCGTTGTCGTAATAGTAGAGAGCTGTTGCGCAGATGTGTTCGTTGAGTTTGCCTTCGATGTGCCAGCTACCACCGAAGTATTCGGGGTTCGAAGGTGTGAGGTGTATGTTAGCCAGCTTGACAATCACCTGAATGCCGGTTTTTTTGAAGTGCTCGCGCAGGTTGAGTGGCTTGATTGCCCGATCGCCTTGGCGGGCATTTGAGTCATATGTGAGAGCATCTGGCTTGACGAGGACGCGATTGTCTCTGACCTATATGGAAACATTGATTAGCTTTTCCCGCATATAGAATTTTGACTTCGCCAAGAACAGTCATCATGTGTATATCGTCGTACCCATTCTTGAACCCCGTTCCTAGGATAACCCAAACGAACAAGAGTGTTTTGTATCTTCTTCGTGCCTCGACATCTCCCCCTGATATAGAGCAAGAGCTGCACTTACCCATTGTTCTTTGACTTCGTAGTATTCGTCATCCTCTTCAGTGAACTCGCTTCCCACATTCTCCGGGGCTTCTTCACCCCGAGGGAACTCGTACTCTGTGCCGGTCATAGGGACACGAAGTTCTTTAACATCTCGGCGGATGTATGATGAGAGTACAAGGTCCCAGGCAGGAACCGACTTGGCAATGAATTTTTCGATGACCGGATAGATGGATTTGTGATGGACTGGGTGAAGGTTGTTGATGTAACTCGTGATCTTGACTCCCTCGCCTTCGGANAAGGTCACATTGCTCGGCAGCCACTGGAAACGATTGGACCAGTAAGCGGTTTCAGCAGGGCCGTGTCTCCATGGCCAAGTGTTCCTTTCGCCCAGTATACGATCGTCCTCGCTAGGTACTGGGATAATCTCGCCCTTGCCGGACGTCTGAACGCAGTCTTCCAGGGCAACATTGCCAGTGGGAAGAATCCTCGTTCGGCCATAGATCAAGGGAAACAGAGATGGGTGGACCAGGTCAAGGACTTGTTCTTTGGATCCTGGATGCCAGTCTTTAGCGCTAGCTAGGACATCTTCAAGAGTTGCCACAGCCTTCTTGAGCTCTTCCTTCAAATCCGGGGAAACAATGCTGTCCGACTTGACTACAGCCCACTCAGAATCCAGTACGGCAGTCAAGTCATCTTCTTTGTGCTGGCTAGCTTTATCCTGAAGCTCTGCAACACACTGGTTCTGTTAGCGAACCGACTCGTGGAGGAGAATAATCGCAAAACTCACATAGTCAAACATCTTCTCGGTAAAGCCTTGTCCCTCCTCAGTGATTGCTTCAGCTCGCCATTTGGCGATGATCGTGTCGTCAAACACCTTTCTTCTCCAATCAGGTTTGTCGGTGATTGCATTGACGACTTGCATCATGTTTCGCTCGCGTACGGTAAGTGGTTCGGGACTCCACCCCTGAAGCGCGATCGGACAGCGATTGAACAAATCTCTCTCCCCCTGAATGATATGGAGCATATTTCTTTTGTTCGAGCATAGCATTAAGAGGCCGACCGAATCCAGGGAGGAGTATTCTACCATCTTCAGACACGCAAGGTGTCGTTTCGTTGAGCTTGTCTTCGCTGATCCATGACCACTCAACCTTGACAGGCTTGTAAATGGCAGGCTTGTCCGCTGCTGGTGCTGCTTCCGTTGCTGGTGCTGCTTCTGTTGTTGCTTCTGCTGCTGCTCGCATCATGGAAGTTCGCGCCATTGTCGGTGAGGAGAATAGCCTGATAGAAGAGTGTATAATGCTTGGTTGTAGATGTTGCGGAGAACAGGAGGAAGGCACGAGGTACTTATGTATCCTTCCACGTCCGTGCTTGACAAGGAGATGCCAAGTTTAGGGAAGCCATACAGGCACCCAATGGCTGTTGCAGCCTCAGTCACCTGGCACAGCATCTGTTCACGGAGATTACTCCAGGCGACAACAGTGCGTGAAAAGGCAGCGCGTGTTGATGTCAAGGCAGCCACGGCGGTGTGGGCTGATTCAGTAACGGCGCCACCAATACCAGAACCCCACAATCTGCGAACGCCCCCTGCGCGACTCATCTCGCCAAGAATTCCTGCGAGGGCTGATCGACAGCCCCTGATGGACTGGCAGGGATGGACCTCCACGATGCATCTTGATCTCTTCCATGGTCTTCAGCGCTCTGACTACCTCTGTTTGAAGGATTGCGTGAAATTGAGCCTCGTTTCAATCTATACGAAAGTTGCCTTGATCAAACTAATACAGCCACGGTATCCCAGGGGATATCAGACCAAGTCGTCCTCACGAACAGGTGAAAGGTTCAAGGACAGCAATTGCTAGTAGTGGTTTCGTATGCTTTCATAACACATGAGCTTTCCTAAACTTCTCATGACACATCTGGTTGTATGAACCCTTCCAATCCTTCTCCTCGAGCGGCTTCTCTAAAGGACAACTGGTTTGCGTGTCCAGCAAATTCGTCCCCGGCGAGCAAAAATCGCCGTGACAATAACATATATCATCGCCAAAGTAATGTATCTCCTCTGGTTTCAGCAGTAATGTCGCTGCAAAAGACCTGACGGAAGCATCGCCCCAGCGCTCGTAATAGAAGCCGCCGAGTTCATCTAGATGCTCCATCATGTGTCTATAGCCTTCTTCTCGGAAGAAGTCCAGATCTGCAATCTCGAAGTTGTTCCAGAAGTGGCAGAGGTTCCATTCGTCGCCATTGATATCACGGTAGGGTGCCAGACGCAACAGCCAGCGGATGGGAAAGGGTGCCCATGAGGGATCGACCAAAGCGTCCCAGTATCGAGATGGTATTATGTTCAGTCGGTCTTTGTAGTCGCTGACGACTCTGTAGAGACTGCGGACTGTGGACCCGACTTCTTGCAACGCGATAACATATGCATAACGTTTCTTCTCGCGCGACATGTATGCGAAAGGGTCGAAGTTTATGGGACAGTCAAAGGAGATGCCAGGTTCAATGCGCCAGTACCATTTGTATGATTGTATAGCTGGATGGTCGTAGAATTTNCCTGAGGCGTTGTTAGTCGGACCATCGTGAGCTTGGGATGGAATATCTGACATGGAATAGAATCGACACATGTGGTGATAACTTTCTTGACCTGCGTGGACAATTCCTCGGTCTCCTTGCTCTTTAATGTGTGCTCGAGCGGCATCTTGATCGACATGATCTGGGTAACCCCACAGTTCAGGAGAAATGGTGTCGAAGATGGTCTGCCCGCTAACGATGCTCGACACCCCTTGCATGAATTCATCAGTCCATTGCTCATCATTGAGGAACACAACTGGGTAATGATATCGATGGTTGAACTGCGATTCGAAAGACGAAAGGGCGTCCACGGCTTCCTCAAGATCGTCATTCCGGGCAAGCATGAGTATTGTCGCATTCTGTCGAGGCGCTAGTGCATCATCATCAAGAGAGTGTCCATTTGTGCGACAACTCGTAAGTGGTGTTTTGTTGACGTGAATCTGTGGTTGTTTTGTCGACAGACTTGACAAGTGAAACCAGATCTCAAGTAGAAACACCAGGCAGATGGCAAGGGCGTACCGCTTTACAGTGCCGTTCACCGAGCACGAAGGTAATCTCATGATGGCGCATGTTGAATGGGAAAGGAAGAGGTCAGCTGGAAATGCAAGAACGATGGTCCTAACGTGAAGCACAGCTCCTCCAAGGATGCATCATAAGTCTCGGGCATGTCATCGCGGCGCAGTTGAAGGATTCCTTGGCCTGCGCTAGATCGTGCATATTTACCAGATTTATAACATCCCCACACCAATTTGAAGTCCAGAGTGTTTCGTGTATGACTGTGAGCACCTCCCACATTGTTCTTACAGCTTTGCGACAAGGCGACTCCGACGGTCCAGTTCTTAATCTGGCTTGTGCGGTCTTGAGATCCTAATCCCCGACAGCATGAGATCTATGTCGGTACTGAAGTACGAATTTCGAATCCTGCAACCAAACAAGAACCAAACGTGGCGGAGACGCGTCGACCGTTGTCTTGGCGTGATAAAAATCTGATAAGATAACGAGCTTCAGATCCGTCCCATTCGGAACTTTTTTAAGCTTGCAGAAGCTGACGCTTCTATCTCAACCAATTCCAAGAAAGTATGGACAGTCTATGGAGTGCACTCGTACAGCGCACTGTATTTGATGAGCGATACGCGCTACAGCTTCGGCCGTATGCCATCAAGCATGACGTTTGACCAGTCGAACCTGGTGACCACGAAGCTATCGCTATCCGACCCTTAACACTATCGACCTGACATGACTCAAGGCAGCCTTGTGCATGGAGTTACGTCCGAGCCAGGAGACGATTCCCAGTCTGCAATCAGAGCCAAGATGAGGCTCGCCAATTGATCTTCTTAACATGTCTTCTCCGAGGACTTGGCATGACATCGCTGAATCCTACAACTTGGCGAGTGGATCCTGCCTACAGAATAGTCAGATCTTGAGTCATGGTCCCAAACAGAATATGGAGACATCGAGCAACCATGAAAGATCGAAAAGGCCAAGGCCAACGTTCCAGCACACTATGTGGCTCACTTTGCGGAATTGTGATTGTTGTCGTCCAGATAGACGCAACAAGCTCTCTGAGCTGTTCACTGGTCATTTCGAAGTTCCCCCTGACTAGTAAACAGGTTGAGCCATCTTCGCACTTGTCGGGCAGAACTCTGACCATTCATCGGGCACAATCGAAGATACCGCTATCAGGCTCGCAATGCACCACCTTCCAAAGTTTGAACTGGCCAGACGTACGGTGGTTGTCTTCTCCCTGATTATCGGACTATTTCTGACATGGATCGCGCTTTCATCCTCATCTTCATCCGCTGGCACATTCATCGACAACGCCACATCTTCGCCTAGATTTGAGGACCCGACTTGGGATCTTCCTGCTTTGGATGTCCCTCCTGTGTCATGTGTTGGTCCGCGAGGATTGCGTCTGAACGAAAGCATGGATGACCGATTGAAATCGTCGTTTCATGATCTCTCCATGTATCCAGAACCCATCTCCGGTTCTTTCGAGGCCCTAGGTCTCAATAGGTCTTGGTCTACGGTCGATGAGCGATATGGTCCTTACGGATTCCGACAGACCGAAGAAGGTTACCAATATAGCCAAGTGAACTGGAAGAATGTCAAATGGGGGTCTTTGCAAGACCAATGTGCTCGTGATAACTCACAGCGACTTCCGAAACATTTCAACCTTACCAGTATGCGGCGGTTCCAATACAGAAAGTCTTCTGTATCAGCAAGATCCTTAAACAACGCAGCAGAGATATCCTCTGTCCGAGATGCAAGAAAGAAGTACGGCAAGCAAGCAATTGTGCTGAGAGCTTGGTCGACATACCCGTACACAGACGACGACAAGCAGAACCTTCGAAGCATTGTGGCTGAAGCTGCTCTCGCCAGTCATGGCAAGTACAATGTCTTCTTATTGGTTGATGTCAAAGATCTTGACGCTCATATACATTCTTCTGATGCTGGCTACACGTCCGTGCTCGAGAAGACTGTTCCTGAAGAGTTTCGAGACATGGCTGTTTTGTTTGATACCACAATGCTCGAAAGCTGGTATCCAGCTGTCCTTGAGCACTCACCTNTTTGGCAAATGATGCAACCTTTGCAGCTTTTCTCCCAACTCTATCCTGAATTTGACCACTATTGGCAACTGGAGATGGACGTTCGCGTGACCCAGCACGTCGGGCAGATACTGGACGCTTTTGACAAGTTTGGTGAAGAGCAGCCGCGGAAACAGTCCCACGAACGTGCTAGCTGGTCATACATGCCACAATTCCACGGCACATATGCAGACTTTACCCAGAGGATCAATTCAGCAATGCCTAATGGCACAGGGACCTGGGGGCCANTACGTATTGGTAAAGAGATTTCTCCCATTGGCCCAAGGCCGCCATCTCNNCCAAAGCCCGATGACACAGAAGCGAATTGGGAATGGGGTGTTGGAGAACCTGCAGACTTATTACTCCTCAATACATTGATGGACGTGCGAAGGCTGGAGGACTGGCCATTCAGACATTGGCACTACGGCTTCACGAAGGACAAAGATCTTCCTTACTGGCACTCTCCTCCAGCACAGGGACGAGCGAGCTGGAATTTGTTGAACGCGATACACCATGCTCAATCCAAACAAGATTTGCGCGTAGCTTCGGAAACCACATTACCTTCTTTCGCTCTCTGGCATGGTCTTAAGCTCGTTGGTCTCCCACTTCCAGTCTTCCAAGATCCGGAAAGAAACAGAGATGAGCTGAATTTTGTGCTCAATGGGNGAGACATAGAGCAATTTGCGGATGGCTTTGCGAATGGGCCTGTAAATACGAGAGGAGCTTCGATAGGCTTCTTTGTGGGCGGAAGAAGCTTCGATTGGGTAAGTCCCATGCCTGATCGGACTATGGCATATTGGAAAGGCGAGAAGCAGCCTGACGACGATATGCCTAAAGTCCTCGTCGAAAGAGATGGGAAAATCTACGCACCAGCGATGTTCATGCATCCAAGGAAGACCAATCCTTATAGGTCTGACTGAATAGATTCTAGTGCTTCCAGCCAGACTCTCAATGGGATCATGGTGACCGTCTATTGTCTTCGCTAGAGTAGACTCTACCTGATGTTCGTTGCCGTGGGCTAACTATGAGTATGTAGCAGTTAGCCGTGATGTTCAATATTGGTCTGATCTTTTCTACTTCTTTTACTGTTCAACGCGCGCGTCCAGTTAATTGTATGATTGAATTGCTCTGCTGCAATGCCTGAGTATTGTGACAACGCGATATAGGTAATCTCTATTTAGCCGAACAGCCGGAGCGCCCAGCATCTCCGACAACGCTGGAGATGTCACTCATGCATTGGCTAAACGCGGCACAGCAACCACTAAGGTAAGATTCAACAAAATTTTGCATGCTGCTTTTGAGTCACGACATGTCTGAACATATATAAACCACATTCCTGTATAGAATTAAGTATGCGCTGCTGCGAGTATTTGCGCGCACAATACTGAAAGAGATTTCATTGCCTCAGGCATTTGGTATAATGGACCGACCATCGGAANGCTCAACCGCAGGAAAAGGCACCCCCAGAATCTCAGCCGAGACATCAACAACAGATGCATCAGGATCCAAAGATGAAGCACTCGCACTCGCTGGCGAAAGGGCACGAGCAATAGACCCCGCGCTCGAACGTCGCGTTCTCAGGAAAATCGACCTCTTTCTCATGCCAGCCATGGTTATTGGCTACGGACTCGTATACTACGACAAAGCCATTTTAGGAAGTGCAGTACTGTTTGGCATGACAGCAGACCTACACCTTACTGTCATCGATCATTCGACCACACCACCAACGACCAATACAGACCGCTTGAGTTGGGCAACTTCATTGTTCTATTTTGGAATGCTTGCAGGTCTCTATCCAATGAGTTTCGCATTGCAGAAATTCAACATTGGAAGAATTCTCGGTCCCATTGTGGTGCTCTGGGGTGGCATCTGTATGTGCACTGCTGCAGTACAAGATTGGCGTGGTCTGTTTGTGCAAAGATTTGCTCTAGGTTTTGTGGAAAGCATCATTCCGACTGGATTCTCCTGCATTGTTTCTAGCTATTACACTCAACGAGAACAGACTTTCCGACAGGCTTGGTGGTTCTCGGGTACAGGACTCTTTACTATCATTGGAAGTGCGCTAAACTATGGCTTTGGTCAGATTACTGGAGGTGATTTGAGGCGCTGGCAGTACATCTATCTGCTTGCTGGTGCTTTGACAATCGTCTTTGGTGGCTGGTGTTTCTTGGTACCAAATTCACCGGTCAGTGCTTGGTTTTTGAGTCCAGAGGAACGCATCGTTGCTGTCGAGAGGCTTCGCAAAGGACAGACTGGAGTTCGCTGCAAGGAGATCAAGATGTACCAGATCAAGGAAGCTCTACTAGACGTCAAGGTATATCTGGTCTTCATCATGATGGGTTGCGCATACACGGTAAATGGTGCCGTCGCTGGATTCGGACCACTGATTGTAAGCACCTTCGGGTGGAACACTCTCCAGTCCATCCTACTTCAATTCCCCGTCGGCGGCATCAGTTGGCTAGGAATCTTACTTGCCGGCTTCATCCCACTTTACATTCGAAACGTCAGAGTCATCATCCTAGTCCTTTGCTGTCTGCCAGTCATTGTGGGTTGCGCATTGATCTGGAAAGCAGACTGGACACATCATGCCGCAGCTCCAGTAGTCGGCTACTCGATCATTGGCTTCTTCGGCCCTGTGGTCTCGCTGATCATTGCTTTGGGAATGTCGAATGTGGCAGGTGCTACCAAGAAGAGTTTCATGTCTGCAGCCATCTTTGTTGCTTACTGTGTTGGTAACATTGTCGGCCCGCAACTCATCAAGAGTCAGACTCGTCGCCAGCACTATCCCGAGCTGTGGACTGGGTTGATTATCTTCTACTGCATCACAATCGCTGCCTCTTGTACTTTGTACTACATTATGTGGCGCGAGAACAAGCGAAGAAATGGACTCAATCTCGATGAAGAAGATGCTGACCGACTTGCATTCAGAGATCTGACCGACAAGGAGAACCTTCATTTCAGATACGTTCTGTGAGCACTCATTGCACATCGTTAAGAAAGCCGGTTAAGCTGGAGATATCATGATTCCAATAAATCGTCTACATCTATCTATGTAGGTTCAAAAGTTCCAATATTGTTTTCCTTCTTCCAAATGGAGGTTCTCTCAGGTCGTAAGTCTTCGAGCGTTTACTCGTCGTTGCAAAGGACGTAACGGTAACGAGCCTTGCCTGCATCCATGTCGACAATGGCTGCGTTCGCATCCTTCATGGGACGCTTCTGGACCCAAGGGTGGATCTTCTGATCAGCTGCCAACTTCAACATCTCGTTGATCTCGTGAGGGGGTCCAATAGCGCTACCGCCAACCTTGACGCCATTTCCGATCAGAGTGAAGGCGTTGATGTTAGGGAGCTCGCCACCATCAGGAGCTCCAACCTGAATGAGCGTGCCTCTGGTCTTCAGCATGGAGACATAGCCTTCGAGAGGCATCTTTCCGCTGGACACGGTACAGATAATCAAGTCAAGAGTGCGGCGGTTGTTTGCTGCCCAGTCTTTGTCGTCGTCGGTAGCGATGTATTTGTCGGCGCCGAGCTTGAGAACCTCATCCTTCTTGCTTGCCTTACGAGAGATGCCAACAACCTCATCGGCTCCGAGGGCCTTGGCGAAGAGGACACCGAAGTGACCAAGACCACCGACACCAACGATACCGACNCTGTGGAGAGTTAGAGAGAGTCCAGAATTTGTCCATTGTCTGAAACTCACCTTCTTGCCAGGTCCGCATCCGTAGTTCTTCAGTGGCGAGTAGACGGTAACACCACCACAAAGCATGGGAGCGGCATCAGCGCTGTCCAGTCCCTCGGGAATGTTGAAGACGAATCTGCCAGGGTGACGAGCATAGGTAGCGTAACCACCGTAGGACTTGCCGCTGCCATCTTTGTACTTGTCGCCATATGTGTTGGTGACATTCATGCAGTGGTTCTCTTCGCCATTCTTGCAGTCCTCGCACTTTCCGCAGCTGTTCGATTGAGCGCCGACACCGACTNNAAGATGGTGTCAGTATGGGGCCAAGACAAAAGTGTGGTGTCAGGTATGCATACCTCTGTCGCCGACCTTGACGTGCTTGATGTTGCTTCCGACCTTGACGGCCTTGCCGACAATCTCGTGGCCGACACAGCAAGCTAGAGAAACGGTCAGCTGCGAGCAGAATCGCACATCTCACCCAGCGGGAGCTTACGGNTATGGTGTCTCGCCCCAGCCACTCTTCAGCATGTGAAGGTCGGAACCGCAGATACCACAGTGGGAGACCTTGATGTCGACGTCGTCCTCNGCCTATTACAAGTCAGTCGCATTCAAGTCGGTTTCAAGCTCAAACTTCTTACTCCACTTCTTGGGCTCGAATTCACCCCACTTCATGTTGCCCTTGACGGACTCCAGGNNGTCATGACCGAGCCAGCCTTCGAACTTGTAGTCGGTACCAGACATTGTTGCGATGGAATTGATTATGTGTTGGTTGCAATTGAGATGAAAGAGCTGGATAGAAAGAGGTTCAGTTGAGCGAAGGGATCGCACCTTCCCTTCTCTTATGTTTCCCCAGCCCAACAGCTCCAGACTGGTGATCTCATCGGCGAGCATAAATTCTAGAGCTTCTGGACGGAGATAGTGTATGGCCGTCCAATTATCCACGGAATGCAGCGGACTATGTCACCGCGGCTCTTAGTTGTCACAAACTATCTTGTACAGGAAGGTCGTGATGTTTGAACACGGAGTTAAGAGCTGTCTTCAATTGATCATGATGATGAGACGTTCAAGCCCTTATCGTCAACGCCGATGACGTATCGAGCTCAAAACGTTCGCACCTCCGCTCGTCGGCCGAAACACATTTCATGTGCTTCAACAAGACAAGTTACATTAACTCTGCACCCGTCGGCGTAGATTGTCTTCATGGGTTGAAGAAGAAGGTGATGAGTGTTTGTCTCCTCGAGAATGGATCGCTGTTCGGGAAAGGCCAATCTTCATCACAAAACTCTTGGCTCTTCACAGCATCAGAAGACTGCATGTCCATAAGTCGGTTTGACCAGTAAATGGTGAGCTCAAGGCCAACTACTTACAATCATCTCATCACTGGGCAAGGCAACTTCGCCTAAAGAAAATGGCCAGTACCGTCTGTGTGGCCTGATCCATTGAAGGGTATCGACCATATCTGGATAGAGAGCATCATGTGTTACAGTGAGAACCGATGTACCAGATCTCGCAAGACTTCAAGAACAAAAGCCAGATCAACGCCTTTCAACCCTATGAAAGACTCGGCGCCACACTCCATAAGAGCGTTCACCTTGATCACGAAGCAGAGTGAACCGAGCTATTAGCTGACCACCCTCGGAACTTCTTGCCATAGAAGTACAAGGGCACCGCACCAAGCAGCATACACCCGAGGCTCAAAGCAGCAATGGTCATAAGAGGACCGATATAACCGCTTTTCACTATCCATTCGTTCAAGAATTTGCTCAACCCGTAGCCCCACACGTTCTTGAACACGGTGGCACAGACGAGATATTCGCCGGCCGCAGGCTTTNNGTAGCAGTCGACCNNTGAGAGAGTCAAGTTAGTGATACAAGCAGCAAAGCCACGAGTCGAACTTACCACGTAGGTGATGGCGATACCCGACACAGCGGCCACTTGGACTCCGATTAAAGTGAAGCCCACGATAACGACCACTTCCCAAGGCCATCCATACTGGAACCCAAGACTCAGAACAATCGAACCAATGATGGTGCAGATAGCGAAAGGCATAAGGGCCGGCAGACGCATCTCAGGTTCTCGGACGCCGTTGTTGCGAACAGTTGCTCGTTGAGAAACCCGATCACTGAGTGGACCTGCTGTGAGAAGCGAGATGCATACGCCGACCCAGAAAGCCAGATTCGTGTAACCAACATTTGCAGGGCTGAAGCTGTATGGTGGAGCGCCGAGAGCTTGCGACTGTATGAGGTTGATCATAAGATAGCAAGATGCAGAGAGAGTGAACTGGATGGCTCCCCAGAGGACAATGGGGAATCTTGCTAGCTTGAAGGGCAGGATGATGGCCTCTAACACAGGCTCGTGTGCTTTCCATCCTACCACAGGCAGCATCTGAGTTTTGCTCGGCTTGCCCGAGATGCGTTCCTCACGAGGATCGTCGGTGTATGGGGCCGGTCGATGAATGTTTTCAGTTCCGTCGATCTGCTCTGTCTTTGTGACCATCATGTCGTCCTTCAGAGATGAATCGCTGGTTTGGGCCTGCATCTCCATGTTCGCGACAGGAGAGCCTCGTCGATCCCACTTGGTTTCGGGCAAGAAGAACATGACCCAAACAATGGTGAAGGCTGAGATCGCTGAGGTGACCCACCAGAAACTCTGCCAACCGTAATCTTGAGAGGTGACGCCGGCTAGGATTGGTCCAATCNNTATCTTACTGTCAACTCACTGTACGGAAAAGGGTCCATCAGCAAATCTCACCATCAATCCACTCCAGAAGGACCACTGATAGAGTCCCATCCAGCGCCCACGTTCATGGAGAAACGAGATATCAGCGATGATGATCGGACCAAGAGTCTCACCAGGCGAGGCACCAATACCACAAAGTATGGAGGCACCGAGGAACGAATTATAAGATGTAGCTCTGGCTCTCCAAATACACGAAGCCATCGTGATAATTGTGGTTATGATGGCGACGGGCCGCCTGCCGAGGCCACGGGACAGCGGGACCCAGATGAAGTTCGTGAAACCCAGGATCAGGATGGACACGCCGACGAAGTTGATGACTGCTGGCAGCGACGAATCGAAGTCTTTCATGTAGTAAGGAATCTGAGGAGCTAGAGACAAGGGACCGACACCATAATTGAAGGTGCAAAGCGCCATGGAGCTCATAGTGAGCCACTTCCATGTTCGACTCCAGTTCAGCGGGTCATTGGGATCGTTGCTGGGTTGTGGCACCAGGGTGTGCTTTCCTGCATGCTTCAGATGCACGTCTGCGACTNNAGATCACGAGAGTCGTCAGCAAGGAGCTGTAAATGGACAAAGCGCTTGCCATATACCATCGATCATGATTTCTGTTCCAGGATAGACGACGACTCCCAGCACCTCTTGGGCTACTCCCCGTAGTGTTTCGCCAGATGCATCTTGCGCCATTTCGACTGAGGATTGAATACAGTCGCTGTGGTTGCTGAGCTTCCTGAGGAATTGATCTACTCATGTCAAGCGAGGCCTGAGCGGACTATTTCTACCCCATGGTGTCAATTGTGGGGTATTATCAAGCCAGCCAGAGCGATCGTCAGGCCAAACGAAGCGATCAAATCATATCGGGCGGCAGTACCAAAAGGGATGGTATCTTCCTGCATTCAACGAGTACTTGGATCTACCCCGCGAACTCTACGAAATAGATGCAAACGGCAGTTCGAGCGATGAGAAATCGGCAGAGAGGTGTCCTGTCGTGTAGGCTAGACTTGTCTTCATAACCGCGGCGAGACTGACCATTGGCCGAAGTTTGCTGTATTGGGTAAGAAAGCTATCAAGAACACGTGGCTGGTGGCGTTGGTGAAAGAAGCTTGGCTATAGCCAGTCGATAAGGTTAGTCACTCTCCTGGGAGTCAAGCTGGTGGTCAGTCAGGAAGCGCGGGAGCCATAGTCGAGAGTGAGGTACAGGAGGCTTTTATGCGAGATGTTCCTTGGCCATGCAGATATCGACAAGACTAGAGGACAAGGTATTGAGAAGCGAAATTCCGTCAACTGGCCAATATCATCGAACCGATCTGAGTAAACAGTCTGATGCTTGACAGCACCCATGTCAGAGCTTGTCCCATGCGAAGTACAATTTAGCGTTCTTTCTGTAGTCCAGATGACAGTCTTGGCACTGCTAGATTAGGACTTGCCGACTCTGGGGTGTGCAATCGAGGGAGTCTCGGCTGGCCAGGGAATTGAAGGGAAACGACGGCGAGCAGACTTCCCCGACTGTTTACACCTGCAATTACGACCGGCGAGAGGCTACTACTAAAGCACTGCTGGTCTGCGACTGGAAGGCTTAGTCGAGGGGTGTGATGGGTCATGATCACCAAGCTCCCATACGTCTTACTCTTTCTTCGTGTCCTGCAATGCTAAAGCAGCTGGACTCATGACTCAGCTTTGTATACTGTTGTCTTGCAAGGGCAACTCAAATGCTGTCCCTCACTCTCACTGCCGCCCTGTCTGCCGACGCGAGTTTCGCGACGCAGCAGTGCGGACGAGTTTCAAGAGGAGAAGGAGGTTATTGATGGTGGGGTAAACCTGGGGGATGGGTTAAACCCGCAAGCCAAACTGCTCGGTGGCTGTACCTCGTGGCATTCTGGCGGGAGGTTAACCGGAGTACCATATCTGAGAGAGCGGTGACTGTCTCATGAAGCTAGAGTTTCGATTTCAAACCCGCAGTGAGACTGATGATTGATCATAAGCCAGAATGTTTTCTCGACAAAAAGAGCAGGGTTGTCCTGACAGCACACTTTCCAATCGTAGAATCGACAACATTGTTCATAACACTGTATGAGTTTCTCAAAAGTGAGATGTCTTTCAAGCATATTTGAGTCATGTCTGAGAGCATGTTGTGACTGACCCTCGTCACCGCACCATGTCGAGTAATGAAGCATTTGAACAAATTCTTCATCGAGATGACTTCCATATGGGTGAGTGTTGTTGCGTCAACTACGCCATCACTTCACTGAACCGTAGCTATCATATGATTTCTGAATAATCACGACTCTATCAGAGACTCAAGCATATAATGGTCCGATGTGTGGAGCAGCAAGATGGTCACCCTCATATATGTCAGCAACTCTGCCAAGAATCTCCACCCGAGGCAGCAACATAAGGTTCAACAAAACCACCAACTTCCCCTCACTCTTCCAATTACCCTATATCAGTAACATAAACCGCAAAGTCCCAAGGACCCATCACCGTTCCGATCAATACCCAAATCGCTTGTAACACTCGAGATGGCCGCAGTACAATCGCTCCTTAAACCGGTCTTCGCCCTTGTCGGCTGGACCTTCGCAATGGAAGGCTGGATGTACGCAACCCGCCTGCCCGCAATGACAAAGTACAAAGTCAAGACAGACCCAAACTTCTCCAAAGAGAAATTGAACAACCAAATCCNNCCCCCTCATGTGAGATGGAAGGGTAAGCATTCCCGGCCTAACTCAAGAATACACCAAGTTGCTGATCACATAACACACANNGCTGACAACTACGACCATCTCCACGAAGCGCCTACACGTTTTTATGCTGTCGCTTTGGGACTTGCGCTGTATGCTAGCACTTCGCCTGCTGCGTTGACCACAGGCTTTATGGCTAAGGAGGCCAATTTAGCTTGGGGATATGTCGCGTTGAGGGTTGCACACAGTATTGTGCAAGCGAGCTCTAACCCCATCATGGTGAGGTTCGGCTTGTTTGCTGCTAGCGAGATTACCATGCTGGGGTTGCTGCTCAAGGGTTTCAGTGCAATCTATGCCGCCAAGGGTGTTGGAAGCTTGATTTGAGAAGAATCTTGCAAGGGAAGAGGGTTGAAGAAGTTGTTGATGTGTGAATGAGGATATCTCTCTGCTTCACGCTGCTTCTGCTTCCATCAATCATTGTTTCCACACATGTTCCATCTCCGCAAGACACAACACAACCACCAATATCTGTTGCAACGAAGTCAGCATCAACTCTCTCAGAGATCATAGAATCGTTGAGCAAGTCTCGACAAAACTTACAAAAGTGAGATCAACTCCGGCGTTGACTTGCGCCTCCCACACCGTACGATCCAACGCATACCTCTCTAGCCTATACACATCATTCGCTTCTGTATTCGTGATGGTCGCCATCTCTATACCCTTATACCTCACACAAGTGGTAAGCGCACCCCGATCCCTAGGTCTGATCTCAATAGTCTCACCCACATCATCTGCAACACTTTGACCATGAATGACTGCATCAAGCATACTTCTGTTCCTCGCTTCAAAGCCCTTGACGTGTTTTAGACTTGCGAGGCGATTTTTTGGAGGAAGGNNGGTTTCGACGCTCCAGTCGTTGAGCATGGCGTAGCCTTTATGGCGCAAGTCGAAGAGGTGTTGGTTAGAGGAGGTAAAAATGCTGCGACGCCAGGAAAANGAAGTAGCGCCCGGGCTGGAGATGTGGAAGAGGTTGTCTCCAGTGGAAGAGTCGGTTGCATCGACGCTTTTGAAGGTGCGGTCGTGGCAGTGGATTTTTATGGTGCAGGGCGATTGGCGTGTGAAGCCTGGTACCAGAGTCGGTAGTTTCGTGGAGGGGTCTGCGAAAGGATCCATCATGAAAGGTTATTAATTTGGTTTTTGTTGCTGATTCAAGTGCCGGCAGTGGGCAAAAGCTATCGAGAGAAGGTGGAAATATTTTGCGAAAAGATGAGTAGGATTGCTATCGACGCTATCGCGGCGCCCAAGCCGTTCTTATATCAGCACACATTGCATCCACTTCGAGTCATGGGCGTTGGTGGCTGTTCGCCGATCAAACAGATCGTTCGAATCCTTCGAGCGTTCTTCTGCACCCGTTTTTGGTATGCAGCGCGACTCAGCAAATCTCAAGACTCCACATGTTTACTCAGCCGCACAGTCGTATTAACAGCTGCCGGTTAAACTTGACAGTAATCACCCATGAGCTTATCTCACTTGTTTTCAAGATACTGTATAAAAGTGCATCAAAAACAGGTTGGTCATAGGAGAGTTCAAACAAACTCGTGTCGTGTCAAGCATTATTGAACGCTGCACCACCTAGCCTCGACTCCTGCCTCTTTGCGAATCAAATGCTCGAAAATCCTGCCCAACTCGAAGGCAGATTTCTTCGGATACCTCGTCTTCTCCGAGCTCTCAAAGTCAACCCACGAACCACCAAACCGATCAGTAAATCCAGCAGCCCACTCCCAATTGTCTGTGAACGTCCAGGCAAAATAGCTTCTGATGTCGACTCCATTGCGAACGGCATCAGCTACAGCACCTATGTACCCCTCAAAGAAGTCCTGACGGAAAGTATCGTCTAGCCAGAAGCCGGAAGTGGGATCCCAATCCTCTTCGCCCTTCGCAGTGGTGCCGTTTTCGGTGATGTAAATGGGCGTGTGGTAACGATTCCAGATCCAATGCAACAGACTCAAAAAGCCTGCTGGATTGCTTCTTAGCCATGCTGTTGCACTTTCTGCACCACGAGAGACGCCGGCTTTGTTGGTGTCGTGCGAGGTTATGTTACCCTTGTGGTCATTGATATCTGCTGGTTGGTCGCGGTGGCGCACATATAATGTGGTGTAACTGTTCATGCCATAGAAGTCAGACGAGCCTTGGACTAGCGCTTTCTCCTCAGGTGTAAAGTGGGGAAGACGATCTCCGAGTTGCTCTCGCATACAAGCTGGGTAGTCGCCAGAACCATACACGGGATCAGCAAACCAACCAATCTCGAATTGTAAGGCTCGCTCGGCGGCTTCGACATCCTTCGGGTCATCCTCGTCCCAGGGTGCGCTAAAGTTGCCGTGAAGGGTTATGCCAATGACACCTTTCTGTGTAGGCTTGAATTCCTCACGGTAGATCTTGACCGCATGAGCGTGACTGACCAGCTCGGTGTGCGCAACAATGAAAGGCTCGGTACTGCTATCTCCAGGATCATCACGACCGGGTAGGGATGAGCGCCCAGGAGCATGAACGCCCGCAGCATAGCCGGCCAGAGTGTAGACACCGGGCTCGTTGTAGGTGATCCAGTGCTTGACGCGATCACCTAGAGCAGTGAAGCAGACGCGTGCATAACGTTCGAAGTCAGCTATATACCGGGCTTGATCGAGCATACCACCATAGCGGTCTTCGAGTGCTTGAGGAGTGTCCCAGTGGAACAGAGTGACGAACGAAGTGATGTCGTTGGCCAGTAGTTCATCAACAAGGTTGCTGTAGTAGTTGAGTCCAGCTTCGTTCACAGGGTCGTCTTTACCACCAAGAGGAATGATACGGCTCCAAGCAAGACTGAAACGGTAGGAATTGACGCCCAGTTTCTTGAGCAGCTGGACATCTGCCTTGTAAAGATCATAGGCACGAGTAGCATCGGCATTGGTGCTACCATCAATGATCTTGCCGGGAATACGTGAGAACTTGTCCCAGATAGATTCGCCTTTACCGTCGGCATTCCATGCTCCTTCAACTTGAGCAGCTGCTGTTGCGAATCCCCAGTGAAAGTCTGGCCGGAGCACGGAAGCGTTTTCTGGCGAAGAAGCAATTGGGGGATCTTTCATGGCGAAGATGTTTTCAAGGTCTTGAAGAGTCAATGGATCCAAAATTGACTTACTAGATCGAGAGTTTTATCTGCTAGGGGTCATCAGGACTCAGGCTGAGAGGGTCGCTCAAAGATCCTCCGAAGCTGCGGGTTGACATGCATGTAGGATTGGTGCTACAGTACGCGAAGGACTCAGACGGATATGCGGGCCGGACATCCGATGGGGGCCACGATGGAAAGGCCATGAACAGGAAAAGGACATTGAAGAAACAGATCGCATGTGATTTTTCAAGTATGGCAACTCTAGTTCCTGATAGCTCCGCGTGATGGACTGAGCGTCAGAGCACAAAGCATGGGCTGCTGCATACGACAACCGTATCCATGATCGGACTATTTGGTGCCCGTATAATCCAACGCGAACATGAAGGAAGGACCGTCTTCCAGAGCAACCTTGAAGAACCTCAGGCAAGAGAGTGCGGGGAGACAGGGTTGCACGTGACCCGAAGCTAACGAGGATGATGCAACAGGCGTTCCAGGCCCAGGCGGTGTTTGCTAATGGGAGTCGCTCTTCATCAACCTTTCTCTTCTTGACACGACAAACACACAATCACCATGGCATCCTCAAGTAGCACCGCGACACCTCTGCTATACTCGTGTATCGCCTACCACAACACGATCCTCACCGAGCACACCACATCCGCCGCCTCGGCCACGTCCTCTCTAGCGTCTCTGATCCTCCCCAAGATCGACCACTCGTCCGCCCAGAAATTGACCTACACCCATGGCGCAAACCACATCCACTATATCGCAGACGCTGCTCCAGCCTCCGAAGGCAATGCTCCCGGTCTCACCTATCTCGTCATCGCCAAGCAAGACCTGGGACGTCGCATTCCCTTTGGCTACCTCGTCGAGATCAAGAAGCGCTTCCTGAACCAACATCCTAATGCCGACTTCGCCTCTCTACCTTCGTACGGTGCCGCCAGCTTTAACTCGGATCTCAAGAAGTTGATGGTCGAGTACGGAACCACAAAGGCTGGCCAGGACGATGCTTTCAAGAACGTCCAAGCCGAGATCGACAATGTCAGAGACATCATGAGCAAGAACATCGAACAGGTTCTGGAAAGAGGCGAGAGAATTGATTTGTTGGTTGACAAGACTGACCGTCTGGGTGGCTCCGCTCATGACTTCCGTGTCAGAAGCAGAGGCCTCAAGCGAAGGATGTGGTGGAAGAATATCAAGCTGATGGCCCTGCTTGTTCTTGTCATCATCTTCCTGGTTTACTTGTTGGTTGGTTTCGGATGCGGTCTGCCTGGTATGTATCGCCGACGCTCCACCTCCATTACAGCCGAGCTAACTTCTACCACAGGTTGGTCGCGATGCATTCACAACCAATCTCTATAAAATACGACTTACGACTTCTTACTCTGATCCCCTTGATTGCTTGGCTTAGCGCATGGTCTGTACATATTTTATCTAATACTTGCAAATTTTTCCACAATATACCCTGTTTGTCAACTACATGGCGACATTACTATCATCAAGAATACTTGCACTGATGCAAAGACAAAACGTCAGACGTACAAGAGGTGTGTGAGTAGCTGCGAATCTGCTAAGGCGGGTTTGTGTCCCGGGTAAATATGGCAAAATAAGTATGTGGGACACAAGAGGGTGTTAGCCGCGCAAAGCTCAATCTGCAGTTTTGTTCGCTTCTGTGAAAACCTCACTGCGATACTTGCCCAGCACCCACTCTTGGTATTCAATGATGCTCTCATTGCCCAATGTATCTTTCCAGAGTTCCTCCACACGTTCGCTCATTCGCCAAAACCTTGGGACACGCCAGAACAGCCTTGGCTTTGCAATATCGTTGATTTCGAATCTTGTGCCATACTCAGGTTCATCCAGATCTTGCTGTTCTCCAGGGCTCAGATAGAAGAACTCAAAGTCGATGGAGTGAGGGTATGGCATCTCAAAGCCAGCGGCGAANAACTTCAGGGCCGGCATTCGAGTCACGGCCTTAGCCATGGATTGCAGTAACGCCTCCATCTTTGGAGATGGCCAAGCGCGAAACGTGTGTGCGGTATTGTAGATCGCTCCCTGTTCACTCTCGGTTTCGGATTCGGTGGAGTACAGTACAGAGTCGTCAGAAAAGTCGGTAGTCCTGGCGAGAGCTTCTTCTTCAGCATACACTCGTTCGGGTGTGGGTGGCATGCTTTCCCAGTTTGGATCGAATGGAGGTTTGTCATCGTCACTGTCTGGCGTAACGTGGGGATTTTGTTCAAAGTACCAGCCGCCATCAGCTGCCATGCGATTCACCGTGATTCTCAAAATGGTAAGGTTAGGCCAGTACGGCGTTGGAACACCAGTCTCGCATGGCCAGAATAGTGTAGGAGATATGACAGCGTCATGAATATCCAGAATAGACAAACTCTCGAGCTGAGAAAATTTGTGGAGAGATTGACTCAAACGATCGATCGTATGACCAGGAAGGAAAAGACTTAGTGTTTCAGGATCTTCGTTAAGAGGGGTATCTGTAGGGATGGAAAAATATGCCTGATGTATGATAGAGCTTTCGAGCATGGGTAAATGCTTCGCAAATTCTNNATCTCAGTGGTCAGCCAACAAGTCATCTGTGCGACCATTCCTTTGCTGCATACCATAACGATCCCTTCGTGCTCGATTCGAGTTGAGGGGTTCGTTATTATTAAAACATGTCCAATGGCACATCTGCAACCTCGGAAGCCTAGAAGCGATCAGAGGCAAACTTCCCATCCTGATATTTGTATTATCCAATCTGAAGACAGTGATGCGTTCAACCTTGGGTATCGTATCTGAGGCCAAGAGTCTTATGGGTTCCGGTAGAGGCCCCTCCAGACATATGTACAAAGTGATTGGTCGATCTCTTTTNTCATCAAAATGCCAGGAAGACAAGGTGGTAAACAAATCTCTGACTGCCACAGAGAAGTCTTCATTGTTATATTGCTTCTCTGCAGCCCGTTCAGTCCTGGAGCGAGCCCGCCATCTCTTTTCAGAGCGGCTAGGTGGTGCCCAGACCAGGACGACTTCAGACAGATAGGGACGCCTCTCGATACCTAGGCGACCCCTAAAGACTTGCGCAAATGTCTCTGTTTCCGTGCTCTTGACCTGCATAGCATTGTAAATACGACTCTCGACGACGACTCGCCATTGTTTCNNGGAAACAAGAGCCAGACACGCATATCTTGGTTTTGATGATCTTCTTGATAGAAGATCATCATGATCATCCGGACGTGATACGATGTCGAAGATTCTCACAATCAATTCCGGAGGCAGAGCATCCATCGTGACAGTGTTATGGCGAGCGTCGAGAGAAACAATGTTCCTTGAAGTTGATGTGCTTCTCTTGTTTCCAGTTGAGTGGGGCTGCAGGGTGCCAAGTGCGATTGGCGACCACAACTTTTACCTCCATGCTCGTGGACTAGGAGGAATCCATGCTAAGGATCATGAGACAACATCACACTGGAGCACAGTATCAGATACAAAGGTAAAGTTAAGAATGAGTTGTCACGAAATGACACAAAGCATCCATCTGCACGCGGCTGAACTGCGGCAAGAACGCCTCAATCAAGCCGCGGATCGCACCTTCTCTCCACTTCAAACTTCCCCCTTAAACCCATCAACCTCTTCTTCCAACACAATCCTCTGGTTCTTGGCCTTCTGGATGTCAAGACTGATCTTCACTGGATTGGCGCCAGGTGTCCCGAAGACGACATCAATTTCTTCCAAGCTCAAGCCGTACGTCTCTGGAAANATGAAATATGACGCAATGAGCTGCAGAGTGTTGTACACAACATAGACAGCCCAGATCTTGTATCCGAGCTTGTTAATGCCGACCGCGATGCCGCAATTCTGGACACTACCTGCTGCGCCCTGGATGAAGGAGTAGACGCCCATACCTCGTGCTCGGAGCGCCAGTGATAGTATCTCCACTGGATACAGGTTGTGCATGGTCGCGATGAAAGTTGCTGAGCAGACTTGGAAGGTGTAGACCCAAAGGATGGTCAACCCTGCCGCTGCATGTGTGGGGTTGACACTATATTGCCATGACGTGATCGTTGTCGCGGTCTGCAAGATGATTATACTGATAAGACCGGCGAAGATGAGGGAACGTCTGCGGAACTTATCGATGATATAAGAGCCGAACAGAGTGAAGACGAAGTATACGGCGGTCGATCCGAGCTGNGCTAACCAAAGTTTAGTACGATTTCTCAAGCTCGGAATTCTGACCTTGACTTACATTCCAAGTTGCTTCATGGGCTTCTTGATACCGACCAGGATCAAGGCTGGAGTCAAGTAGTAGGTGATGATACCGCCTCCATTCCACTGCTGGAAGATGGAGTACAGAGTCAAGACCAGCATACGGAACCTGACGGCTTTGGTGAAGAAGACCCGATAGTCCCACCAAGCGCCAGCCAATGCTTTTNNTTCGTTCTCAAGGGATTCGTCAATCTGGCTGATTACTACGTTCACCAGAGGCTCGTCCAGGTTACCACTAGTGGTGTGGTACTTGGCAACAACATGCTTTGCGGCATCCCTCTTTCCCACTTTGACCAAAAATCGAGGACTTTCTGGAGTCAAGAGGTAGATAGTAACGCAAACAACCAGCGCAAGGCCTGCTTGGAGAAGCAACGGAATCCGCCAGGAGTAGTTGCCTTCGAGTGTGGTGAGGCCGATCATGGCACCAGTCATACCGAGGGATCCGACCTGGAAGCATGCACCAAATACACCTACCAATCTGCCACGAAGATGGATTGGCGAGATCTCAGCCATGTACTGACTAGAGCTCATGAGGACGGTACCGAAGCCCATGAAGAACCTGNNTCTAGAATGTCAGCAAAGCTCGTATGCCATGATCTGGAGTTCTCGCCTTCCAGCCATGAACATCTCGGTGTTCTTTGCCCAAGCCTGCAACAGTGCAGCAAAAATGACGATGACATTGCCAGCAAAATTGACACCACGGCGACCAATCACGTCCGCCAGGCCCAGGAACGGAGCACCGCAGACAGTGCCAATGGTCATAAGCGCATTGATGACACCGATGGTAGAACCACTATATCCGAAACCGAAACAGGCGTGCAAAGCTGGAAGAGCGTTGATACCTCCAATGACGGCCCAATCAACGCCATAGCCAGCTTGGTTGCAGCCCTGAACGAATAGAATCATGGCAAGTCGCCATCCAGTTTTGGACTTGAGAGTTAAGGATTCCCTGGAAAGCTTATGGACGTCCTCATCTGTGAGACGGGCTATGGCAATCTCTTCGGTATACTCGGTCGCTTGTTTGGGGCTATTTGTGTTCTCGAGCTCGTGAACTTCCTCGCTTGCAATACCCATCTTTGCCAAATGATCTTTCAAAAGAGAACAATATGGTTCGACACGCACGAAACAGGTTGCTCGGACTGGATGGCGGGAGATTCTATGTTTCTGCTGTGGTGCGATCCTACACCCAATTCTTCGCTCTATCCTATCTTTCTGATCATGGGACCCATGGCCACAGAGTATGAAGCGTGTTCAGCCTGCTGAGCTGGCCAATTCAGAATGTACAGCAGAAAGGCTTTTGATCCTTCCTGATGCTTCGCTAGCAGCATAATAGGCAGAACACAGCGCGACAAAACGGTATCAATATTTTCCACGCACCAGGAAGGCAGAATTGCGCCCAAGTGTCTTTCTATTGGGTATCAGATTCGAGGTATGCATATGCTATTCGCAGATCAATAGCGTTTATGGCGCATTTGTGTCAACAACCTGGATAAGGTTCTGATCCGGACGTTGGAAGTGCTGCATGTTCTTTACCAATCTAACCTAGTTCCTGTCTCGATTGCGGGTACTAAATCAGTTTCTTCTAGCGCCAAAGATGTACCTCATACTGAGAGTTTTCCCGTAGGATCGAAGAACCCTGACCCCGCGTCTAGGTCCCATGGGGACCCCGCCAGATCGACAAACCACACCATGTCAGTCCACAAACCCCTTACCCCTCACCTTTTGCAAGATGCCAGCTTTCGCGACGACGTACACCGAGACATGTTTCTTGCCTGAGCATCCCTCTTGGACAGCCATACATCGGCTTGAATCTAGCAACCATGGCAGAATCGTCGAAACTCTGGTACGACAAATCAGCTGACGAATGGAACGAAGCTTTACCTGTCGGAAATGGTAGATTGGGTTGCATGATTCATGGTCGTACTGGAACCGAATTACTCTGCCTCAATGAGGATTCGGTATGGTATGGTGGACCACAAGACCGGGTCCCGCAGGATGCTTTGAAGAACCTTGCAAACTTAAGAGAGTATGTTAGGGAAGGCCATCATGCTCAAGCTGAGAAGCTGGTCAATCGAGCTTTTGTGGTTCGCCTAGCGGTCAGAGACATTTTGAGCNCTCTGGGAAATGTCAAAGTCGAATTTGGTCATGATGCTGCCAGAGTGACGGAGTACCGCAGAGAGCTTGATCTGAACACTGCCATCCACAAAACAGAGTATAGTCATGATGGCGCCAAAGTCAAGACAGAGATACTAGCGAGTGGGATTGACCAAGTTGTTGCCATGCGTGTTCAGATGGACACTAAAACTGAGTTTGTGGTCAGACTGACAAGAGAAAGCGAGATCGAATTTGAAAGCCATGAATACCTAGACTCTTTGGAAACGACACAGAACCAAACTATTATGCTCGCAACGCCAGGAGGTCACCAAAGTGTTCGAGCTTGTTGCGTTCTCCGCATCTCAACAGACGAGGAAGGCACCGTGGAAGCTGAAGGTGGTTCATTGGTCGTCGTTGCCAAAGAAGCACTTGTCGTTATTGCTGCAAGAACCAGCTTTCGTCATCACGACTTCCAAAATATAGCAGTCGGTGACGTCGCTACCGCAATTGATCGTGGTGCTAGAAGTATCTGGGACAACCATATCCAACACTACCAATCCTTGTATTGCCAGACGCAACTCACACTGGGTCCCACTTCACCTGATGATGCACTTCCCACGAATGGAAGGGNNATTGCAAAGGGCACAACGCCAGCCTTGGTAGCCCTGTATACCAACTACTCGCGCTATCTTCTTCTATCAAGCAGTCGACCAAGTAATGACAGCGATCAAACATTAGATCTTCCAGCGAATCTCCAAGGCATCTGGAATCCATCCTTCCATCCAGCTTGGGGATCAAAGTTCACCCTCAACATTAACTTACAGATGAACTACTGGGGATGCCTTCCTTTATCTCTAGCTTCATGCATGGAGCCTTTGTTCTCTCTTCTTCGTCGGCTTGCCCTTCCGGATAATGGCGGCAGAGTTGCGAAAGAGATGTATGGTGCAAGAGGCTGGTGCTGTCACAACAATACAGATCTCTGGGCTGATTGCTCCCCTTGTGAACGCTGGATGCCTGCCATGCTTTGGCCTCTAGGAGGTGCATGGTTGTCTTCCTTTATCTGGGAACATTATCTATTCACCTCTGATTTCTCAGCTCTGCGCAAAAACTTCCCCGTACTTGAAGGAGCAGTGGAGTTCTGCGTCGATTGGCTCGTTCTCGAGACTTTCACGGATGGCAAAGAGTATAGAGTAACGAACCCAAGTTTATCGCCAGAGAATGCGTTCCTCGACGAAAACACTGGAGAGAAGGGAATCTTCTGCAGGGGCAGTACAGCAGACCTGACAATCATTTCGTCGCTTTTTGAGGACTATCTCAATGCTTGCAAGACCTTGCAACTCAAACCACATCTCTTACGTGAGGTGGGCAATGCAATGCTCGCTCTTCCTTCACCTTCCATCTGCAAANAGACTGGCCGCTTGCAGGAATGGGGCATTGCTAATCATGCCGACGCCGAACCTGGTCACCGGCACGTCTCGCACTTGCTTGGAGTATATCCTTTTACTTGCATAGATATGGATGCTTCACCTAAGCTCTCCCGCGCAGCACTACGATCTCTCGAGATCAGATTAGCCAATGGAGGGGGACATACTGGATGGAGTCGTTCGCACTTACTATGCATATTCAGTCGCCTGCGTATGCCTGACAAGGTAGCAGAGTCTTTTGACGCTCTGCTCGAGAGTTCCACCCTACCGAATCTCTTCTCTTCTCATCCACCCTTCCAGATCGATGGCAACTTTGGCGCAGCAGCAGCAGTGGTTGAGTGCTTGGTGCAGAGCTTCGAGCTCACCGGACACGGCCAGAGAGTTTTGGGAATTTTACCTTGCTGGCCTAAGGAATGGGGTGATGGTGAGGTGAAGGGTATCTCGTGCAGAGGCGGATGGAGTGTAAGCTTCAGATGGCGAGAAGGTATGGTGGAAGGATGTGTTGAGGTCCAGAGTGTTATCGGAGAACACAACAATGACCAGAATGGAGACTGGAACGGAGTCAAAGAGACCCACAATTCCGAAGCCGAAGAGAGAAAAGGCGTTGTTGTGTTCCCTGACGGTCAACTCGTTGGATTCAAAGGTCATGGTCCGCACTTCTGTCGAGTAGAGTAAACCTATACTCAAGGTCCTGTTACCATCATGACAAGGCTTTGGCATGGAGTTACAAAAACGACACTCAGAGCAAAAAGTATGGTTTGCGATCGGCAAGTTGAGGGGATATGTTGTCATGGACCAACTTGCTGTCCAACAGATATGCAGATTCAAGCGCGAACAGATGTATACCCAGGCAATCACGAAGGATACTCTTTTGGCGTTCTTGCAGCCCTCACGAGGCAATTTGAAGAGATTCTCCGAGAACGTACTGTATTGCTTGATGTCTTTAGGATTTATCGACTGACAGAGCTCCGCTCTAGCCTCTAGTACTCATCATACTCCTCTTTGCCCCATTTGTTATACTTCTCATGCAACTCCNNTGCTCAAAACATCAGTAACGTTTCATCATCTCATTCTCAATCAAAACTCACCCTAGGCAAATTGACACCAGGCACAATGACCGAATTCAAAGCCGAAGGTGCATCCCTGACCTTCCCAGCCAATCTATCATGATAACGATACTTCCCCTTACCGCCCTCACCACCCTCTCTCCAAGGCTCCGAACCATTGATCTTGGTAGTTTCTTTCTCAGTACGGTCGCGCGTATAGTAAACACGACCGAGATGACGACCACCGAACCAACCTGCCAGAGCAAAGCCACCTGCTGTGATGGCGTAGAGAACNCTATATACGAAGGTAAGTAGTAGAAGACTAAGGGGTGGTCTGGAGAGGAGTAAAAGCAGACGTACGTATAGTTCTGGATCTTTTCTGGCTTCTTTGATGAGTTTTTTGTGGTCTGCGCGTGGGTCGGTGTGGGTTAACATTTGACTTGGACGTGCTCCGCCTTCTCCTGCGTTTATGCCTGAGGGAGATTTCAAGAACTTGGACGCTGAGAAAAGTGGACGGAAGATGCGTCTAGACATTGTAGTGATTGAAAGACCAGATGGTTAGAGAGGTGGTGTATCTTGAGAAGAAGCCTGGCGTTGCATGGTGTTATAGTCGCCCAGCTTCTGATTCAGTCAGAGAGGATACGCTCATTATCACGGAGAGGCGATGCGAAGCACTTAAATGACTGCTCGTTCTTTTATGTCTAGATGCCAGATGGAGACGAGTGGACGAACATCTGGGGACGCTGGACCCTGATCTGGCATGCATGAACGAGAGCGATTTGTGAGCTACCTCAATCTCCTAACTGGAACGTCACACCTTCGAACCTTTACTGTGGGAATATTGTAGCGTACTAGAGTATTACAATGGTATCCTCTGATGGTAAATACAAGTTATACATATAAATGCTGAGCGCTGTAACCCATCAAGCATACCTCCAGCACCTAAACCACAATGGATAGTTTCTGTCTCGGGCAAAACAACAGAACAAGACCTACAAGTTCTGAAAATAGTTTACAAGACGAATATCAACCGAGTTGGAAAGATCAAGCACGTCAAGTCTGATTTCATGTACAGTAACTTCACTATTTTTTCCAGCTATATATCTCACTCACATTCTAGATCCCTCACACAGCCAATCACAACCACTCCCAAGAGACCCTCCTTCATAACAGGGAGACGCGCCTCTGGCTTAGCGGTCAAGATTCATGTGTTTTGCTTTTTTGAAACTTGTTGCTGTGCCCAAGTTCGATTCAGAGAGTAGTCGAACTTTTGCGCTGCCTTGTATTGTTTTGTCCCTACATGTGTGCCATAGCTCTCAATGGCAAGAGTTGCTGATATGGTTGGGTTTGTGCATTTTTATAGGCGTGAATTTGAGTATCGTCCGGCTGGGAGAGATGGTGGATTGAAGTGCGATGATAACGTATCAAGAACACATCTCCCCAGCACGGATGAGCAAATCAAGGGGCCTGTAAAAATGCAGAGTATGATCGTAGAATAAGTGGGATCCAGTGAGAGTCTGGGAATTTCATCTATCTCGATGGAACTTTAAGCGAAAACAATACTATCGTGTATTTTTGCAGGAGTCACATGACAGTCACCTACAAGTGGAGAGAGAGTTTTGAAACAAAATGACTTGTTGATAACATAGCTAAGAACAATTCTGCTAGCTAGTGTGTGACTAGCTACTCCTCCTTCTCAGTCTTCTTCTCAGCGTCCTTCTCAGTGAAAGGACATTGAGCCCAAAAGTCCTTTTCGCGCTTCTCGACGGCCTCACTTTCGTTCTCAATTTCTGCGGTAGTACCGAAGCAAAGCTTGGTGAAGCTCAGAGCAGCCTTAGCAGCACCTTTTCCATGCGCAGCGTCCATAGCAAGGCCCCAGTTCTCGAGGTCAGGCCAAAAAGTTTGGGGGCTTTTGGTGAACGAGCGGCCATGGTAGCCATAGGTAGGAAAACTGGTGGGTCCCCAAGCGCGACGAGCAAGGCGAACATGGCGGATGTTGATGGCTGACATGAGCAGTGAAAAGACGATCTGAGGGTCTCTCACGCTGGCGTGTTTGGTATCGGTCCAGCCATCAATAGTGATGTTTCGGAGAAGCAGGCGATTGGCTGAGCTGATGCAGGCGAAAAAGAGTTGGAAGGTATGGGTGGTGGCAAAGTGGATGGGTTGAGCGTAGAGGTAAGGGATGGCCTCGTCTCTGATAGTCTTGTTGATACGAAGGATGACAGGCTGGAGAGAGGTGCGTGAGACTTCATATCCGCTCTCACGTTCGGTTCTGTAGTTGTAGCCGCCCCAGCCATTGTTTAATCTTCTCAAGGAACCACGGAAGAATTCACGAGTAGTGGCCTTGTTCTTACTGACAAAGCTCAGGTCTCTGGCGGACTCGACCAGACATGCTTTGTAGATCATGACGCGGATCTCGGGTGGGAGATCCATGAAGCGGAAGGGAACATCCTTGATCTTCTTGACCTTCTTGTTGTTGATCTTCTTGGCCAGCTTCTTCTTCTGCTGGGCTTTGAGCTTTCTCNNTCTGGACAAGGTTAGATGAGGATTTAATATTGTGAATTTAGGCAGTACCTTGTCCGTAGTGAACTCTTGGTCGGAGCCGGAGTCAGAATCGGAGTGAGTGGAAGGGACGTCTTCAGTGTCGGTGGATGGATCATCTGAGGCGACATCGGCGCCGTCGGCGACGGAGTCGTCGAGTGATTCATCGTCGGCAATGTCGTCGTCGAGCTCAGTGGGCTCAACATAGCTGACACGAGCGCGGCTGCGCTTTGGGCGGCCTGCATCCATCTCGCGTTGCGCAGCCCAGGTTGGATGGTGATAAAGATCAGTGGGCGGGATGAGGGTGCGGTGGAATGGAATGCGCTGAGGCAGACGTAAGGTAGGTGCAGGCTTGGGTCTGATGGTGTTGGAGGGAAGTTGGGAAACCATCTGGCCGAGCTTTCAACGCCGGTGCCTGCCAACAAGAGGACCGGGTTGCGACTGACTGATTTCACTATCATTCGAATGCGGCAGCCACGTCAAAATAATCAAATTCCTGCGTGTGAGCATGGGGCGCGAGCACTGAGCGCGAGACTCGGCAGTCTAGCCAAATTGGACGGTTCCAAAACCCTTATACCACTTTTGACGCCTGAGGCACCTAAAGACCACTTTTTTCGTGCTTCGTCCCTTTCCCGCCGTCAAAACGTGGAGGCTTCAATGAATGCTGTGCTTGTTCATGGGCAACTCCCGCTTCTGAAGAACGAGAAGGCACGAGATAACCAGGCTTCACGAGCAACGAGCTCAGGAACTTTGTCAATGACCTTGCAAAAGTCCTTAGGTGAGCCCGAATCCTGATCCTTCCAGACGTTTCTGACAAGCGAAGGGCGGGATCATGACTGATCAGGAAGCAAGATACACTCTTTTGAGATCTGTTTGAATCAGACGCCGGCCTCTGGCTTCTGGTATAGGAGCATCAGACCCCACGGTGTCTTCAAAGAATCTTTCGAAGGAGCCCGCATCAACGATTTTTCCAGACATTTCCGAATAACGAAGTGCGGTCTTTGAGTGATCAGAAGGCAAGCAACATTTTCGAGATGGCTCTTTGAGATCCGATTCCGAATCAGACTTCGGCCATCGATCTTCCGGTATAAGCGCATCGTATTCCAGGGTTCTTATCCAGTCGGAACCTTGCTTCATAACCTTCACCATCGAGTGTCCAGGAAAATCGTCAAAGGGCTTCGATACTCTAAGGCGTTCTGTTCCAGAAGATTCACAAGATAGATGGTGCTTCCTATAGATGAAGTCCGCAGAGTAATGCCTATCTTGTCGTACGTCATAGACAAAGTATACAACTTGCAACTCGAGAGTCGATGTCCTAAGGGGTCATGTACAAGTCATACAGACACTGATATCAGATCTCAAGCCTAGAGGTTTCTTATACCATATCTATCAAAATGCACAGTGTTCTTCATGGCTACAGTTGTGTCCAGAGAGAGCTTAGGAGGAGCAAGCATCTCGTGAACCAACAGCAGTAGTATGCAAAGAATTGTGCATATTGATGTGCATCAGCAGAATCATCGAAGAGGCTATTGTATCTGCTTGAGCTGCTTTCGAAACCATTTGGACTACTTGTGGGCGGGTTGGGGTTGTATTCAGTCAGGCTGTAAGAGAAAGCAGTTGGCAGCGAGAAAGTGTTTCTGAGGTGGAGAGTTTGCACTGTTTGCTTTGGACACTTCCCCAGCTCTGGCCATCAAGGGACAAGTTTACCTTGAACACATCACCCAATACCGCCATTGACCACGTATCAGACCAGACAGAAACAATCGCTTCCCTCTAAAGCTGTCGCATAACTTCACAACACCCAAACCAAGACTCTCGATCAAACAATCGCAATCATGGACCCCTACTCAGCAGAAGGAGGTACGCAACAGCCCCTCGATCCCAAACACAGCTGCCGAGCCACAACTAACAAACCCTCCAGAGCTGGTAAACATGCACACAGCCTTCATCCAAGGCCAATACCAACAAGTCATCGACTTCGACACATCAATCTTCAGCGCCCCCAACCAACCCTCCGCCCAAATCCTCAAATACCGCGCCCAGCTCGCCCTCCGCGATTACTCTTCCGTCGCTTCTGCCATTTCCTCTTCAGACGCTTCTTCCAACCCTTCGCTGGCCGCCGTTAAGGCTTACGCTTCATATGCCTCCTCGGGCTTTACATCTGAAGCCGCTGTGTCGCAGGCGGAATCTCTGTCGCAAACCCACAGCGAGGATTTGACTGTGCAATTGCTGTGTGGCGCTGTTCTCGCCCGCGCCGACAAAACCGACGAAGCCCTCGCCCTGCTAAGCCAACACCAAGGCTCCCTCGACGCCGTGGCCATGGCAACCCAAATCCACCTATCGCAAAACCGCACCGATCTCGCTGCCAAAGAAGCCAAATCCGCACGCGCGTTTGCGCAAGACGCTCTGCTTGTCAACCTCGCCGAATCCTGGATCTCAATGCGCGAAGGCGGGGATGCGAAATACCAACAGGCGTTTTATGTATTTGAGGAGCTTGCGCAGGCGCCCGGGTCATCGGCTGTGGTGTCGTTGGTTGCGCAGGCGGTGTCCGAGTTGCATTTGGGCAGGTATCCAGAGGCCGAGACGGCTTTGCAGCAGGCCTTGGATGCGGAGCCTGAGAATGTGGTTGCGTTGGCTAATGCAGTGGTTTTGTTTACTGCTCAGGGAGATGTCGAGAGAGCTGCTGAGATGAAGAGCAGACTCCAAAAGTGCAAGGGTGGTGAAGGGACGGAGCTTCTGCAAGGTCTGGCTGCTAAGAAGGAGGCTTTCGATGCTGCATGTGAGAGATACCAGCCCAAGTTTGAGCCTTAAAGAGCACATTGATATTGGGAGATACATGTCATACAGCAGACAGGCGTTCAGGAATGGGAGGTCCGGCATGATTCAAAAAAGGGCCTCTATATAGTTTTCGAAGACTTTACAACCAGATCAATCTCGAAACCATCGCAATTACGAGAATCATTGGACCAGGCTCAAAAGACGTTGATAGACCGATGCACCAAGTTTCTTCTCGAGCAGGAGTCCGTCAAGATTGTTGTGTATGTATGCATTGCATGGTCTCGCTTCTCGACTAATCGTTCAGGTGTTTCTCGTCTTCCGGTATAGTACAGCATTCATGCCTGACCAAGGCTTGGTTGACTGCGTGATCCCCTGATGTAGTGACCTTCATGCCGCTCTCTTCGTCTTCATATCGTTCTCTTATCGAGTTCTCTCAGGATTTCCATGGTCGTTCTGCTCTTGACACGGGCGCATCGACGTAACTTCGCCAGCCAACTCGAGCCCACCTCTTCTTCCCTAAAACCTCAACTTGGGTCCCACAAACACCAACAAAAACGCAGCAATCCACAACGCCGCAATAATAGCATACAGCTTAATCCTTCCCCACCACCCTTTGCCTTCAGTCATCCTCCTCAAAGCACCCATCCTATTCCCCGCCGCCTCCATACCCATACTATTCTTATCCAACCCCGTTTCCGCTCTCCTCAACACTTCCTTTTCGTTTTCGAGGGAGCTGGCGAATTGCATGCTTGACTGTTTGAGGGATTGTGCTAGTGTGACTAGAGAAGTGGTGAGCAGGTCTTGATCCCGTGTTGCGGATTCTAAGACTTGGTTTGTGGAGAGTGGTGCAGTGTTTGAAGATGCAGCAGTGGGGTTTGTGGCGTTTCTGTTGCCGAATAAAGCGGTGGTTGTTGCTGTGTCGGGTGCTGCAGTGCTGTTTGTTGCGTTTGTTCTGTTGCGCAATGTGGATGCTAGGTCTTGTGCTGCTTGTTGTGGAGACGTGAGACTAGGGTCTCTTTCCAAAGTATCCGAAGTCGCGACTGCTGGGGCAAATTCCCTCGGTCGTTGTGATTCTGCATCTTCGTCTTCGGAGTCTGAAGAGGCGTCGTCGTGGAGAGCGGCTAGTTGGTTCAACTCTAGCAAGCGCGTGTTTAGTCGTTTTATGAGGTCGCGTTTTGTGGCGAGGTCGTTTTGGAGAGTGGTTTTGTGGGATTGGGTTTTGATGTCTTGGGTGTTGTGTTCGAGGCGGAGGAGGAGTGTTCGCGCGTATTCGACATTCTGTTGGAAACCCGGACGTTAGCTTCTGTCACTGAGAGAGGTGGCAGGTAACAAGAAAGAGCAAAGACAGGTTCGGAGGAGAGCTGCAGAGTACAAGGTACGACTCACAGCACTGATGCGATTGCGTTCATAAGGTGTAGTCCGGAGATGCGTGTCGTCTGCCGTCGGCGAAAGCAGAGTATCCGAAAGTCGCGTGAGGAGCTGGTCCAGATCCACCGATATGTTTTCCGGCATCGATAGTGTAGCCATTGTTGCTTCCAGCGTGTGCAGAGTAAAAGTGTTCTTCAAGATTGCAGTGAAGCAAAGAAAGTTGTCTTGTTGTCTGGCCTTCGTCATCGGGGGGAAACTGCACCGAGTCATTTACCAACCACTTCCCCAGAAATCCTGACCAGAAGACAGGACAGGCAATGACATGTGTGCAATCACATGCGAACCTTCCATCTTGCCATCCAAACTTCTACGTCTTCGACCTCACTCATCCACCCTCTGATATCGAAACCAAAACATCCAAAATGGCATCCCCCCAACCATCAACAACAGTTCAAAGCACCACCTTCACCTACCCACCCCACCACTCCTTCCCTCCCTTCTACACCCTACAACCAAACCAAACCACTCTAACCCGCCAACTCTCCCTCTGGTCCCAACTAATCCTCTCCTTCTGCTCCCACCACCACACCTTCAAACTCTCCCCCTCATCCGCAGCCACCCTCCCCCTTTTCTCAAACCAGAAAATCCACCGCAGTCTAGACGCCCTCTCCATAAAAAAAACTCCTCGACTACATGGCAAGCCCCGAAGGAGAGTTCCGCGCCGAATACGTGGGCAAAGAGAAGAGTACGGTCTGGGTTTGGTGGAAGAGTGCGGGGAGTGGGCGGATGAAATTGCGAGGTGGGTGGATGAGACAGGCCAGAAAGGTGTTGTGTTGACGATATACGAATTGAGGGAGTCGGAGGCGGTGGAGAGGCAGGAGTGGGTGGGTATGGATGAGGATATGTTGAGGAGGTGTTTGGATGTGTTGGTTAAGAAGGGGAGGGCGCAGGTGTTTGGCCAGGCGGATGGGAGTGGTGTCAAGTTCTTTTGAGATGGCCAAGAAGTCGTTTCTCAAATGGCCATCTGGAAGGAGAAATGATTGAAGAACGGTGGACACAGGGTCATGAAGCACTACTACTCCGGCAAGTCTTGCACCACACGAGGGGCCGAGAACATACGACACACGAAACATCAGCGCTCAGCGCCAGTCAGAAACCCTCGGACAGCGAACTCAACGAAAACTCTGGATTACCAGATGATACACTGGATATACATCTGGCGGATCAGGAAGCAAGTCATCTACATTCATCTCTACTTCGACCATCCAGGCACCTGATCTTCCTTCAACTCCCACTTTTCATCCCACTCAACTCTTTGACTCATGGCAAGATTGATCAACCAATCAGTCTTGACAATCTTACCTTCGAGTCCCTTTTTCTGCGCTTCAGACCTAAACTTGTCCCACAGCTTGACCTCTTCATCGCTAGTGCTGGAGATCAGATACACTCTCTTCAACTCCTCCACTTCGCCCTGGTTTTCTACTTCCGGTCCTGCATCAGGGTCTTCAGGAGGTGGAATTCGTGGTCCGGAAATGACATTCGTGCGACCCTTGTATGGTACTGCTGTTCCTCCGTTGATGGCGATAATCTCTTTGTACGTCTCGAACTTGCCGCTGACTTTTTCGGTTACGAAAATGGTCCAGCCGTGCAATAGACGGTTTGCATTGGTTTCTCCACGTATGAGCGCTTCTTCCATGCGGAAACCAAGTCTTTCCTCGGCTTCTTGGTCGACAAGAGTGTGCTCCTCGAGGTCTGGAAGTGTGTTGGTGGAAAGTGCGGCGTCGAGGTATGAGATCGTGACCACCTCAGGACTGTTGGCAAGGGCAGCGATGAATTTCTTGGTGCGAAGAATGCGTGGGGCGCACAGGAGGGTACACTCTGCCGGCTCGGCAGTCAACTTTATACCCAGAGCTCGTAGTTTGGCCNNTGTTGTTTTATGTCAGTTCTTGCTTTCGAATAAGATAGATGATATCAAACTCACAGCTTCTGCGGCTTCCTTCTTCATGTTGCCTAACCAGCGCTCATCTCCTGTCACCATCATGGTATACAAGACCTTGGGTCCAGCATCAGTTTTGCTTTCTTGGCCTTGTTGCCCTTGACACCTGCAATCTCAGCCTCGCTGATTTCAGCATGACTATCACCCATATCATCGCTTTTGCGCTTGTTCCTCGTAGTCTTTGTGGCTTTTGTCATTGCAGCGGGTTGAGCTNTCTTCAGGTTCAGCAGTCCTCCTGCCTCCATGGATGACACCACCTTTTCGCTTTCTCTCACGGTCATAGAGCAAAACGTCATCTTTCAGTGCATGCAAATTGCTGAGTGCTTTTTCCTTGGAGGCGCGTCCGGTAGTGGGAGGACTATTCTCTCTATCCTGGCGCTTGTTCAGCATTGCAGGTGTGGAAATCGCTGCATCAGAGCCCACACGAGTTTTCCTCTTCTTTGCTGTTTGTGGCGCGTGAGGAAGGAATTCACTGGTTTCGTTGTCGTCGATGTCCATAGGATCTGTTGCTGTATCGTTGGCAGCAAACGAGGATCTAGCTCCCGCTGCACACGACGCTGCAATGTCTCTTCTGGGAGATGTGTCTGGCGCTCTGACAGCACCGCGGAAAGGATGTGGTGTCTTTTGGCCTGGCTCTGCGTCCTTGATGGTCTTTTCGTTACTCGCAAAGTACAGTTTGCGAACTTTGCTAATGTCGATGGGAGTCTGCCCCACTATTTCGCTGAGGTTTGTTCGTGGTGGGAAGTGAGTGTAGCGTTTCTGGGTCAAAGTTTGTACTGCACATTTGGCATAACTTTCTTCCAACCAGAGATGATTGACAATAGCGATATTCCATTCTTGAGCAGCGTCGCATTTTTCAGAGTGCGTGTGGGCAGTGATGAGGTGGGTATTGTCTTGCTTCATGGTCTTTGTAAACTCTGCTCCTGCTTCTTTGCAGAGATTCTCAAGGTAGATGCGAGCTTCTCCGCTGTAGTTTGACAGACTGATCCTCATGTCCTGGAAGCCGGGAATGCCGCCTCTGGGTACTGGATAGTGGAGAAGCTTGCCGAAGGGATTTGTCCATTTGTTGCGGTTGATGACGTTGTAGAACCAGGCGAGGTTTCCGACAGTCTTGTTGTTGCGCGAGGCTGCTACGTAGTCCATGCCGTCACGGTAATGACCGATGTATACATCACACTCTTCGACGTTTGTTGTGAGGGAGCCGCCAGCCTGGCTCACAAGCTGTCGCAGTGTTTTGGCCAGATGATCGTTGATGTTCAAGTCTTTCGAGAATAGCACCTTCTTTTCCTTGAAGACGACAAGTTGCTTGCGAGAGTCAGATGGGGAGATTGGCGGATTGTATGCTGGAGGGGCTCCTGCCACGGCTGAAAGAGCACCATCGAGGCCAGGCGTCGATCTTGCTCGGACGGGTTCATCGAAGTTCGGACGAAGGATCTCGGGGTCAGGTAGGAGGTAGGGGCCTTCATTAATCAGCTTGCCGAGTTTCAGACAGTCGTCGAANCCTGGAGTGGTCTCGTTAGCGTGCAACGACAGAAATGGTGTTCAGTCATACCAGTGAGGCAAGACCATCTTGCAAGCCAGATTCTTGGCCACAACAGTACGACATTTGTCGTTATGCGTATCCATAGCCACAACATGCGTAACCAGCTTGGTCAAGGGAGCGCTGTACAAGCCTCCCAGGGCCAAAGTGCCAGCAATGATAGCATCCTTGTCTCCCTCGGGCAAGTCGGCACACGAGACTATGACTTCCCTAAAGAACATAGACGGGTCTGGACTGTGCTGGCGCGGTTGTGTCTGTCTTCCCTTCTCGTGACTTGACTCTACCCACGACGGTCGCACGACGTGGATGTTGTATTCTAGCGCTCTAGAGTATTCGGGGAACTCGATGTCGCCGGCGACAATGTGGGTGTGGCGGATGAGTTGATCGATCGAGCCATCTTCTTTTCGCGGGATGTAGGTGCCGCCGTTGTTGGTCAAGAGGTGGATTAANCTGTGGGTGGCTTGTCAGCGCCTTGAGCTGTGTTGAACATGCAGCGATTTCAATCTTACTCGCTCCTCTTGCTCCGAGTTGATCGTTGGACCAGTAAAGATGGTGAAGACAACGTCATGAAACAATAGATCCTCAGCTCCTGCCATAGTCTATCGCATATTTTGAAAGCTCGTGGGTGTGTTCCAGGTATTGAAAGCCGAAGTTTGTTGCTAGGTGTGCACGTAGATGATGATTGTGGAATGGGTGTCTCGATCAATGTCCTGGGCGTGGCAAGCGCAAAAGACGCGTTCTATTTCTTAATTTGCTCGTCTAGTGACTGTCACTGCATGGATGAGTTAATGTCGGTCAGGAACCCGCGTCAAGCTGCTCACGTTGTCACTTGACCCGCACGGACCTTTTAATCTATATCACTTCTGCAACCATGGCACTATTCACATTTAATCCATGGAGCAACATAATATACATTTTCTGCAGCAACAAACTTTCTTGTGCCATGCCACCTCTCCTTCTCCGTGATACATAAGCCACGGGCCGCTCCGCTGTCAGCCTCCGCCGAAACCACCATGCCATCGCATCCTCTCTTCACCTCATATTAGTACAAACAGTGATCGTCCTCTCCTCGAAGAGAAAGGATCGCATTGGTATGTGAGGCTCAAAGGAAGCCCACAGGAGTGCTTGCCTTGCTGGTAGCACGGCTTCTCAGCAGTTCGTCCTCAGCTCTTTCGAGAGCACGTCTCTTGCGCTCCTTCTCTGTGCCGGTTCCCTCCATACGTCTTCCTTCACCCTTGGACTTGGAGCTAATACCACTGCTGCGAGATCTATTTGACTTCTTATGTGCGAGGATCTCCTTGTTGATTAGCTCAATCTGGCTGTCGAGGTTCATAGGTGACTTGATGCGTGTAGCGCTCTTGTTGACACCAGCTCTGATACCTCCCTTAGTGAAGGCTGCATCGTTGGTGAGAGTTGGCTGCAAGATGTCGGGTTTCTGCACTACGCTAAGATAGATGCCTCCTGGTGGGGACTGTTGGGCCTGCTTGAGAGCCGAAGCGTGTTTCTCACTACCATCAGCTCCACCATGAGCAGAGTCACTGCGAATAGAGGCGTCGTGCTGACCGTTGTAGTAAAAGGTGCGAGCCGAGCCGTTACGCTGACGAGGTGGAGTAGGAAGTTCGCGGTTGGGAGGTGGGTACAGGGGAGGAGAGGCAATACGTGGTGTGACCGGTATCATACGCTTCTTGGGCTGCAGAACCAGCTCACAGCTGGCAATAAGAGCAGTCATGTTGTGCAAGATGTCGACATCATCGGCCCAGTTGAATTCGGTCACCTCTTTCTTGCGAAGAGCAGCTGCACGAGCGGCCTTTTGNACCACCTTGAAAGCCTTCTCATAGTCAGCAAGACAGTCGATGAGGAAAGTGGCTCGCTCCAGAGCCAATGACAGCACCAGGGGGTGTGCTGGGTCCAGATTCTCCTCTGCGCATTTGGTTGCGAGTTCGAAAAGTCTCTTGGTCTCAGGGGTGTAGTCCAGAGCTGGCATCAAGAAGGTACTAGCTGACACAGGAGGTTCGTATTGGAGCACGACATCCGGGTTGATACCAGGAGGGTGCTTAGGAGTTGTGCGAGACTGAGGCTTGGTCTGAGATGGGTCATTGACTGGGGCCTGAGCGTTGGGAGCATAAGGGTTGGTGACAAAAGATTGGACAGATGGAGCAGGGGAAGCAGCCAATTCAAAGTCCTGGTCTTGCCTGGAAGCCAGGTAGTAAGCGCTGAAAGCGCTAAGTCCCCCAGCCTTCTTCTGGCGTAGTAGACGGACAGGGGGCGTGTTGTGATACTGGCAGAATATGTGGTGGAATGTTGCGCGAAATTTCAGGGCCATGACCTGATACACTCCATCCGCGCTTGGTCCGCAGTATGGCGCAATGTATACTTCAGTGAGAGCGAGACCCTCCTTTGCGAGAAAGATGAGCTCGCGGTAGGGATCCAACGATCTAGGTCCGTAAGGCATATCTAGTATGCGAAGCTCGCGGACTTCGGAGAGCTTCTCCTCAAGCCTGAGAGAAAGACCAAGGACTGTGGTAAGGTTCTCAACGACAATTTTGTTCTCCGAGACGTAGCAATTGATTGAATGAGACAAGACCTGGCGCTCGATTTGGGAGAGCGCCATGATTAGCCTGTAGTACGCAGTCGGCGCTGGGCTACTGCTTGACAGATCGTTGGACGTCAGCACAGTCGCATAAGCATGCCAAGTTGATTCAGGCGCAAGAGGATGCCGAGTTGACAGGTGTGATGAGCCCCTGTCTTGTCCTGGCCAGAGAAGCTGAGATCGTGAGGCTTGTTGAGGCCTAAGACTGTTACAGATCCTAAGACGCAATGTCAGTACCTGAGAATCCTAATGCGCCGACGGCCGGTATCCAGAGATCGTCAACTTACGAACAACGACGTGACGGGAGGGCAGATCCTGAGAGCGACGGTGAGACTGAAGATCTTGGGAGACGTGACTACTGTATGCTGATGGCTAGTTGGGAGTGAAAGCGTCAGTCAAGTATAGTTGAGTGCGGTATTCAATCTTCTGTGTATACACCCTCGTGTGATAGTTCAAGATGGGAGGAGATATCTTACCACGCGCCTCTGTGTCAATGTGAGGTTGGAACCTCCAGACTCGGGGATTGTTTGCGAGAGTGTTGAGAAGGCGTGGGGTGGATCTCGGCGTAGCTTGTGGGCTATAACCTCGATGGGGGCTGGGATATGAGCTGCGAACAGGCAGAGTATGAAGAACAGGAGGTAGTATCTCTTTGGCAATGCCTCAAGATGAATCGAAGCATCCGGGGAGTATTATCATGGGCATGAAACCCTAATCACTGTCAGTCTGGCTGCCCTTTTCGAGCACCACGTTTGCTATTGATCGCCTGATTGGCCGGTTACCATCAGCTTAATCTGACGGAACGAGCGCTGACCATCTTCCAGCTTGACTTGACACAGTCTTGTATCGCGCTCGACATGGCTAGAAGTCGTGCTGCCGAAGAAACAGTAAGCACTTACTGAACATAGAGACTAGCACTGCTTCGCACACAACGACTCAGGTACCCTTGCTCTTTCTATGAATCGTCAATGGCTGACATGTACAATAGCCACCTTGGACGAGCCGTCGAGTATTAGCAAGCCTTTTCCAAGGCTAACCTAGCCCTGTATATCGATGATAATGTATCAATGCCAAAACTGACTGCAGTCAATAGCAGGATCGAAAAATACAACACGAAACAGCAAAGGATACATCCAAAAATATGTCAAAAAGAAAACGCAGAGAATGAGAAGTAAGAGATATGAAAGGCATGAAAGAGAAGTTGGGCAGTGGGACGATGGAGCGCCGGGATCACGCAGCCTGCATGCAAGCATTGCATTGGTGCTACGTGTCGACCTCGCTTGTTGGCAAGGATATTCCTNTTTGGGGAAGGAACCAAGATCCACCTCTTGATCATACCGTCATGAGTGACATAGNNAAGAGAGTACGAGTTGTCAAACCTGNNATGGGATTTGAGGCTGATGATGGGTTGAGGTTCCAGAATGTGGACTGCTTCCACCCCATGATCGAGGACATAGTTCGCATGACAGCTAACAGTNACTGCAGGAACCGACAGCAAACCTTCACTCTGACAGGAGATGGGTCCAGCGCCAATGCGGCCCTATCCGTATCGCTGTCTAGCAGCTGCGCTGTGCGGTGTAGTAGCGTGCTCGAAAAAGGCGGTCAAGAAGGCACATCAATGATGTGATTGGCGGGCGGGCGTCGGGCAGTGATCCACTCAAGTGGCCCAACCTTTGCCGACATTTAGCAGACGAACACCTGAACATTGCCGCACCGGCTCTGGAAATGTTGGGTACAAACAAAAGAGACCACTCGACCAGAAGTTGAGATTGAAGCCAAGCGGGATCTTTTGCCAGGCGGTGTCAGGTCACACTGAGGCAAGCAAGCATGTGATACAAAGGCATGCATGAGGCAAGCACGATCAGCTCAAGCGCTCCACTCCGAAACCTCCTGGTAACCTGCTAAGGAAAGAACGATGATTCTGAAGCCTGGGAAGCTCGCATGATGAAGTGCTTTTCTCCTGCTGGTCAGTTGCGAGGGAATGCCAATTCCTGAAGTGGCAAGCAATCTGCATCGAGCTGCCAAACAGCCTCCGCAAGCCACACCTATCGTGTTCAAATGGGACAATCACGCGATGATCAGGCTGTTGTATCCGCGAGAGAAGTATTCTGCTGTGGTATAACGTTTCGCAAACTTCTGTTGTCCCGTCGTTGAGGTCGGTTCTTTGTCTCCAGCCTATCTACCCAGCAGTTTTGGAGAATATCAATCCACTCGCGTTTCCAGGACCAAACTCAGGCCTACCCGAAACACGGCTGCATGCCTACGCCTGCATCATGCATCACATTATCCCAGCATTTGTCTGACGACGCATTTCCTTGGTCGGCCACGGTCTCCGGTATCAGACGAAATGGTGCACTTGGTCGCCTGGTGTGCACGACGCGCTTCCATGCGGTCGGCTCTGTTCCGAATTATGACAATGCACTGCGTCAAATGTTGTACCTAGAGCTCATCTGCAAGTGTTATCGACTATTCAAGTAACACATGCCGTCAAAGCCTGATCTCTTATGCGTAAAAGCTAGCGATCTTGTTTGTTGCGGTCAGGTCAAACTATTACTAGTATCATTGGCCTAACACGCATACTTTGCTCTAGTCCGGAACAAGATCAGATCGGTTGCTATCACCTTAGCATCAGCCGAGGGATCCTGGATGCACAAGGCACTTGCAGTAGCTCACACACTCTGCAAGTGTAAAGGCATCATGTCGATGCTCAAAGCGGGTTCAATTCGTCCCATGCCCTGATAAGTCAAGGGGTCAAGAAAAGAATATAAGTACTGTTATGGCAGACTCCGAAAAAGCATCAACCTTCAGTTTTCTGGATTCTTGGCAACATTGTAGTCTGGCCTGCTGAGGATCCTTCCGGCTACGTTCCAGGCGACACCACAGCATAGATATGTGTCGCTTCCACGCTCACACTTACCAATGCGGACATACAAAGACCGTCCTTTCCAGTCACTGCTCGAGAGCAGCTCTGATACAACAAGCATGTCGTAAGGGAGACATCTGTGCCAATGTCCAGGTTGACGAGAAATGCTCGTCTTGTCACGAGCCTGTCAAGATTCTCGTCCAAGCAAGAACTATCAACAACGATGTCAAATCCATGAGTGGTTGATGTTCCCAAGTCAGGGTGAGCGCTGCTTTACTTCTGCTTTCCTAAACGTTGTCTGACATTACTTTACAGCGGTAGTCCCAAACACTTTCGTGTATCCATCAGTCTATTCGAGACGACCATGAACGTGGATTATCGAAACTGCTCTATCAAACCCGTTCACAAAACCTTCGCTCTGTTCACAAACAATTCATTGCATGGAGTTCCCTACTCTACCAGCCATTGAAGAGCCTCGGCTCTGTGATCATCTCGCACTTTGCTTCTCTCATAGAACAAGACTATATTCTGTTTCCGCAAGGCTGTTCTAGACTTAATGTATTTCATGGCGTTCTGTTTTCTTCCTTTGTACCCTATCATGAGCAACCTTCTGGATCATGGTCATATCATGCAATTCAGTGACTGGTTGTTCTTTGACGTCCGCGTGGTATACATTGCCATTCCTGCCTCGTGGATCTGACAACAGTTTAGACACGTACGTCAATGCGTTTTAAGTTGCTGGCTCTGCGCTGGAGAAGATGCAGAGTTTCTATATAACAGATGGTTCTTTGGGGTGCAGTCTCTATCTCACTTCCCTTCGGCAACCTTCACTTTTACCAAGACGAAGCAAGATCTGGCAAAGATGCCCCATCAATACAATCAGAACATGTTCCCAAGAGTGGAGGGCCTCGACTTCCTCAGCAGTGAAGATGTCGATGAGGCTTTCGAGATTATCGAAGAGGAAAAGTTTTGGCTGATCAGGGAGTACTACGATCTCATCAACAGGATGGAAACTACAGAAGCACGTCGAGTCTTCAACCCCGACCACACCGTCAATTGGTTGATGCTATACCTGACGCGCGAGGTCATGTCCAATATCAATCAGCTTATTGACAACTGGAATGTCTTTATCGACCTCCGCGAGATCGAGATGAGCGGCAAGATCATCATGAGCGAGATGAGCATCGAGCAAGCTGCGGAGGCACGAGACATCGACGAACTATATGCAGACAGACTCCGGGACTTGTATACTCTAGCAAAGCGTGAATGGGCTAGAGAGTTCCGCAGCTACATGATCATCCTCACTTGGCAGCAGGCAATCTTCAACGCCACTGCCGGCATTGTCTAATCGCACTGCTATATTTGTCAGCCTCAGACACAATGCCGTCCACACAGCTTCACATGTTTTCACCAGATGGCAGTCACTTCGAACACGCGTCACTATGCCACTCGATGCTAGGAGTCCTTGAATTACGAAAGGTTATATCACATGGAATGCCATGAAAGCTTGGAGGAGCAGAACGCTGCTTCACGTGATGGATATCACATGAGTATTGAAATTCTCTGTCGTCACCTCTCCCTTCCATCTCCTACCTCACGTGCCTTTGCGTTGTCGGTCGTTGCGTTTTCATCATGTAGTTCGCTGTCATGCTTGTATATATCGGTGCGGAAGGGTGATCGAACCCCTTCTATCTTTGTCCATCCGATGTCCAAGAGTCCATTGCCCTCTCTCTATTGCATCATACATCATCTTCACTACTCCTATACCCGATCATTGAGACAGGTCTTTCAAACCTTCAAGATGTCAAGTCACTCTAGCGACTTTGATCAGCCAATGCAGGATTCCCATGAGCCGCCCGAGGAGTATCACCGCATCCTGGAGCAGTTCCGCACTCAAAGAAACTGGTCACCTATCCATGAGCCAGAGCCTGAGCAGAATATCCCTTCAGTCAATCTCGATGATGATGACGTTATGCTCGAGAATGCAATGCTAGAGGTGGAATCTCGCAGACATTTCCCAGGCGCTCTTGATCTTGTCAGCCCTTTCAGAACCCCGAACATCTTTGACTACCAGGATCCTCCAGCAGAGACACGTTCAGCCAGACTTGATCCGAGCATCTATAACGTTGTCAGCGAATTTCTCAGCTTCCACCCCGATGTTGGACGCGAAGACGTCGAACGCTATCTTGCAACTGAGCCGGCCCTTCAGAACCGGGATTTTGAGCAAGAGCTTCGAGAGGTCTGCAACGAGAATCACGACATTGTCGTCAGACATGACAGACTTGTGCAGGGATATCAGTTGCTCACAAGTCACGGATATCAGAACAGCAGCATTGTCTACAGATACTGCATGATTCAAGTGCTCGCGGAAATGAGAGAAGCCGCCACAAGTCAATCGGAAGTCTTTGAGAGATACGTCAAGATACGTGGAATTCAGCTCTGTAGACAAGTCCTCAGAGGTGAGACCAACAGGGTCGAAGCTAATCGACAATGGAATCTTTGTTGGGATTACCACCGCACTCTCCATCATTATCTAGCGCAAGTGAACCATTTATATCAAGGTGCGGAACGTCTGGACTACTTTCACCCTCCCGGCGAACGCGAGATCCTTACAACACTGGCAAATGTCGACACACATATGGCTGACCGCACTCTTGACGATCCCGTAGCCTATATACTGACAAGACAAGACTTCCTAGAGGAAGTCGAAGAGCGTTCTACCAACTTCGAAGAGTGGAATTTTCAAGAACGACTTGATGATCTCCGAGTGAGAGAGGAAGAGATCGTAGAAAGATATCAAAGCCTCTTTGCAGAACAACTGTCACTCACCCAACACGGATACCACAACACCAGTGTGATGTACAGACACAGATACATCTGGGTTTGCGGAGAGATCTGGGAAGCCCTCCACAACAAAAATGAGGCGTGGGACAAGTTTACCGAGCTTCAAGATCTCGAATTGAGAGAACTGTTACTCAGAGATGAGATTACTATCGAGCAGATCCAACAGATCAGAGATGAGACTCGGTATCGAGAGAATACACTTTCGGTCAAGGAGATGCAAGCTTGGATTGCATATGTCGACGCCAAACGTCTTGTTGGTTTCAATGCTGTTGCTCAGCATGAAGCAGCACATACGAACACAAACTTCTTCACAGTCATCATGGCATTCTTGACCAGACTTCACAGAATCATTTCGGGAGCTCTGGGATTGTGACCTTTCACAGTCTCCTGTCTTGCACATGAAACGCCATGATGCACGCGCTTGCACGCCTACCTTGTCCCTCATGTTTTTGGTTGCACATGCTCTACTACAAGGTTGAACTGTTCTGCGTTTTCTGTCTACCTCGTGGATCCACGAAGCTGTTGCGTTGTCCTCTACACGTCAGCGTGTCCTCAATGCGTTTTCACCTACTTACCATGTTGATGTTTGCCGGCCTTTCTCACCATTTGTTTCTCTCTCCATCCTATCCAACAAAGTATCCACACAACGTATACCGACATCAAACGAACGCGAACTATATAAGCAATGGCAAACACCTCGCATTCATTCAACCTCGCTGCCACCGAGTGTTACCGTCAGATCGATCGGTCGCTGAGAGTAAGTCTTCCTCTCATCTGACCCCCTTTTCCATCTGACATTTCTTAGGAGCTCGAAGACCAAGAAGCACAACTCAGTACCGAGATCCTCAGATTGAGAAGAGCCGTTGAGGACCTCAGACGCGACATTCCTCGCGAGAACGAAGCTCATCCTCACCGAGCACACACTAGACACAACAACAATGTTCGCGGAATTCAGAGATATCTTTTCCACATCTCTGCTCAAGTTCGGGCTTTGAGAGATCTGTTGCAACATCACCAGAATGAGGTTCAGAGAGCAGTGAACGCACTTATCAGGAGAGTCGTTGGAGAGATGCCGAGTTGGGCTCGTGAGATCCCTTGGATGATGCAGCACTTGCCTTGATTCCTACTTGGAGAGTAATTTTGGGGTTGTGATTGACTGAGAGATGTTTTACTTTACTGTTTGGTGGGTGGAATTACACCCAGATTGCAGCTCGAAGGGGAGTTGTTACGAGAACTTGATACTGTACATGAAAAGACATGGACAAAGTATATACATACATGGAATGTCATACAAAACACCAAATGATTGTTGGAGTCTGTTTTCATACGTCTCCTGGAAAATGACAGTGATGAAGAGTGGTCGTGCGACAGTCAAAATGCAGTTCAAGTTCAGGCTGATTCCCCAGGATTTCGCGGGAGTCGGAGCGGCAATTGTGTCGGCCGTGCTGAAGCGCTTCAGGGTGACAGTCAGCCAGTCGACCTCCCCAGTCGACATTCGTCCAGGAACATGACTCTGGATCCATGAGATGATCGAAGATAGGACAAGAGAGACTACTCTGCAAGTTTACTGACCACAAGCAGTGATAGTATCTTCTGTTCTAGGGGATGTTAGAAGCAGATTGGAACATGCATCTTCTCGAACAATAGCCGGTCGGCAACGGAAAGAGACCAAAAAGGTGCGTCATTTGCCGATCCTACCAGAAAGACGAGAATGCGGGAGAGAGACGATTCAAGTTGTGGAGATCCCGACTTTCCCAGAAATCTGGCTGTGGGCTATCAGTCTCCGGCCGATCAAATAAACATGCCTTCTACATGCCTCTGGGTAGACGCCTTGTCTTTTTCTTCAGCTCCTTCTTCATCCTCATACCACTGTCTCTGCTGCTTCGCTCGACAAACTTCGTAGACGCCATCTTCTCTGCCAAAGTCCTTAGGCTTCACGCAACTGCACCAACTTCCCACGACAAGCACACGAACAAGCTCCTTCCGCGACAATGCTCCATTACGAGAAAACGCCAATCATGCCTTCTGATCACATTGCACCTGCCTCTTCAGCGCCAATGGCCAATTTCACATCGTCAAACTCCACAGCCGCTCCAGCCACCGCTGCCGTACCGCAACACCGACACATCTGGATCATAACAGGCCCAGCAGGATGCGGAAAGACGTCTGTAGCAGAATACCTCTCCACAGCTTTTGCATTGCCCTACCTAGAAGGCGACAGCGTGAGTCTCTTCTTGCACCACTCGAGTCCTCTGACGAAACAGTCTTGCTGACCTCCCACTGCAGNNTTCCACCCCCAAGCCAACATTGACAAAATGGCCAACAACATCCCTCTCACCGATGCCGACCGCTGGGACTGGCTAATCCTGCTGCGCGATCAAGCAGTCGCTGCCCTCAACACTGGCGCCTCAGGCGTAGTCCTTACGTGCTCGGCCCTCAAGCGCAAATACCGTGACGTCATTCGAGTCGCGTCCTACAATGACAACAATGTCCTAGTCCACTTCATCTACTTGTCTGCGACACAAGAACTGCTGCTGCAGAGGGTGCATGGCAGAGTTGGCCATTACATGAAGGACAGTATGGTCAAGAGCCAGTTTGAGGCTTTGGAGCCGCCGATGACGGATGAGAGGGATGTCATGAGTGTGGATGTCAGTGGCGATTTTGCTAGTGTGCAGAGGTTGGCTTTGGAGGTTGTCAATCAGGTCATGGCTAGTGATGCTGTTATCGTTGAGCCAGCGCAAGCATAGGCCTTGACGGAAGAGGTAACAAGCTGGAGTTTGGGGATCTGCTGTCGGAAATGGGAGTCGGGAGTATATGGTACTGTGGGTAGGCTCTGTATGCATAGCTATTCTATTCAAAGAAATTTCCTATCAGTGCTCAAAGAACAGAACAACTTCAACCGCAATTTGAGGGTTGCATATTTGTACAGTGATTGCCAAGTTAAACTGGTAACCCTGGTTGAAGTTTTCCAGCATCATTCCTTCATGAATTCATCGCCATCTCAAGACTCGATGTCCTGACAGACGTGGAAACTAGTATAAGAATGACCGCCAGGCTCTAGTTTGTCAACCAGGAAAGCAACAGACTGCAACTAATGGTGCACAATGCTCATCACGCTACGAATTTATTGTCGAGTTCCGCCCTGGTCTCGATTACATCCCTCATGCATGTGACGAGTACAATCCCTCGACACTCTCTCCCACCATGAACAAAAAAAGGACTCGCTGATGGTTGTATAGAATTTGTTTTCCCTTGTGCCTGGGCCCAAGACTTTTGCTTACAGAGGTCACAGGTGATGCTGCTATCGACAATGCCAGGCTGAATATCGAGGACAGCAGGAAGGAAAGTGAGAATCACCCATAGACTCAGCAACGTGTGGCATCACGAGCTTGATCTAATAGTGTAAGCCTTGCTGACAATGTTGACTTTCCTCGAGGTACGCGGGAGCTAGAAGAGGTCTTCATCACTCTGCGGAACATGCTGGGACTAATTCTGAGGAGTTTGTCTTCGGGAAGCTGGCAGATTCTCGTGAACGCGAAGCAGACTTTTCCAAGGCGCTGACATTGACTTTGAGGTAGAACTTGACAGTGTTAATGTAAATGTAGTCGCAAGGCATATGGCGAAAGTCAAGCGGAGGCTCGTATAGACACTTTCTGAGCCGACCTCCGTGGACTGCTCGTATTGAAATTCGTAAGATCTTCGTGCGGCTGTTGTATCTGCCGATGGTCAAGAGACGGGTAGATAGGCTTTGATACCACCTCGAGCGAGATTGGTCGGGCCGACATAAATTATATCTCTCGGCATTCTTCGTCCATCACCTATGCCGTGTCTTAGCTAGTACCTCCCTGTGTGCTAAAGACAGTCACAATTTACACTGAGCTCTTCTCCATCCCGAGCTACAAGGGTTATTATAAGCTATCGAAATGCACAGTTCTGACTCGATTACAAGTCTGGCCATTGAGATTACCTCCATTGAGATTCTCTCAGTGGAAATCATAGTCTTCGCGAAAGTGTTGTGCATTTCGACAGCTACACTGTGACTGTCTCTAGCACATGGAGAGGCGAGAAAATCTGACTTCGGTGTATATCGATGCGAGTGTGGAGTCCCCAGTGGAGTGTGCATAGTGGGGTCTGACCACAGAAGAGTGTGGAACGCGCTCAGAGAAGCGTGTATAATGGTGTGAGTGGAGTCCGGGAAACCGTGTTGTTGCGGCGCAGTCCAGACGGCAAGAGATTTGTCGTTGGCCAGGCTGATGACTTGCATCGCGTTGTCGATTCTAGATGCTCGTATTGAGAGAAGTTCTTCAGCACAATCGGTTCGTTATAGAGCCTTTCGAAAAGTGAACATCGTGTCATCCACAACGTGACCGCTCGAGAGTCCACGCATTCATGGCGTGTACCATGCGTAAACCACAAAGGTCGCAATCAAATTTCGAAGGTGCTTCATCGTAAACAGTGGCCCAGATGCAGGTCAAAGCGTGCACGATTTGGGCTCGCTCAAGCGAGGCAAGAAGTCTTGCCATGCGGCCCCACCTTCGCACTTTCCGATGTGGAGGGAGAACCCCACAAAAGGCGTCCGTGAGCTGGGGAGTCTCCTGCTTGCTCCACGTTGATCGACTTCACGTCAAGATCTCCAACGATGGAACTGTGCATACGTGCAGCCTGTGGATCATGAGACGCTTTGCGCAGTGTCAGAATCAGACAAAGCGAGTATACTATCGTGGGTCGAGATATAAAGCTCCCTTAGCATCCCTGCGATGAAGGGGCCCGGCCACCCGTCATTTCTCTAGGACGTGGCACGAGCCCGCGATTCAATAGCCGCTGATATGATCAAGCCATGAACGCTGGGGTTACTTGACTCGGGATCTCTCCACGGTGCCCCACGTACTGACCTTGAAATCATGTCGACCTCGCCAGCCCATGTTGCCCTAAGCATTCGGCATGGTGCCAAGTACGGTTCCCGTTGACTTTACCAACCTCACGGACTCCTCATCTATGTCACGAGGCGTGGAAAGTGGCTTATTTGGGTGGGGAAGAGCCATCGCTGAGGGTCAATTGTCGGTTATGTCCAAGCCATCACTACGGCAGTGGTGTCGGGCACTGAATCTGCCCTGTCTACGGTGTGAGGTTTGTAATGTCCAACAGTCGGAAGGTCCATTTCGGGCTCATTACCGGCCCTCGAACTTTGAAGATCGGCCCATGCACTCGCGAGAGTTGGCAATACTAGTTAGCCTCTCCAGTTCATCGGCTTGGTATGGAGACGAGCGCCCCGCTTTGGGTTCTTGACTAAGGGCACAGGTAGTCAAGATGCTGGACTATGCTTTTGAGGCCTCGGAACGTATTTCCTGCGCCATAGATGCCCTTGCATATAAAAAGCACAGCATGGCCGCCTATTGTGTTATCTCAGTAACAGCCAACGCCTCGCACATCGATAAGAGATTGTATTGGTCTCGTTGACAAGGCTTCTTCAACATGCGTTTCACTACCGAGCTGCTGGCCGTTGCGCTGGCCCTCGCAGACATTACCTCCGCTCAAAACTCGACATACAATGCTACTGCTGTTGCTCAAGCTCAATTGAAGGCTGAGCTGGCAAATCTTGAGAAGTTCTGGTCATATGGAAGATCTCCTCCTGTGTACCCTAGTCGTATGTACTGTCTGTCTATTCATCAAAGCGGTATACTAACTCCATGTAGCTCAAGGAGCAGGCACAGGTGAGTGGGCCGCTGCCTACGAAAAAGCCAGAGCTCTTGTAGCTTCCATGACCGATTTCGAGAAGAACAACATCACATATGGATACACCTCCAAGTCAGTCAATTGAGCATCGATGAACTGAAACTCGAGTTACTAATGTCATACAGGACAAATGGATGTGGTGGTAACAGTGGATCAGCACCTAGAGTTGGCTTCCCTGGTCTTTGTCTGAGCGATGCTGGAAACGGTCTTCGTGCTACTGATGGTGTTACTGGCTTCGCTTCTGGTATTCACGTTGGCGCCACATGGAACCGCAACCTTGCTTACGAGAGAGCTCACTACATGGGTGCTGAATTCAAGGCCAAGGGTGTAAACGTTCTCCTTGGACCTGTTGCTGGACCCCTTGGAAGAGTGGCCGAGGGTGGTCGCAACTGGGAAGGCTTCAGCAATGACCCCTACCTCGCTGGTAGTCTGACTTTCGAGACTGTGAAGGGCATGCAAAACAGCGTCGTCGCCTGCATCAAACACCTTATCGGCAACGAACAGGAGCTTGACCGCAACCCAGCTGGTAACAACGCTTCGATGTCTGCCAACATTGACGACAAGACTATGCATGAGATGTACATGTGGCCTTTCCAAGACGCTGTACATGCAGGTGTCGGAGCCGCCATGTGCTCTTACCAAAGGGTCAACAATTCTTACGGCTGCCAGAACTCCAAGGTCATGAACGGTCTCTTCAAGGGCGAACTCTCGTTTTCTGGTTTTATCGTCAGTGATTGGGGAGCCCAGCATTCTGGAGTGGCTAGTGCTGACGCAGGTCTTGATATGGCTATGCCCAGCTCGACCTACTGGCAAAAGGCAACCTCAGTCAAGCTGTTAACAACGGCTCGCTCTCCTCCACTAGACTCGATGACATGGCAACTCGCATTGTCGCATCTTGGTACCATCTCGCCGAGTGGCAGAATCCCGGACATGGTATGCCTATTAACCTCACTCTGCCTCACGAGTATGTCAACGCTCGCGACCCTGCTTCGAAGGTGAGCACATTCCAGACGGCCGTTGAAGGACATGTCCTTGTCAAGAACGTCAACAACGCTCTGCCCTTGAAGAAGCCAGGCTTCCTTTCCCTCTTTGGCTACGATGGCATCGCTCCCTCGAGCTACACACCTGACAATGCGCCATCGTTCACTCTATCCAACTTCGGCTTCTCCCCTGTCAATGGCATCAATGCCACCGAGCTCTTCATGCTGTTCGTCAACCCTTCTTCCGTTCCTTCAAACGACCTGCCTGGTATTGCGATCAATGGAACTATGGTCACAGGAGGTGGCTCTGGTGCCGCTCAGCCTGCATACGTTAGCGACCCCTTCAGCGCTATCACCGAGCAAGCAATGCAGGATGACACCTGGCTCCAGTGGGACTTCCACAGCCAAAACCCTGTTGTTCAGAGAGGATCAGAAGCATGCCTTGTTTTCATCAACGCCTTTGCTTCCGAGTCATACGATCGTCCTTACTTGCAAGACGAGTACTCTGATGACCTTGTCATGAACGTTGCAGCTCAATGCAACAACACCATGGTCGTTCTCCACAATGCTGGCATTCGTACCATTGACGCGTGGTACTCCAACCCCAACATCACTGCCATTGTTTACGCCCATCTTCCCGGCCAGGACTCAGGCAAGGCACTGGTTGAGGTTTTGTACGGAAAGCAATCGCCCAGTGGCCGTATGCCATACACTGTAGCTAAAAAGCCAGCTGATTACGGCAACCTTCTCTCGCACCTCACTCCTGACAACACCAGCAACTACTACACCCAGGACAACTTCACCGAGGGCGTTTACATCGATTACAAGGCCTTCATCGCTCAGAACATTACCCCTCGCTTCGAGTTCGGTTACGGTCTGACCTACACAACCTTCAACTACTCGTCGCTGCAAACCAAGGTGCTTAGCAACGTTAGCACCTCCGAATATCCTCCCAGCAACACCATTGCTCAGGGCGGTGTCACCTCTCTCTGGGATATCATTGCCACCGTCGACTGCACCATCACCAACACTGGCTCAGTCACTGCCTCTGAAGTTGCACAACTGTACGTCAACATCCCCGGCGGCCCAGCCAAGGTGCTTCGTGGCTTCAACAAGCAAGGCATCCAACCAGGCAAGAGCGCCAACTTCCATTTCGACATCACCAGACGCGATCTAAGTGAGTGGGATGTCGTCAGCCAGAAATGGCGTCTGCAACAAGGCGACTATGCTGTTTATGTGGGCAAGAGTGTTTTGGACATTCAGCTCACCGGTAGCTTGAGCATCTAATCTCGTTTCCTAAGATGAGGAAACTAAAAGCATGCATCATACGATAGAAATGAATTGGAGCGTTATGATAATCTTTTTTTGAAATGTATTTAAGCAAACAGTTTGTATATAAGCGAAGCCAATCGATTGCGTAAAAGAACGTTTTGGCTCGAAAATTAGGTAACGAGGATACATAGAAGAGTTAAACGACAACGGCTGTCGAGAATTAGAGCATGTCGAATATATTTGATCCACACATAACTTTCCTCTAAACATCCAACCAAGCAGTGAGTGCTGGCAACAGAAACATGGATATCAGGAAGTAAGCCGTTGCGATGTCGACTGAAGGCAAGATGAAAGGCGAGAGAGGTCGTGGGATGAAGGTGCCGTTTTCATTGAGCATCGTTGTCGCCCAGCACAAGATTGCCAATGGTACATTGATGTAGACGGTTATTTTGCTTAGAGGACCACGAGGCCAGGTCGGTGTTGATGGCTTGGATTTTGGTGGGGTGCTCATCATGAGGCCTACTTATTTTCTGGATTGGACGAAGAAGCGGTGATCGCGACTGCAGTGTTCGTGGTCGCAAGCAGTTCCCTATGTGTTGGGCATCAAGAACAGTCATACGAAAGAGAATGTAGCTAATTGATAGGGTAAAAGAACGGTTTCATGCTGCCGGCAGATTTGATTTAGGAACGGTCATAAGGGTCCTTGATGGTCTGTCATGTTGACGCGCTCGTGTGCCGAGGCTTGGACGGCGTGACTGCCGCGACAGCTCAAGGTTCAAGCATGGCAGAACAGAGGAAGCTGCGTGTTGATGGTGGTGTTCTCGGTCAGGTGATTGGACAAACTTGTTTGAGGCAAGTCTCGAGCAAAGGGTCAAGATTGACGTAGCCAATTATCAGTGGTTTCAGATGGCAGAAGAAAAGCCATCAAAGTCAAACTTCTGGTGGTGAAAGCGTTGGCTGCGACAACGGAAAGGTTGATGGGTGTCCACGTCTGCGGCGCTGGCATGCAAAAGCGGTTCGGGCGCAGGAGCAGCCGGCCAACCGTCGAGATACGGCCAATCAAGGACTTGTACATGGCGTGGTCCACATCATGATTCGACTTACCTTTCTCCGCAGCAAGCCAAGGCGCAACCAGCCCGAGTCACCTTGATCTTCTTTCCACTTCATCCCATCTTCAACCATCAATCACCTTCCAATTGACCGCCATACCGCTATTCGGATATCTACCCCAGCATCGACTATCTCGCAGTGACATTCTCCCCCGCACCGTCGCCGCAGCTCTCCACCCACAATTATATTGCTCAACAAATAGAACGAGCCGCCTGTCATGCCCATCATCAGGAATCCCTTCCGTCGCACCGAAGACACTGCGCGTGCTGTCGAGCCCCAGCCTGACCGTCGCAATGTCTCTGCCCCGCGTTCAATCGAGATTAAGGAGCCCGCTGAATACAAACTGAGTGGTGAGCATGCGCCCGCTCTGTCATGCTTGTCGCGATCGTTCGACTAACATGTCTTGTAGNAAATCAACGACAGCGGTGTCTATCTTCCTGTATGCAATCCTTCTCTCGACGTCTCCAACGCCATTCTAACGCACCCTGCCTAGCCTTCTCCGACTGAGCGCAAGAACTTCTGGTCCACCAAATCAAGCAGCTCGACCAATTCGTCCACCAACCACCGCGCTATGCTCAGCGAAGAGCCATTCAACATTTCTAGAGAATCCTTCGACTCATACAGGCGCTCTTTCGTATGTTGCGGCCTCCGACAAACCCACCCATTGCAAAGGCTAACATCACATGCACAGGACATTTCAGCTCGCTCGCCCATCATCGCACCCGAAGGTCGTCCTCGCCAATCTCTCGACTCGTCATACCACCGCCAGCCCCCACGCAGCTCTCTAGCTCTCAACAGACCTCTACCAACAGCAGACGAAGGCTTCGAAGATGTCGGTCTCGACGACCCCAAGCCAAAGAAGCGCGGTTTTCTGTCGCGCTTGACAGATAGCAATGATGATGGTCCAGATTCCAGACCTACATCAAGTCACCATGGCTTCCACTTTGGAAGTGGTCGCAAGAGAGGTCAAAGCGGTCAAGGTGCTGAGCTGAAGCCCATGGCCGACAAGTCAAACGACGAGTAGATTCAGCTTGTCTTTGTTGTTTTCGACTTTTGAGTTCTTGGGAAATAAATTGGAGTGGCCTAACGGGAAAGGCGAGGTGGGGAATGGGAATTTGGTAAACAATTGTTTGCTACAAGTGTTACAGGCGTTCAGGTGGGCGAAAGGAAGTGGTATCTTCTGGGTATTGGGTTCAACAGGGTTGAACATTTTCATGCTTTTTTCTTATTGAAAGTGGATTATGGACGTTCTTATTGATCCACGGTGTATTCAATATCTTACACGACATAATAATGAATGCCTTTGCACTTGATCTCAAACATGGCCTTCTTCAATGTTCTTGGCGTTGCTTCCAAAAATGGGGCAAATTGGATGGAACGGGTCGCGACTTCCGCAAGCGCGCGTCTCGAGCAAGCCTAGAACCAAACAATAACAACAAATCTCACATCAGCAGGTTTTACGCAGCATTGTTTGAACAACCCAGAGCAATAAACCTAAATTGATTGCGACCCGGACCATTCTTCTATTCTAGTTCAACATCCCTGCGATTTTGTGATAGCGAGAGTCCGACTGTTCGGGGATAACGGGGTTGGGAGTGAGACGTCGACGAGGAAAAACATTTGAAAATGGTAAACACAATCTTTAGACATGGGAATCATCAGCTTAGATGTTTTGCTGACATATTCTCGATGGAAAACACAGAATTCGAAAAATATGCGACGTCTTGCTGGTGATCACGCGGCTCTACACAATAATCCATTACCACCGAATTATCTCTTCGACCCAACATCAACATCAGATTCAGATCTCACAGCACTAGATATTTTGCTAGCAGGACCACGCGCCACACCCTACGAAACTGGTGTCTTCAAACTTCATCTAACGATTCCTACTACATATCCTCAGGAACCTCCCAAAGCCTATTTTCGAACAAAGATCTTCCATCCTAATGTGGATGATGGCACTGGAGCTGTTTGTGTGGAAACACTGAAACGGGATTGGGATCAGAAGTTGACGTTGAGAGATGTTTTGGTTACGATATGCTGTTTGTTGGTTCAGCCTAATGCGAGCAGTGCTTTGAATGCTGAGGCGGGTATGTTTCTGGAGCAGGGAGACTGGAGTCAGTTCGAGAGGAGGGCGAGGATGATGACGAGGCTGCAAGCAGGTGTGCCGAAACACCTTAAAGAGGCTGTCTTGGAGGCGCAAAGGAGAGGTGAAGAAAGGGAGGATTTGGAGCGAAAGGACTCGGCGTTGAACATGGCAGAGGCGACAAGGACGAGGAGGAGAGGGACGCCTTTGCCGAGGGAAATGATGGAGACTCCGACTGAGGGCGTGAGAAAGACGACCAGAGCTGGTACGCCGCCGCCTCCGCCTACTCGAGCACCAGCAACATCGCATCCGTTTGTGCGTCAGTCTGCGAGAGATGATGTGTTCGGTGCCGTCCGTCTGCCTATGCCACACGCAACTCCTATCATGCCCAATGACTCGTCCGAGCTTCTACCTACAAGTCAAGGCAAGATATCTTCAGTCATGGCACCAGTTCCCCGACTATCACCAAGACGACAAGGACCTCCAGCCCCAACGCATGACTTCTCTATGACAGACTCAGAAGCCGAATACCCACCTTCACCGAAANAGAGTCCTCAAAAGCAAGCTCGAGATACCAGCAATGCCAGCATAGAATATCCGCCCTCACCACGAAAGAGTCCTCAGAAGAAAGACTTCGACACTCTCTTCAAACAGCCATCTAGGCCTGAACCCAGCAGAGCAGAGAGTAGCCGTACAGGCGCAGCGAGACGTCTCCAATTCAATGCAGCACAATCTCAGACCACACCCAGCATTCTCGATTCCTCATCTTTACTGGAATCCAATGTAACCTTTGAGCTTGCAAACGACACCGAACCAGACACTTCCGAAATCGAAGCCTCGTTCGAACTCCCAAAACGCAGATCTGCTATCACTGCAAACAGAAAACTGGCACAAGCCACACAAGCAGCACGCACTCTACGACGAAAACCAAAGATGGCAATCCCAGAAACATCAACACCCATCTCCATCCCTATGCCCGTACCTCGATTGGCCAAGTCTCGCAAAGCATCGCCAGTGACAAGGAAGACTACCCCACAGCGACCAATATCTCCGCCAAGTTCCTCTTTTGTTGCTTTGCCATCTGCAGAGANNAGGGAAGACAGAAGTGCGGTTGTTGCACCAGTACAAGCTTTGCAGGATAAGATTCGCAAAACTGACTCGCAGGTGCGGAATGATAAGTTGGGGAAAAAGCTTTGGAGGCTTTGTGGTGGGGATGTGGGAAGGTGGAATCGAGGAGACTTTGGAGGCTTCTTTGAGGTCAAGGGAGCGAGATGGTGATTGTTCTTGTGTTTTTTTTGCATGGAGGATGGGCTAACTACGTAAAACGGCATCTTGTTTCTTCCCTTCTACGGTGTTGTTGCATTGGGCTGTAGGGTGTACACGTGGTCAAGGCATTAAGTTTTTCCATGCATATGCATTCACGGAGGCGTTTTTTTTTTGGGCATGTCATCTTTCTGTCTTTCATTTCCTCTATGTGACGTTTCCCTTGATCATCTTGCCATCCATATAAGTGAACCTCTTACACTACACATCTTGTCCAATCACAGATCTTTCGCATTCCTAGTACCATCTACCGTACGTCCTATACCCCACCCTATCAGTCGTAAACACATCCTCACGATACATTGGCATGACACGCGCCAAACACTCCAACATCTCCTCCCTACCAGGTTTCTTCAACTTCCCCAATCATCCCCATCTGAATCTTCTTCCTTCGAATCGTGACCTACAACTTGTTCGCCGTCTACCCGTCCACATAACCTATATGCATCCAACTCATCGATGCACACCTCCAGCTCTTGCAATTTTCTTGTCACTGGAATGAGGTTCGTGAACATATCTCTCCAAGGCCCATTCTCTCTTTCTTGCATAACGACGAAATGTAACGAAAGTGTTTGAAGGTTTTTAGTGGCACCAACAATGGAACCAAGTCTTGTGATGGAGCGCACAAGGAACCCAGATGTAAGGATCTAAGGTTTAATGGTTTTAGAAGGGACAGAAAGGGATTTAGGGACACTGAGCCGGGGCGTGCGCGGGCTGGCCAGGTGGATAGGTGTAGGTGTTGGAGGTTAGGTAACTCGTTGATGGAAGTGAAGAAGTTTGGATCTGGGTCTGGAGAGTCGTGACAGGTGCTGCGTGCATCATGACCGATGGTGAGTTTCAAGTGCTGCAGGGATGAAAGGTTGGAGCTGAGAGTTGGTAAGGCTTTCAACCTGTCGGTTTGAACAACTGGGATAACGAAGCTGCGGAGTAAAAGTCCACTGTCCTCAATGGCAGAGAGTACGGTGTTGGACATGTAAGTCGCCATGTCCATTGGTCCGTCTTCCTCATTCGAAGCGTATTCCCAGCTACGAGGACCACGACCCCTGACGCAGTCGGGTGTATCAAAGGGATCCCTGCCAGTGCGTCGTAGCAGCTGCGAGCGACCCAAAATCAGCGGTAAAGGAAGGTGCCAACACTTCATTTGTCCATAGTTGAGAATTTCGATCGAATCGATCTCAAGCGATTGAAGCGCAGCAGTAAGTTGTCTTCCAAAGGAGCCTTTGCGAACGAAGTTCACAGCTTCGTTGGTAGCTTCCTCTTCTGGAGAAGTTGTGTCAGGGAAAGGAGATTCGTTTTCGGTTAACAAGCGAGTTTTATGTATGATTATATGAGCGTCTGATTCCCAGTCTCCATATCGACTACTGTGGTCTTGGTAGATGGTGCAGCAGATAAGAAGTTCCTTGACGTGCCGTCTTATCCTCTTATCATTTGACACTTCCAAGAGAAGCTGAAGCGAGTGCTCGGTAGGTAGTACGTATATCTGGCTGAAGAATTGTTTGGCGAATGTGTCGAGTAGTATAGTATCCATATACTTGCAGGTAGATCGTAAAGCAAGAATATCTTGTCTGTCAAGATAGGAGACGAACTCCAGAACGGTTTCGAAAGGAAGGTTCAAGATTGACCGTATAGCGAGATTCGCGATGGAACTCACTCCCTGGTCAGACATTATGTTTCTCGTACTTACTAAGGGTGACAGGAAGAAGGATTATGGAGTGCGGTAGTGTGGGGGGAGCTCAATGTATATTGAAACTCGGCGGACCGTGCACGCTTCCTTCCTATATATAACCCTCAAGCTTCCCATTGTTCCTGCACACTGCCGCACTTGCCAAGACTAGCATCAGCATTGATACTAGCTGTCTACACGACGTGGCCAACATGCTCTTCGACACAAATTCAACACAATTGAAGACTACAATGGAGAATTGCATGTCTCTCTTGAATCTGGCTTCAGAAATCACTCTAGAGATAGCTTCTTATCTCTCGCAAAGTGATGTCAAAACACTACGCTCGACTTGTAGACGTATGGACGCTTTGTTGCTCGACACCTTCGGGAAGCAATGCTTCAACTCACTATATGTGTTGCCAACTCCTCGAGCACTGGACGCCCTCATTCAAATCTCGAGAGACAAACGCTTGAGCCGTCATGTCCAGGAGCTGGTTATATGTTCTGCTTTCCACCAGGGTATGACAACGCTCTACAGAGAACCTCCAGAAGACACTTGGGCTTACCACCTGCACCTCTTGGAGAACGACGACTTGCCATTTCCTGAGGACTGGGCCGAGCGCAGAGCAGTCAATGAAGCGGTAACATTTTTGCGTGGTGGAGATTTTGGCAAGAAGTTTGCTATTGCGCTGCAGAGTCTTAGGGTGGAGCGTATACAGATACAAGCACGGCCCAGGGGGCCATGGAGTACTGAACCATGTCCAATGCTCGGATTGTGGTGGGTGAAGCAACAAACAGGTGTTGACCCAACCGAAGGAATGTCTCCTTCTGAATTTTCGGCCGGCTGGGAATACACAGATACTGATATGATGACATGTATTGCCAGAAGTGTCATCTCTGCTGTATCTGAAAACGAGGTCCCTTTGTCTGCGTTGATCATGGACGTAATCGAGATTGATAAGTTAGCGTTGAATGCACGGCTACTATCCGGCCGTGGACTCGAACGTTTAACACATCTGGATCTCACCGTCCATTTGTCCCAACCAACGACGGCAACTTCAGTCATCGAGCAATGCCACATAGATCTCGGCACCATAATCAACAACCTCCCTCGCCTTTCACATCTGTCGCTTTTGAGTCTCCCTTACCGTAACGAACAAAGGCTTCTACAACTCAACAGCGTCATTCCACACCTAAGACCCGAGAACATCCAGAGCTTGTCCCTAGATGTTATTGATGGCGCCTGCCAAAGACTCCCTGCATTCTTTTCCGCCCTGCCAACACCATTGTCTACCCTCAAATTAGGCTTCAGACTTTACCCAGACTTCTCCAATACACCATGGAACAATCTCTTTTCTCGTCTACGAGATATCCTCGACTCCTTGAATCACCTTGAGATCTCCATCGGCAGAGACGAGTGGGAAGCAAGTGGACGTGATAATATTGATGAATTGCTGCAGTGGCTGGCAAGTCATGTGAAAGAAGATTGGGAAGAGAATAGTGAGGATGGAGATAGTCCAAAAATGTGGCGGCACAGCAAACGTTNNGGTAGCACTCAGAGAAAAAAGAACTTGTTCACAATGCTCCGGCGTGTGCTCGGGGAGCTAGACTAAGGCGGAATGGACCTCTTCACATTCATGCAAATCGATATCGGTCGACTTGCTGTGGCCAGTCTCAGCGCGTACATGGTCCGCTATTGCAAGGTTGCGTCTGAGCTCGCTTCCATCCTCGACCTCGCTGGCCAAACCAATCCTAATTTACGAGCATCCCAGAGGTGAAGAATGAGGGAATGTCCCTCATTGCGACTGGAAAAGTTTCGAAGTCCAAGCAATCCAATCTCAGCCTTTCGCGCAGACTGTCCAACTTCTCACTCCAGACGTTTGACAAATTCCCTCGCACAGGGCAATAGATGACGAGATTCAGGCCTTTGAGAGTTCCCTTACAGTCTTCCAACTGGTTGATAAGATCATATGTAAGGCCCCATAGCCTCCCCAGCGTTACATATGGAATACCCTTGAGCTTGATGTTTTTCAGGAGGTTGTCGATAGGAATTGGCTCCGAAAAATATATTGTACCGTTTGTCAACGACAAATACGTCAGACGAGGTGCAAGACCATTGATCATGTTGCAGAGAGCATTCTGAAACTTCTGCTTAGCGAACAGCTTCACTAAGTCCTTCTTTTTCCAATGCCGAGGCTGATATCTAGAGAGTCCAAATTCTGGAATTTTTCTGCCAGGTGGATGAATGCATCGATTCTCTTATAGGCCAAAGATGCACCTTGTGCACGCAAAGCATCATCGTCGAAATCTCCAGCTTCCGATCGCTGGACCAATTGCACAAAGGCCAATGCAGAGCATATGCAAATCTCTCGTACATGGTAGTTCAAACGTTGATCTCGCGAGGTCTGCAACAATATCTCTCGTGAATGTGCATTTTCCAGCACATTCAGTCGACCAAAACACCGCCTGCCGAATGTCTCCAGCAAGACTTGGTTCCAGTACTTGTTGACGCTGCGAAGGTTCTTGACGTCTTTTCTCGATAGGTGCGATGCCATTTGCAAGGCTATTTCGACGGGCAGGGCGCTTAATCGCGGCTGCTTGTTTTCCGGTAGAGCTGTCATATCACGGCTGGTAGAGAGATAAGAACCCATGTTTCGAAAGAGTTCTCTTTGTCCAAAGGGAGTTCGGAGACAGTCAGTCTGATAGATGGGCAGTCTTGTCAGCTCTCAAGTGGTCGTTGGAATCCGAACGCGATGTAAGATGATCATTATCAAGTCAACAGTGAAAGAGTCGCAGGAAAGAATTAAGTCGCGTGTATGAAAACACGTGTCTATGACCATGTTGATCTAAGCGCCCATCACGACCCTTCCGTGCCTCCTTGCATGCGTTGTCAAGGTAGGAAGAGGCAGCCGTCGCAGCTTCCCGAGGTTTCCCCGACTGATGCTTGCTGACTGTATCACCCTGTCATCGTCCTATACCGCGATTCCTTACCCAGAGCTTGAGCTTTAGGTACTGAGTGGCATCCGGATAAAGAGCAAGAATTCGTGAAACGAAGACAAAGCTGAAATTTATGACTCAGAAGAGACACAAAAGATTCGGTGGCAGTAAGGATCGTTCCGTTGGGATTATGAAGTTGCGAAGAAAAAGATAGGTATAATGACTGCAAATGAACCCGTCAAGTTGTGAAGCAAAGCATGTAAGGATATCGATAACTATTCTTGCGAAATGTTTGTGTGTTATTACTACTATGCATGAGGGCGCTACACCAATAGATGTTTCCACAATCGTACGCAGAAAGAGTAGTATGATCCTGATCTAACCGAATATCTTCATCGATAGATCTCTAATCAGACTTGGCCATGCTAAAATCCTTCAAAGCGCGGCCATTCTCCACCTCCTTCCTCCAGCATGTACGCTCCTCACTAGCAACACCAGGGCCCTGGTACACCGAGCCGTAGGGACCGCTAGAGTAGCTCTCCTTGCTGTTCTTACCGCTGTATCTCTTCTTATACCACTTGCCGTACGCAAGCAGATAGTACAATCTGAATGACAACAGAGCAAAGTTATCGCGCTCGAGATCCTCAGGGTATGTGGCGCCCAAGTCGACGGCGGCGGCAATACCAGAGATACAAGCGACCTCGTGAGCGTTGACCATTGTCCAAGCTGCGGCGAAGCGGGTGTGGTTTCTGCCGTTGAGGGCCCACATCCAGGGTACGACGAAGAGGTAGTGAGTGAACGAGTGGCAAAGTTGGTGCCACCAATCCTTGCGGATGATCTTTGACTCGTCAATCTCATCGATAGACCAGAGGTGCGAATCTCTGTCGTTGTTAAGGAAGATGGTCTGGAAAACCGCGTTGTCCAAAGGTGTGTCAGGAGGGAACTGAGACTGGTAGTTTGAGCAATTGAAGCTCATTTCCAGTTTTGTGAGGTCGGAAGGATACATCTTGATCAAGTACATGGGCTTGAAGCTCTTGCGGGCAAAGTTGACGCGGGACGATTGGTCGACGCCATTCAAGGTTTGCACAGCCTGCTCTTCGTTGAACTCCATCTCGTAGTGCTTGCGCATGTAGTCTGCATCTGAATGGGTAATCGTGATGTCGTTGGCGAACTTGGCGGATCCCAAGACTTTGTTCTCTCTCCAGGTTGCGCAAGGCTTGAGAATGCGTTTGGCGGTGTCAGTAAGCACGCAGAGCACAATTTCGTCGTAGTGTTCTTCCATCTCGGTAGCATTAGGGTCGCCGTTTGCGCCTTCAACTGTGTTGGGCACCCAGGCGCTGTCTTGGGTATGGCCGTCCGAGGCAGGTGTTCGCTTGATGATCTTGACGTCAACGCCATCCTTGTTTCTACGCACGACTTGGGTGACTTCGGTAGAGAGACGAATGTGAACGCCCTTCTTTTCGAGACTGGTCTTCCAGTCGCTGTAGAACTCGCTGAAGTTGGGGAAGACAACCATGGGGGGCATGTTGCTGGCTACACTGGCCTTGTCTGTTGGGTACCACATGCCGTAGGTGGGACTTGTGCACAGTCTCTCCAATACCATACTTGGTACTTCGGGNGCATAGTTTCCAGTGCCCAAAAATAGAGCGACCATGGGTAGAGCGACGACATTGGCAAATTCTTCAGAGAACATGAAGAGCTTGACCACATGCTTGATGGGTATCAGGGCGAAGAAGATCTCGAACCAACGAATGATCTTGATCATGTAATAAAAGCGTCTGACCTCCTTTTCATGCTTCTTGAGCATCATAGTCGAGTACACGTTGGTCCAGAACTGCTCGTCCTTTCCGAATGAGACCTGCAGCTTGACGGGATCGGCATGGTGTCCCTGGCGTGCGAACATGGTCATGGTGTGGTGGAAAATGTACGAGCCACCTTGGACACCTTGATTGAGCCAGCTGGCGCCATACTTGTTCTTATCGATGGGGATACTGTATGCCTGACCACCGCAGTAGTCGACAGCATCCACGAGCGTGACGTCGAACTTGTCGGGCTGTTCGGCGAGATGGTGAGCACAGCTCATACCTGTACCGACACGTCAATTCTGCACTACAACTCTGGTGTTGCTGACATCGGACGTACCTGCAGCTCCAGCGCCGACCACAAGCACCTTCTTTCTCTTCTGGTTTTCCATCTGTTGACCCATATCGTACCGCGTCTGAGAGGGTTCACTTGTTAACAAAGGCCTTTCTTCTGGCATGTGTGCAGGTCGAGGTCGCAGCTAGTCAATGTAGTTTTCTGCACGCGACAGAGAAACGAACGGGTCATTCAATGGTCATGTATGCCCCTTGCGCGACAAAGAATGACATACGCGAACAAAAAATCACATCATGACCGCCAGGAAATGGGAGACAACATCGTCATAGATCACGACCGCGCGACGCCAAATCTGGGGTCTTTCGGCCACCATCCCTGATCAGGCCTTAGTACGCAAGATTAAGTTCAATATATTCCTCCGACTCTCGATCTGCTTGCGATTCAACCAAAGCCATTGATGATTGATGCGAATGTGGATGAGAGACAATAATCTGGATAACAGGGTATATAATCAGGCTCAAAGGACTTGGTAGGCGTCGTAGATGACCATGTCGCCGACGCGCCCAGAGCTGGCAATGAACACGGCCGAGTTGAGCCAGGTGTATCTCTCATCACCAGTTTCGAAGGTAAGATGGAGGCGCATTCTGAATTGATCAGGTCCAATTTTACCCTCTCCCAACTTTTCAAGGACCTCCTTCTTTCCAGTTCTCGTNTCTGTGATCCTAAACGTCAGTATGCCGTCTTTCACTTTTTCTGAAAGCAGTCTGCTTCAAGGTCGCACTACTCACCCTGTCGTGCGCAAATAAATAGTTGCTCCGTCATGTGACTCCAAGTTGTATCTTGTATCCAAGTGGGCAGTCTGCTGATCTCCATCGTGGTCCCTCACGATCTCCCAATCTACACAACGATTGGTTAGAAATGTGAATTGATTGGGCACAAAAGGTACATTGTGCTCACCTCCGCCTCCGGGAAGGATACGGCCTCTTAGGCGTGGACCCTCGAATCGGCCACCCTTGAATATCACAGTAGACCTGTCACCGTGGGGGCCGTTTCCAATGTGTCTGAAGGATTCCATATCGCATTCGAGGTGAAAGAGGAATTGAAGCGATGGGATGGGTAGCTTGTATTCAGGCTTCGCCCACTCGCTGTTGGTCAATCGGTCGATGCTGACAGGCGGTTCAACAGTGCCTGGCTGTGGTGTCGAAGATGCCATGCTGAATGTTTGACAAGTGGTGTATCGTGTAAATCGTGATGCAAGCAAGCAGTATCACCTGTCACCACATAACGATGAGTTCTTTATAGTCTCAGAATTCAAGGTCTCCAAATGACGTCGTTCTTTAGCTTTCGCTAGCCGTGGGATGCCGTTACTATAGGACTGAACAACGGCAATTGCTCAAGGCAAGCAAAGTTGCCAGTATGGATCTTGAGCTGAGCTTCATGAGTGTGTATATTCACAGGCATGAAGAAGCACTTCATACAGCATTGGCAAGTTAAAGGGCCAATGCTGCTGGTGATCGCCATCGCTACTGCTAAATCGCACTGACCACCTCGGTCACGAACAGCTCACCTTGATGGACGATCGCGAAATAAGTGGAGCACTGCGAATGCTCGACTGCATTCAATGTTTCTCTGCCCTGATGCATACCATTCAAGCATCGCATTGATGATTTAGGGCCATGAAAGCTGTTATCAGGTGTGCTCCTGTCGTCTAATTTTGCCGTCATATGTATCGCTCCTCCAGATATGGACGCGGTTATCATCCCGCGCTTTTAATCTATTCAACTTCGAGGATAAAGCGCAGCCTGTCCTTTAAGCATGGCGATAAGCAATTTTACAATGCATCGTCATATCGCAAAAGAGGGGTCAGTTTAAGCGCCACGCGGCCGAAGATAACGAATTCAAGCAATGTCGTGCTTCCCGTCAACGAGTGTCCGCGATAGCCGTTTCGTATAGTGGTTGTATACAGTATCTCTCTAGCGTGGGAGAGATCGAGAGGAATGACCTTGGCGGTTGTTTGATATCAGTCTCGTCCTCTTTGAAGGCAAACGGCGCATACATGATGATCACAGGCAGCAGTAGTGCCATGGCAAGGCTGTACTNTGAAGACGACCTTGATGTCCAATGGTCACGGCCCAACATAGATTAGCAAAGAAGGGCAAGGGCTCGGACCGGCTCTGGTCTTGACAGCTGTTAGCGCCAGCAGGTACCATCCCAAGTGGAAATACCACAGCTGCATGCAAGCGACCATTGGCTCCGNNAGAGGAGTCGAGATAACAGCCACAAGCGCACCTTNNTCCTTGGATATGANNTCCTCGGCGGATATTGGACGAGCGAGATTCTCAACAGCTCATAGGTNNTCCCACAGCCTCGCTTGATCGGTTATGCCGTAAGACGACAGCGCGTGCGTGCTCTTTGGANCGATCCTGGCAGTCACTCCCGTCGCACAACTTCTTGGGGTCGACCTTTACAGCTAGTCGACCTAAGGATTGGTAGGAGGTCCTAAGCAGTGGAGTGCATTTGCTTCAAACGAGCCACAGTGCTGGGNNCAAGAGGCACAGTACACGGACGTCATGAAGCATCGATGCTGGTTGCTGCAGTTCGCAATTGCCGCATGCAATGCCTGGCAGTTGANNACTTGGCTGCTGTGCTCAAACCAGAAGCGTGAATTACAACTGGTGNTGATGTGATGGAACCTTGACCACCTGGTGGCCTTGANNCAGACATTAGTTCTTGCGCCATATCTCCGTATTGAGGATCTTGTGGAGGATTAGATAATGAGAGTCAAATATGGCACACACAATATGCAATCGATGGCGTGGGGTTACTCTCCAGCCTCATTGGCGCTTGAATAGGCAGGGCAAGCGAGGTACCGAAACCGCCCCTCCTACTAGGAAGCATGCGGCATGTCTGGAGGCTGGAACTTCAACTCGCCGCGGTGGTCCGACGAGGTCTTTGGCGTCTCAGTTCGAGTGGATGATTCCATCAAAGACAAGCATTGTGCGCAATTGCCCTTCCGCGAGACCCTTGATTCGGGGTTTACAAGGAGCATGAACCGGCAGGGAAACAGTTCAGACAAAACAAGTGAGCAGCAGTAAGCAAGGCAGTTGCTACCGGTCGGTTTCAATGCACATCGCTTGGGGCGAGCTTCTTGCACCTGCATGCAGCAAGAACTTGAAACCAAAGCAACGTAAGAGCGGAGAATCGACGCATAGCATTTGTGCACAACTATGCCATTGGCTCTCGTGAGCTGTGGATATCAAGGTGGTTTCAGAACTACTAGGATGGCCTCAATCCAGATGCGAGAAGTGGCGGGTTGTGACGAAGACGTCGACGACTGACTAGGATGAAGAAGAGGTGAAGCCTGAAGGCAACAGCCAAAGCGACAAAACAACAAGCCAACCCAACACTAGAAGATCCCATCGGCTAGCCTGGCACCGGCCGAAACCCGAAAGGTGAGATCAACAAACACAAGACAATTGTTCAAAACACTCTTCAGCAGGCAAGCAACGATTGAGGAACTAAATTTGATTGAACTGCTCATCATTCCAGTGCCGTTCATGCCTCGTGAGCAAGTGAGCTGGGCTGCAGGCCAACCGTCCCCAAACGGAATGCTGCTGCTATTCGCGCATGACAAGGCGCTCCGGATGATTTTCACGCTAAGAAAACTCTGTCGAGCACGCACACACGCCATCCCTCGACAGAAGCCAAGACCAGGATACATGAAAATCCACGGAGCCAAACGGACATCACGCAAGCAAAAAGACGTTTTACCGATCGCGGCCGTACTGTGACAATCGCAAAGGATCATGCTGCGAAATCGCTGTGGTGACGGTGCTGCGAATTAGCAACAGACTGTCGAAAGCCAGAAGGAAATGATTTGTGGAAGCCGGATGGTTCAATAGTGGTGAATGAACGGACAAGGGCAAGAACAGTAAACGTTGTTAATCCTACCCGAACCACGAATCCTTCCAGCATCTCCGCTGTCCGAAACCCCCACGCAGAAGGTTTCGGGGTGGCTTTCGATTGGGCGCATGCAGGTGAAGGTCGAGAGCGCAGGAGCGGGAGGTGAGGCCAGCAGGGTGCATGCACAACAGCCCCATACGCCAATGTATCTGCTGATCCATGGCGTGGGCACGCCAGAGGTGTGCCTGAAGATGTTATATGTTGCCATGCCCTCCCTCTTTCCCTCGCCTACTATATCACCTACTCCCAAGGCAACCATCTTCTTCCATCTTTCCAGCAATTTCTGTCGCAATCGCACATCATCGAAACATTCTGTGACAAGCTTCGACGCCGCCTACCAACTTCTTGCATCTTCGATCTCTCCGGTCTGAGTCACATCACACCTGTTACTCACACCATAAGGTCCGGGCGTTTTATATGATTCATTTCCCACATTGCTCATAACCATCAACGTCCTACCTTGATAATCTCTTGCCATACATAAGAGAGAAACATTTCTTTCAACCCACTCAATCCATCAATACATCCATACCAAAACTCAACACAATCATCCACCATGGACTGCTTCCACGACTTCTGCCTTGCTTGCGACAAGCAAACCACTGAGGGTCTCTACTGCTCTCAAGCCTGCCGCTTGGCCGACCTTGAGAAGGCTGGCTCATCAACACCTTCATCACCCTTCTCTCCCACCATGGAGTCAAGTTCTCAGTCGTACTTCCCTTCTGGCTCAAGTGGCTTCCAGCTCCCCGAGGCATTCAGCTTCAAGCCTACCAGCACATCATTCTTCACCGAGTCATCATCACCTCGTCGTGCCTTGTCACCATCATCATCACGAAGCTCGTTGTCATCGTCGGCTGGCAGCCAGACAGGCAACATCATCTCAGAGCAAGCACGCACAGAGCTTCAGACATACGTCAGCGCCTTTGACCAGACGCGAGAGATGAAGAGGCGTTCATTGAGCAGCCACTGATGCTCCTCCACAAAACGGCTAGAGCTCTGACACTGGTCACTCATCACGACGCTTACGAATACCTCACTCTCATCTCGACCAAAACCAACCTTCAACACTTCTCTCTCTGTACGACTCAACGAATCATCACTGGCATCTCAACCATTGTATCTGCCCATTTCTACCTTACACAGCGATCAACCATTTTCGGACTTTCATCTCCTTGCATTTGTTGTACTACAAAAAAAGTCAAAACATTTCGGACTATAAAGGCGCATTTGAAATTTACAAGCATGGTGGGAATAGGAATGGGATGTAGGAAAAAGGGATCACAGGATGCATTCGCTTGTCATCAAAACATTTTCATCATCACATCGGTTGCATTTCTTTTCGAGAGGATACCCATTGCTTTTACCTTTTCCATCAACAAATCATCAAGAATGGCGGATATTGTTTTCTCTCATCTATCGATTACATCTTTTGTTACATCTATGGCACATTATTGCTACACAGAAATTTCATCATCAATGACCATCTACAATTTCTTCCAAGTTTCTCCCCTTCTGGGATGTCACTGTGCACGCCTTCCACTTTCACGCCCTACCTCGCACAGCCTGGATGCCGTTGGTCCCTTGTTGTTTTGGGAAGCTCCCCATCGTCCAACGAACCCCGCACGTGTACAAAGTAACAAAGTACCTCTGTACCTCTTGCCCATTGGCACACCAAGAATTTGCCGCTTGCCAGAAGCACGAACAGCGGTTCCCACTTCTGTTCAACGAATGTTTCACCCACGGCAGCACCAATACAACAAAAACGTTACGTACTCGAACTACGGCTTGCTAGAGCAACAATTTCTATCCATACCATTCTTGACAAGGCTGGAAGAGGGGCTCTGGCCAAGCGCCACCCACGAAGGGGGCTTTCTCATTTTTCTCTTCTGACTCTTTCGACTCTGTCAAAAAGGTTTCGGGTACGAAGGAACGCTGTTTGAGGTTTGTGATTATCTGGGCGAGAAACCAATTTCCATGAGTCGCGCGACTCGCGCGGACGCGCCCGGCGCCTCTCCAGCGGTGACGCTCTCCGCGCTTTGTTCGAGTCGCGAGAAAGAGGCGGAATTGTGGAGAGGAGCTCAACTCCTGAAGCTTTTGTCAAAACTCAATTCTCGTTGTCGAACATCGGCGACTCCGTGGCGGGTAAAGAGTCATTCGGGCCGCAGGTTGAAGCCACACCAGCAACGAGATTGTCCCTGAAAAAGACAGCAAAAGGACTGGCCGGCACGGTACCGCTTCCGTGAGATAGGAGCAAGAAAAGGGTGACTGTCAGGAACAGGAACAGAAACAGATCTTTGCCTAAATGAACATTTTTCTCATGGTATACCACTGTGCAGTCAGAGCTTTTTGCTCCATAGCAACGTCTTTTTTTCTTCCCTCTCTTGCTCCTGTTCATGTCGGTAGACGGACCCGACCGCGCATGTCCGTTGAGATGATGGCAAGACTTTCACGTCCACGCCGTGGATGGTCTTATTGGTCAATCGACTGCCCTGCCGCTACAAGCGGTCCCAAGAAATTGCGGAGAAGAAAACCCCACAGCAAAGCGACTAGTTAGCTGCCCGTTGCTTTGATGCCCAGAGCTTTGCTTTGTACCTATATCGAGGTGGCCATCGACGTGGGGGGCTTTTTGGGACAATTGCAGCCAATGAGCGTACGCCAGTCCAACACTCACTTCGAGAAAAGAACAGACCAACAGCAAAAATCAGAAACAGCGATCAAAGGTCAGTCCTTCTTCGAGTCCTTTCTCCGTTTATCCCACTTCCATCGCTGCGAAGGAAGTGTCTGAATCGCAACACCACACGTGAACAACTGGTGGTGACAGCGACTACAAGTCTTTGAGTCACAGATGAAGTCAACAGACCACAAATGATCAGCCCTCGGAGCCTCACAAAAACTCTGTTTGCTGAAATCCCGCTTGTCTCTCTCCCGCGAACCGCAAAAGCATCCATGACTTTGCCTTTTGGTCGCGCCGGCAGGCTCCTTGTTGCACAACTCTGTTCCTCTGTCCAACCCCTGTGCACAAAGATGAACGGCCTCTGGGCAACAACCCCTGGCCATAGCTCTGGGGCTTGCACATCTCGTTGAACCAGGATCTCTGCTGACCGCGGGAAGAGTTGGACGATCCGGAACATGGCACAGCCATGTGATTGGCAACAAGTTTGCCTCAGAAGAGATTAAAGACACAAGACCTTGTGAGCAAGAATAGAGAACATCTCAAGCCGAGAGTCAAATGGAAAAGAACATAACAGAGAAGAAGGCTAACGAGATTGGTATGGTCCTTTCGCTTTTACCCCTCTTCATCTTTCGCAATACACGGCTCGCTTGAAAGGTTAACTGAAGATGCATACCTATTTGCAATCAGGAGTGATTACAGGAGACAAATAGTGCATTGCGCAAGTCCTTCAACCAACTCCACTTCGTCTTCTGGGTACTGTGGGTGTCCATTCATTTTGCCTATATCTTATCAAGACCCTGGACCTCCGATAATGCCTCCGCTACGATCCACGGGTAGGATCTGAGACTCCACAGATCTCGCAAAGGTCCAAACCCTACAAACTCTCGTTTTTGCTCAACGTTTCTTTGCTTCAGCTTTGTCTGTTCAAGGGTCTCTCTGCATCCAGATCGTTTCTTCTTTATGAAGCAAGAAGATATGCAGGAACGCACTCAACGTGTACATCTCAGCCACCGTTTACGCAATACAGAGATTCGTGACGGTACGGAGAAATTGAATGTGTAGGTTTGTCCCAGACAGTGATAAGAGACGGGAAAAGACGTCAAAACAGCAAGAATAGGAGAGATGAGTCGAGCCCTGGACTCTGCCGCTGCTCACTGCCGTCTGCCGTACAGGAAAGCATCAAGCCACAGAAAAGGTCTCGACAAGCCAGGTACAAACTACGACTCGGCCATGATTCGCAGTTTCGGAGTATTTCGAGATTGTGTTTCTGGGGTTGAGATATAGAGAAGGCTTATCTTTGGGATGTACTCTGGAGAGGTCCAGATGTTCGGCCTGGTTCGACTGCTCTGCTGCGGACTGCATATCGTCTTCGTTGTGCTGTCAGCGAGTTCCGCCTTGAGTTATCACTGCTGACAGGTGTGAATGGCACAAAGTCTTGAACCGCTTTTCTGTGGAAGCTCTGCCACTTCAACGATCATGGCCATCCCAATAATCAATCCTCGCGAAAACAACAGATTTTCTCTGTACAATACCACCAAGAATCAGTATTCTGGCAGGATGCTCAACCATGTCATCTTCTTACTCTAGGCTACAATACTGTCTCTTACGTCTTCTTATCTGTCTGTCGATCTAAAAGATATTTTATCATGATCGTTCAGGTGACCGCAATCGTTAAAGTGGCAGGGCTTAGACGTAAGCCCGACTAGATAAAGAAGCAAACACGGTCAAGCATGGTAAATTCGCTAACATCGAAGAACAATTTAATAAAGTAAGTAGCCTATGTCCTAGCTATCTGTTTACGCCCTTTCCTATCCTATACTCGTTCTTCTTTTCATAGTCCTTAACTCTTTTTTTTTTTTTCGCACAACGATCTATTGCCATCTCCCACCTTTGCGGTCTTAGATATGGCTAAAACAGGACAAAGAGATGCATGCATACGCAATGCGCCTACTTAAAACCGCCGACTCGGGTTTTTGTAACCCCCTTACTACACCATACAAAACCTACGATTTCGTAAATCGTAAAACACGGATATAACTGAGTACTACACCTTTCCTCTACGATCACAAAACCCTCTTCTAAAATATAAGAAACAGATCTGAATAGTTGCAATTAAAATATCGCATGTACAAAGATGAGCACAATGGGAGCATCTCTATACTGTTTCTTTCCATGTATTACAGCAAGAAACCGAAACCAGGCAAACAAAGAAACCAAAAGGAGAAGAGATAAAAAAAAAAAGAGCGACTGCTAATGGAGCTACCTCTTGGGCTTTGAGAGACGAACCACTCTTTCGTTTTTCCGAACTTCGGAAGGCTATGACTTGAAAATCGAGAATGTGCCATATGAGGAGCAAATTTTTCATTCTTCGAAAAAGTCGTCCAAGATGAAAGGATCAAGGAAGCGCATGGGTAAAAACGTCGAGAAAGGTGACCAGATGAAGCAGAAGAAGCAGATAAAGACACGCATCATTTTTGGAGTCGAAGAAGAAAAAGATCAAAGTATGTGTATATTTTCAATGTGTAATTCGTGAAAAGAGGTCAAGGTGACTAGTTGGCTATCCCAGAATACCATCATCCTACTGCTTGATATCCACAGCAATACTGCTGAGATACGCACACCTCTCCTTTTGTTGCACAGGCACAGTTTCCATCTCCGTAGCGTTGGTGACAAAATGCAACCTCTGCTTCTGGCTCGCAGTCCAGGTTTCCCAGACCGGGCTGCCCTTCAGGCGGTAAGTGTTAGGGTTGAAAGTGCGGATAAACGACGTCCAGTAAGCCTGCGTAACAGGCACGATGGCAGCGTTGACAGTCGAGTAGGAAGCAGGCGCGCCTCCTCTGACGTTCTCGGGTCCCCAGATGGCGTTGATTTCTACCGTGTGGGTGACGCCTCTGCCTGCTGCTGCTGCTACAGGGTCTACAACGTCCCAGTGGTAGTTGTAAATGTCTTTGCGGTTGTAGGTTGCCGCGTAGATATCCGAAATATTGATGCCTGGGCAGTTGTAGCGTAGTTCTCCATAAGCGTCCGAAGCTTGTCTCCACCAAGCTCCAGAGTTGGGGAACTGGTTAGAAGCATTGTTGGGATACAAAGCATTAATATGGCGAATCTGGTCGAGAGTCAAAGCAGGGAATTGGTCTTTGAGGAACGTGTTGCTTTCGCCGAGGGAAGAAGTGTTGGAAGGCACGAAAACAGTACCTTCGTTTGTGTCATCGCCGTAGATGGCGGGCAGTTTGATGAAGTTGCCTTTGCGGTAGGCAGCCATGGTAAGATCGCTAACCACATCGCCATCCAGTGTAGGGCCGTACATGTACAATGGAGGATCTTGAGCGCCAGGGAATGGGGTGTTGATGTTTTTGGTTTGCAGGTAGGTGGCATTGAGGCTACGCAGGCAGGCGAGAGTATCATTCGAAGTTGTGCATCCAGTTCGGATGACCAGGTTGTCGTACATGAATTGAGATTCGTTAATACTGCGGACGGCAGCGAAAGATTGAGATTCTGCAGCCGAAGCGTGGAAGAGGCCGTCATTGCGACCATTGTGTGCGGTAAGGAGAAGAGTGATGGATGCAGCACCTGCAGAAGCTCCTCCAAGTACGACATGGTTAGGGTCACCGCCGAACTTGCGAATGTTCTTCTGAACCCACTGCAGAGCCTTGATCTGATCTTTGAGACCATTGTTGGTGCTTCCTCCCTTCACAATCTCATTTGATGCAAGGAAACCATAAGGACCGACACGGTAGTTGAAGTTGACGACAACAATGTTGTGGTTGCTAGCCTCGATCAAACCGGTTCCATTGTAGTTGGGGTTTGAGTTTGTGTTGAATCCACCACCCTGGATGAAGAAGTAGACTGGCAGAGGATGATCCGATGTGGCGTTTGTAGGAGCATAGATGTTCATGAACAGACAGTCCTCAGACGAAGTGTTACTTGGTGCGGAACTGGTGCCCAGACAGATATTGCCGAACTGTGAAGGAGTTTATCAGCAAGAGAGACTGCATTCCCAATGACAAGTACCTACAGTATCGGCCGCGATGGTGGTCTTGTTCTCGATTGGATCAACAGGTGCTGCGAATCTCAGGTTGCCGACTGGAGGAGCAGCATACCGCACACCNAACCACTGTGTAATGCCATTCTCAAGCGAAACACCTTCATACTTGGAGTAACACACATCTACCAAGGGCTTGACAGCACCAACAGTAGACACACCCACAAGTCCCGCAAACAGAGAGGAACGCATGTTGAGGAGAACGGCAGGAAGAGATGAGGGGTACACTTACAGGTGCATGCGGAACGAACCTGCCTTTTATGTCAGTTGCAATCCTACCTTGGAAGTCACGATGCCATGCCCCGCAGCGGCTGGTATACCTCGAACCACGCTGGCACCCCGTCACGCCCCATGGAAGCATCTACCATGTCGCGACCTCTGCGCGTTTCTGCCCTGATGGCAGAGTCGTATTCGGCATGCCGACGTCGACATGCTCCAACCTCGGCCGACCTTCCCATGAGGGACCACATGCCGAATAAAGCCTAATCGTCGCATTTCTTCCCGGACGCCGTACCCGATCGATATCCTACGCCTGGCGCTCTCTGCGGATCGGGTCTTTCAAGACTATGAGCATACTCGGATCAAGCAGGATTGAAGCTGTTTTCGAGAGAGCTCAACAGAGCGAAAATCTGATCTGGAAAGCTTGGCAAAGACGATGTGAAGGAATTGTTGATTGAAGAAAAGCCACTGCATCAAAACCATGAACCATGCGCGGAGGTTAAATGCGGGCATTGTGGGGCTGCCCAACCTCCGCATCGAGAGTGGAGTGGAGACTGGAGGCCTTGATCATACACGAGCAACCTTGTCGCCAATCTATACCATGTGCACGGTGATGCAACAAAGGTAATTAGCAATTTATTCAAATCATGGAGTGAAAAGAGTTTACAATGATTGATTTTATACCTTGGAATATCTAATGCTTGTAACCCGCTAAAAGAGGAGAATTGACAGTCAGAAATTTGCCCATGCCGTCTGGTGAAAGTACAGCAGATTGAGCAAGAGACGCAGAAAACGCAGATGTAAAGATTGCTTGACTCCGCCTTCGCCAGAAACTCTTGTATATACAACAAGATGGCGAAGTCCTTGCTCCTTCTGTCCCAGTCAACTTCCCCAGCATAACACCATGCGCCAGGCCAATGCGCAGAGCTGTCAAGTTTTTCGTAGTTTGTGACCTTTTCGTGTCTCTCGATTGTAGTCCGCCTTTTTCTGTTCATGTCCGGAGGTGTTCGTTCGGCTTTTGTTGCAGGGAGATGCTGCTGGTATGACGGTGACGCACAGCTCTACAGGCCATATACTTGCCAGCCGTCCAAACCATCATCTCCAACCACGTTGGGTCTTGCTTCGGCCGATGCAATGGTGTCTCTCGGATCATGAGCTGTTCTAGTTCCCAACTCTTGGTCAAGTCACAGCTCGTCATCATCAATCTCACTGGGCTTGAGAAGACCGCCAACTTTCATGGCACGCTCCCTCTCTTGCACCTTGGCTTCCTGAGCAGCCTTCTCACGGTCTTCGATAAACAGCTCGGCGTTGTCACCAGCGAATTCCTTGAGCTGAATCAAGAAATCGCGCAATGTAAGCTTGAAGCGGTTGATGTCATCGGCTTGTGAGAACAGGTCTGAGATGAACTTCTGAATTTGTGCGGGAGTGAGGTTGGGGAAAGCGTTGACAAGAAGGTTGCCAACAAAGTTTTGGAGGAATTCCTTGTTTGACGTGCCAGCAGGTGCCATGTCAGAGGTGTAGATGGGTGAGTTCAACTTGCCGGAACCGACGAGGTAGAACATCTGTGCCAGGAGCATAGACTGGTACTTAAAGCCAGCCTTGTGGTCAGAGTCGGTCAAGACGAAGAAGACATCCTGGAGAATGGTAGTGTAGAAGTTCTGGAAGAAAGGTCCGCTGATCTCCATGTCGGTCTCGGACATGTTCTGGACAAGCTCGTAGCACATGTTGAGACCTTCGCCTTCAACAAGGCGGTTGTCGTGCTTGCTGGCCCACATGCATGAATCGATGACGAACTTGAACTGGCGCTGGTCAAGCTGAAGAAGAGCAGGGAAACAACGCAAGTTAATTTCGCGGAGAAGCTTGAAGAATTCAACACGGTGCTCGGGGTATTCGGAGAAGTCCTTGTTGATCATGTCCAGAGTGCATTCGAAGACAGCACCGAGAATGCCAGGGACATCCTTGGTCATCAAGCCCTGTGAGATGTCAGTACGCAGTTTAGAAGAAGGAATGGCGATCAAGCCGACCGAGTGTCTGCTACGATTAGGGGTCCAACGTACCTGAAGCTTCTTGATGATGGTAGTCATGACGTTCAGGACCTCAGCCTCGCGAGCATCAGGGACGTTGTTCTGGTAGTCAAGAAGAACAGCTTGCAACAAGTCGGGTACAAGGCGCTCGTGAACCATCTCAAGGTCATCAGCCTTGTCGACGTATGTGCTGATCAACTTGAGGATCTCCTTCTTGATGGTTCTGAGACCACGGACCTTGGGCATCTTGGTGGCAATGTTACCTNNGTGAGTGTTAGCAACGACGGTATGAACACGAATAGGTGGAGTAAGTATACCATCTCTCTGCACAGCTTCATCAATAAGCTGACTGCTGGCGCGGTACATGGTGAGCATGTCGAGGTAGATCTTGCCGATCTGAGGGTAGAAGTAGCTTCCGATCGAAGAGCAAGCAGAGACGTTTGTCTTCATGATGTTGCCCACAACCTTGATGGTCTCGGCGTCTTGTAGGATGTTGGGATCGACATGTGCGGACTGAATGATGGCATCCCAAGCTTGGTTAGGAAGAGCCATGAGCTCACCAATCAGACGTTCCTGCATAGCCTTCTGGCCTTGCGCACTGATCATGTAACCACAAGCCTCGTAGAAGGTGTGAACCTGTTGAGGGGACAAGTCACAAGTGATTTTGCGCATGTTACGTACAATCTCATCGATAAAGGGCTCCGACTCGCCAGGCTGGGTCAGGACGAAGTGACGCTTGCACTTGTTGGCAATCTTGATAAAAGTGTCGCAAGCCATGTCCTGCACACCCTCGTGGGTCTCGTGCATGAACTCGAACAGCTTGTTGACGACCGTCTTGAGGAACTTCCAGTGAGCCTTGAGGAAACGAGGGTATTGGCCGACAATGTACATGATGTTTGACGCGACGACAGCCTTGTTGTCCTTGCCGCGCTTCTGTTCAGTCAAGCCAAGAAGATCCTTAATGACAGTGACCAAGAAACGCTTCTCGGTCTCTTCGTTCATGGCACCAGAGATAGATCCAATAGCCCAGCAAAGAGTGTTGCAGTTTGCCCAAGACCACTCAGAGCCGTCGACCTGCTTGGAGAGCTTGTCTGACATGATGGTTTCAGTGTCGACAACGTCCAAGTGAGTCAAGAAGACCAAACACTCTCTGGTGGTCTTGTAAAGCTGAATGGTGTCGCTCTCCTTGACGAACTCGCGGACAATCTCACCTTCGTCGTTCTCGACGATCAAGACTTCCTCAGGACGGACCATCTTCTCGATCATGACTTGACGCAGGTTTGTCAGGACTTCACCGTACTTATTCTTGCGGAGAGGGTAGCCTGCCATGGCCTGAGGATGAGGAGCGCCGCCGTTGGAAAGACCGCTCATTGTCATGCTGACCAGGGGGTTAAGGTCGGTGATGGGAAGTTGTTGCATCTCGTCGTAGAGGTCGCAAACCAGCTTAGTCCAGTATTCCAGACAGATCTTGAAAATCTCGCGGTCATCAATCTGACTGATGCGGATGAGGTAGAAGTGTCCGTGAACCAGGAAGTCAGGGTTGGGCAGATTCTCGATAATGCTGAGATGGTTAGAGAAGAAGTTGGTGAGGAAGAGTGCAAGGTTCTGGACGAATTCCTGGTCGCGGCTGTTGCTGGAGGCGTAAGTCTGCTTGAGATCGAGCGACAAGGGAATGACAGTAGAGATGGTTGTCATGGTGTCGGTGAACATGGCGATAAGCTTCTCGTTGTACTGCTGTTCAGTCTGGAGACCACCGACTTCTGTCAGACACTTGAGAGTGACGTTACGGAACTCGGGAACCTCAAGGAAACGACTGCGAAGAGTCTCGAGCAAGCTGATACCAGTGGGTGGTGTCTCGAAGATGAAGCCGAGAGGGATCCAGTTGAGGAAGCGGAGCAGAGTCTCGAGAGTAGCCTTGATCAGCGAGGGTTGTGTGGCGGTGCGCAGAATCTCGCTGCACAAGTTGTAGATGGAAGTGAATTCGTCACACATGCTCTGCTTGAGTTGGCGCGTCTTGGTGGAGGTCATCTGTTCGGCGGAAAAGTCGAAAACTTCTTCTGAGAGGAGACGCAGGATGGCCATGTTGTTCTCGCAAATGGGTAGACTGCTGTGGCAAGAAGAGATGATCTCGTTGATGAAGGTAGGCCAGTTGTGAGGCCACTCCTGCTTGAGGATGGAAACGAGGACCAGGTTGAGCTTGTTGATCAAAGCTCTTTCCTTGCGCAGGCTCTCGTCGGTGCTCGACATTTGGATGATGAACTGAACAACAAAGTTGCGGATGCCCTGGCACTGCTCGCGGGGCAGAACCTTCCACCGCGTCATGATCACATTGTCGAGGACTTGTAGACCAAGGACNTGTTGCGGACGAGGTCAGTGAATGATAGAAGGTATCGGGGAAGAGGATTGGGTAGGTAGCGTACACTTGGTCTGAGCGTATTGGGCATCTTGAAGAATCTTGTCGACCATGAGCCATGCGTCGGGGTTTTCCTTGAACTGCAACAAGATTAGCGGGGGAGAAGTTGAGGGTGTAAGAGCTTGCAACTTACCTGATTGAGGGTGGCTTGAGCTTGTTTTTGCTGTTGTGAAAGCAGTTAGCTTTATACTGCTAGGCTGAGGGTGTGCATGGCGTACCTGTTCGCTGTTACTGCTGTAGTAGAAGGCTTGGACAGTGGCGTCCAGCTCCTGTATTGACGAAGCCATGGTGGGGAGGATTGGCGTGGACGAGTGCTTGTTGCGGGTGATGTGTGGTGCGGCGGGTTGCCTGGTGCAAGAAAAGCTTGTCTCTACTCTAGCATGCGTTTGCTGAGAGAGGCAGAGGGTGAGCGGATTGGTAGAGGCCGGACGAGGTGGGGCGGCGCGTGTAGAGAAGACGCTCTGGTCGGAGGCAGAGGACGCGTCTGGAGTGAAGAAGCGGAGGTGAAGTGTTGGCGAAGGTTGGCCAAGTAAGCGCACAGCTGTACAAGGGGATTGTGAGAGTTTGTGGGAGTTGTGGTTGACAGAAAGCGGTGGAAAGTTGAGGGTTGTCGAGCTCTCCGATGCTGTTCGGCTTGCTTAACGCTCTCTGCTGCTGCGGCTGCTGCTTCTTGCCTTTGCTGGCTCCTGCGTCTGCCTTGCGCCTTGGCTGTTTGAACCTTGGGCGTCGCCTCTTGTTTCTAGAAGACCCTCGATGCTAGGCTCAACAAGGCAACCACTAAGCTCCTTTCTGCATCGCTCCTTCCGCCATTCCATTGTGTTCGCTGCACGTCACACTCAAGTCCCTCTTTGCTTGTCCAAACATCCTGAGTCGCCTACTTTTCGACCAGCACCGCTACTATCCTACTAGCAACATACTTTATTCATGCCGCCGTCTTGAGTTTGCCTACAAAGCCATGTCTTCCAACCAGTCCAATGTGGCGTCCAACACGCACGGCAGTCTTACCCTCACCGCCTCGCAAGCGGGGCCTACTACCCTCCGTCTCAGGGCCGAGGCCGAACCTTCCGAACGCCGTCGCATTCAGTGGGCTGAAGATGTGATTGACAACGAAGGCATGGGGAAGAAGAGCTCAAAAGGTGCGTGGTGTGAATCTTCTTCAAGTCGTGTCTTTGTCTATTGACACGCGACAACAGTATGCTGCATCTACCACAAACCACGCGAGGCTGGTGAATCCTNNCTGACGAGGACTCGTCCTCGTCTTCTTCCCTCCGACTCGGATAGCGAGCCCGATATCAGCAGGGCTCAGCCTGCAAACCGTCGTCGCAACCAGCATCACCACCATCCAGACAGCCCATGCGACCATGATACTGCCGACCCCTCTCATTCACACGGCTCGGGCAAGGGCAAACAAAAGGCCCGCAGACCTAGTCCAAACGCCTACGAGCGGGTTCCCAGAAGAAAGACTCCTAAGAAGGACTGAGAAAGGGTCATTCCTTCATCTCTGATCATTGTTCAAGTCCTCGCCCGCCCGCAAGACATGATGATTCTCCAGGGCTTGATTGCTGCAGAGACAAGGCATATTTCCTTTGTTTGTCAACATGTGAAGGATATTCTGTATGCTCCAGCAGGCTTCGAGGATTGCTTCCGATGCTGCATTTAACACGTTCTTCTTGTGGTAGGTTCTTGGGAAAGAATAGAGAGTCGTGTTTCTTCGGCTCTCATCTGACGGTTGAATCGTCGCCATTCTCGGACTGGGCGGGCTCGGATTGGTCGACATGCTGCATGGGTATTCTGACAAGGGTTTGGGGCAGAGGAAGCTGGGCGTCGGGTTCTGTTTCGGCGTCTTGTTGGGGCTTCGCGATGTGGGCTGCATTATGGTCAGCGAAAGAGGTTGAGAAGCGCAGGAGTCAAGGCATACCGGAAGCCATATGGATTGCTCTGAGCACTGTATGCCAGTTGGAGAGAACGGTTGCGATGGCTGAGAGAATCAGTTCGAGTTCTGGGTAGAGAAGAAGAAGATGACGCACCCTGGGTGCCATCTGAAAGAGTGGACAGTTTTTCCTCGAGTTGCTCCATCTGACCAGCAAGNNACCAGCACTGAGTTCGCGTAGTTGTTTGAGATTCTCGAGCTCGGCACGTTTCTCGTTGATGCGCTGCTGCAGGGCGGATGTTTGCGAATTCGAGGACGATAGAGAGGATTGGCGCAAATGCGATGGGAGGTTGCTTGTTGGTCGATACATCTTGACTGGAAGTCGATGAATGTTTGTAATCGGATAAAAGAGTCGGTCAAGTCGCAACCTTCTTGTTGGTTCAGTGTTGACGGTCGGCCCTGAATGTGAACGAGTCGTGGAGACAGACTTGGCACGAATGCGCGAGTCGGCGTTGCCCACGGCGACGGCTACAAACAAACAGCGGCGTCAGTGCCTGATGGCCGCCAGCTTGTGCTTGTGCTTGTGCTTCGGCGACTTGCTCATACCAAATTTCATCTCTACGCCATATACCCTTCGCTGTATAACCCGTCGCCCGCCTCATGGCCAGACTCAACGAAGCTCCTCTGCCAACAGAGAGCGTTGATGCTCGTATGTTTCCCTCCTACTCACCTTCATAACACGCATGCTGACTCGACAAAGTAAAGCGCCGCTTCGTACGACAAAACCGCGAGCTCGCCAAGTATGCGCCTGACCTTGCAATTCTCTTCGCATCCTTTGATCTAACCAGTTGGTGCTTAGGANACAACTCAGCGCAATGTCTGCGTATTCGCGCTCTCGAATGCGAAGTCTCACGTCTGCTCGCTGAGAACCTCGACCTTCGCGAGGAAATCGTACATCTTCAAGCCCAGCTATCCGAACCTCGCTCCCACATAGACAACTCTGCCCTCGTCTCAGTAAAAGATCAACTACAGGCTAAGCTGCTCGAATTTGGTGCTCTCGTCTCGGAGCTGGGCCAGATACAAACCAACCATCCCTCGGTTCCTCAAGACAAATCTTACGACACTTCTTCATGGCGGCCCGACGTCCCTGCTGCCATTCTATCTGGTCAAGCCCCGAGAATGGACGGCATCGCTGAAGAAGCATCCTCCCCTGGTGGCTCTCTGCGGTATGTCCACACCACGTCATTGCTCTTCCTACCTCAAGCTGACACCTTGAGCTTTAGCCACACAAACGCCGTCCGTCTCTCCAACCATAGCAATCCCTCCCNNCCTGATATTGGTCCACCTCCAATTGTGCACTTCGACAATGAGGATCCTATAAAGTTCGATCCTCTATCTGCCGAGTCCAACCAGCACGACTACACTGAGCAGGACGAGCAACCCACATCCGACCACGAGTCACTGCCAGACTTGTCAGTCAATCTAGAGACGAGAAGAAAGCGCAAAGACTCCAAAGTACAGCTTCGCCGGAGCTCATTGCTTCCACCCAACCTCGATGATGATGAACAACCACAACTCACACGAACGAGCGCTAAGAGAAAGCTCAGTATGCGCGATGTTGAAGATGAGGTTGAGAAACGTATTGTGAAAGACGATTTCAAGTTCAGCAGAAGATCCTCCCTGGCCCCCGACTTTACGAACACCGAGCCAATGGCAATGTCCACGGATAATTTGGATGAGATGGAAACGCCAGCTCTGTTGCCTGAGCGCAAGGTTTTGGGCAATAAGAGCGTCAATGTTTCCCCACGGAAGCTATCGAGGAACGCCAAAGGAAAAGGAGATGTGGAAAAGGCAGACGCTCCACTCAAGCCTGCTGTCAAGGCGACGGACCGCAGGAAATTAAAGAACCCATCTGCCAAATCAGTCACAATTGCGACAAGCGAGCCAGAGACGATCATGAGAACAATCGAGCTTGCTTTACCATCAGAACTACCTGTCGAAGAGATGGAGGATCTGGCGCCCAAAACACCACTACCCGAATTCTTCTCACCGACGCCATCGGAACCTTCGACGGCAAGAGACGAAGGAAGAGACACACCACCACCATCAGGATTGAAGTCGATGAGCTCAGGACCAGCTGCTCTCAATGGCGCTAGTAGGCCTTCGCGACGAGCCAGAGCAGCCGTCAATTACGCAGAACCGAACCTGGTGAGCAAGATGCGCCGACCCACAGCAGCCAAAGCAGATGCAGTGGATGTGAATGGTCGAAGGATCAGCAGCAACATTACAACATCGGAAAAGAAGACGATGAGAACAGTGATGATCAAGGGAGACGATATGCATGGATCGTTGACACGGGATATGGGCTCTGAAGCACCGAGTCCGCTGGGTCAAAAGGTTGACAGGGAGCATGAACGAACATTCGAAGCAACCAAGGTTCCTTCAGCATCTGGCAGAGCTATTTCAGCATTGATGGCAGGATCCAAGAAGCAAAGGGAAAGCGGTGAGGATGCAGCATTGTACGAGCTGAAGGACTCATCAGATGTGGAAGAGAATGCAGCAAGCAGGAAGAGAAACAGCAGACGACACTCTTCAATGACGGATAGCAGCGAGCGATCAAGCAATGGCGCAGAAGTGGTAGTGGAAGCAGAAGAGAAGCAAGAGGAGGCAGAAGTTCGAAAGGCACCTCGGTCAGCACGAGTAGACCGCAGTGGAGCACGCAGACGCAGCATGATGGTCTAAACTAGGAAGTCAAATGACAAAGATATTGCAGCCCACGAGTCATTTGGGTGGCATGTTGGATGTGTTGGATGTGAAACGCGTGGAGCAGTTTGCGGGGTCAGGATCAACAAAAACATTGAGCGATTGCGGCACAGCAACAACAGGGTCCTGTCGCAAGCTGAAACACTCCCCTTGGTGTAACATTGCGACTCTTTCTCTTCTCTGTCTCGTACGCGCCGGACGTCCATTCTTTCTCAGTATCGCATCGCATCGCTCATCTCCCGTTGGCATTTCAATTCATCGGCAACATCAATTCAAGATGCGCATGACTAGAGCTCAAGCGGCTGCTCTGGCGGCTGCCGAAGCTGAAGCAGAGGGGGCTGAGCCTGGAGCTACCAACGACATTAATGAACATGAATACGACGACACGAAGAATGGCTCTACGACACCGACTGGAGAAGCTCAGGAGCCTGAAGCATTGGCTGATTTGACGACCAATCTGGATACTAGTAACGCCGTTGATGATCAACAAGAGCTGGACAATGTAGAGAGCGAGAACCAGACAAGCGAGGAGCAGACGAATGGCAATGCGGAAAACAGCGAACAGGAAGAGCAACAAGGTATGTTGAACAGCACCGCTACCCGCGCTTGAGTATTTCTTACGAACTGCTCTTCAACAGCAACTTCTACACCGACTCCTTCGACCAGCAACAACGACAAGCCAAGCCACATTTCAATCCACCAAGACGAAACACTTCAACTACCTTCCAAGCATGTCGATGCTGGATCGCCAACCACCGAGCTGCCACTGCTCAACATAACCCCTCAACGTACACCAGCCAAGAACATAATCAAGAATGAGTTTGCCCACATGAGAAGCACTTCCAATAAGGAGAATATGGTTCCAGATGGAGCTGTGCTTGCTGGGCCTGTCGATAGGCTTCAGACTCAAGTTGAATCGCTCGGTGCTGAACAAGAACAGCCAATGCAGACAATGCAACAAGACGAACAATCACAACCTGAACACAAGGCTGAAAACCACGACCATGGATCAAACGGTGAAGCACCAGTAGCAGAATCTCAATCCTTGCAGCCAGAGGAGGTTCAAGACGACAGTTTGATTGATCATTTCGAAGCCCTCCAGGTCTCTCCTAAGAAGCAGAAGTTCCATGAGCACGAAGCTGCGCCTGGGGCAGAACAATCGGCTCCTGACCAGCCAGGCTTGACCAAGGAGAGTACCATTCCACAGCAACAAGTTGATGAGCAGGCTGAGAAGCAGACAGTCAACACTGCCGAATCTCCTATTGACAGCGCAGCTCAATCTCAGGACAAGGAAAACAAGCCTCTAACCTCTGCGACGACCAAGAAGGTCTCGGCTTCTTCTCAATCTGATAGCTCAAAGCCTGTGCGGAAGTCCTCGGTCAGGCAGTCGACGCTCGGTCGTCAATCATCTGTCGTCCGCAAATCCATGGCTGCCCCTTCACGTCCAGAGCCATCAACAAGCACAGCCATCAAGCGAACTACCTCCGTCAAGCGCTCTTCAGTCCGTCCCAGCATGGCTCCCAGAGCAGGTTCCTCTCAATCCACCGAGCGAGGAGCTCCCGCAACCATCCCTCACTCCAAACCTCGTCCCATGTCCATGTCCTTCCCTACTCCACCACCCCCTCCCAAGTCTTCCAAGGCACCTACACAATCAACCTTCCAACTCCCAGGCGAAGCCATAGCAGCAAAACTCAAAGCAGAAAAAGAAGAACGATTGCGCCGACAAGCAGAAAGCGGCACCACCTCAAAACAAACCNTACAAACCTCCTCCACCGCCAAAATCCACAAAAGCGCCTACACGATCAACCTTCCAACTGCCAGGAGAAGCCATTGCCGCAAAACTCAAAGCCGAAAAGAAGAACGCCAAAAACGACAAGAGGAAAACGGCGGTGTTGTGCAGAAATTGCCTTATGTTCCTCCCGTGGCGCCAAAATCGACAAAACCCGTTACCAAAGCCACGTTTCAATTGAGCAGTGATGCATTTGCTGCTAAAATGAAAGCACAAAAAGAAGCCAGACTAGNNCCAAACAAAAAACAAGAAGAGGAAAAAAGAGAAAAGGAACGAGGGGTGTTTAAAGCAAGGCCTGTGCCTAAAATGTCTAAACCTGCGGAGGTGAGACAGACGAATGCGTCGAGGGCTCGTCTTTTGCCCTCTAATGAAAACACAGCGATCAAAAGAGCGGATGCTGCCACTGCACAAACACACAAACGCATATCCTCTTTCCACCCTTCCGCCTCTTCCTCCTCCTCCTCTACCGTCCTCCCCCCTCGCGCAACCACTTCCTTCCAGAAACGTCAAAGCATGGCTCCTCCCTTCATCAAAAGGCAAAGAAGTCTTCAACCGCACAACCCAAGCCAAAGAAAAGAAGATGCAGCAAAAAAAGCAAAAGAAGATGCAGCAAAAAGGCAAGAGCAGAAGCTGCAGAGCAAAGCAGATTAGCTAGTAGAGAATGGGCAGCTAAGAAAAGGAAAAAGAAGAAAGGAGGAAGACGGTGGCGAATGCTGCTGCTGTGGTATAGAAGACTTGGTCGTAATGATAATGAGGTTTTTGTGACTAAGAGAGTTACTTGCGCTAAGAGCAAGATATCGAGTGACTCTTGGATAAAGTGTGACGAGCAGATAGCATAACGTTGTTTCAAATCCACGAATCATAATAGTTTGTCCGTTCTTTTGTTCTTCCTCTGGACTACTGCGCCATTCCCCATCTCCCCATCTTCCTCTTTCTTGATGTCATTCATCAGTGAAACCACTCCCACTAAACCATCTTTAGCAATGTAAAGAAAACATCTTCATGTTGTCTGTCTACAACTTACATCCATAGTTCTTTCTATCCAAGAGAATCTTTTGCCAAACCATCTATTTTATAGCGAACTTTTCCCCCTTGAACAGCTAGTTAAAAGCATACAGAACTCGTAGCGATTAGTTATCGCGATATAAACGTAACAAGCTACAAACAGACAAAGGAGATAGTTACAGGTATAGATATGATGCAAAGCACTTGTTAGGTATATCTAAACTATACAAGCAAAGAAAGGCAGAAACGAGAGAAAAAAGGTAGGTAGTAAGCAATGTTGGCTTGACACATGTACATTGGCTTCCTACTATTGCTTTTCTTTTGATAATACCATTTCTTATTCTTCTTTCATCCTCGAGATATAATGAAACTTACTAACACAGTCAACTCGCAAAACCCTCATTTTAAAAGTCTCCCCCCAACTCCAGGAAAGGGACAGAGAAATTCAAAAGTCAGGGTGCTACCATCAGCAATAATTTTTTTGCTTTTTATTTCTCCTTCGGAAACCGTAGACGACGTTTGGAAAAAAGAAAGGGAATTGCACAGAAAGAATGAAATCGAAAGCTGGAAGTCGAGACATAGGGCAAGATCATGAGTGCGGTTTGTCAGCAAACCACAAAGATTTTGTTGCGAGTACTACAAAGAACACGGAGACCATCCTTTTGGCAAACCTTTCGGGCATGGGGGTTGAATGATGATCAGGGGTGACTAGAGTATGTTTTTCCCGTATTGCGTCAAGGACGAGGAAGAAAATATCAAAATGGATTCTGTGGTCTTCTGTCTATGTAAATGCGGAAAGAAGATGGCTTGATACACGAAAATAATAGCGCAATGTGAACAAGCAATCGTAATCGTGAGGAGCTGTTTGGAATTGGTGCCGTTGCTGGGATACGGGCATGCGTCTAACTACTAGGAATAGCCTGACTAGCCTTCAACGCACCAACGACCGAGAAACAGATCAAAGGTGAGATGGCATAGGAGATCTGCGTTACGAAAGTCAGCTCCATTCATATGGACAAGAGACGAAAGACTGAATGGTTGTTCATTATACTTACAGTCAAGAATTTGGCGATGCTCATCTTCTCCTCGTCGCCGGCACCACTGACATCAGCGAGTGCAGTGAGTTTCATTGCAGGTGGTCCAGTAGGCATCAACATCAAGGCAAACCACAAGATGGGGTCATCCGAAAGAATGTTAGTCTTGCTGGCCAAGACCCAGACCAATGGAATACTGATCAAAGGCCAGATGAGGAAACGGACGACAGTGATGATGGTGAAAGGCTTCCAAGGCACACTGCCACTCTGCTCTCCTTTCTTGTAGCGAAGCATTGCTTGAGATAACTTCACACCAACGACAACAACTTGGAGAGATGCAAANAGGTCGCCGATGTTCTTGATGGACGAGGTCAACCAAGCATTGAGGTAGCCGCCTTCTTGAGGTGGGCTGAAGAAGAGAGTGTGCAAAACCGGTACCAAGCCGACAATGCCACCAATGACAGCGCCAATGAGAGGTGGGTTCCAGAATTGATAGAGGAAGTCCAAGACAGCTTGTGTGCGGGGTGAAAGCGATGAGTAATAGTCGCTCAGGCGCTTCTGGGTCTTGTAGATAGCTTTAGTTCCTGGACGGATAGCACGGTTGGGGAGAAGAGAAGTTTCCTCATTCTCCTCCTGCTGTTCATGCAGAGAGCCTCTTTCAGCTTCGTCCTGGTCCTCTTCTTCTTTTCCGGCTCTNTCATCTGGCGAGTCTTCATTCTGTCCGTTGAGGAGGCGGGGTCCAAGAGCGAAGGTTAAGGAATTCGAGACCATGGCGTTGACGAGGAAGTATGACTTGGCGCGGTCGATGGTGTCGCTAGATGCATCGAGAGAGTCGAGGATACCGGTTGACTGGAGGGATTGGACGAGGAGGAGAGGCAGCGAGGTCGTGTTGTTGAAGGCGATGGCGGGAGTGACCCATTGAGGCAGGTTCAGGAATTTGGTCCTGCAAAAGATGTTGTTAGTAAGAATCGGAAACAGGGTCCTATATAGCATGCTGAGGCTCAAACTGTCGTTGGAGCTCCGCGGAACTCTGTCGCCAACAGAGTTCAGAATGGTCGACGAGACTTACACGGCAAGACCAAAGACCATGCTAAGCACATTGTAGATGATGGCCCAGATGAAGACGGCCAAATACTTGGTTCCCNNTGTGATGCTCGTATCAGCCTTGCTGTCGGTCTCCTGCATTGCCAAGCGTGTACTCACAGATTCGAGACTCAACTGCTGTCCGACATTGACGATTAGCAAAGCAGGCAGGAACAGCCTGACACAAGCTTTGGAAATGTCCTTTGCCGACTTCTCATTCAATAGATCAAACTGCGCTGCAATGACACCGTAGAAAATGGTTAGCAGCACTGCAAGCGATGCTTGGAGCGCTCCCGTGAAGGGAATGACAAAGTTCTCTTTCACCCCAGACATGATGGCGATAGGATTGTGATTGGTGCACCGATCAATTGGGAAGAAAGAGAGGTCAGACAAGGTCAGCAAGCATGCTGTTGATAAGGACACGCGAGCACAGCCAGGGATAACGAAAAACAAAGCACTCGCAATCAAGGATTGTCAGATCGCCCAGCGATTGCCAGGAACGAGAGCGACGCGGCAGGAGCTCTAGCATACGTCACTGCCTGATTTGTACGGCAGAGCCTCAATTTACCCCACAATTGCCAATTCTCCCTCAAATGACTCGCCAACCTCAACTCAATCTCGACTTCAACACTGAACCTGAACCTCATCACATTAAATCACCTTAAGTGATCATATTATTCCTTGGACCTCTAAACCCGCGATTCGTAATTCTATCTCGGAGACGAAGGAGCCTGCATGATGCTTCTTGTGTCAACAGGCACAACCTTGAGGGTAGTCTCAATTGCTTTCTTCGTCACGACTGGAGTGTCCTCGCCATCGGATCGTATACTCTGATGAGCGATAAGCCTACCAAACTCTACCACTGCAGCATTGTCTTGACGCTCTTTGTCTGCCGTCTCCTTCAACAGCTCCTCCTCTGAGACAACTTCCACAACATCATGACCAGAAATTTGCGCCTTTCCAGCAGCAGTAGTTGGCATATCCACATCAGTGGCCTTGGTAGTCGTAACAGTACAGCTATTTCCACCACACCCTGAAGATGAAGATGCAGGAGCAGAAACCCAGTTTATCGTTGTGGTTAAAGACATGCTTGTTGTGGTTGTTGTTACTGTGCTGCAGCCTGGCACTGTGGAAGTCACTGTTGTTGTTCCTGCTTCTTTGACGGTTTTGGTGACCATTTGTAGTGTGTGCTGGGTGATTGTTTTGTGGTTGGTGATGTATGCGGTCTGCATTTCTGTCGTTTGGATCGTCATTGTTGCCAGGTGGGTCTGGGTCTTGGTCTCTGTGGTCGCGCCGGTTGGACAAGGATTGGATGAACCGCATGGAGGGAGGCTTGTCGTAGAGCTTGGACACGGGTTCGACGAGCCGCATGGATCACTGCTTGCTGGTGTTTGTCTCTTGGCAATGGCGGAATTGCTTGCAGCAAGAGCATTGCTGAATGAGTTGAGGTTCAAGGCAGATTTCGGAACGTCGACCAGAGTAGTATCCTTGACCGCCATGGAAATTGCATGACTATGACCAACCGCAGCGAAAGTGACGAGGTACAGAAGGAGATTGTGTATAAGCATGGCGGATGATTGTCCGGCCCGGAAAAATAGGAATGTAGGACTCGAAAATAATGAAGGCAAGACCGTGGGAGAAGTAGAAAAGAAGAGACTTAACGTTGAGTTGACGAGGCTTCATCATACGATTAGTACTCTTGCGCTCGTGTGATGGTGTGATGGGGATAGTGTTGATCAAGGTTCAGGGGTTTGTATTGTGGTGAGTTAGTTCTCACTTCCCATCATGACCTCAAACCTGGCATTGTCTTCCAGTCAAAAATACGAGAATCAATTGGTTGTAGCATTGGGAGACATTGCGGTGAGAAAATGGCAACTGAAGAAGTGTGTTATTCTTTGGCCTATGAAAAACAGTCTCTTGAAGTTTCATGTGTCTTGGGAGCTCGACAAAAGATGCCTTTGACTCACGAAAGTCGTTGTTCTTTCCCGTACATGCGCCTTCTGTCGCTATGAGTGTCTACGCTTCTCCATAAGCTCCCTGATCCGACTTCGAAGAGTTTACCTCAGAGCCAAAATGTCGCTCCGTAATTTCTTCTGGAAGCTGTCTGGTATGCAGCCGTACAGGACGCAGAAGACATTATATCACCAGCCAGGATTCATCACTCTTCCCCAGACATAGCACTCTTTGTTGTCTCCATGTGCATGATAATCACAAGGATGGTAGCCCGGAACCGAAAGATTGTGGGGAAGCTTCTTGAAATCTCCATCGTTAACCAGAATATCACCCAGCACATCCTGCATGTGTGTGAGGACAGCTCGTTCGAAAGCACATTCAGGGATTTGCTTGATGAACTGCTTCTTATGATGGAGAAACAAGTTGGCGAAGATGCGAATCAGAATGTTTGACTTGCAGAGGTGCTTGCAGATTGCAAAGATCTGATCAAGATGAGCCAGACCGCTTGTGGGAGCAACGAACGATAAGAAAGTGTCAACAAGTGAGTCGGTGATGTCACTGACGAAGATGATGCGGTTGTTTGAGAGATTCATGGCTTTGAGAAGAAACACCAACCACTCTTCATCGAGTTGACCTGGCTGCACTCCTTTTGGCGGTTTATACTGGCATTGATGGCTTCTTTGCGTCGCGATGGTAGATCCAGTGAGCCAGGAATCTCACAAGAGGTTCTCCGACTTGAAAGTTCTGAATTTGAATGCTCGCTCCACCAGAGTAAGAAGGGTGCACCCGACGGTTGCTTGAGGTGTTTGCGCTGATCTTTGCGTACTCGCCGGCGTGAACGGAGGCGACGGCGGAGCCAAATGACTGGAGGACAGTAATACGTGCACTGGAATGCAAAATCAGCGATCTGTATCATAAGACAGGCTCAAAGATGATTTCTCACTCGTAGGGGAAACGATCCTCGGTACTCGTCTTCAACTTTTCGTGGCTGAACCATCATTGTTTGCGTCAGTAGAACTTGTGCCCGACATAGCGCTGATGCTTTTCTTGCGATGTGTGTGTGAGAAGGACTTTGAAGTTTGCGAATCAAAGAGGAAAGGGCGCACAAAGGAGGAAGAGCGATGACCAACCAAACAAAAGAGGGAACAAAGTGAAAGAACCTAACCACCACGATCGTGTATAAATCAAAACATGAAGGCGAGCTCAACTCATTCGATGGACCGAAAATACCTACATGTATGTCAGACTTTCTCACTCGCATGTAAGCTCTCACAAGATTGACTTGGACACTTTACTGATTATATCTTTTGGAGGTTTCCCTGTACCGCGAGAACGAACATAAACTCATGTCATACATAAGATACCTGTGCAGAGCCCTGTAATCCATCTGCTTTCCATATGTTTGTGACTCTGGACCATTGGAAAGTGTTCCCGGGACGAGTCAATGGCAAGATCGTCCCTCTCATCACATGATCAAGAGCAATCCTGAGAATGCAGCAGTGATCACTGCTGCAAAGCAACCCTTGAAGCTTGTCGAAGCTGCACCCTGCTTTGCAAGGATCCAGCAGTGGCCTTGATTGGCAGACTCAGCTTTGCTCACAATCGAGAAACTCTTAACGCCACCAGGGACGGTATAAGTCTCTCCGTCGGCATTTTGGCAGCTGAATCCGTACCATGACAAGCCATCTGTCTCACGACAATCCTCTCCGGGGAAGACCTCAACAGATCGAGCAGCGTCTTTGCCGGTACCAACACCGCTGGTGTCTCCATTGATGCTTCCATTAAGCTGCTGGTAGAAGAGTGACGTGTAGTTGGTCTGTGGGTTGAAGTTTTGAGTGTTGTCAACGACATATGAATGCTCGGTACTGGCATTGCTGGCAAAGATTTCGGCGAGATTGAAGCAAGTGACGCTCGAGGGCGCTTCACTGGTGGAGAACGTAACGTTTCCTTTTCCATCGTTGGCTGAAAAGCCAAGGGTCAAGTTTTGAATGCTGGTGCGATGTCAGTTTCCAGTCTTGACATGCTCAAGAGCTAGCTATGCTTACGAGCTTTGAGCTTCTACCTGCGATGCAAGAAGCAGTGGCAGAAGGGTCAAAAAGGCTTGGGTGAAATACATTGTGCAGGTGCGGTAAGAGTGTTTTGGATGTTGGAGCTGAAGAAGTGCTGAACCAAGTGAGTGGGCAGAGCAGTGGTCGAAGGATTTTAAACAATCACAACCAACATCAGTCTAAGTCTGGATATATGAATTCCTGCAGAATTTCCTGAGCCAAGTCGAGCTTCCTTGGAAATTGAGTCGATCCCAAAGCTCGGCGCAGCCTTTGAAGCAAATGATCAAGTGTTAAACCGTTTGTGGATAGTCGCATGTTGGTATCAGCTGTTGGGTTGTTAGTGGTCTAACACAAGTGTGGATCGAGTGTAGTGATCGACACATGCGTGATAGTGTGCGGCGTTAACCCCCGCGATTCGTGATGAGTCTCTGCTATTCTCGATCCGCGCTTGTGTCCTGTTTGGAATATAGAGATCGTTGGAGTCAGTGGGTAGGCTCTGGGAACCCGGTCGCTGTAGTCATTGACCACGTGTGAGACCTTTGGAGATTAGTTGCAGATCGAAGGGGGACAGTGATTGTGAGGTTCGATTGCTTTGCAGCTCACCTGCCAACAACTCTTGAGCACGGCGCTGTGCGCACTATACTCAGGCATTCTTCTATCATTGCGGCAGCATCTTAAGCTCTAGATGTATGCTTGAAAGGTGCTACAAGATACTCTTCTCGAAGTAGATGATATATCGTTAGTCGCATGGATCGAAGCACTGTTCAGGCGACGAGGTTGGACGTACGGAATGTACGAGGCCTTCGGCCGTAGCTTGCGGCCGGGGACCTCTGAAGGATTGTTTGCCAAGGTTGTGTGCCTCACAGCCAAGCTGATCTGCCATGCCAAGCACCACCTTGGTGCACTTGAGCCCGGTCAAGTCCCCCATGGCCAACGTCTGTGACACCTGAAGTGGGTCCTCCAACAAGTTCGACAGTTTTGGCTGTATGTAGTCCAGCATCCTCTGACTCGCTGAACGTCCTGCACCCAGCGGCTAAACGTCGGTATACTTGGATAGACGTCAACTCATACTCGAGTACCAGGATAATCAAGAGATCGGCAGCGTAGACCAATAGTCTCATTAGCACATGCAACAAACGCTGTGCATCAAATCAGTTGCGCGACTCTGGCACTCGACCCGACGACGACCATCCAAAGTGGGACCAACCTTCGGACGCTCCTAGCCCATTGGATACACAGGTTCGCAAGGACTGCATCCTCAGGTTTCGTACCATGTTTAACCCGAGCTATATTCGAAATTACAGTATTGAATACCTTCCTGTCAGCTACGTACGAATCGCTTCCATGAACATCCACTAGAGGTTGCGATACCCTTCGTGCAGTAGAGGTCCACCGAATCCACCACGCCCCCAATACTGCATCGGACTATGGCCAAAAACCTAGCGTACCAGTCAATGGCCTGGTGCTTGTCTTCTACGCCGCAACGAAACTCCTTCTTCTGATCCACATTGAGCAATTTACAACAACGTACGGCACTCACACATGCATATCACACCACATTCATACCTGCAGAGGAGAAACTATGGACATGCTTGCTATACCCACTGAATCCTGAAGGATTGGATATCGAGTCATCGGGGTCGTGAATCGAGATCATGTCCAAGAATCCGTTAAGGATAGAGAACGTATCGACGTCGAGGCAAAGCAAAGTTGTGTATATAAAGAGAGTCGCCCCGACGGTCTCCTTGGCATCATTCTCCTCAACACAGTTCAACTCGAGTTCAACAATCACTTCCTGCAGCAATTATCTTACTGAAACTTTTTGAATCTCACGTACCCTCAAACATCATGTCTCTTGGTTTCGTTGATGCCATTGGTCTCATTGGTACCGGCTTAGGTATCATCCAGTTTGGTTTGGACAACTTTGTTCCTGACCAGGAGGATCCCAAGGGTACCATCGTCGGTATCAAAGGTGGTGATGGTTCAGGGGCCTCAGACACTCTGGTAAGCGTCTTATTGTCTTACCGAACCTTGCATCCGGGATTTCTGGGGTTAATCAACATCAACAGGNGAGGCGAGATCTCGAAGGTCTATGCCTACAATTCCCAGAACGTTCAGCTTGGCTCGGCAGGCAGTCAGACCATGGCCGGCAATGCCGACTACTTGACCTTCACTGTTGATCAAGACGTCCCTGGCGCCCAAGGTCAGTTTATTGGCATTCAGAACGGCGATGATGCCACATGCGTCTCTTGGATCACCGTCAAGATGTTCGACAACTCTCTTGGCGGAGCTTGGACTGGAGATATTGGTCGTTCGTAAGTCAATGATTGCGTTGCTGCATTTTCGATTTTTCACAGCTGACGGTACGTTAACAGCTGCGGTCAAACTTGGTTCGAGAGTCAGGAGGTTGCAGGGCAGCTTGATGATGGAACTATTTACCGTCCTTCCTGCACCTGGCTTGACGGAAATCACGATAACGACATTCCAAGCGCTTCTCTCAAGTTTGCCACCTACGCATATGGTAACGACACTAGTCATGTTACTCTCGACCAGGATGCCTGTGGCTCCACTATCTTTGCGGCCGATGAAGGCGAGATTACTGGTAAGATCCTCGTCACCCGATGTTTGGTTTTGAGGGAGACATCAAGCTGATTTGACACGAACAGATGCCCCTGCCGATCCCNNAGCATGGCGAAGAGAAGCAACCTTCTTCCCCGCGCCCGCCTTCCCTGGATGGAAAAGAAGCTCATCGTCTCCGATATCGCCTCTCACAGCGCGACCAATCTTTGCAACTCGGAGACCAGTTGGGGACCTGACTTCGTTTCGTCAGTTGAAGGCAAGCTCTGTGATATGTCAACCAAGACTCTTTACACTCTCTGCTCCAAAGAACAGGTTGACGGCTGTGTCGAGATTGAGACCAAGCCAGCTGACAGTGCTGCTCGTACCGCCTCTGTAGCTACGCAGAAGCTCTCGGTTGCAAAGCGTACTGTTTCGGGACAGCTCAAATCTTACGAGGAAACCGCAGTTTGGGCTGGCGACAACTAGGGTCTGGATCATGATCCTGATACAAAGAGAAGTCAGATGACAGGAGGCTGGTCAAGGAGATTGACCTTTGTAGGAGCGCGAGGCACGACGCAAACGTATAGAAGGTGGACCTAGAAAATCGTGATAGATTCGAGCACAATATCATATCTGTCGCACCAAATCTTCCCTGGACGGTGATTAGGAGGATACTAAGCTTGATTTATGCTTGTATCATTCGCTTAGTGTGAACACTGAACTTCACATATGGACGATCATTTGTTGCAAATGATCTTTACGCTCGCAGCCCTACATGTACACACATTGTGAATATACATAGCCCGCGTGCGCAATCATAGATAGCTTGTCACTTTGTAATGCACGTTCATTACACGCAAAAGAGACTTAGCATAGCCGCCCCTGCCTCACGTCTTCCACTAAATCCATTGTTACGTCCCTCATTGCTTCCACCACGCCTGGGGCGGGAGCTTCAGGAGCAAGAAAAGACACAGTATGTTCTTGTCTTATCGCAATTATTCTTTTCCCACTTCGGCCACCTCACTCGTCACTCGCATCTCGCTTCTGATTTTTGGTGTCCTACTCGACCTTTCTCGTGCTGATAGAAGACAGTGTCCAATTTATGAGAATGCATGATTGGTCAAAAGGATGTTTGTTGGGAGACCACTCCAACGAATCTCTGAGCACAACGCGCCATTCCTTGGGAGTACTTTGACAGGCTCAAGATAGGCCAGCGCCATTGACACGAGCAAGAAAACAAGATCACAATAAACGATTTCAGTGCCAACAATTTTCACTGGGAGAAAGAAGGAAAATCGTATCAGAACCAGAACCCTGTGAAGCTTCGAAAACCCAAATCCATATCGACAAAACATAATTGTGTATCTTCATGACCTTGTTCAAACATAGATAGACACAAAAGGAAGTGGATTCACAAACGTTTTCTTGCCTTTGCATCGGACGCAACTAACTCTCTCTTGTACCTTTGTAGCCCCGAAACTCAGATCGAATTGCTCTGAGAACAGAGCAGCTCTTGCAGTGTCTTTCTCCTGTTACAAGACCAAGATCACAGCAGACAACACAGCAACCATCATTGCAACAAAGCAGCCCTTGAAGCTTGTCGACGCGGCAGAACGACGACCATCAATAGCCCAAGTCCAACAGTGACCCTCATCCTCGTTGGACTTGGCTCTATCTACGATAGAGAAACTCTTGGCACCACCACGGATGCCAAATTCTGTTACATTATCCTGGCAGCTGAATCCGTACCAATGATAGTGTTCATCCTCGCGACAGTCTTCCCATGGCCAGACTTTGACAAGCCTTACAGCGTTTTTGCCGATTCCAAGACCAGTAGTATTGAGCTGCTTGTATGTAAAAGTTGTGTAGTTGGCTTGGGGGTCGTATTGGTCTGAATTGTTGGTTGTGTACTCCTTGTGCCTAGTGCTGTTGGCATTACCAAAAACGTCGGCGAGGTTGAAGCAGTGTTGATATAAGGGTTCGGAATCCTCCCGCACAGAGAACGAAAGGCTCTTGAGTCCCCTGATAAATGCATCGGCAGATGAGAAAGTAAGAGTCAAGTTCGTATCGCTGTATTCAGTGNNTCAAAAGTTTCTCCGGGCAAAGTCTGGCAGAGGCACTCACTCAATCTGAGCTTGCACCTGGGATGCGAGGAGAAAGGTGATAAGGGTTAGGGTATGGCGGCTGTAATGCATGATGCGATCAGGAGATGGTGAGGGGAGAGAGTCTTGGAGATTCGGGACAAAGATGATAGAATGTGTTAGTGAACAGGGGAGACGTCTAGAAATATAAAGATTCAGTGCTCAACGAGAATCAGTTGACAGCCGTATGCCAAGTCAGATATATGCACTTTTGTTTCCAATCTAGCGCGCGGGACAGTTTGTGCAGCACAGGGTTACACTAGCGCGCGGGAAAGTTTGTGCAGCACAGGGTTACACCAACTGTGGCGTCTCGCACATTGGTTGGAGTTGGTTGTGACAGAACAGAAGTGTGGAACATCGCGTTGGTGATAATGCGGCGTCAAAGGCGGCTACTGTCAGTTTACCGCTGCGTGATACCGACCTGCGCCAGTCTACTACCAGGATACAGTGCAGCAGTCATCCGAGAGGCGCCTGAAGATGCGCGCTCAGACGTAGATGATGCGCGTGTAAGCGCCGTGCCACTCTATCCCGAGTCCTGGCGCGGCGACTGATCCGAACATTTAGTAAAACACTCCATACTGAGCAACTGGGTAAAGCCATCAGCCGACTTGGTAGAAATGCAGTCGTATGAGTGGCTCCAAATTGCTTGTCACTGCGATTAAGTCGTTGTGATTGTATGCATTGTGGTTTGACAAAAGTGCTCTCTCAAAACAGTTCAACAAGATGCCGAAACATCGGCTGAAGCTCGGCAACCAGACCTTGCTTGACGTCGGTCGAACATATCGAATGATCGTTGCTTCCTCATAGTCCACAACGAACATATCATGTATGCAATACTGCCAAGTATTGCCATGTTGTTGACGCTACTGCGTCTCATCTAAATCACAATACATGAGAGACCAGCTCGGGGCTGCGCAACATTATCTTTGAGGCACCATACACACGTCGTGTTGTCTTCGCGAATGTTGCATGCACATTGCTATCCCTAGGGCTGGAAGTTCCGAGCCAACTGTGACTATCGGGATACCGCTAGCAAACATTATCCATCGTTCAGCAGGATATTGTACTGCGAGAACCATCCTGTACAATGCGTTGGACTCAGACCACTTTCCCTGATCAGGCCTTATCTGGAGTTAGGCCAACTTCGACCCATCAAATTTGAGTAACATGAGTCTACTTTTTGTGAGGCTCAGCCTCCGAGCCTTAAGTCTGCGCGTTCTCTGATCACCATATCTGTTGGTTCAACATTACATACGGCACGGATGACCACATCCTACCGACAGTTGTTCTATAATCACCAACGCACTTCGGAACTGCAACTCTTCGTGCAAGATGAAAGTTCTATCAATATCTTCAGTAGCTCTGGGAGGGATGAACGAGAATCGGAGAAACCGAGTAAAGGTTTGTACATATAAGGGCCTGTTCCAGCTCAGTCGTTGATATCGTCCCACTCCACGCAGATCATACGCAGGCAAGGCATGGCTGTTTACATGTTTCAATACGAATTCAGGATGAATGGTGGCTCATTGTCTACCGTGGGTTGCATAGTCGCTTTCAAGATACCACCACAACTTTGCCCGAATCTTGAATGGCTTTGAAAAAACTGATTGAGTATGCAGGAACACCCACTTGGCTGCTCGTAATATGGTTCTTGGCGATGTCTGCTCAGACTCTGATCAATTCCACTCGCTTGTTGGCAATCTGCAGTTGACCCTGACTTCACGGTCTTGAAATCAACGTGAGAGAAAGCAGCGCATGCGCGGAAGCCGTGGGCCATGACGTTTTTATCTCGAGCATGCTCGCTGTCGCTGCTGTGGCTGCACCTACTTTANTGGACCAGGAATCTTCGACCTCGTCACTCGTGCGTCGTAAGAACACCAACAAGGGCGAAGCTCACATTCACATTGATTGTAAGCCCGGTCAATCCATCACTAGCTTCATCATGCTCACCTTATACATCAGCTNNTCCAACATATTGTGCGGCAACTCGTGCACCACGAAGTACAACATTGACCTTCCTGACAACTCTGTGCCTGCCCAACTCATGGGCAAAGACTGGTACTGGGCAAACATCGGTACTTGGTCAGCATCAAACCCCGACTACCAGATCAAGATAGGCACCACTAGAGGCCTCGATTCGTGGATCGACGGCTCGATTCCAGGCAGCATTCCCAGCGACTCTTGGAGAAACTCCTTCACCCTCCACTATGACTCGCAGCACTGGAACTCGCACGAACGCGAGGACTGGAAGTACAAGGGTCCTACACCTAGCAATGGCCACCGTCATGAGTTTGATCTGTGGTGTGAATTTGACCGCTAAGCGGGAACCACCTTCAGGCAGGAAAGGAGAATAGAGTGAGAAGAATAGGACATTTGCAGACACTATATTAGAGCCTGTACCTTCGGCCACGAGGATGCCTGCCTAAGCAGCCGTCGATCCTTCCTTCCTAGTACCGCCGAGTGGGTAGATAAATACATCTTGGTCCTTCTTATGCACCCAGAGGTGCTCCTAATGAATCCTCCTTATTCTATTATGATATGTTAGCCAAAGGTAAGACAGGTAAGGAAGATTGGAAGTCGGCTTACACATTTGAAAGACATGATCCGATCATTATACTGTTCGGCATCCAAGCAGGAATGATCAGGCATATACACACGGTTTGACGAACACAAAGCACCATAATAGAACATGCAGTTGTACCCTTTGAGTGGGACGCGGACGGTCCGTAGCACCAGCTCCGGTCCCACACATCCTTGGGCACTGCCGCCCCCATGATACTCGGCACATCCTGTGCCGGGCATATCATCCCCGAATGTATAACATCTGTCAAGCTCGGATCCCCAGATCACTCTGTATCGTGTGTCGTCATGTGTCGTGCACTCTGATTCAGGGAAGTCATAAGCGACAACTATTACATGTTAGCCCAGATCCGGCGTATGCATCATGCATGTTACTTGCCTTTCCAGAGTGCCGTATCCTGACTAGGTGTACTACCGCCATCGACCCTGATTCCAGTGGTTAGTAACGAGAAGCAAGATAGAGTAGGCATACTTACTTGGGACAATATGTGTTCTCGTTCGAATCGGTCCATCCAGCATAACCTCGTCGAGCCTGATGATCAAGCGTCATTTGGAAAATAACCAAGTCTGCGATCCTTTCATGCAATGGGATCTGAGGGTGGAAAACTCGTGCGTAACCCCGGGGAACAAGGTAGTCGACGACGTCGGCTCGTGCAACGAGATCTCTTTTCCTAGAGATGCCGTTGTCGTGATGAAGTTCGGCATCAGGATCCATGAGTCGCGTGATCTTTCCGAGGATGAGCATATCACCATAGAATGTCCCGCTGAGCTCGCCACCATCGCTGTCACGTTTCCATGGAGTTGTTCCCGCAGGGTCCCAAGAGTTGAGTTCGTAGAACATAAGGCCTTTTCTAGTGTTGGATTCGCTCGTAGACTCATCGACTCCTGGTTCACAGTACCTGCCGCGATACTTACCGAGAAGATAGTCGTAGTCAATGAATCTTACAGAATCTCCGGCTCTTTCGACTGCAGACCGCTAGAGTGAAGTGTTAGCATGACTCCCGGGCAACGTTTGAGATGAGGGGTAAACCAACAAGCTGTGCATTGACATAATCAACCAACTTGTTCATCTCTGAGCGCCGTGCTTTTGTTAAATACTCAGCCGGTTGCCCGAGGTTTGACAATTTGTAAATCCATGTCGTCCAAGTGACCTTGTCGCACTCGTCTGATAGTCCTTCTCCGAAGAACTTGCCGTATCCTGTGACATAAATTCTGGCCCTGTATTCCGGTTAGCAAGTCACCGAGCAGAGATAGTAGTAAGCCAATACCCATTGTTCAACTTCTTCTTGGCTGCTGTTAGCAAGGCATCGAGGTTTTTACCAAAGGTATCCGAGGTAGCCAGTGACTTGCTGAACTCGATTTGACCCTCGCAGCCCCGAGAGAGGGCATCCCAATCGAAGTCCTTGGCCCAAGCATAGTCCTTATCTACCTCTGCGATCAGCTTAGCGGCTTCGGCTTGCTCTTTGTTGAAAACACCCATTTGGTAAATGCATGAATTCAACAAGTTGATCAGACCAACATCATTACCACCTGGACAACATTTGTGATTAGTAAACGACTTTCATACAATAATGCTTCTTCTGCTCTCATTGACAACAGACTGGGAGAACATACCGATGGACAGAGTGATAGCGTCCTGATTGCTATCGAGCTTAGGGATCTGCTTGTCTACCACGTCTTTCATGACTGCGCCAGAGCACGAGAGGAATTGGAAGTTGCGACCCGATGGATCTCCAATTCGTGAATCCTGGTTGATAAGATATGGGTAGGCGTGATCGTACCGAGCGCAGGCAAAGTCTGATGTCGCAAGGTCAGCGTATATTGCATAGTGACAAGGTTGCAAACTTACCACTACCGTCTTCGAAAGCGTCGTATATACTCCCAAGCCTAGAACCAGCACCTATTCCAGCCGAGTAGGAGTCTCCAATGGCAGCAAATTTGTGGATGGTCAGGACATCCTCTGGAACGCCATCATCCCTGGGCTCCATGTCCCATTCGGTACCGTCGTTCTTGCATTTTGTCTCCTTGTTCTCCGCAACATTCCAGCAAGTTTCCTTGCAAGTAGAGGAAAGGACTGGAACACCGCCTCCGCTTCCTGGCTTCTCATCGCTACCGGGTGGTGGCAGGGCCCCAAATCCTGGATCTTGCCCTGGGGCCCAACCCGCGTCATCACCTGTAGCATCGGTCATGCCGCAACGGTTGAAGAAGGTCTCTCCGCGGTTGTCAAAGGTAGCCATGATAGAGTGTAAGTCTGCTCTACCATCTCCATCCAGATCGGGGAAATATTGGCAGGTACCTGCCCAGGAGCCTGCGTACTGCTTTCCACTCTTTAAGAACCACCAGTTGCTACCGCCGGTATCCATCTTGCCGTTGTTGATGTAGACAGTGGCATCACCGGTGTACTTGTCGACCCAGATCATATCTTCACCACCCCGTCCGTTAACGTTGCCGAAACGAATATTTGCGCGATCGATGCCTTCGGCTTTCTTGAACTGTGCGATCTTCTCCCACGAGCCATCACTGTTGTGTGTCCATCCGTAGAATCTTCCGTCAGGCTGAATGCAGATGTAGTCTGACATCTTGTTGTTCGAAATGTCGGCGAATCTGACAGCGAGATCGTGGATACCGACGCCTCTCTTCTCTGGACAGTTGAGTTGTGGCGCCGGATCGGCAAGATATGTCCAGTCAAAGGCTCCAGTCTTCTTGTAGTTGTTCAGCCAGACAGAAACCTTGTTGTTGTTGTCGGGATCAACCCATGCGATATCGCAAGCGCCGTCATCGTTCCAATCAACCAGATGAAGATCCCTGCGATCGTAGTTCTTTCCAGGGTTCCAGAGGTCCTTTGGTACGCCCCAGAATACATCGTTGTCACCGCTGACCGACTTCTTTCCCAAATTAGGCCAGACAGTCATCTTGCCGGTCGAAAGAGTCCAGACGTAATCCTGTCGTCCATCCTCATGACCAAACATATTGCAGTACTTGTTGCCATCAGCCTTGAGCTTGGTAGAACCACCACCGGTGTTCTTCCAAACTTTCATGTCGAACTTGAACCTTCCGTCTGATTGCTTGGTTGATTGCAGATAGACATAGTCTGCCTTCGGTAGGAGCCCAAAGGCAGCCTCGCCATAGATCCTCGCGAAGTGAATTCTGTCTCGACCATTGGCACCAACACCAGCGTGTGTCGGTCCAGAGGAGGCACCCTTCCAGAATCCTTGACGCCAAGCAACATTGAGTCCATCGCCTGGCTTTCCTTTCTTACAGCTTCGAGAGTTGGTCCAAGTCGTTGTGGCACCTCTGTCATCCACCCACAACCAGTCGTCGCGCCCGTCGCCATTGATGTCTTCAAAGCGGACACCACGCTGGTCTCCCATGCCCTTAGCGGTAAATCGCAAGCCGAGAGGTTGCCAGGTGGGAGTGTCAGAGATACCCGAATTCCTCCAAGCATGAATATTTCCACTATCGTCGATTATCATGTAGTCGGCTCTGCCATCGCCGTCGATGTCGCCCCATCTGACACGATCCTGCTTGTAGCCGACATTACCCTTGATCGTGCCAATGTTCCTGAACGTAGGTGGGCTGGAAGCGGTTCCGTCTCGATTGTTGATGGAAGCCAATGTATCTCCGTTGGGTGAAACGCAAAGGAAGTCATCGTAGCCGTCGTTGTTGATGTCAACCCACCAGATGCCACGCGTATTGCAGAAGAGTTTGGTATCGAGATCGGAGACCTTCGAGAACTTGCCACCTCCAATGTTTTTCCACGTGGCGAAGGATAGCTTCTCGTTGGCATACCACCAGCCTACTATGTCATCGAATTGAGAACCATAAAGCCTGGTGAAGAACCACTGATCGCGATCGAACTCGGAAGTATACGACCAGATAGTGCCCATTTCCTGGCTGTTGTGGTAATAGATGCCATCTGAGTCACCTGAACCCTTTTGAGTGACACCACCGTATTGAGCCTGACCAGGCTGCTTGTCACATGTGTTGCCTGTTGTCTTGGACATTGGAGAAGCTTCTACAATGAGACCCGACTGATAACCCCACTCGATGGCATACCAGAACTTGACAGCCATTTTCTTGTGTCCAGCATCGCTATTCTTGTCAGTGGTAAACCTTTAGTTTGTGAGACCTTGAACATACATGGGATGAATTCCATCTGAATTCAGCTCGTTCAATGGGATATCGATATCGACATAAGTGATTGGCTTTCCAGTACTTTTGAGGCGGGTAATCAATTTNCCTAAGATAGAACAGAAGAACAATGAAGTTAGACGATAATGATCCATGAGTAGATAGCTGTTCGGAAAAACCTACTTGTATTGTTCGTTGATTTCTTTACGATTGCTCTCTGCCTTGGCATCATTTCGTCGAATGACAGATGAAACAACGACATATGTTTTNGACATGCCATCGGCACTCCAAAGGTCGTTAAGCAGTCCCTCCAACCGATTGCCAGCCCCGTCGACCNNTAGAATGATGTCAGTGATTACTCAATAGTAGCCAAGCCACAATGTGAAGTGAATTACCTTGTTTTGGTTCGCGTCGTTGGTGCCCACGTTCATCTAGGACTGTTAGTTTAGCCATCTTATGCAGTACATCGACTACGACCTACCAAGNATAACATTGGGCTTGTAACCGTATGAGTTGCGTGCTGCATCTCGAGCTTGATCGATAACGAAACCACTAGTGGCTTCGAAATCCNNTGTTGAGTTGTTGATGAGAAGTAGATCTGATAGTTCTCAGGGCAAACTTACTCTGTCCGTCATGTCTCCATTCTGTTTGCTGCCAACCATATTGACATCCCACNNTAGAACATCATGTATCAGCACAGTCACAACGGATTGTGAAATTATACATACGCCTTTATATCTCAGCTGATCTCTCAAAGGCTTTCGGAANTCTATACACAAGCCATGTTAGTCTTCGTTTCCGGTTGGTATTTGTCGATCCATCACTTACCCATTACCAGTGCTCGATCCGACACCGCTGACAATAGATGCGCCCAAGGGTAAAATTCTCAAGGCAGGCTTTGCATTTTGGCGAATCATGAGATCTGTATGGTTGGAGGTGAGATCGTTGTCTCTGAACCCTGTTTCGTAGTCGGAATATTGCCCTGAAGGCAGACCTGCTGCTCCACTGAAGAAGGCAAGAGCCTGCACGACCAGACTGAACATAGTCTTGACGTGCATGACGGCAAGTTCTGGGTAGAGACTGAACCGGTGACGAACGAGTGTATGATGTTGAAAAGGTTTGAGAGAATGTGAAGGTTGTAGGTCAGAACGAAAGACAGGTAGAACTATACCCTTGCGGAAATGCAGCCCAATTGCTGACTGAGGCTGACTACCAGACAAAACGTACCATTAAACCACGCACTTCTGCAAATTTCCGCAGAAGAGATTTATAGTAGAGAAGCATATAAAAGGTGCTCTCGACTCTCGAATTCTCGAAGGAGTGAGCACTAGTAGACAACCCTTGCCGTTAATCTCAAAGATGAGGATTTCGAGCCTTGAGGATGTCAGGGTCGACTGGAATATGTTCCTCAAATAGATTCTCGACCACATGTTACGACGAAATCCTGTAGCCAAGGCTGCCAAGCCTCTTCCAAGAGCAACTAATGCCTCGCTTGAGTCGCTTCTATGATTCAGTAATGGCGCAAATCCTACGGGGGGAATTGCGATGGATTTAGTGCGTGTTTGACCACCTATCTTGGCAGGATTCGGGTGGTCAATCAATTATATTCCCTTTCGCTCAGGACAAATTTGACTAAGACGATACTTCCAAATCCTTTATAGATATCTGTCTTGGCTTCCTGCCTGATGCAAGGTTTTTTTTCTGTATTGATAAGCTCCAGTACTGATTCACATTCTCTCGAAATTTCACACTCGAATAATTCCACCTTTTTTTTTTTTTTTGCAAGAGTGCACTGCACGTCATGCGCTCCCAAGCGATTACTTTGCTAGCAGCCCTCTTCGGTGCAGTGAGTGCCATTCCATGTTCTGACTTTTCATGGCCCGAGTATGGCACCCAAGGACCTGATGGGCTTGATCCATTCGGCGCTCAGCCAGATGGCAAGAGTTGGGATGTTGTGGACGCCAGAGATTGTTGGGCTCGCTGGCAGTTGATCCAGACAGACCAGACTTTCAATGATGCCAAGGTCACCAAAACAGTGTTCGAGGCGACGGAAGACCAAGTACGCTCCACAATCAACAACTTCTTTAACCCCGATGGAAACAATATTCAGCTCTGGCTCCCAATGCGGACAAGAGCTCTTCAATACGTATGTACACATTCTGTTCCTCGATTTTCAAGCTTGAAATCCCAGACACAAGTATATCTCGTCGTCTCTGTGCTCTCGCGAATCTTCCACTGTGACAATCCTAATCAACTATAGGCCCATATGTTGCCTAATATTTTGCCGGGAGAGGATGAAGACGTTCATCCCCAAGGGTCTATAAGCGATTGGTGGCGTGTTGTGGTATCTATCAGTAAGTTCTGGCTGCCTTGTCAATGTTACTCCACTAACAATTCATATAGTCCTCCCTAGTGGCGCAGCAAAGCTCCAAGCGGTGCATACGCCTTCCAGAGGTTCCGCCGAAGAAGATAGGAATCTAAGACAAGCAGGAAGTGTGGGGATTACCGGACTCAAGGGGACGATAGATCCAGGCGATTGGGCCTACACCACAGGGACTGAGCTTCGAATTGCCATGCACGCCATCTTAGAAAAACAGAAAACGGCCTTCCGCAATAATGTCCCATGGGTGACTAAGCCGGAATTTGCTTACACATTGGCGGAAAAGGCCAATGGCGACTGTGTTGTCCTCGACTTCCGCAACTTTGACGAATTCGTTCTCCGTATTCCACCAGCTCAGATTCGGTGAAGGATGCTACTTCGCTATGATGCCCTTTGTCTACCCGACAATAGACAGCTTATTCTAGGAAAGGATGTATCGAGCGTCTTGGAGAACAAAAAGGAAGGTCACAAGGATCGTGCTTAGCGTCAGGATCAAGTTAGAAGAATACAAACTGTCTCTTACACCAAAATAAAAGATCCAACGTCAGTTCATCCTCGGTGCGTTCCTTACGCTTTTAATGGCCGACTGTATGTAACCACTGCTGCGCCCACAACCTGAGTGCTTTGGAGGTCTTTGCCCATAGGTACACTCTTGATAACGTGCCCGACTGGAACCATGTTTGTGAGACCTATAGCATCCGCCGGGATCTGGAGAATTAAGCTATTATGATCGATCACGGGGTTGGGAAGCGTACATCATCCTGATATCTTGGTATCTTATTATCTTAACCTCTTTGTTCTGCACCGCTCACAGAAAGGGAAGAATATGTCAAAGATCTTGACTATGGTGTAGATAAAGTCAAGGTTGAAGAATGATGATCAGTATGATAATGAGGAAGAAGGATGAGGAAGAAACATAAAGAACAACTTTGACAAACGCCCTCTACTATCTCTTTCTTCAGGACGATAGAGACCGAGCATGACAAGTCACCAGGATACAGAGTTTTCTTGGGAAAGAATCGTTGAATCCAGAACCTTCTAAAGAGGTGCTCTGTGTTTTATCACCTCATCTCATTGAAGTTTGTTGTCTTTGTGAGCGTCAACATGATCAGAAAGGACAAAGAGACAAAGAAGACGGCCAATGCATAGACTGAAACACCACAGCTCTGCGTTCACATTACGTGCATGTGAGTTGAAGCGAGCAAACACAAAGAAGTGATAGAGAACAGTCAGAGCAGACAGCTTTTGTGATGGCAAGAAGAGGCTCAGACTCAGGGGCTAGAAAGTGATGACATCCATATATCAAACAACCTATATAGGTAACAAAGGTTCAGTCCCTACCAATTCCAGATGACGGAGTCGGGGCTGGCGGCCGCAGTCCTTTCCTGATGGGAGTTTAGTGAGATGGGGGCGCACCCCCACTGACAGAACTCTTTTGCTGATGTTCCAACAGTCCTGTGTTCGACTCCTGATCCCGGCAATTCTTTTGTAGTCTTCAGACTAACACGACAACAAAGGTTACTCATCCAATATGCATCACTGATGACTGGTTATGCTTCCACCGATTGATTTACTCTTTTCTAAAGTAGCATGAAAAGATATCGGAATGCAAAACAAGATAGGAAGGAGAGAACTGTTGTGAAGATCTTGTGCTCTCTGGCCATGTTGTTTGTCTCGAGCAAGTTGATTGTCTTTGTTAGCCAGAAATCACTATTGTCCGCAGTTGGCTACGTCAACACCATTCAAAACCTCAATTACGAAGAGACAAAGAATATGATCAACCCATGGCACTGAGGGATGGGAATGCCATACTAAACACTGAGTCACGTATGCAGAAGCAAGCAAGCACAAAGCAGTTCACATCGGGTTTAAAAACAGACAGTGGTCATGGTGAGAAGGGGAATTTAGAGTGGTCTGCCAAAATGGCTCCAAGTAAACATGAGCCAGCCCCATTTTCGCTGCCTCCCCGAGTGATAGAGGATGCAACTCTCACTGTACTCGGACCATAGCAGAGAGTAAAGTTCATGCTATAAAAATGCACAATACAATCAGAAAATAGGATAGTGTCCACCGAGAAGCAATCTCTCATCAGCTCTCTCTGGCCATACCCTTCTTTTGAATAGAATTGTGCATTTTGATAGCCACACGCGTCACAAACCTCCGCACACGGGGAGGTGGTGATGTTGAAGAACAGTATGATGCCGCTGTCACTCAAATCACACTTCGGTCACTTCACTCGTCCCGAACTCCGTTTGCGCTGTTTGGTCGCCATTCGCTCGCAGCGAAAAATCTGCTTCTACTTCTCCTTTTCGTGGAACAGATTTTGCGCCTGCCACTCAAGATACCACGGACCACAGACATGGCACCTGCAAAGCCCACTCCCACTCCCAAAAGTCCAGCGCCACTCCCGGTATTACCCCCGATGCCGAGAGACGTGTCACTAAACAGTCGTACCATGGGTCAGTAGCAACAGAATGGACGGTTGAACCTAACTGAACGTGGTCCAGGCTGTCGGCAATCTCTCTGGGATCACGTCATGCGGCCACCAACACCATCCCACGCGACAGTCTCGCACTTGTTCTGCGTAAGGATCTCCAGACCGCTCTGAAAGAGAACAAAAGCCACCCTTTGCAATGCTTTGGCCACAGACTGGTCACCTACAACATCAAAGATGAAAAGTCCGTTGTGGAGTTTCTTGCCGAATGGGTCAAGGACATGGATGTCTCCGAATCTTTGAGAGCCAGCATGGAGTTTGGCTCGTCTCTTGGAGAGCAAGACTCCCCAGTGGCCAAGGAACTGGGAATCTTCCACAGAGTCATGCGTCATTTCTCTAACATGAGCACCTACAACAGCGCCGTTTATGACTCTATGATTGACTGGTACATCGAGTACTTGAGAAGGGAAGACGTCAACCTCAACGTGGTCTTCAGAATTTGCCAGTTCGACGACATTTTGCAGGAGGGAGGTCTGGTCCGCGTATGCGCGAATGTCTTCGTCCATCACGGCAAGACTTTGTTCACACCGAAGAACTTCAATGCCTTTGAGCTCTGGCTCCAAGATCACATCAGTCAGGACGTAAGAGACACCATTCCGGGAGACGTTATGGATCCTGCGTTCGACCAAAACTGTGCATACCACCACCATGTTGAGGGCGAGACCTGCTACAAGCAAAAGATTCGTGAGAGTAGGTACAATTTTCACCATGTATGTTAATATGTATTATTAACATGCATTCCAGAGATACAAAAGTTATCGGCCCTGGTATGAGCTAGGACAAGTCATGACTGGATAGACCCTGGAAACAGCAGGAAAAAGACTGGTTGCAGGATTTTCGAAGATATTGGTTGACAGTACCTTGCACTCTTATTGAGAAGACAGTTCATTGAAAGTCGACGCAAACAGTTTGTCTCAGTAGGCTCATCACAGGCAGTAAAAGACAGACACAATAGCAAGCAGTGTTTTTGACGGTATCAAGCGTATAGAAACCACGTTGGGCTTCAAAATTTAAGTTTACTCCGATAGCAAACAAACATGTGTGCTCAGCTTTCTTTCTCACCAAAGACCTCACTGTTGCGTAAACCGCTTCCAGCTACTCCTTCACTTGTGCGCCGATTCTGCTCACGTGTTTGCATTCACTGTACTCGCAAAGCGAATAACTTGTTAACTTTTGCCATCATCCAGAAAGGACACTCCTTCCCTTTCAGCGCCATCTTGCAGGCTTTTCCACCGATCGCAAGCCCTTGTTTCTTATCACCACCTACCTGAAGGCGATATCACTACATCTTTGGCCCTATCTGAGTGCTCTTCCAGACGCTCAACAATCGTCGATTCGGAGTTGTGAGTCTGCAAAGGTTCCTTTAATTGAAGAGAAAACTAACATCAACGCGCTGCAGGGCAGATATCTTCGTTGTCTGTATGGAAGGCGATCCTATGCACCACATGACCAAACCCGAGCTCGCTGCCGTTATGGACTACGACGAAGCCGTCTCCATGAGCACAAATCTGAGTTTGACTGAGAACGGCAAAGAGTTCAAGGGTGTGAAAATTCGCAAACTCGATTCATGTTTCCACTTTCCGAAGTCCTTGTGTTCGTCACTGAGTGGGCTCAGACTAAAAGTGTAGAGCATGCCTTCCATGCCGCTTACATACGCGAAAAGAACCGCGGCAATCTCATCATGGAGATGTTTCAATGGTTGAGATCATTCAAACCTAAACTTCACACCGACATTCTCGATTCTTACGTCGACTTTGTTATCGACGCCATCAGAGAGGACCATTTGAACGGCGGTACCCTCTTCAAAGATCTCATCAATCGCTGGATCGACGTCGACTGCTCCGCTAGCAAGTCTCCAACCAAGATGCACGACCTTCTCGCCAACTGCATCATTCATCAACGCGATGGTTATGTCAATCCGGGTTCTGAAGGGGGTGAAGAGGATATCATCATTGAGGCGGTCGAAAACTTGAAGAAGGAGGTCTGGAAAGCCAAAGATTTCAGCATTCTTCCTCAGGACATCACAGCGGAGGGCTTCAACGATCATTGTCGCTATCACACACACGGAGACAGTCGACCTTGCTACAGAAAGAAGTAGTGGAAGGTTCAATGGGCTTAACATGATCAACAACTCACGGTTCTGTAAGCGAGTGCTGAGGTTATCAGTGGTCAACCTCAAGGATGCAATGGGGGTATGGAATCAATGAGTCGGGTGGAAAAGAATCAGGTAACGTTAAGCAATAACTTGAGGTTGTCCAACGTATAGAAACCATCCTCCACCAACATAACTCAAGTCCAAAATCACAACGCTTAATCGGAAGAGCGACAAGAACATGGACCACCATGCTCTGGAACATCTGTTCGTCGAAAGCACCCTTGAACATCTCAGCCACCTCAATCTTATCCTCCCGATCATTCTGGGACTTCATCAGTTCTGCGAAACAGGCGAACAGAGACTCTTTGATCTGAGGGTTGAAGACGTATCCCTTGGCGAAGAAGTTGATGAGCTTAGCGAGGAAGACCACGTAGTCGTCAATCGAAGCGCCAAGTTTGGGCTTGAGCTTGTTGATGTCGATCGTTCTGGAAAGAGCATACTCGATGGCGGCGTGAGCGTTCTGAGTCTCGTGGTAGTGGATCCAGTAGACCAAGAAGCCCACGACGAGCCTGGTAGTGTCGAAGTCGTGAGATCTGACGCTGACGCCCTCGCAATTCTTGACGATGTTGTAGGTCTTGGGGTCGACATACTTGACTGCATGCTCGAATTGAGCCTTGGATACATGGCTGATAGTTTCGCCCTTGGCCTTCAGCACCACAATTTCGGTACTACTAGACAGTGATTAGATGCTTCTTCCCATCTGAGTTCTAGATTACTAACCCAGANNTTCGAGTGCACGTTCAACGGTAGCCTGACATTGTGGAAGTGTACGTTCGCGACGAGTCCAAGAGGCCAGAGCGCGACCACCTCTACCTCCACGCCTTCCACCACGTCCATCAACGCGTGTCTTATTGCCTCCACCGCGCTTAGGACGGAGTTCTAGAGCACGAGTTGCNGAATCTGGACATATGGCCGGTATCCTTTTGATTCCGTCCTGATCGTCGTTCGTCTTGTGCTCGTCGTCGTCAGAGCTGTTGAAGTACTGCTGGGCGTTGTAGTTGTCGTTGTCCATCTCAGATTCCAAGCCGTAATGATCGTCCATGTTGTCCATGTTGTCAGAGAGTTGCGATATAGAGGCTGGGTCTGAGGTTGAAGAATCAGTAGACAAAAAGAGTTTTCCGAGGAACTAAGTGATTGTGAAAGGAGAGGCGTGTTGTTGTTTCACCTTAGAGCCAAAACGTCGCGTTTGCATTTTCCGTAAACAAAGGACACCGCCAACTTCGACTCCCAGGCCCCAGTGCCATGTTTCCAAACGATTGTCAAAATGCACGATTCTTTCACGATCTGGGAGTATGTCCAAAGAGACGAATGAATGAGATTTGTGGCAGGTGCATTGCAAGTTAGCACCTTCCTGCTTTCGTTTTCGGGAACTCCTGTTTTACAGAGCTATCAAAATGCACAGTTGTTTGTGAATCCATGGTCTTCTCTAAAGAGAGCCTTGAATGATAGGCACGCTTGAGAAAAAAACCTCTTTCCAGATCCTTCTCCTGACACCACAACGATAAAGTCAAGGAATTCGATATACAAAGGAGTGAATCACATTTTGGGCATTCCATTCACCTTCTCCTGTGGTGATGATGCCAAAACACTCGTCAACCTCTTTGCCATTGATCCAGTACGCCAGGAATCGAGCCACATCTTTGTTGGTCCCACAATCCATGGAAGTGTACCGCAGTCCGTCTAGATCACCGACATCATGCCAAAAAGCAGGATCGTCGAGCTGTACATCGGGAAGACACACGCTCTTGAAGAGTTCGTTGGAGGCGTGGGCGATGACTTTGCCGTCCACTTTGAGAAGGACGAGATTACTGCTGCAACAAAGAATAAACATACAATCCTGACCTCAGCGTGTATAGATCCTGCCCGTAGAGAAAGTCATCATCATTGACGATCTTCTGGCGCTTTGCCTTTGGCTCATCCATATCTGAGTTCTCCGGAGAAGAAGACATAGGTGTTGCTGTGACGCGGGAAAGAGGAAGGCGCACAGGACTTGGGTGAAAATCGCAGTGTAAGTGACGGATCGCTGTCTCGTAAAGACGTTTCGCTTTGTGTAAAGGTGGAAGAGTCGATGGCAGGCAGGCGTGATGACTTTTTTTGTTTTCCCCAGATAGACACACTCTGTTTTCCAAGCCATCAAAATGCAGTGGTTTACAGATTCTAAGGCTCGTCCAGAGAGAGTGACATCGTTGTGACTTTCTTTGGTAATTTCTTGGGCTCTGAAGATACTGTGTGCTTCAATGTTTGTTCGTGAAATGTTTGCATCACCGCGGAAACTGGAATTCGATAAATTGACAAAGCTTCATTTTTTGGCAGGTGCATTGGATGCTTTCCTACTTCCTCTCTCGAGACTTCCTATCTTCCAGACCTGTCTAAATGCACAGTTGTTTGTAAATCAGAGTCTCATCCAAACAAAGCCGACAACACTTTGACTTTGCTTCATCGCTCCCAAAGTAGATACACAAAAAGGGGCGAGTGAAACCCTGCGCAACACAATCGTCTGTTTCACTTCTTCGATTTCCACCACCTCAAACTTCCGAATTGTCTTTCTTCCTCCCACATAACCACACATCCACAAACACCGGCGACGCGAATGTAGCCGTTATGTCTCCAAATGACTCTTCCCCCAGCTCAAGTCCACAGCCGCCTACGAAACGCCTGAGACGCGACAGCACAGACGACTATCCCTACAGGTCAGTATAATACCCCCATTGTTTGAAGATCTATGACTGACTTTCGCAGACCCATTATGGTTCTGCTTGGCATAGAGGGAAGGGAATCTGAGCCCGGATACCAGGCCTCCAACATCGTCGCTTGCGTGCATTCTGAGCGATTCGATCAGATCGCAAAACCGAACCACTCCTGGGAGGGAAGCTGCTGTACGCAAAGCTGACTTTCTCTGTGCTCGACACATTGAGTTCGACCAGACACGCTCCTTCGTCGAATTCATCGCCCATTACGCTCAGGAACGCGATGCAGCCACTGCTGTCAGCGTTTGCCACCAAGATGATGTTGATTGGTACGAAAATTGGTTGATGAAGTACCAGGCTATCCTTATCGAAAATTGTTTCGCGGACGAGATTCAGGATTCGCTCCTCGACTGTCTTCTTGATGTTTTGAGACGCCAAAAGCACAACAGAAGTCAACTGCAAGACACTTTACTCTCGATCATTGACTGTGCAAGCGGTGTGGACGGGGATTACTCGGGCCTCGCTGATTCCTCACACCTCATCAAGTTGTTGGCGGTCATTGCCCTGCATCATGCAAAGGAACTACTGGAGGGACGCGCCTTACATGACGAGTTTGGGGGGATCGAAGCCGTGGCCGCCAATGTCAAGAGTTGTGCGTTGATTGAGTTGCTCAAGATCTTTCCACAAGGCGACTTTACCACCGTTTCCAAGGATCCACTGGCCGAGGGATTCGATCAACACTGTATCTATCATGTCCACGGCAAGAACAAAGCATGCTACCGATCCAAGTAGACTGTCTCTCGACAGTGGCACCAGACCTCTCACGCCTCATCGAGGTCTTCTCACAAGAGCAAGTGTGCTTTCTACCACCTGCAACAAGTCCTCGCACAGTCGCACCAGCAAAGGTGCCTTATCAACGGCCTGACCTTGTACCTCCGGAATCAGTTCATTGTCATCCCCTCAATCGACAAGCAAGCAATATCAATGACGCTACCTTTGGTTTAGGGCCAGGTTCAGCCACGAGAGTTTCAGCGAAGAACAGCTTTCTTAGGTAGACAAAGATGCACAAAACTTCTTAGATCAATGAAATCAAGCTCTCCATTCTCCAAGTTTTTAGCATAAACGTGTAGTATCAATTAACAGTGACTTGGCTAGCTTGTACCTTTGCATGCTCAAAGGCTTTACCATCCCTCGACACGTCAAGGAAGGAGCTCGTTCTGATATAGATAGAAAACAATATACTATCCACTGAGAGGTAATGAGCTATCGACTCTCTGTGGACACGTCTCTACTTCCAAGACAACTGTGCCTTTTTATAGTGTACATTTTACCGACAGCTATAGCCGGAATACGGTGGAAGTTACAGCCTTCAGTACATGGGGAGGAGGGACCTGACTTTGCGTCGACTGTTTTCTAATGCTATCACAGGACCTAACAAGAACAAGGAGAAAAGAGCCAAAAACGAACAAAGATACCTATCTTTGTCCAGAAGTCGTTTATCCGACTCTGTAGAAAATGGTCGTGTATATCTGCTTTACCAATCCATTCTCTCATGGAACACATCAATTTGCGTTCAGTTCAGATGTCGTTGCCAAAAGCTTACCTCTATCAGATCATGCAAATGATCAATCATGGGCTTCGTGCCCGGGTTTCGACAAAGTCGGTTATAAAGAGCGATACAACATTCTCGGCAACTTTATGGAGTGAGCGGCCGATCACTCTCATTTCTTGAAAGAGACGTTAATGTTGCAGTTCAAACCAAGATTCCTCATTCTCGTGTAGGGATTGACGTCGAGAGATCAAGTGTGCTAGTAACTAAGGTGGTCGAGAATTGGTAGGACAATCCTGGCAGGGGCGGATAGAGCTACAGATGCCCTTGGAACGCTCACATCTCCATATCATCACTCGTCCCATTCGGCTCGCTTGGGTGTAGGCCCGACTGTTGCCTCAATACTTTCAAAAGGCCACTCGGCATCCTGTCTCCTTGTCTCACCCATACAGCTTCCCTACACTCCCTCGCTGTAGGTCTACTTGTAACGTCTTCTCTCAACATCCAATCCGTCGTCTCTGTTGCCCACAGACCTGGAGCTCTAGTCTCTGTATGCGGATGAAGAAGCGCCTGAGTACACAGATCCCTGCACACCATACCCAAAGCCCAGACATCTGCCTTGGACATTTGCTGCGGGTCGTGACCCTGAAGAAGAAGCTCAGGAGCCGTGTAGCGAGCAACAGGAGCAGGGACACTCTCGTCCTCGTGGAAGTGGGCAGCAAGACCAAAGTCAGACAGTTTGTAGAGTAAGGAAGATCGAGCAGTCCAGAAGACAAGAATGTTGGCTGGTTTGATGTCTCTGTGTACAAAGTTTTGTTCGTGGAGATACGTCAATGCAGATAGAGGTTGATGAGCCACTGTCTGTGCGAGTGCTTCATCCAACCCAGATATGCCCAGCGAAGAGTAAGTCGTGTAGAAGTCAACGAGATTGTAGGCCGCAAGTTCGGTCAAGATACACGCGTTCCAAGATCCAGAACTAGGATCAGGTACGCCGCCTATATCTTCCAAGATAGCGATGTTGGCATGCGACAACATTGCCAGAATAGTGGCTTCTTCGCGGAAACGCCGCAGTTGGGCTGATGTTGTTGTCTGCAGCACTTTCATTGCAAAGAGTCTGTTGGATTTCGAGTGAGCGACACGATACACAATGCCATGTATTCCGATGCCGAGCGTTGACTGGATAATGTAGTTTCCATTGTGGTTGTAGGATGTTGCGACCGTGTTTGCAGGCAATGGCGTAGGTGTCAAGTCGGAAATGGTGTTGCCCATGACGCGTGGTGGAAGATGGATACTCGGATTGTCGCGGTGGAGGATATCACAAAAGGCTTGCATGACCTATGCGGTGCTTGCAAGGCACATTATATAATCGGAAAGCTCTGATACATGTCTAGATGCTGGAGAACGAGGCTGGGACGATTAGGCTGCTTGTCGACAGGTTAGACATGTTTTGGTCCCTTGCTTTGTTGGCGCTTCCATGATTGTTTGGTGCGTTTAAGCAAATCTTTGTTCAACACAGAGTATGTTTGTACCTACTAGACAGCGCGTAAATCACACGTCTGCATTCATAAGGAGCGCGGCAAAATCATACATGTCACGCACTTGGGGAACCTGGTCTTGTCGGATGCATGTAGAGTCACCCTGTATTGACTGACTGACTCAGTAAATTCTGCCCATTCTACCTTATACCCGAGACCGAGGCGACTGTCCAAGATTGATCGCCGTCTTGCTGCAGGGAGAAACCCTCGAGTTCGGCATGTTGTGATTGCATAAGTTTATCGCCAGCCATACAGAGTAGTTGATCCAGGTCGCTTTCCATCTTTATGACAACAGCTCGAAAATCAACTCCTACTTTGGCGTTCGTCGGCGTGTGAGATTGATAAGCCAGAAGCCATCATGCGCAAGCACATGCAGCATCAAGGGGCTCTTCCGCAGGCAGGCAAGTTCAACTGCATTTCCGGTGTGGCGGTAGTTACCGGACCCGGGTCCGTTGAGATTGTGGGGATGCTAAGCTCAAGAAGAGCGGCTCGTGGCAGCTTGCTTTCAAAAGCGAACGACAGCACTCGAAAGTGCCGGAGAGCTGTCGCGAGTCGACAGGCACAGAGCCTCACTGTCAGGGATATTGGACAGGGCCCTGACATGTGTTCTAGTGGAAGGCTAAGCGACAGGTGAAGCAGCGAATGATGGACGTGCATCAAAGACTTTTTACAAGGTTTGCAAAGCAATTACCGAATCCATCTATTGCTTAACCAACCGCAGAGAAATAGCGGAAAGCACACGTGCAAGGGTCTTTTCGTGAGTCGTGATACACAAGGCCGTTCCCTTCCTCCGTCAAATGTATGGAAGACGGAAGGGATCATCATCAAGATGAGGTGCAGGTCGGCTAACTATGCGATTTCGGCCGGCAGACCTCATTGACCATCAGATCTGGCGGCTGCGACGGCTTGCTTATATATCAGCATTCACCATGGAGATGGATGATGATACGGGTAATGTTGCCGTGCAAAAACGATAGGCAAGAATAGCGCGTGGCTGGCGGGCAGTTTGCGGCTCCTTTTCCCCCGCGCTGTGCAACTACAAGCGATCGAGTCAAGAAGACCATCAGAGAATTTAAAAGACCTCTCACAATGAATAACACACTGTGCATGGTTTCTTCACGCAATAGCACAGTACACAGATGAAAGACCAGATGACCGCAAGCTATACAAGAGGAGGCAGTGAATATTTATGCAGCATGGGACTTTTGTACGAGAAGGACGAGACACGGCACAGATCGTCGATTGATGTGGAGGCTCAAACTAAAACTCCGCATATCGTGCTGGTGGATGAAAAGATCACCAGCACCAAACACGACGGACCCATGTGCGCTGCAACAGCGGCCTAGGCCGCAGAAAATGGATAGCAGGAGAGGACGCCTATGCACTGATGGTAACAGTTGTCAACCTCGAAGGCGGATTTTACGTGGCTGCGGCCGCGTCTCCGGGCTTCCAAGTAAATATTAGGCGCATGGCCATCTGCTATCTGCTTTCGACTTCCTCATGTTCGATTTTGAGCTCCCACACCGATTCACCGATCCGGAGCCCCTTCCGGCGCCATGAGCATGGCAGCTTCCTGTCAAGACTCGTCCATCACTATAACACAAGATATCAGCCATGTTGACGACCCTCTTCTCACTGCCTTAGCGCAGAACGGCGCTCTGCGTCTTAGCTGCGACCGCGCGCTGGTCTCGTTGATACGCCATGGATCACAGGCCATCGCCGCAGAAGCTGGACAGTCAACTCTGCTGTGCGCCTTGAATGACCACACTGCCTCTGCACAACTTTCTCAACACCAAGCCTTTCTGCATCGTGTACAGTCCGCCGCCGTCTTCCAAAGCCCCGAGCCTTCGACGCACGAGTCCAACCATGTTATCGCCAACCACACCCGACACATCATTCCGGACTTGCATGTCCTCGACTCTCACCAAGACAACGTGTCCACACAAGCCTCATATGCTGCTGTACCGATCACATCTACCACAGGTCAACTTCTGGGTGTCTTTTCTGCCATCGACAGCAAAATACGACACGACTTCTCGAACCCGCACACATACACCGTCATGTATGACATCGCCTGCGCTATCTCGCGCCACCTTGAATCACAACCCAACCAACCCGAGAGGGACCACGGCAGAAAAGCCAAGCTAGCTCTTGCGAGATTTTTGGAGCACAACAGACCACAGCCTGCAAGTGGCCGAGGAGCACCCAGGCACCTGCCGAGTTTGAGCTTCACAGATTCTCAAGGCCGCACCTCGAGTCCAGCCACTTCATCTTCTCCCAATAGTGTCTCGGTGGACAAATTGATGGAAGATGCAGTTTACTCTGTTGATGACACACCTTTGACAACTCCAGCAGAAGACTCTTCTAAATCTGGCTTCTTCGATCCGCTGCCAGAGCCTACCATGACTTCATCCTTCTTGGACCAAGACCACCCAATGGAGTCACATGGAGAATGTTCGGAATCAGAAACTCGACCCTTAGATCAAACGCTGTCGATTGCTATCGATCTCATTCGCGCCGCTCATGATCTTGAAGGTCTGGTTTTGTTGAACGCCACTTTCAGCAGCGCTGATGACATGTTCCGATCCACCGACGACAAGTCAACTCAGCTTTTGTCGTTTTGTGAGACACTCGAAACCTCTTTCGCCACAAGCCATCACACATCACCACCTATACCTGTCGAGCATGAAACGCTGGGTCAGCTCATCTCAAATTTTCCTCAAGGCTGTATTCTGAAGCTCGACAATTGTAACATATCAGTTCTCCTTTTGGATACTTCAGGGTCTGGTCCGGCGGTGTACGAAAGATTGGATGACACTATTGTTGTAGCTCCAGATCTACATTCGCTACTCCAAAAATCTCAGTCTGTAGTATTTATGCCCGTGTGGGATTCAGCACGACAGGCATTCTATGCTGCCATGTTGGGTTGGCCTAGAGATTCCTCGCGCACATTCACAGAGCAAGACCTGCTCTCGTTGGCCATCTATGGCCGCATTTTGACTGCAGATATTTCACGCNTTAGGTATGAATCTCAAATCACACCTAACAGGACATGCTTGTTGACTCTAAAACTTGCAGATGCTATTGACACAGAGGCAACAAAATCTGATTTTGTTTCTTCTCTCAGCCATGAACTACGCTCACCATTGCATGGATGCTTGGCTGCTGTCGAAGTTTTGCGCGACACCGAGCTTGACAAAGCACAAATCGACCTTCTGGGAATGATCGAGTCTTGCGCATCAACCCTGCTATACACCATGAATCACCTCCTGGATTACTCCAAGATTAACGATCTTGATCGCATACAACCCTCCGTTCGCAGACACTCCGTCGGGTCCATGTCCACGGCACCAGACTTGCCTCGTAACAGATTCGGCACGGTCGTTGAAGACTATCTATGTCGCGTGGTGCAGGATGTTGTCGAGGGCATATCCTATGGTCATGACAGAGAGCAGGCTGCCTACGAATCAGATCTAAGCAATTCGCCCCAAGATCAAATCTTGCACCCCGATAGCAATACTGTACCTGCGAGGAACAAAAACGTCGCCGTCTTTTTGTACATGGAAAGTCATGCAGCGTGGTTCTCGATGGTCTCAGCCGGAGCCTGGAAGCGGCTGGTGATGAACTTGTTCGGTAACTCGCTCAAGTTCTGTCCTCATGGCCATATCGAGGTCACTCTCAGAATGGTTCCGGATCCGAAAAATACTGACAAAATGATGGCCCATCTCATGGTCAGTGACACCGGTATTGGCATGAGTGATAAGTTCGTGAAACATTCCCTGTATCGACCATTTGTCCAGGAAAATCCACTGGTTAGCGGAACCGGACTTGGGCTCAACATTGTTAAGCAGATCGTCGACGATTTGCAAGGAACCATCAGTGTTAAGAGCATCCTGGGGTTAGGCACTCGATTCGACGTTCTCATTCCTGTGATCGAGCGTGTGAAGATTCCTGGTGAGATTGTACTCGATGGTGGTCAGATGCTGGACCAAGAAGCAAACCTCAAAGGTCGCACAATATGTTTGCTCTCATCTCCACGTACACCAATCGAAGGCATAGACGAATCGCACGAGCGTACAAATCAGATCCACTCTTATGTGAAAGACATCGCAGAGAAGTGGTTCAACATGAAGATAGTGTACGCGGAGATGACGGAAGAGGTTGATGCAGACATTCGCATCGCCGAGGCCTCTGACTATGGCATCTATGCTTGTTCTGCAGGTGAGAGCCTACGAAAGGCCAATACACACCGCACGATCTTGGTTGGAAACCAACGACAGTTGGTGCAGACTCGAGAGCAATGTCCCCATGACTTTGTCGAATTGAACTACCCTCTTGGGCCACGAGCTCTCGCTCGCGCGCTTCATGCCGCCTTGATGATGCCAACTGATCGAGTCGATCGGATCGACACTACGCCTGCCTTATCGAGCCCTCGAGATCAAACAAATGTGAACACACAAACCGAACTCGTCAATTCAGAGACGACGATCGACTCTACCGGACCCCTCATAAAGGAAACCAACCTCGACTCCATCCAAACAGAACACCTCCTACTCGTCGACGACAACGCCATCAACCTAAAACTTCTCTCCACCTTTATGAAANAGCTGTCCATCGACGCCCACACAGCAGTGGACGGCGAAGACGCTTTCAACACCTACAAAACCTTCTCCTCAACTCAACCCTTCACCACTATCTTGATGGACATTTCGATGCCCAAAATGAATGGCTTTGAGTCATCCCGCGCCATCCGCGATTTTGAGGCCAAGAACAAGCTTCCTCGGTCGAGGATCATTGCTCTGACAGCACTTGGTTCCGAAGCTTCGAGGANNCGAGAAGCAGAGGCTAGTGGCATTGATGACTTCCAGATGAAGCCTGTTGCACTCAAGACACTCAAAAGTCTATTCAAAAGCGCTCCTCCTATCAAGGTTGACACGCCTCAAGAGGCCTTCGTTGGCAAAGATGTGAATTGATCGCAACACCCATTCTTCGATCTTTCCTCATACACCGTTGAGCAATTCTCACGTTTCACGCGGTTATTTTCCGTTTCTCCAAAACCTCATCTCCTTTGGATGTCATCGAATTCACGACATCTCTTCAATGCGACAGACTAGCGACACACGAAACATCAACATGGCGTTGTTTTCTCAGGATACCCTTTTTTCTATCTTTTCTAAGAACACATTGATTCCTTTCTCTTTTCTCTTCTTTGTCTATGGCATTTTTTGTTGTAGAGATATCTTATGCCATTGATTCATTTTTTGCATGGATTTGCCAGCTGGAAAAACTTCCTTGGTGGACAGAATGAGTACATAGATTTGCCTTTGCAAAAGACACAATTATTATGATTATGATGTATATCTCTAGATTTCAAGAAAAGAATAACATGTCATGTCCCTTCTTTGTGGAAGTATTCATTGTGTTTCTTTGCCGATTCAGATTCTGGAAAAGAAGTCGAGTTTCGTCTGTTTGCTAGATGGGGAGAGCTAATCGAGGTCTCCTTTTTACTACGAGATTTCGGGTTGGCAAATGGTGCTAGAATGGCACACACTCGCGGCGTTCTTGCTTTTCAACACTATTGATCCGGAGGAGGGGCTGTTAAGTGTTCTTGCTTTGTATATATGCAGGAAGGTATACTTCGGAATCTATAATTCCGAATAACAAGCGCCAGGCAAGCCCGCAGCGCAAGTACCAGATTAACAAACCTTTTCCATCCTTTGCATAGGAAAGTTCAAATACACAGATGTCCTCGTACTTAAACATCCCCATCCGCATCCCCATCGCCAGCTGAATTCGTCGTCTCCAACGCCCTCATAAACTCTTCGATTTCCTTTGGGTCTGTGAGGGCTAACACACCACCTCCTTTGACATCCACACCTTTCATGCCTACTTCTTTGCCCACCAGGTTTCTGCCTACTTTGCCAGGTCCGATTCCAATCCACCGTTTGACTTTATGGTCGCGGTGGAGGTGGACGATGCTTTGGTGCCACAGCACTGGTTCGGCGGCTGAGCGGGCGACCAGGTCGACAAGTTCGGCAGCAGAGGAGAAGGGTGCAGCGGTGATGTTGGAGATGCAAGGGAGGGTTGAGAGGTTGAAAGTGACGGCGTTGGGTGCAGACAGCAGGGAACGCATTAACTCCACAGCAGGTTGCATCAACGGCGAATGAAACGGCGAATCAGCTTTCAGGCGCACAGCTCTAGGATCATGGCTGTCGAAATGGCGGATATGTTGCAGCACAGTGTTGATATGTGCAATCTCTCCACTGAGCACAAATTGGGTTTTGGAATTGATGTTGGCGATGTTGCAGCGTAGGTCTGGGTTGGAAGACAGATGGCGCGAGATAGCTTGGAGTGTAGCATCGCGTTGATCGGGTTCGCAAACCAGAGCTATCATGCCCATTTCCTGTTGGGTAGAAGCAGAACATTTCGCCATGGTTTCTCCTCTTTTNCGCACCATCTTCAACGCATTTGTAAACTGTAAATTCCCTGCTGCTACCAGGGCTGCGAATTCGCCTAGACTGTGGCCTAGAGTTACATCCACTGTTTGTTTTGTATTGAAGCCGAATTCTTTNTCCAAGACTCGAAGGATTAGGATGGAGGTTGCCATGATGGCGGGTTGGGCGTTTTGGGTGGCGGTGAGAGTGGCATTGGTACCTGAGGTGATGAGAGAGGTCAAAGAAGGAGATATGGAGAGGGTATGGTCTATTTCTTCCAGTAGGGGTTTTACGGTCGAGGGAAAGGCGGACAGCCAGGGGTCTAGCATGCCCACGCGCTGGACACCCTGGCCGGGAAAGAAGAGGGCGGTTTTGGGACGGGTGGGCCGTGATGTGTATGTCCTTGTTGATGTGTGTGATGGTGTATGTATCGGTGTATGCGTCCTTGATCTTGCACCTCTTGAGGCCTGCAAGAGGCATCCTCGGGCTGGGACTTTGATCGTGGTCGTCATGATGGCGCTGCGGCTAAGTGTGTTGCTGTGTCCAGGCGCATCTCCCTCCGGCGTGCATGTGGCTCAAGAGTGACAGCAATGGGTGCTTTGTTGATGGGGCTCGAGATTTACATGTCGTCAGGCTGGAAGAAGCAGCTTCACAAAACAACCCTGATAAGCCGAGGTTACCGTCATGGCAGACAAATGATGCTCTCGCGCCTGTCCGCGGCCACGAGCTTTCCCCACGCCTGCTTGATCCTGGGGTGAAGCGGCCACCTTCGGCTTTGCCATCTCATGCACTGTTTATATACAACCCCAAACACCCCAGTTTCAGACAGTTAGGATTCCTTCGCGAGTCGTCGTAGACAGAATCAAGCAAGATCACAGCTAAGTCAAAGAGGTAGGTTGTAACAGAAAAAGGGATATCATAACATTTCGTTTCTAAACTAGAAAAGCCCTGCAACCATCCAAGCAATGCTCGGTGTGCAAGACAGAGGTATCAAAAAAGGGGGAATCTTGTTTTTTCGTAGCAGCACAGGACACTAATGGCAGAGATGCGCGATGCATTTACCACCAGTCACCCTGGTCGTGCATGGCCTGAGCCACCTTCTTGAAGCCAGCAATGTTGCTACCGGCAACCAGCGAAGGGAACTCGCCCTCCTTGGGAGTAACGTACTCCTTGGCAGTTTCAAGACCGTTCTCGAAGCAGTTCTTCATGATCTGCTTGAGCTTCTCGTCGACCTCCTCGCTGGTCCACTTCAGGCGCTGCGAGTTCTGTGCCATCTCGAGACCCGAAACGGCAACACCACCGGCGTTGGCGGCCTTTCCGGGAGCGTACCAGATGGCAGAGCCCTTCTTCTCCTTTCTCGAAGCCTCGAAGATGTCGATGGCCTCCTGGGTGCAACCCATGTTGGAACCCTCGGCGATGAACTTAGCACCCTGCGAGATGAGAGCCTCGGCCTCCTCGGCAGAGACCTCGTTCTGGGTGGCTGAAGGAAGAGCAACGTCGACCTGGCCGCAGTGCTTCCAGGGACGGGCACCCTCGATGTACTTGAACTGGCTGCCGTACTCGGAGCTGTTGGTCAGGTCGCTGAGAGCCTTGCGGTTGAGCTTGAGGTCGGCAATGACGTCGATGATCTCGGGGGTGAAGCCCTTCTCGCTGGTAGCAATGATGGCACCCTTGGAATCGGAGAGCGAGGTGACGGTACCACCGAGCTCGATGACCTTGAGGGCGGCGTACTGGGCGACGTTACCGGAACCGGAGATGGCGACGCGCTTGCCGGCGAACGACTCCTTGCCGCCAGAGGCGTACTGGATCATGTGCTCAACGTAGTAGACGAGACCGTAACCAGTGGCCTCGGGACGGATCAGAGAACCACCCCAGCTGCCGCCCTTGCCAGTGAGGATGCCCTCCCACTGGTTGCGGATGGATTTGTAGGCACCGAACATGTAACCGACCTCACGGCCACCAACACCAATGTCACCAGCGGGAACATCAGTGTCGGCACCAATGTGTCTGCTCAACTCCTTCATGAAGGCGTAGCAGAAGCGACGGATCTCGTTGTCAGACTTGCCCTTGGGGTCAAAGTCGGCACCACCCTTACCACCACCCATGTTCACTNNGGAAGCGACTGTTAGCTCCTGGAAGTTAGTGCTGCTTGGCATGAAAAATTACTCACGGCCAGTAAGAGCATTCTTGAAGATTTGCTCGAAACCCAAGAACTTGAGGATGGAGAGGTTGACGGTGGGGTGGAGACGGAGACCACCCTTGTAAGGACCGAGGGCGGAGTTGTATTGGACACGGTAACCACGGTTGACCTGGACCTCGTTCTTGTCGTTCTCCCAGACGACACGGAACTGGATGACGCGCTCGGGGACGGCGGCGATCTGGAGAGCACGCTTGTACTCGGGGTTCTTCTCGAAAAGGGTCGAGTTCTCAAGGGTCGAGGCAAGCTCNTGTGGAAGTCGGGTCAGTATCAACAACCTTGATGGGGAACCAATTGCAATGCTTGGTGAGTGAGACATACCCTTGTAGGCCTGCTCGAACTCGGGCTCGGAGGGAAGGTTCGACATGGTGTATGGGATATGTGTAAAGGTGTAGAGGTATGGTATGAAGGAGTGTAGGAGGGAGAAGATGAAGATGAAAAAGTCAAGAACAAATCGAGGGCAAGGGTGGATAGATAAAGCAGTGGGTTGTATGGCGGCCGGCGAGGGTTGAGAAAAGTAATTGTGTACCGTCAAAGGCAGCCCCACGCAGCGCGACGGCGAAAAAGCATCACTGTGGACTGTGCGTCACCATAAGGGAACCATGGAGACGGATGAGCTCGCGGAAGAGACGCAACCGCCACGGCTCTCGACCTCTCATTCGCGTTGAACAACTGTCGTTCACATGGCTAGCGCTGTACAGGGTAAACTCTCAGCACTCCAGAACTCGCCCGATGTCGGCTCACACTTGGAGGGCAGTCGTGCTCGCCGCAATTCCGAGGAAACTCGCACCACTCTCGTCGCCATTGTAGGTACCACTGCTATCTGAGTGGCTTGAAGGAATGCAGACGAACACAGAACCTGTCACTCCTATCTAGTTCCTGCTGGAAGCGACAATTCATGCCGTGAAGCCTCTTGACTATCAAGAATTTGTTTATTCGGGCGAGATGCCTCGGCGGTGATCAGCGGCAACCACGTTAACAGCCGGCCTTCTGCCGCAGAAGCTTCCCCACACTTTCGAGATCTGACACGCGAGGATTCGCCGCATCTGCCGTTTGGCTTTCGGCGCGCTGCGTAATTGAAATCGAGTAAAGCCTGCACCTCAACAACTGATAAGACGAGAACACATTTGAGATAGCCACCCTCCGACAGCGGTCNNTCCAGGCGGGGGTTTACGGCGCATCCGTCGGATCCCAGTCNNTGGAGATGACAATGGCAAGTCAGCGAAAACATCCCGGCAGATGACTCTTTTCCTCTTCAGTTCATTCTTACCTGTCACCAAATACTCGTCCAGCCCATCCATCTTGGTCATGTCGCTCTCCTCAATCTCGAATCCTCCAATGTCGCCGTTTTGCACGATACGCTCCTTCTTGACGCTCTTGGGCAGCGGCACGTAGCCATGTTGAACCGACCATCTCACCAGCAATTGGCCCGGGTTGCAGTTGTACTTCTTGCTGAGCTCGACAATGACGGGGTGCTTCATGCGCAGAGCGCGCGCCAGAGGCGCATATGCCTCGACCATAATATCATTCTTCTGACAGAAAGAGGTGATGTCGGTGCGAGTGTTGAATGGATGCACTTCGATCTGGTTGACGGCCGGATGGATGCGTGGCTTCGAGTCGAGGAGCTCCTGCAGGTGCTGGACACCGTAGTTGCTGACACCTCCAATCTTGATTTCACCGTCCATGATGGCGTCCTCGACGGCGCGCCAACTCTCCAGACGAGCCTTCTTTCCTCCGTAAGGACTGTGCAAGAGGAAGAGGTCGATGTATCCCAGCCCGCACTCTTGCACACTCTTCTTGATGCTCTTTCTTGCTGTGTTGTAGTCACTGTTGCTTGCAAGCTTGGATGTGTAGTGAATGTCTTCGCGCTTGTGGTTCGCAATGTTGTTGGGAGACTTGAGGAAGTCGGTTATGGCGTTACCGACCTCGCGCTCATTGTGGTACATTTGGGCGCTGTCAACAGCAAGATATCCAGCCNNTGTTCGCATCACAATGGTCAGCTTGGGTAATATAGCGAAAATAGTCTGATGAGGGCATTGACAAACCTCGAGCGCCCATCTTGTAGCCTTGCTCGTCTCATTGCCAGATGTCAAGTATACACCGAGGTGAATTTGTGGCATAGACAAGCCATTGTTAAGCTGCGACTTGTAAGCTCAAATTTTGGGAGTGACGCAACGTTGGAAAGAACGTGCCTTGACACGGCTGGCGAGGTTGTAAGTCTTTTGCGACATGATCTATATCCGTGACCCGTCAAAGCTGCTATATTCGTATATAAGACACTGACTATCGGATTGTTCGTTGACAAAGAGTGAATAGGTGAGAGAGGGCATGACAATAACTCGGTCAGATCTTCCGTCGCTTTCGCATTGTGCACAGAGCCGCATCATCGCATGACGTCTTTCTGTGGACGATGCGCGCTCGACTTTTCTGCACAGTTTCCTCTGTTTTATGCTTGAAGCACTCCGAAATGGCCGCTCGAACAACTGAACGAGTCTTCTAACCAAGCTCAACAACAGAGAGGCTTGCACCTGCTATTTTGGTCGTTCAGAGCCTCCGGATCACTAATCTATGAAGGATCTCATGCTTGATGAATTGCAGCAAGCACTGGCCCGCCAAGGACGCCACTGAGATGCATCTCAAGGGTCTCTTTCGCGAGGACCCTCACACAGGGCGTGCAGGGCTCAATTCCACACTACACTGCCGCCATTAGATCCATCATTGTGCATGTAGATTTGACTCGATCACTTGGTCGCCTCCCCTTCTTCCCTTGTCATGACATGGCGTGAGACTTGTCTCTGCTGAAACAAAACACTGACAGTCAACCTCTTACCCGGTGCGACTGACTTTGACCAGCACTACTCCCAAACGAATCACGATATACCTTCGGCCCCCGCTATCTACCAAACTCCGCTACCGTTGGCTCTGTCTGCCTTCGGCTCGCCCTAGTATCAACTTACCACAAAAGGATATCTATAATTATAAAGACCGAGCACTACCCGCAATTTTTTCCTACGTGTAAGTCTTCCGACCTCTTCAAACACCTCATTTTCATTATGCCAATGCATTTAATGGCAGACGACGATACCATGTCTTACAACGGCAATTACAACAATCCGTCTTCCCGCTTCGAACAGCGGGAGCCATCACATCAGCAACAACAACAACCACAGCAGCCAGGGGCCCAGCAGAACCGTCAGCTTCCTCAGGATCCACCGCTTACTACTTCACCGAACTTTGACATCTTGGACTGGCACCCAGCATACGAATCCTGCCAGCGTTACTTCCTTGACCACGCACAGCATGAAGCTGGCACTCAGGCATTATGCGCATTGATCAATATCCGATTGCCTTACCAATGGCCCCAAAACCCTGTCATGTCATCAAATCCACCCCAAGGCTCAGGAGTCAGCCCTGGTAGCGGAGGTCCATCTTTCAACTTCAATCAATGGTCACGGCCAAACTCTTCAGCCAACGGTCGTAGTCCACAGCAAACTGCCGCTTTTGTATCTCTAGTTCCTTATATTCGACGTCTGGTCATCACTGGATTTGACAAGCCCGGAATTTTACATGGCTTCTTCGGCGACGCGTACCAGGCCGGTATCACACCCATGCAAGACTGCGAACGTCGCAACTATCTTNTTGCTGCCAAGCACGGTGGTTGGAGGACTTGCAAGAAGCAGTACGATATGAATCCTGAAGAAACGGTTCCTTTCTTGGNNAAGCCGTTACAGAGCATTCGTGACGAGGAACTGGAAGCTGCCGAGAAGAGTTGGAGTTCTTGGTTGGCTATGGAGGATTGGATGATTGGTCCTCGTGCGCCTCACGAGGATAATGCACAAGACCAGTCAAGTCAACGATCGAGACCTTGGGAGCGTGCAGGGGGTATGGCGGGATATGATTCAGGACTTCCGGATGGCATTTGACATTCTGGCACTACGCCTCTTCTTACACATGCTAGCGAAACAAAGTTGATATGCTTTGTTTTATTAGTGCAAGCTTTTCTTTTCAGCATCTCAGATTGCAGCGAGTTATATTTTTCTGCCCTAGAAAGGCACAGCAATTTGTGCGACACGAAGTTATACAGAGGAAGTTAGAGTACAAAGCATCGAATATCAATCTTCGCGGCCTCGTTGACTATTGACTGTCTCAGCGACTGGACCTCAATATTTCATGTCGTCAAGAGGATGAATAGTGACTTCCTCGTTTGTGCTGGTTGTCAAGCCGAGACCGTGCATCGTGCCTGCCCTGCCAAGACAAATCCATGAGCTTCAAACTTCCGACGATCCATGGACTTAGTCTCAACATCACAGCGTACCCGACATTCATGATTGTCGCATCATATATTCCTTCCCTATTTTGGTAACCCTCTCAGGAGAGTGGACTCCCGGCCATTTTTACGATGACTCCGGTATCTGTCGACCATGCCGCTGAGCAGTGGTCAATATTGTTCCGGACTTGCTTCACGCATCGCATACGTGTTTCCCAACTGAATAAGCCATTCGCTGAGCTATGGAGCACTCAGCCTATCTCTGGTTCGCAGTTGGCTAGTATCATCTTCACTTCTGGAGCTTCCGGCATCGATCCTTTAATCACCGAATATCTGGAACAAATTCTACGCGTGACCACCATCGATACTTGCGATATCCTTGTTGCCCTTCTGGCTCACTCTCGCTATGCGCTCAAGAAGAAGGCCTTAACTCGCACTCCTTTGAGCAATGCTTTTTTCGAACACGTCTTGTCACTCCTTGTGCGCCTAGTCGCGGCTGGTGAACGTCCCAAGACTGCACGTGAAGCCCGCAATGTTGTACGAGCTTTGGGAGAGTGCCTCACGGCATGCCGCGCTCACGAGATGGTTCTCCTCATGCAGAACGTTGATGTGATGCAAAGCCCAGATCCGCAAGTCGTCACGTCTTTTGAGACACTCGCCACACTCGCGATTGCGCTTCTAAATCACTCCATGGTCAAGGCCGACATAAGCGATGTATGGCCACAGACCATGAAGGACAAGATTGCATCCGCGTGCAGCGACTTTGCAGAGCTCATAAGTCCGTGGTCTCATTCGCAAATCGGTGCAAGGCTTCACATGCTGGCCAAGACTCCTCCGCTCGGTAAACCTGATTTCAGTACTGCAGAGATAGCATCGGCCGTCAACGACCTTCCAGTTACAAACTCACGGGTCGGCCTTTATGTATACTTGAACGCGGCTCTATGCGCGAGACCATTGACAGACGACATGTCGCTTTTCAACTACTTACATGCCAAGTATCAGAACGACACACAATCTCTGGTTTCCGATTTGATAGTCGCTTCTTTCGACGTTCTGGCAAATGCTTTGCAGCAACGACAATCGTCAAATCACATTCTCTGCTATCGTTCATTCATTGCGAACAAGCTGCCTCTGCTAATCACCACCTTGTCGGCATCTTTCGCACCTATGACATCTCAAGTATACATCCAGATGGCTCTGAGACGAGTTGATGTTCATCCATTCCCACCCTTGTCCTCCGACAATGACACTGCCAACAACGAGATCTTGAAANAGACTCGTCTCGAGTTTGTGCAAGCCTGCATCCTGTTCCAGCTTGGAAATGAACAAACTTTTCACTCGGTCATTGGCGAGTCGCCTGCTCCAATTGCTCCTCGAGTGGCTAGATACAACAGGCAGTCTCTGACTCAGCAATGCGTTGCCAACATACACCGTGTTGAAGAGTTGACTCGCGAGCTTGAAGGCACGACTGGCAACGCAGGTGCAATTTCAGGGGCTCTGGTTGACACAATACAACACCTGTACACTGCTAAAGAAACAATGTCTTTGCGAACGCTATGTAACACACTCTCTCGAAGAATGCCGCTGATGGACATTGTCTTCCAGTACACCCAACCCGCGGACGTTCTTTCCCCACTGTGTAGCCTATTGAATGAATGGAGTCATGACGAGGACCAGAGTGAATTCCAGCCAGCTTATGAAGAGTTTGCTTCAGTCTTGCTGCTTGTTCTGGCTGTTATCCATCGGTACCAGCTAACAGAAGCTGAGATCGGAGCATTTTCGTCGGACTCATTCATCGTCAAAATGCTCAACAACATGTCGACGAGCATAGATGTCAGAGCACTTGATGGTGATCAGCAAAAACAGCTTACAAAATGGGTTCAAGGTCTGTATGCAACGGATGAGCAAGGCGAGACGAACGGTATCAGTGATGAGACGATGTCACACTGCCCACCCCAGTCGTTCTATCTGTTGGTTCCCACGTTGTTCGAGCAGAGTGTGCAAGCCTGCAAGCTCATGACTCTTGCTGTCAACACGTTGAAGGGTGGTCTTGAGTTTCTGCTCGAGCCTTTCTTGCTGCCTTCGCTGATTGGAGGCCTCAGCTGGGTTACCAAACACTCTTGGGAGGATCATGGCGATACCGAGATCCTGCTACAGATGCTGCAGAAGTTGATCCGGCCAGATTCCATCTCGGGTGATGCTCAAGCAATGCATCAAACCATACTTGACATGATTGCGAGACCACTGATCATGTCTTTGCAAGGGCTACAGCAAAGGCAGCCGAAGCGCAAGGATGTCACTCCTGTCATCGAGCTGCTTCAGCCTCATCTAGACAGTCAGCGCTCAGGCAAACTCAATTCGCCCGAGCTCACAGAATGGTCCGTTACTGCCAATGGCGGTCTGCGGGCTGCTGTGAGCAATCTTGTTCGGGGCCTGGTTCAATGGTCTTCACAAGGTAGTATCAGTTCTATTCCCTACAACTACTCACACCGCGCCATCACTACAGCTCTGGGAATGCTTGGAGCAGATGAAGTCTTGGCTATCATACTGGACGTGGTCAGGTCACAGACTCGAAGTGGATGCGGCTCAGCGGCGCTTGAAGTTGCCACTGCCATTGTTTGTGTACCTTCGCCGTTGCCAGCTCTGTCCCAGACCAATGCTCTCATGCAATTTGATCAAGCTGTACCGCTGTCGGTGAGTCAACGACGTACATTGCGCCAGGCGCTGCAAGCAAGATTAGACGAACCTAAAGAACTTCTGGCAATGGAGACTGAGTGCGCAGAGACGCTAGTGAGACTTGGTCGTCGTGTAGAAGCGCAACTCGCTGTACCAGCACAACTCACAATGCCTATGACGAACCTTGATCTAGGCGATATGAATTTATCAGGCGCAGATATGCAAATGACAGGTGCAGAAATGCAAATGACTGCAGACACCACAACCGATTCAAATGGCGCTGCTGCTGTTGCCGACCAGGACTTCACTGCTGCTATGGATCAATCCCTTCAGATGGACACTACCAACATCAACGATACCAACTCCATGTCTCTCGACATGTCTAACAACCTCTTCACTGGCCAGGATATGGACTTTGATCTGACTGGTACTTCGCAGCAACATGGTAATGGGCAGATGAACAACGAGGATGATATCTTCGCCGGACTTGAGATGGATCTTGGTGGTGACGATTTTGATTTCTCCTAGTTTGAGGATTCTTTTTTCTTTCTTCGCGGACACAATCGGGACTGGAAAGGCTCACCTTCTTTTCACAAGCGTCAAGGTTACGATGTTGATGGTCGGCGCAAGGTATCGGGCTTCCCTCGGCCGAGTCGTGCTTTGGCTGTCGCTCTCGCCGCACAACGTCAGTTCGGAAATGACTTTGTGGTCTACAGTTCGCGGGAAGAAGCTCGTCTTGATGAGGAAGAAGCTGGTCCCGGCCAGGAACATTTCCGTCACATTTATCGGATCACCGACTCCCGGGCGACTCACTGGGACCTTTTCGCGCTGCAAGATCTTGCGGCATCTAATCCAGGGTTTGAAGAAACGTTTCGAGCAGAAATCCAAGCTATTTCTGCAGGGTTCCGTCAACAACTTATTGACGCCAGACGAGCAAGAACACAAATTCCTCATATTGCAGAAAGGAGACGGCGTTGGATCATCACGCGTGATCGGGCAGCTGCCAGAAGAGCTCGCAGACGACAAGAGCAGGAAGAGGCAGTTGAAATGGAACGGCAGCGTCGCGATCACGAATTGCAACAAGACTGGGAGGAGGAACGGCAGCGTGGCATCCGCCAACTGCTGGCGAGATACCCTATAACGTATGCAGCAGGACCACTCTATCACAGCAATGCATCTTCGATGGTAGCTCAAAGCCCCTCCTCGCGTCAACATTCGCCTCAAACCGGAGTCGAACAAGCTGTACACCGCATTGGAGCCCAAGCACACGAACGAAGTCGTCGAAGACGCAATAATAGTGGTGACTATGATGAAAGAATAAGAGATTGGGGCGCTTATGCGGGATATTGCAGGCTCTGGCTTCGTCGAGGATCAGTGAGAGAGAACGTTCGACCTTGCAGATGTGAGGGGGAATGTATAATACCGGAGTGGTTCAATTTGTTATTCAATAACCCGACTTGGAATTGAGTCGTTCCCGGTTTTTGTTACTAAATAGTCTATCTTTAGTATCAAGACACAACCTCAAGAAATACTCTCTTTTCATCTGCGGTGATTTCTTTTTCGTCTGTATCTCTTGTGATCGTAAGTTCTGCAGTTTGTATGATGCAGAGACGTGGTGTACATTAGCCATTTGAGCTCAAAGGGCTTCCTAAGTTCGACAGGTATATATATCGCTGCTTTGCATCCAATGGATTTCCCAGTTTATTCTTTTTTTTTTTCCTTGTTTTCGTCCTCATCCAAGCAAAGACTTGAAACACACACAAAAGAAGAGGAAGAAACTAACTCCTCCGAATTCTTATTCTTCTGCTTTTTTTTTGTTTCTTGTTTTTCCGTGGACATCACACTCGAGATTTTTGCTTGGTATGTTTAAGTGACATGGCTGACCACACCACATATTAATGTGGAAGTAAGAGGAAGGAGAAACACGACAAGTGAATCCAATGATGGCATGATAAATCTAGAGATGTAGAGTACGGATTAAAGTTTAAGACCTATGTGAGTACATAAAGTAATGACTAAAGTGTTTCGCCTTCTAACGAAAGCATAGCATAGCACACAAAAGGGGAATTCTATAGCTTTAGGGGGCAAGAGAGGAAGAAGAAGAGAAGAAGAGAGAGAGAAAGCAAAGAGCGACTGAGAAGAGAAAAGAGAGTAAACAGAAAGCGGGAAAAAAGACAAAAAACAGATCCAAAACACTTTGCACGCGCAGACAATAATTACTACAATAGAAAAAGCGAAAAAAAAAAAGACAAGAGAAAGGAAACCGAAGATAGTGACGAATTAATGATGGAGAAAGTAGTAATTATAATCTGTCTAGCCTCAATAGAGGAGAGAAAGAATGGAGAAACTTGATCTGGATTGGGATTTGTGGACGGATATTGAGGGAAAGAATGTAAGCAAGTAGTCTAGAAAAGAGGGAGATGGTAACAAGTACATTCAGAGTCTAGAGAGACAGAAGGAGAGAAACGCATCTCTCCAATGCATGAATATGGCGTATGCAAAGCACAAAACAAAACAATGCTGCTAATGCAAATAAGACACTTCTTTTGTTGATACCCAAAGCGTACCCAAAAGAAAAAGGAAACACTCAAGTAAAGAGGAAAAGGAAAAGGAAGAAGAATAAGTTAAACATGAAAAGAAACAAAAAACGACTCTTCCACGCTTATTCAGGACATAACACCATGACAAGAGTACTCATACTCATACTCCAGAATCAGAAGCATCTCCTAGTCCTGTCCAATATCCACCCAACTGATATCACTAGCTTGTGTTTTCCTGGGTGCTGCGTCCTGCTGCAGCTTCATCTGTCGCTCAGCCTGAAGTCGTTGTCTAAACGCTTCTTCGCGGTCTCGTTGTGTCATGGCTTCAGTAGCTGAAGGCCAGATGGTAGCAGAGGAATCTCTGTTTGCCTCGTCGGCGGGAGCGTGGATGCCGAGACCGGCTTGTGCGGGNGGCTTGGGTGCTTCGCGGTCGGGTGTGAAACGTAGAGCGGCGAGGGTGCCTGGGTGCAGAGCACCGAGTTTGCGGGCTTGGCCGGCGAGGGCGGGGTTGGGACGGTCGTGCATGGCGCGTGTGCCGCTGCCAGGGAAGAAACCGCCGCCGCTGTTGCCGCGTGCGGCGGGTCCAGGAATGGCGACTGCGGCTGGAGGACTCAAAGCGCGGCCAAGCACATTNGGTGCTTCAAAGCCGTGCATGCGGCTGTCACGATCCACATCTGCGGTGTAGGTACTTGATGGAGGGCGGGGGAAGGCGGAGGCGGAAACAGCGGGTGAGGGAGGGATGTGTACTTCATTCACTGCGGGAGAGTTTGGTGCTTTCCTGTTCACAGCTTGAGCGGTGTGGGTGGCGTGGGCAGTTGCGATTGTTGCGTCACCGTGGACTGGTGTCCATTCATCGCCGTGAGCGAAGAACTGTGAGGAGGCTATACTACTGCCAGAGTGACGTCTAGAAGATGCAAACGACTCACGGTTGCCATCAAGATAGCCTTGGCTCTCCAGACTCTGACCGGTGTGGAAGTCGGCACGTTGACCCTCAACCATGTCGAAGCTGGCACCTCTAGCAGAGAAGTCCTCAACGCTGTGACTGAAGCTGGGTCTACCCATACCTACAGCAGATAGGCGGTGCTGGGCGGCATCTGCTGGATGTAAGTGCACCTTAGGCTCTACATCAAGAGGTGCCACCATGGCAGAGGGGTTACGAAGCGACGGTGTGTAGTCAGAAACACTCAAGTTGGGCGACGCAGTGACCGATGAATTCATGCTCGGCGAGCTCTGTGCAGCAGGGTCATATGCGCCACCATCGGTCTGGTTTGCAAAGTACCTTGACCAGCCAGAGCTGCGCTTGGTCTGCATATCTTCGTCTCTGTTCTGGTTTTGCACAACTCTAAGGGACGACATTGCAGGTGGAGGACCACGAGCAGAGGCCAACTTGGGCGTCTGGCCATCCAAAGACTCCATTTCCATGTGATCGTCGAAGCTTCCCGGACTGGTGGGTGATCGCACGAGTTTGGCTGTGCTCTCAAAACTGCCCTTCTCGCCATTGCTTCTGCTGTGCTTGTTTCCGTACTTGCCAGAAATGATGGCCAATGAGCTTGATGAGTCGTTAGCCTGGTGGCCATATGCAGCCTTGGGAGATTGCAAGTCGGCATATGGGTTGGTGCTGCTATTCACCGGTGTCTTTTCAGATGCACTGTACTTGCTGAAACGTTGGCTGAAACGATCGGCTCCAAGCTTTCCGGCCAGGATAGCGAACGAGCTGCGAGGATCGTGTGAACCGATGACGGGCTTGGGCAACTGTGGTGGAGCTTCGCTCACTGTGCCACCAGCCTCTTTCATGAAAGAAGCACCTCTGTCCTGGAAACTCATTCTATCCGCCTTCTCGTCGCCACCTGGAGTCTTCATCTTCTTTTGCTTGTGACGTCTTACAAGGAGAAGTGCAATGACCAGTACCGCGAGAAGACCAAGCAGAAGACCCAACGTGATGCCGAGGACCTTGCGTGTGTGGGCGCCAGAGTCGTGGTGGTCTTTGGGTTTCGCGTCAGCAGATGATGTCGCTGAGGCATGCGCACCAGTCGAAGTAGGAAGGGCAGATGAGCTCGAGGCTGATGTTGTGGCCAAAGGCACTTGACCACCAAACAAGACCTGGTTGTCGACCCATGAGTTGCTGGTTTGGTTGAAGACATTGACAGGAGTGTCGTCGTTTCCTCCGCTGATAACAGCAAGAGTACCTTGGTCGTTTTGTGCGACTGAGTAATCCGATCTCTTCACCGATGGCGCTGAACTACTGTTGTATGCGGGCCAGTCATCCAGGGTCAAGTCGCGCTTACGTTTGTTCGAAGATGATTTGGTGGTTTCATTACCAACAGTCTGACCGGTGCTCGCGGGCTGACCATTGGCACCTAACAATACAAGCTGTGTAACCTCATTCGGTGTAGCGTTCGCGTCGTAAACTGTGAGAACCTTGCTACCATCGCTACCAGTCAGCAGTGCGCCTCTTGCGCCATCGGGCAGTGCTGAGGTGAGGTTAGTGTCCAGTCTGGTCCAACTGCTACTCTTGCTGAAAGTCCAGATGGCAGTGTTAGTTTGAGAGCCTCCTGCGAGAACAGCGGAGCTGTCGTCCCACGGTAGTAGGATAGGATCCGAGACGGTAGGAGCTTGCGAGGTAAATGATTCAATGTTGAAGGGTTGTTCAGTTGAGATGACAAAAGTTTGCGACGACAAGTCGGCACCGATTCGTGAACCGGCATATACAAGGATGGACGACGAGTCGTTCAGATATGCTACACCATGATTTGTACGTCCCTTCATATCTTCTGTGGGCAGGTCGAGTGTCTCCCAAGACTTGTTGGAGAATGTATAACGCTGTAGTCCTCCATATGAGTCGTCATCTGATGTGCCGCCGACTACGTATAGTGCAGCTTGTGACTCGTCTCCATTGGGTACTGCGCGGAGGCATGAGTGGCCAGCAACGGGTTTGCCCATATCCATTGAGGTCCATGTGGCATTCTCAACCAGCGGTAGAGCCTGGAACGAGTCGGGCGACAGGACGTATAGAGTGTTGTTGTCAACGACGGAGCAGTGGCCTGAGAGAGCCTTCTTGGGTAGTGGAGCTGCCATATCGAAAAGCCGAGAGGTATTATGGTATTAATGCGATGGTGTAGTTATTTCTGTTGGCGGGTGGGTTGAAATGAACGAAAGGTCATGGGCTGGAAAGTGGTGAAGAATCACAGAAGCATCATGCGGTGTCTAACGAGGGTGGTGTATAGTCTGTCGAATCCAGATAACGAACGTGAGGGTCTGGGTGTGAGAAAAGAGCGACGTGTCGGAGGTGTGCGATTTCTAAGGAAAGGGGAACCGGCACGACAACAGCAACGTTTGTTGGTTAGAGCGATCGAATCAACGATGGAGGCGACAGAATGCAAGAGTCGTCAAGACTTCAATCCAGGACCGGGAATTGTCTCCAAGCAGGTCGACCACACAAACAAGAGTTGGGTGTGAGGTGGAGGAGAGAGGTTGTGATGGTTCGTCTGGTCAAAACACGACAGGGGCGCTTGAGGCTGATGATNNTAGATGAAGCCGTCTGCGGGAATCGTCGTTGAAAAGAAACGGTCGCCGATAAAAGATGCGAGCCGACAGAAGGGAGTCCTGACTGAGTCGTTTGAAAGTCGTGCTGAAAGAGTGACTTGTGCGTGATGAGACNACGAGAGAGTGTGTGCTGACGAGTCGAATCAAGGCAAGCGACGACAGCCAAAAAGACAAAAAGGAAAAGACCAACCAATGGCTAGACCAGGCACAAGAGGGAGAAACCAANACGAAGGGGGAGGGAGAGCTTGTGTGGCCGTTGGTTGGCCGTTTGGGTCGCGCGAAGCAGCACGTAGAGAGAGACAGGAGGTGCCCAAGAGTCAGACTCGCACCTCTCTTTCACGCCACGCCATTCGATTTATCCATAGATTGCGCCCCCATCCACTATTCGACAGATGCATGGACCAACGCCGTCGCTCACCCCCAAATCAGCGCTTCTATTTTCTGCCCTCTTCTGCCATAAGATACAAGAAGAGAGGTGAGCCGGACGCCTTTGTCCTCGACTCCACTTCGAAACCCCCGACTCGCACATGGTCCAGAACTCTAAAAGCCAGTACTGTACATACACTGCCCATGCCCTCTCACTTTCCACCATAGCAGCATTCCCACACGCCAACAATGTCTTTGTCCGTTCACTTGAATCAATCCACAGTGCTGATTTTTCATCATCATCACGCATGCAAAGGGTCACAGAAAAAAGGCCCAGGGCAATGCATCGTAGATCCCCGTTCGCTTCCCCCCTTCGCGAAAAGGGAAGTCCAAGCTTTAGCCCCTGTGCACAGCGGACGCCTTTCCTTTTCGGCTCTGCTGAAACGCTGGAGTGATGATGGACGGACCCTGACCATCTGCTTCGACTTTGATTCTTTCGTTGGCGTTTGTGTAATCACAATCACATCTCGTGGCTTTGTATCTTGCTGTTCTCGCTATCGAGTAAAGAAGGATATATAAACGCCTGCATCTTTGCCAAACTATTGTTGATAAGCATCAGTTACCTCGTCGCGTGTCTCACTGCTCAGTAAATCCTTGCAAGCCCTTGGTTTCACACCAGAACTTTCTTCCTCATGGAATACGAAGAGGGTTACGGCTCTTGTGTCTTCGGTACACCACAAGGATCCGGTTACATGTAGCGTCGCATGGCTTTGGATAGTGTCTGTGCTTTTGGGGGAATGGAGATCTACCCAGGCGAGCCGCATGTGGGCTCTCTGATCAGATGGGATCTTCAGTTTTTCTCTGTCAGGAAAGAGCTTCTTGAGTCGTAAGTGTTATCTCGAGTCAAGAGAGTAAGCTCACGTATTTGAAGGTCATATGCCGATATCACGTAAGCTGCGGGGATGCAACACTCGAATCCAGGATGAATGGATGGACAAATGGATGCAATACTGTTCTTTCGTTTGCACGTGTCGGATATACAAGAAAGAGGCACATTGTAAGCGAGAAGGCCATATGTCTGCGACAGAGCAACGCCGATGGCTCTTTAAGCACTCGCTTGCTCTTTCTTCCAAGCCTGCGCCATCTGCAACAACTTGGACATCTTGGCCGCACTCTCGTCGTCGGCTGGGAACACATAGTCCATGTATTCCTCGAACTCGTTTTCGGCCAACTTTCTTCTCTTCTTGACGCGGCGCGGCATTTGCTTCTCCACTTTCTCCAGGTCCGCTGCAGAGCCATGTGTTGTTTCGAAGGATTTCCATGCATTGAGTAAAGCCACACGCTGGGATGAGTTAGTACTGTTGTAACGAGGCGAGCTGAGAGCAAACTCTAAACTTACCTCTTCCTTGAGATCTTTCTGTTTCATGTCCTCGTATGCTCGCTGGAAGATCTTGCGTGCCCGTAACTTTGCATTCTCGGAAATTGGCTTTTCCTCTTCGTCGTCTTCGTCCGCTTCCTCCTCGTCTGGATCTGGCACGTTGATTTCGAAATGTGCGTAGCTGATCCATACCTTGACGTGGCCTGTCTTTTCCAACAGACGCTCGTACAAAGCCCTTGTCCTGTCCCATTCGCCCTCTTCTTCTTCAAAGTCGATGTAGGCTTTCCAGAGTAGCTCTGGCATATCAAGGGATGGTTGATCGACAGCCAGTTCGAAGATGGCGCGTGTGCGATCGAGATCCTCAAGTCCTCGTTCCAGTTCCGCGAATTTGATCCATGCTTGGCAGTTTGCCGGGTTCCATTCAATGTGTTTCTCGTATAGTGTGCGACAACGCATGAATTCGAAGAGTTTGAGTTCAAGGTCGATGTAGCCACGGAACAGCTTGTCTTTGGGACACATACCGATTGCGATACCCAGCGACTTGCGAGCGGCTTGTAATTGCATCTGTCTGATCTCAAATTGTGCTTTGAGCAGCCAGAATTTGGCAAAGGTGAACTTCTTGTGTGGTATGAGCTTCTGACACTCGGCATATACCTGCCTGGCGCGTTCAATGTCCTTATTTTCCATTTCTTCCCAAAGTGCGTAAAAGATCCAGATGTAAATGTATCGTCGCCAGTGTCGCTTTTCTTGTGTTGGAGGTACTTGAGCAATGGCACGCTCGTAGACATCTCTTGTGCGCTCGACGTCACCCAGTGACTCTTCCAATCTCGCGTAGTCGATCCATGCGTCGTAGTTCTTTGGGTTCTCCTTGACCTGCTCTTCGTACTGTACCCGCCGCTTGGACAGAACGACATCCTCGACACCTTCCTGATCGCCGTATTGCTTCTCGAAAGTTGTGTAGTGCTTGTGGAGATTGGCAGACTGTGATCTGGGCATGCGATCCAAGGCGTACTTGTAGATGGCTCTGGCACGCTCGTACTCCTTGAGCTTGGCTTCATAGCGAGCATATGCAATAAAGAGCTTCTCGTCCATGAAATCCTCGCCCATTGTTTCGATGGCCATACCAAAGACCTCCCTGACATTGTCGCTTGTTCCACTCTCTTCCTCGAAACGAGCCCATTTGATCCAATTCTTGGGTTCGGGGTGGACGATGGTAAATCTCTCAAAGATTGAGCGAGCGCGGTCAAACTCTCCATATCGCTTCTCCATCTTGATGTAGGCACCCCAAGCGTCCTCAGTAGGCTCCCAGCTCATCCACCTCTCAAAGACCTGACGAGTGCCGGGAATGTTGCCGAGAGTTTCCTCCATGTAGACGTACTTGTACCATAGCTTGTCAATCCTAGGCAGGATTGTGACGGCTCTATCGAGCAAGTTTCTGGCGTGGTTGATGTTCCTCGTCTTCATCTCGGCTTCAATGTAGCGCAGCCATAGCGGGACGATGGTAGGGTCGACGTCGAGGGCACGTTCGAAGACGGATCTCGCACGACGGTATTCCTTCTGTTCGAGTTCCCAGGCGGCATAGCGCATCCAGTTGCCCATGTTGAGACGGTTGCGGCGGACATAGTCCTCGAACTCCTTGCGCTTGCGGCCCTGGTGTTCGTGGAGTTCCTCCAAGTCGGCAAAGCGCTGGGTAGGTGCCTGGAGACCGGGTTCCTGGCGGTCGACGGCCTCGCGCAAGAGTTGTTCGGCGCTGATCTGGATAGGCGCAGCGGCCTTGTTCTTGACCCTTGGGGGCCCACGCGACGACTCCATGATGGCGGACGGAGCGAGAGAAGACGGGTATAGACGGGAATATCAAGGGGAAACAGGCGCGAAGGCACGACAGGTCGGCCTGTGGTGGTGTGAACAGCGACCAAAGTTGGTTGTAGACCCGAGATGGACGGAAGCTTGAGACGATGCTGGAATTTGCCGACCAAGGAAGCGCGTCACTTTGCATGTGAATCGGCAACTGCCTGCACTTTCAACAAAACACATCCACAACCACCACAACCAAAACGACTTGGAAGCAATCGCCCGTGATAGGAAGGCGCCTAGCCATATAATCCTCGAACATCAACTACCGAACCCGCGACACCCCCACTCGATCAATCCGCCCAAGACATTTTCAAAATGGCGACTATCGCCGACGAGCTTCTGAATGACTTCGAGTCCGACGGCGAAGAAGAGAATCAGGAAGCATTCGAAGGCGACATTACCACAGACTCCATCTTGCGCCCACTGGACCACAGCGATGCGAACGGTGCCATGGAACTGGACGGCGATGAAGAAGGAGAAGACGAAGACGCCCAAGATGGCGACGCAGCACCCACCACAAACGCCAGAGAGACCGAGACCGAGGAAGAAGCAAAAGCGAGAGTCGAGAAGATGGACCTTGCTGCTGTCGGAGACGTGCGCAGCGTAGCCATTCTGATGAAGAAGCTACAACCAATCCTCGAGGTAAGCACCCACTCAATCCCCAACTCCAAACGTAATCATGATTTACATCCTTTGAACATAGCCCTGACCACTGCATCTTATTCGCAGAAAATCAACCACTACCTGAACCTACCGCCCGACCAACAAACGAAGAACATTGGCAACATCGAAGACAACCCCGAGTACAATCTCATGACCGAGGCCAACACCTACTCCACCTCCATCGACGGCGAGATCATCCTCGTCCACAAATTCATCCGTGATCACTACTCGACACGCTTCCCCGAGCTTGAGAGGCTGGTTCAGAATCCTCTCGATTATGCAAAGACTGTCGCAATCATTGGAAATGGCCCCATGGACGATGTCAAGAGCTTGTCAAATTCGACCGATAACCCTGTAGGTCAATCACTCCGCCAGGTCTTGGATGGTCCCACCATGATGGTTGTCACTGTCGAAGCAACCACAACAAGAGGTGTCGCACTCTCCGATTCCGAGCTTCAGAGCATTCGATACGCCTGCGACATGACTCTGCAACTCGACAAGGCCAAGCGAATCATGACCGACTACGTCCAATCTCGCATGAGCGTCTTTGCACCAAACCTCACAGTCCTCATCGGCTCGCTAACAGCCGCCCAACTCGTCAACTTCGCCGGTGGTATCAAAGGCCTGGCTAGCACACCTGCTTGCAACATTCCCCCACTTGGCTCCAAGAAGCAGACTCAAACTGGTTTCGCTACAAATGTCGGCGTCCGCCATCAAGGTTTCGTCTACAACTCTCCCCTAGTCCGAGAAGTCCCCAGCGATCTCAAGAAACAGGCCATGCGTATCGTATCCGCCAAATTGATTCTCGCCGCTAGAGTAGACAGCACCCACGGCTCTCCGAATGGTGCAGACGGCGAAAGATTCAAAGACGAATGTATCAACCGCCTGGACAAACTGGTAGCACCAGCACCAAACCGCGGCGCTCGCGCCCTGCCAGCTCCCGACGACAAACCAAGCCGCAAGCGCGGTGGCCGCCGAGCCCGAAAAGCANAAGAAGCAACCGCCATGACCGATCTGCGCAAAGCACAAAACCGCATGGAGTTTGGCAAGGAAGAAGCAGAAGTAGGCTACGGCACTGGCGATGGCACAAAGGGTCTTGGTATGATTGGCGCTGCTCAGACTGGTTCCATCCGCACACAACAAATCGATCAACGCACGCGTGCCAAACTCTCAAAGAAGAATCCGGGTTGGGGTGGTGCTACGCCCGCACCTTCGGGTCTGGCATCTACCTTCCACGGCGGCTTTGGCTCTGGCACTGCATCAGTGCTGCGTAACTCTGGTCTGAGAACCTCGGGCGTGGGAATGGGATCAGGAACATCGAGTATCGCGTTCACACCCGTCCAAGGCTTGGAATTGGTAGACCCCAAAGTCAGAGACGAGATGAATAGGAAACGAAAGGCGGATGAGGATAGATGGTTCAAGGGAGGTACCTTTACACAGATTGGTGGTACAGCGACATCCACACCGGGGGCTGGTGCTGGGGCTGCTAATGGGGGTTTCAAGGTTCCTGCTTTGCCGCCGCTCAAGAAGAGGGATACGGGTGCTACCAAGTAGATAGGCTTAGTCCGTAAATTGGTCTCTTTGAGTCTGCAATGGTTCTGAAAGTACGCAGAGCAGGAGCGACCTTTTTGGCTGTGAAGAAAGCAAAAAAAAAAAAAGCAAAAAGAAGCTAAAAGCAGAATTTGGATTAATCCTTCCATGCCATCCCCATTTCCCTTGACCCATGCCTCTGCACTGTGCTTCTCTTGTTCTGCCATTCTTCAATTACTGCTGCAAATACACGCATATACTCTCCATCTTCATGCAAAGTTTGACAGTCTCATCACAAAGCAATAAATGCTTTCGGTACGCGTTGCTGTGATCAACGACATCAGGATCCACGACCCACATCAAGGATCCAAGGACTGAAATATTGTTGTTTCGAAAATCTAGCATGCAGTGTCAGTCAATGTCAAACGTAATGGATACTTAAACAAATTGGCTAGAGATATCTATATAGGAAGGTGTGTAGCAAGAATATGGAGTAAGAAACCCGAGGTTAGGATGTCGATTTGATTTGATTTGATTTGATTTTCTCAAGCTATTTACCCCGCATTAGGATGTCGTTGTCAATGCATGATAGAAAAGATGATCAGATGGTCGGTCAGGGTTGTACCCACATCCATAATTTATTGCTTTCTTTTTGTTTTTTTCTTTTTCTTTTGACAAGCCTTTTGTTCTATCTTATCGTGATCACTACAGTATGTACGTTTCTGGGACCGAGGGCCATTTGTGCAGATCTGGTGTTTGAGTTAAGATGTTCTATTAGATTTGTTTTCGTGTCTATATTGATGGTTTTTGATCTCAACTCATTGCAAGGGCTGGATATTCTGCCTTCGGGGTAGGGCAAAGATATAAGAATATGTAGGATCTCACGCTTTCTATGCCTGAGCGCCAAGCTCGTTTGTGATCTTGACAAAGGCGTTCCACTGCTCTTTGGCAGCACCGCTGGAGATGCACCAGCGAGCACGTCTGACACCCTCCTTCCAGCGCAAGCCACCAGGGCCACGTTCAGTAATGACCTTGCCATCGTCTCCTGGGCCCATGTTGCTGCTATCAGCCTCGCAGATACCAGAGGTGACCAGGAGAGCAGCAGTGTTGATCAAGACGAAAGTGAGGACAGGGTCTTCGGGGTCGATCGTTCCGTCAAGGATGCTTTGGAGAATGACAGCGTTCTCAGCAGGAGACTTGCCGCCGGCGACAAGACTGAGTGGAACAGACTTCAAACCCAGATCCTCGGGTGAAACGGTGAAGGGTACAATGTCAACTTGAGCGTTGGCGGCTTCGGATTGAGGCTTCAGCATCCAGCAGTATGAAGGTCCAGCACAGCTCAATTCATCCAGATCCTCGGCACCACAAACGATCAACGCCTTCTTTGCGCCTGTCAGACGCATCGACTCGGCGAACACAGGACCCATATCGCGCTTTGCGACTCCCAAGATGCGAGCCTCGATCAAGTCGCTGTTTTGTACGGGGTTGGCCAGAGGACCGAGCAAGTTGAAGATTGTGCGGAAAGGCAACTCTTTACGAACAGCAGCGGCGTGCTTCATGCCAGGATGCCATTCGCGGGCATACAAGAAGGCGTAATTTGTGTGAGAGTAAATGTCGGGGAGTGTCTTCTCGGTGGTGGCAGCGATTACGGGTGCGGGAGAAGCGGCGAGCAGGAGGTCGGCGGAACCAGATTTTGAGGTCGAAGCGTTGTTACCGTGTTTGGCCATCATGAGCAGGGCTGAGGCGAGGATACTCGAGGTTGTGCTGACGTTGTATGTGTTGTGGCTGTCACCGCCAGTACCGACTATGTCGCACNNTGTAGAGATGTAAGTGTCTGATCAGAGGAACAGAGTCGCATGGGCATACCATACCAGACCTCCATGGTATTGGCCCTCCTTACGAGCACGTTGTGACACAGCCTTTGCGAGAGAGTCATGGTTGACTTGAGCAGCAGCATATCTCATAGAACTGGCGCATGCTGCGAGGATATCCGGACGACGATCTAATTGAGTTGTGTGAAGTGCATAGAGAAGACAGCCTGTCTGGACAGGCGATATGGCGTTTGCGAAAATGTGGGATACTGCAAGAGCAACTTCTTGTGCTGTGACGCTGAACAAGGTCGTGGTGGGGTCAGCCAGCCGGAGGAGGAGCGGTGATATCGAGATTGCTGCTTTGGCCTCGCTCATTGTTGCAATTTCGTATGTTTCTGAGATATGGTCGGAATACAGGACAAGATACACTGCTAGGCAGAGGCAATTGGAACGAGTGGAATTGACAAGGAAACAGCTATTGAAGCACCGAACAGTATGACTGGAATGCGGCCTCGATGTCGGATCTTGCCGAATGGAGAAAGAGCAACTCTCAGAAGTCCGTGCGCGAGATTTCCTGAAGATGTGGAAGTCGCGCTGAACGGCAAGACCAGACTATCCACCAGTCGCTCTTTCCGCACATCACACGTATGTTTGAGCGTCCGTCGCATGTTACCATGTACCTCCCTGCTGACTCTCTCCAGCCACCATCACAATGCCGCCGAGGTTACGACTCCAAGCCAGCAAGCGCTTGCGCCTGAGCACATCCAACGCCGCATACCCTTCATGTCAATGTCGATACGCCTCTCTGGCTGCTGCCACCACTCCCGCTCCCTCAATTGAGTCGACAATCCACGCCTCATCTCCCATTGCGCGCCATCCTCCTACTCAACCGCCTCCATACAAGCCTGCCGAGTTCCGCAAGACCCAACTCCACCGTATCTACACATCCCTGATTCGCTCTTCACCCTTGATGCTCGTCTTCCAACACAACAATCTGAAGGCTTCCGAGTTTGCTGGAATCAGAAGACAACTCAACTTTGCTCTGGAGAAGGTCGATGCTGAGCTGGGCACCGAGGCTTCACCATCTGTCATTGGCAGATACACCGAGCTGCAGATTGTCCAGACCGGTATCTTCGCCTCTGCAGTCAAGGTCGCCGAATCGTTCAACGCAGAATCTTTTCCCGACGCAGCCAGGACGCATCATCCCCAGGACCCGGCCACAAACACTTCGACCACCCTCAACACAAAGTCTGCCAGCCCGCAGTACACACACAGCTTGTCAAGAGAAGCATGGAAGGCTGCTAGAAGCGCAAAGCTCCAGACTGGTCTTGAGCCCTTATTGTCCGGTCCTTTGGTTGTCCTCACATTCCCCCTGGTCTCGCCTCAACACTTGAAGGCTGCCATGACCATCCTCTCTCCTTCAGAAGCTTTCCCCGCTCCCAAGAGAAAGGCAAACCCTGGTCTTTACGACCCCACCATCCAGAGCGGTCTTCAANAGCTCATGCTTCTCGGTGCCCGTGTTGAGGGCAAGGTCTTCGATCTTGACGGCACCAAATGGGTTGGCGGTATCTCTGGCGGTCTGGACGGACTCAGAGCCCAGCTCGTCTACATGCTGCAATCTCTGCCTGCCACCCTTACAAACACACTCGAGGGTGCAGCAAAGAGCTTGTACGTCACCGTCGAGAGCAGACGCCAGGATATGGAGCCAAAGGAAGACAAGCCCGAGGCAGAGAAGGAGGCATAGATCATGTAGGTCTGACCTGTTTTGTATTACCACCCACAAATCTGTACAGCTTTTCATCTTTGCAAAATGATATCCATTTCTATCTTCATTGCACATCCCCTTGTTCTCAATCAACGTGGTCGTGAACTGTCACTGTGTCGTTTACTTATCGTTGCAGCATGTCATTAGCAGCCACTCATGACGATGTCATTGAGAACGGTATCCGGTACATCAACTGCTCTCAATGCATGCCTCCTTCGCGTAGCGGTACGGCGATGTGTGAGCTTCGAACATGCACAAACGCTTTCAGATCAAGGATATGACCAAGGAGAAACGACGACTTATCGTCTCCTAGTGGGTGCTGCCCTGTTTCTCGATTGTGCTTTGCCCTTTTATAGCTATGCACACTCCGTGCTTCGGCTGACAACTATTGCTTACAACTGCATATGCTGACTCGACTCAACAGTGTCCGTGGTAAAATCGTCTTGTTCGAGGTGGGGATAGAGCAGGAAGAAGAAGCAGCCAACGAGCTTGCCATGTACACATGGTCAGACGACCAGTTTCGTGGCTTTGCTCTTGCGCACGAGTCTGACAGAATCGACTATGTCAGGTCCTGTGCTGATTTTTGAATCTATAGTGCTACGAACAAGACGGGTATTTATGATATGCCCAAGGATCCTTGGCCCAAAAATTCTCGTCATTATCATGTTCATGCTTCGTATCCCAAGATGGACTCTACTTGCTACATCAAGAGGCGTCAGGGTTGAGCCGCCCCTGATTTCGCTGGTTGGACCGGAACGGCTGGGTACAGTATAGTCTCGAGAAGAGTTGGACAGTACAGCAAGCTAGATTGGGAGTTGAGACAGAACAGGGCATCAACACCACTTTTCAACAATCGCACGGCAACCACAATGTCGGGCTGTACAGATTTGTTCTTAGCCGAGGTATCCATCTCTCCGTCTTTCCACACGAATATGTGTACTGATTGTGCTCCGGTCACAGAAGTCGCCCCGGGTTCACATTGCTCGTCTTGAGATACGAAAAGGTTTCAAGACCAGAGCAACAGTTCACTGATAGCTCTACAAGTCACAAGATCTCACTCCACTTATCGTGCAGCTCTTCCCCTACTGCCTCATAACAATATCCGAACAGTCACGCAGTGTCATCAAGCCTCCATCTCAGCTCGGAGCGTTATCACTTGAGTCTTCATTGGAACATCAGCTATTCATTAGCTTCGGAGCACTTCTCACTCCACTTTCAAGCGGGCTTCTTACTTTCACCTCCATCCTCTACCCACTACTTAAGACCTCCTTCTCGTGTCAACTGCTCTTCTTCTTCTTCTTCTTCTTCAACATACAGACTTGGTCATCCCTCAAGTGCCACACCAAGATCGTCTGTCGCGTGTGTCAAACTTCATCTCTCTCGACTCAACTTCTACTCTGACATTTTGTCACGTAGTAACAACTCTCCATACAGCACTTGCAGCGCCTCAACTTCACCATGGCGCAACCAGACTCATACGCCGCAAACGCTCTGCTGCCATCGACCACATCGGCAACCAGGAGATCTGCTGATGAAGACGCTTCGCCAAACAAGCGCCATAAGACCACACAACAGAACAATGACAATCCCATCTACAAGTGAGTGACAGCAACCTGAAAGGTGATCAAGACTATACTGACGGATGCTTCTAGCGTCGGCACTGTCCTCNTGCACCATCGTGGAACTTTTGTGACACAGGTTCCTCTGGTCAACTTCAAGACATTCGCTCCGGAGAAGTGTAGCGAACTCCTCGAGATCTCCGAGAGCGAGAATTACCGTTGGATAATGCACAGTTACGATGCGTCCGCACTTACCTACAAACATGATGTCCAGCATTGGGCTAGCTGGCTGACACACCATGATCCACGTGCCATCGTCAAGGGCGAGTCTGGAGATCTCAACAGAATCAACGTTGCACTCAAGGCCGCCAGGGAGATCAAAGACAACGACTTCGAAGATGCTCTGGTTGACGCCTTGATGTTATGGCTCCAGGCTGGACAACCCCATGGTAGTCTCAATGTCGAACGGCTTCGCTCACGCGACGTTTCATTCTTCGAGAATCATGGATGCTTGACACATCTGAGACTGGCTCTGATCTTGTATCATGACACAGCTGCTGTACGACCAGAAGAAGCCTTCCTGTGGGAAGCCCAGGAAGACCAATTCTCCCATCCACAAGGCACACGGTTCTATAACCCGTACGACTCGCCTTATGATTCTCAAATCCGCGAAGATGTCACTGGGATGGCTTGGTATTATTTCTCGAGAGGCGAAAGAGAACCACAGGATCCTCTCAAGTTGTCCGCCGACGAGTTCTGCCAGAAGTACCATTCTCATCACGAGAAGAACTTGCCCTGCTACAGGACCAAGAAGTTGCCGGGACAAGACAGCAACTAATAGGGCAATCTCAACTCCGTCTACTGCGGCACCCATGCAAGTTCTTTGATCATCTCATGCTTGACTTGTTTGCTAACAGAGTTTTCCAGGACATTCATGCCATCAGAATCTGTTACGACAGCAACGACTATTCTCAAATATGTGCACCTTATACCAGAAGCACCTTTCTTTTGTTCTTTCATCTTGGAGACAGTTCTCTAGTCTTCCTTTCTCAGCTCTTTTCCAGATTCGTACATGATGACGGATCAAATATGCCATTTCAGACAGTATCTTATCAAAACATCATTATCCCCATTCTCCTCGCCGAATTCCTATTGCGTTTTTTTTTAAGCATATCTTCATAAGGAGGAATATCTCGCAGGTACAAGACTTCGAGCTGGTAGGGACATGAAAGGGATTCGGAGCATGAGCGTTTGGGCTCAGATTTTGGGCAAGCTGAACGATATAGCTGGAGTATCGTTACCATGGGAGACAATATGAGTTTTTCAACAAGGGTCGACTTTTGGTTAGAGGAAGTGACGAATTGTGCTGCTGGGTTGTAACCTCCCGTCCCGAATTGACACATGAGGACGACCCCCTGCTTTATTTCGTCAAATACACTGGTTTGGCATTCTCTGCAAATTTACTCAACCCAACAATTTGATTCTGCTAAGATCTAGCACACTACTTTCCATCTGCGCCGACTCGGAGTTGAATTGGTCAGCATCTTTAATCTATCCCTCCACTCACATAGCTACCTCCACGATCTCACTGTTCCAAGCCTCATTGCTCCTCTTGATCACCCCAGTTCCATCATTCACTCACACATCAAGTCGCATCCACTGTGAGAGCTTTCAACTCACTTCTCTCCGAAGATCTCTCACCATCACACCTCCCGACTACTTAAACCTTCCGTCCCACAGCTCTCAACTTCTCTTCCTCCCTCGTCCAAGCCAAACCAAACAAGAAACACAAACCCAGCCTTCGTCTTCAGCAACGCCGGCGATGATCACCAAGTCTCGCTCCTGATTCTGCATCTCGTTCTGGCAGCCGCAAGCCACACGATCTCACCATCATCTCAACACAAAACTACCACCACTTCACATCATCTCCGCACGATCTCATCTCGCATCGAGAAGTTTCCCTCCAATCGTCATCTCTTCCTCTATCAACACCGAAACAACAACCGTTGATCGGCTCCGGCGCGCATCACCATGTCCTCGGACCCCTCTGTCACTGTCCGGGCTGACTCGGGAGAGCCGCCTGCCAAACGCCAGAAGACCTTTGATTACGGGTTTGTCCAAGGATGTAAAGTTGGGAAGATAATTGCTGATATCGTTTCGTCAGACNCGGATGCTGTTTTGCTCAGAGTTGACACCCATTGGGAAGAGGGTTACTCTGGAGAACATTTCAAGACTGTTGCTGTCGTGAACGCCACCAGATTTTACAGGGCCACTAAAGATCGGTTTAGGGCCTCGCAAGCGAGCATGACTCACGACGGAACAGAGGTGATGGACGCTGATATGACCGTCATTATCTTCACCAGAGAACACGAGCCTGTCATCAGGGTTCTAGCTCAATGAATCCATGAAGGTTACATCGACGAGGCAGTCTTGAAAGCCTGCGATGGCGATGATGCCGACGAAGACCATTGGATCCACCTTCTCTTCCAGGTCATCGAGTTTTGGCTCAGGAACGACCTTGATCAGTCGGTGCACGACCAAATGGTTGACTGCTCGATTGATGGGCTTAGAGCGGAGAAAAACCAAGGGTCCGACATTGCACATGCTATCACAACCGCTAACAAAACTGTCCACGAGCTCCCTTCGGATCGAATCCCCATGCTCAGAATTGGCTCCAACATCGTTGATATTCTGGCATGTCTCAGCTTGTACCATAACAGACAATCTCTTGGTCCCTGGTACCTTCATGACCGATTCGACGAGGAGGATCTGGGCTCAGACATCGACGACGAAGCGTACAGATACCTACTTGCTGGCTGGGGAGATGCTTCAAAATATCCGCAAGATCCCCTGAAGGATGAGTTCGATCAACACTGTCGCTACCACCTGCACGGAGACGAAGAAACTTGTTACAAGCGAAAGTAGTTTTGAAGGGCTTGACATTGCCTCTGCGGTGTCTCTTCACGTTTGCTCAATCACTCGACTTTGTGTCACAAGATGGCCATAAAGTTGCTACAGCTCGAAAGAAAGCGAAACACAGGAGGGGAGAGAAGGATACGGAGACAAAGAAAGAAAGAATGAAAGTTGGATGATGAGAATGCAGACAAGGCAGTATCGAACAAAGAAAGAAGGCCAGAAAGCTTCTTCTTGTTTCTCAACGATCATCTTCATTTGGAGGACAAAGGTAGTGTTTCCGGAACTCAGGGGTAGATTGAAGATGGACAAGAACCTCAGAACAAGCATCATCACGTTTTCATAATGCACGAGCAATATCATATCATATTAAAAGGAAGCCCTTTTGATCCTCCCCGCGTGCTGAAGACAGCCATAATGTAGCCATCAAATTGCACAATGATTTAGTCTAAAATATCGTTTCCACAGAGCTGACTAGATGTCAAGCGCCCAAAGGCGTAATGTCACTTGTCGATACGTGGTCATGCACGACACAGAAAAACCACAGCTACCACGTGTATATCTTGACCCTGGTTCACACACGCTGCGATAGGAAAAGCTTATCATTGTTCTTGGTAGGTATTCGCGACGCGTTTCGACGGCTGGTCTGCGCAAGCCTTTTGAAACGGCGCCCCATTGCGTACGAGGCTCTTGTGTCGACAACGCCCAGTGCGATCAATTGCATCTTCTGGTGCTATCATATGATCACCGCTGGTATTCCGGGAAGCCCATTGTTCCTGGCACTGATGCAAGATTTTCTCCATCTTGCGTTCCAAGTTAGCCGTCAAGATCTTGTGATCGAAGGCAGTTCAAGAGTTCGAAATCATGGTCTCGCACCACTTTCAGCTCGTAACATCACCACGAAGAAAGCTTCTTTCACAGCCATGCTGGGCAAAACAATATGAAGAAGAGCCTGTCAGAAAAGGCCACCACGAAAGAAGTAGCAGCCAAGGAGCACAATCGCTTGCAACAATGCAGACGCAGTGCCTCAGAATTTGGCCAGGGTCGTACTGTCTACATTGCCATCATCGCAAATGAGATTGCTGAAGCAGAAGAGGCTCAAATCATCAATTTCAATATCCTGTATCCCTCCATAAAGCGATGACCAGAAGATCGAGAGTTAAGATCAAGTTCCTCGAAACAAGGTTTGTTCAGGCACGGCAAGTGCATCGTGCCATTGAACAAGGTTCGCTCAGGCACCCACCACGATGATACCCGAGGCGGAGCCGACTCGAAACTTTCTCCACAATCATCTCTGTTCTTAGCATCCATAATACTGTACCTTTCTCCTGCCTCTCTCTTGCAAGATCTCGCATCGCATGATGTTGGACTGTAACGCAGGATTAAACGCTGGGTCCCGTTAATCAATAGCTCCAAGTATCACGGTCATATCGTTGCACACTTATGCGAGATGTTATCATCATCGATGAGCGACCGCGGCTTCGTGACTGGTTTTCGGAGTAGGCTTGCCAGCCGAAACTGTATCCAACACCAGGATACAGAATGACATTATCCATGCCTCTGACTGGCCTATAGAATCGAGCTGTAGCTGCATGTCGAAAAGTATTTGTTTTTTTGCTACAGAACTGCATTCCTGAATCATTGATGTTCTTAGTCTGGGCTCTGCCATCACATACCTCACACTAGAGATGCAACATCGTGGTCAGCCACAGGAATGCTCTCTTTGGTCGAGCGGAAGTACTTAAAGCGATGCCTCATCGCTAACCTTACCATCGTCATTGATCAAGGCACTAGCTATTGATCTGACAAGGCCATCAGGCATAAGATCGTCCATGCCCTCGCGCGCTGAACAACCTTCTCTTCCATTTCCCTGTTCAGTCAAATCATAATGGCTTGGAAAGCTACTCTCTTCGTTCTGCTCTCTCTAACAGTATGTGCTCGTACGCAATCAATACCGACTGCAAGTCAGTGTCCTAGTGCGAATGGCCAGATAATCACGGACAGTAATGGAAGCACGTATCGCGTCACCTGTTCAGCAGACAACAACGTTGGCTCGTACGCAAACACTGGCGCAAGCTCCTCATATCTGGATTGTATGACTGCCTGCGATGCCGCAGCGTCTGCTGGATGTCAAGGCTTCACTTATGTCGGAGGCACAAATGGTGTCGGTTCTGGTAATCTTTGTTCGACACTTGATGGATGAGACAATGCTGATTATAGTTCTAGGCACTTGTTGGCTGAAGAAGAGCATGAGTAGCTATCCTTCTGCCCCTAACAACTACATCTCCGCCTCTAGGGTAACGAACGCTCTCTCGTCGTCGAAGAGCAGTTCCGCGTCTACGTTGGCCACTTCTGTCTCATCATCCGTTCCCGCGGTCTCTGTCTCATCCTCATTTTCGGCCATTCCTGTCTCATCATCAATCTCGGCCACAACCGTCGCAGCCTCTGCTTCGACCGGACTATCATGCCCCTCTTCGAATTTTACAACTTTTGTAGACACTCAGGGAACCAATTGGCAGATCCTGTGTGGGTTTGACACGAGTCCGGGATCTTTCGGGTCGACCTCTGCCTCTAGCTTTACCCAGTGTCTTGCAGCTTGTGAAGCTACCACCAATTGTGTGGCCGTCACGTACGTCGGTACTGCATGCTACTTCAAGAAGGGCTTCTCAAGCTTGATCTCAAATCCCTCAGCGAGTAGCGCGTTTATGGTCAACACTCAAAACTATCCAGTTCCTGCTTCGGGCAATACTAAAGCAAGCTCGGGCTGTGGATCTGCATTGCCAGCCGGTGTGCAGTTAGGGNGCTCTTCTACTACCTTCCAGATCACATCCAATGGCATAGTCAGATCTTTCAACGTCCATGTGCCTACATCATACAAGAACAACAAAGCAGCACCACTTATTGTTGCTTACCACGGTCGATCGAACAATCAACTATCCGTCGAAAGTGATTCGCAGCTGTCAAGTGAGACTTGGAACCCTTATGCTATCTCTGTATATCCTCTGGGCATAAATGTAAGTCTTGGCGGTTCTACGGGTTTTCATCGAAGCTAACTTGGATCAGCAANNCAATGGGAAGGCGATCCAGATACTGTGGGAGGTAACTATGACGACCTTGGTTTTACCAGCGATCTACTCGATTACATGTCGAGCAACTACTGTATCGACACAAGCCGCATGCTAGCTGCTGGATTCTCCAATGGTGGAGGATTTGTTGGAACTCTTGCTTGCGACCCAACACTTTCCACCCGCTTCAGCACCTTCGCAGCAAATTCAGGTGCAGAGTACACCAACACGACAGGCACCTGTAACCCTCCCTCTGTACTCACCAACACAATCGTACAGCCAGTCTGCTCACCTGGCAGATCAGATCTACCAATGCTCGAGTTCCATGGCGATGCAGACGGCACGATCCCGTACCCCGGTGGACCCAGACGAGGTTATTGTCTGCCAACAGTACCACATTGGGTCACTGATTGGGCTCTCAGAGACGGACTATCGAGCTCGAATGTCACTACATCCCTGGCCGGTGGCAATGTCACCAAGTACGAGTTTGGCGCTTCGCAGGGCGTGCAGGGGTTGGTGACTCATTACAAGGTCGCTGGATGGGGTCACGCTTGGGTCAGCATCAGAGCTGGAGCACCGATTGACGCTACGCCGATTGTGATGGATTTCTTCTATGCTCATTCTGGATAGAAGAGCTTCTCTTTTCTGCCTTCAAGATGATATCCCTGATCGCGTAATCATAGATAATAGATTATCGTGGAATTCTTGCCTGAATTTCCTGGACACGCTCGCAAATAAATGTATGCGCTAATTTTATTGCTTTCGTCCCAACCCAAGTCTATCGCAATCATTCAATAAGCTTGTCGTGTGCGAGCATGCACATTCTTGTCTTGGCTGAGGCTCTGCGATGTGACTGTTCAATGACTCACGTATAAGGTCGACTGTCGACCCGTACAGTCCGTGATGCTTGAAGTCCTTGTTCTTACATTCCAGAAACCATCGACACGGATACTATCAGAACAGAACTTCTCGCTGCTGGAGCCATACCATTGAACAGCCCATCATGTCTTCTCAAACCACACCAAGTCCAACAATTGCCAAGAAACAGTATCATGGGACCAACTCTCCATGGGAAGCAAAGATCGGCTACTACCGCGCCATCCGACGAGGCCCCTTCATCTTCGTCTCTGGCACCACAGCTGTCGATCTATCCTCCGATACGACCAGCCCAAAAGTCCTCCATCCTGGCGACGCAAAAGCCCAAGCCCTCATCTCGTTCAAGGAGATCATCAAAGCCATACAAGCACTTGGAGCTCGAGGGGCAGAAGATATCGTTCGCACAAAAATGTTCGTACAAAGACAAGAAGATTGCGCAGCTGTAGCAAAAGCATTCACCGAAGTCTTGGGAAAGCAGAATGGGAATGGAGTTGGATGTGCTGCTACCATGATTGTTGTTGGTGGATTTGTGGATCCTGATATGCTTGTTGAGATTGAGTGTGATGCTATGGTCGATGGGATTGAGTAAAGTCAACATAGTACGAAATTGTGCAGAGTCACAAGGGTTGAGCGTGATTGTGCAGAGTCACCAGGGTGTATCGTGATTTTGCTTGATGGCATAGATTTTTACTTGAAGATGTTTATAAAGAAAGCAAACAAGACATCATGGCAATCTAAGACACAAAACTCGAAAATCAGCAACATACAGAGACATACGAAATAGTTGAGAGCAGACATGCTCGTCCTTTGAGGGTGCAACAGTCGGAGCCACCACCTACAAGGCAGGGACACCAGCTTGAGGACCCAAGAAACCGCACTGGCCGTTACCGACCTGGTAGCCAGCACCGTTGGTGTTGTAGTAGTGGAAACGATCGCCCCAGCTCTGTTCGACATCACAGCGGCCATCGGTGGTAAGGTAGTAGCAAGCGCCGCCCTGAGAAATGGGAGCCTGAGCAAATCCAGCACAGTTGTCTGAAAGGGCGCATTGTGCTAAAACCATAGTCAGCGACTGAAATAATGAACAAGAAGGAGTCAACCTACCGCAGCAGCCGTACAGCTCATCGCGCTCTTCCTCTTATCGTCTGTCTACTTCTTCGAGTTTGATGAGATCGAGTGCTACGAGTTCCCGCAAGTCGAGCACAGCAAGTCTGCGTGCTTCAACAACATCATCCTCGAAGAGGTCAAGCACCACAACAAAATCAAGCACCTCAAGTTCGCGTGCTTCGAGCAGCACAAGTGCCCGCAGTACCTCCAAATCTAGTACCACAAGCTCCCGGACGACATCGGGGTCGAGCACTGTGAAATCTTCATCTAGCTCAAGCATCGCAACTTCACGCTCCTCGTCTAAGGCGAGCCTGATCAGCTCGCTCAGCTCCGCGAAATCTTCCTCGCATTCCTTACGTTCATCAGCGAAGTCCAGCAGCCAAAGCTCAGGCACGTCTTCTAAATCAATCTCAACTTCTCGAACTTTGAGTAAGCTCAGCACTGCAAGTTCAAAAGCTCTGATACATTGCGAAGTTCAAGTCAGAGGACGGCATCCTCTACTGACAGACTGAAGGCTCTAGTAGCTCTTGCCCAATCGATCGCCAGTCCTACACCAGGCTCGATTAATGGTACCAGATCAGCAACACCGACGTCACACTTGGCCACAAATTCAACATCACGCGAGGCGTTTGAAACACTCATACCCCCTACTGGAACCGGTAAATGTGGTGTTATTCCAAGTCCAATGCCTTCCGGTATCTCAAAGTACTTCTCTCAAGTGGCTTGCGACAATGAGTTCGACAAGCATGTTGACGACTTCTTCACTTATTTGAGAGATGTTGCAAATCTGAACGGTGCCCTAAGCAGATGGGCCCCAAATACCGGCATTACTTCAGCCGATATTCCTGAGGCTGGAATCTCAAGAGTGCTCACTCGAAGAGGCATCGAAAAGCGCGGTTTCGGCGATTTCTTGTCAGGTGTGGTAAAAGTGCTCAAATTCATTGTGGACGTGGTTGTCGCTGTTGTCAAGGCAGTGGTGACAGCGGTACGCAACCTCGCCGAATCTTTGTTGCCGACTTGGAATCCCAGCGCCTCTTTCACCATCCCTGTGGCGCTTGAACCAAACTCAAGATTATTGGACGAATGCTCTTGGGGCGATGGAGGTCTCGAACTCTGGAAGTGGTCACCAGAGGACGGCGGAGAAGCCTTTGACCCTCTAAGCTTTGATACATTGGCCAAGATGACTGGTGCTGATCAAATCTTGACCTTCAAGGTCGATGGCGTTGAACAATTGCCAGAGCCTGGTGTTACTGTCTGGTGTGTAGATTGCGGCATACACGGTTCGATTTACACGACGGGCTCAGCAACCTTTACCATCATCGGACCAACACGCCTTAGTCTCCGCCTCCGTGGTGATTTAAACGCAAACGTTCAGATTGGTGTCGACGGCTTCTACAAATCTGAACGCCCCATCCTGGAAATTCCACTGACACCCGATATTGGTTTGCCAGGATTTTCCATTCCAGGTGTCATCACTATCGGTCCATATCTGACTGTCGACCTTGTCGCCAAGATCGAAGTTGAAGCTGTAGGTCAAATCCTCGCTGGTGTCAACCTTGACTGGCCCGAGATGGGCATGTTTGTCGATTTTTTGCTTCCAGGATCTGCAAAGAGTTATGGCTTCTCTCCTATCGTCACACCTGTGTTCAAAGCTTCGGGAGAAATCACAGCTACCGCTTCGCTCGGCATTCCCATTGGTATCAATCTTGGTGTGAGCGTTCTCGACGGCATCTGGGAAGAATCTCTTGCTCTTGTCAATACACCTGCCATACAGGCTGTAGCTGAGTACTCGGCCTCCTATGACAATGAGGAAGGTGTTCAGCTGGGAGGTGATGAGTGTGCTGGCATCTACTTCTACAGCAATGTTGTCAACTCTTTGGAGCTTGAGGTTCCCCTCGTGGGCGCTGTAAGTCGACTATCGTAGCCAATCATAGGCGGAGCTAACATTGAAATCATAGTTTGAGTTGGGCAAGTGGGAAGGTCCCAAATTCATTGAGGGATGCGTCAATGACAACGGCGTCACGACTGTGAGACAGCAAGAACAGCCAGCAGTTGGAGGCAAGACCCGAGCTGGTTGCGACCTGGTCGACAACGTGTTCAGAAATGCCGAATTCGACAATGGCCTCTCCTACTGGACCCCTTTGGTTGGTCATGATAATGCCGACATGGGTGTTCGAGCCGAAGGCACGAATGGCGAGCTGTGAGTTTGGTCGTAATATATCGGTACAAGAAATCCACTGACGTTGTCATAGGTCCGTACACAGAGAGACCTTCGATACTGGTGGCTGTTTTATAAAGACTTGCGCGTTTGGCACATGCCTAGCAAGTGGTGAATGTGATGGTGGTTGCGATTCCGCTTGCCCGCAACCTCAAGGGCCATGGAAATTCACTGTATCTCAGGTTGTCGACCTCTGCACATACTCTCAGTACAATGCAGAGGTATCTGGTCGCATCGAGAGGGCAGTGATCGCACCAGTTGCAAGATCAACAAATGGTTCATAGAAGGTGCTGATGCTAATTCGCAATGGTACAAGAACGACATCACCTTTGACAGGCCAATCTTGCCGAAGACTTCGAAGAACACTGGTAATCTGCCGATTGGTCTGGGAGATAGCCGAGGTAGCCAGGTGAGTCTTCGCTTTATTGGACGCATGTGTTCATGAACTTTACTAACGTTCGGATAACTGTTAGATTTCTATAACTATTCCTGCGAAGGACAATGCGCCTTCATACAAGGTCAAGGTGGGTATCGAGGTAGAGTGCACATCTGATGACTTTGATGTTCGACTCGATGACTTCAAACTTGAGCCTGAGTAAGTTTTCAGTTCCAATTTGTGGTATTGCAACCCGCTGATTGATATCGCTACAGCCCCTCGGTATTCACGAAGCGCGACTTGCAAGCGCAGCGGGTGATGATCGTTCACCCTGACCTCGCTACGTTTCATGACAACGCGACTTTGCACGCGAGACAAGTGCCTGCAATCGCTGAAGGTACAGCCATTCCTCAACTCTCGGGGGCAGGTTCCATACCTGCCATTGCAAAATCTCAAGCAGCACCTGTAATCTCTGCTGGTAACGCGATTCCGACCATCGCAGCCGCCAATGGCGTGCTGGTGCTCGGTCAACCCCAGGCGGTACCTGTGATGTCTGAAGGTATACCGATCATCCAGGCTTCCAACGCTGTACCCGCTATCGAAAGTACCCAAGCAGCACCAGTCATGTCCGAAGGACATGCCATACCCACCATTGCAGCCGCAAATGCCGCACCAGGGGTTGAGAAGACACAAGCAGTGCCTGTGATCGGAGCTGCCAACGCCGCTCCAACACTACCACCCAACCTCGAAGCCCCATCCTTTGACTACGTGCCTGGCGGAAACCTTGCTGGCGGCACCTACACTCTTGGTGCAGCAGTTCCAACCGCGACTGCTGTCTTTATCGGTGAGAACAAGTACAAGTTCCCAACCTTCGAAGATATCATGAAGTCAGCGACTGTTGGTGTTGCAGGCGCTGTGCCGACTGCAGGATCTGGCGAGCCATTCACCGGCTGGACTACATTGACCAACCTCGACACACGGCAAAAGTCAAGCCTTGCAGCTGCAGAAGATGGCAACTTCTACATGGTCGGCAGTACTGCATCCGCGTCTCCGGGCACGCAGTTCTACAGTGAAAACTCTATCGCCTTCAAGGATGAGTCGGAGCGCATGTTCCACTACTACCCGGATACCATGTCAGCTTATGGCGTATCAAGACTTCGAGCTTCGCAGGTATTGGATACACCACTTGGTGCAAAGCTCATCACTCTCGTGCCAGTCTCGACACCCGAGGGTGTTGTTGCTTATGTGGCAGCTGATACTGATGGGCACAACTACCTGTTGGCCTGGTGCACAGCGCCAAGATGGCAGGGCTCCAAGGTCTTCCTGGTCAGTGACTACGAGAAGGGGCTGCAGACTTTATTAAGTGGTGATGTGCAGTGGATCGTGACAGGTAACAATGTCACAGAGTGCGATCCGCTGGTGTTGACGAGCCAGGCAGGAGGTTTGACACCTGTTTAGTAATGTTTGATACTGTGGAGGGGATGTGTTTCGTTACGAATTGAATGACTTGACAACAACTCCTCGTGATCAACCCGTAAGAGTATGTTTCAAGCCGAATGCCCCTATGAGTCATGTACTCATATGCCTACAACTTGCAGCCCGATGAGCACGATCATAGTCGCAACCAGAAGTCCTCCCTCTACACCAACGATGATTCCAGTCGACCACATGACGGCCCAAAAGACCGATGGTGCATTCGGCGTCAGCCCTGAATCATCATAGAGAGCAAGTAGCATTGTCAGGAACACATGCATGAGCGCGAAGAGGGCAGCCGCTCCTATGCATAAAGCCTTCTGATTCTCGGGACTGAGGTTCCATCGTGTGAACCGTTTGACGGAAATGACAAACAATCTCGGGGCCAGCATACAGAAACCTAGCGTCAAGAAGAAAACGATGCTGTCAAGAAAGACGACGCTGATGAGCTGGAGGAAGCCATCGAATGAGTCGTGAAGGAGTGGTTGATGAGAGTCAGGATTTGCTGCGTTCATCTTCGGGGAAGGAGCAAACAGCGATCTGGTGGCAAACGGCGAAAAAGGTTGTTCAGGTTGTTGTATAACAAGTCGAATGTTGGACGTTGGTATGAGGTTGGCACAAGATCCTGTTGGTGATGTCAGTTCCGGGTCCTGCGGGAATAAGATCGACCGTTTACGCCCGTAGTACGAGGCAAAGGGGCTTGGCAGGGTGTTGGTCGCGCCCTTGGCATACCTATCACTACCAACTGCTTCGCTCGAGTCAAGAGCCAAGGCAGGACTAGTATGCATTTCGATCCTGCAGTGACATAATTCATGGGTGCCTGATCCTGCGAGGACCCGGTCGCGGTATGCTGTGCCACGCCAATGTGTCTATAAGAAAGCTAATCCCCACCCAGAGTGTAATCGATGGTCTACAGGTTGTGCTTCACAAAAACAGCCAGCTAAATTAAATCTCCGACCCTTGTGATCCTCAAATCACCATCAATCATGTTGTCAACGCCTTTCACATCCTCGATACTGCTCTTGGCTTCGTCGGTTTTGGTCAATGCAGCAGGTTTTGCTTCTCGCGAACCTTCCCTTCCATCTTGCCAAGGTTTCAGCATCACGATCAACGAAACTAGACCGCTGGAGTTCGAGGATCTTGTCATCTCTACCGGAGTAGTCTGCAACGTCAGCGGAAGCAACTACTCCACGCCATGCAGCGTAGTCAGCGGCGGCTGGCCGACCCTCCAGAATTCAATCACGTACACCAACGGCTCTAGAGTGAACGACAGCTATGCTGTCGGCTACGCTCTTTGGAACGCCACCGGTGATTCCAAAGCTCTCTACGGAAACAGCATCGCGGCTGTTGAGAATCAGACAGTGACGTTCGAAAACAACACCAGCGGACATGGTAAGTCACTGTTGTGTTGCACATTGAGTCAGGATTGCGGACCTGGAGCATGTGTTTGCTGACGTTGGATCTTCTCTANNGTTGTTTTTACTCCAATCCACCGCTGTGTGAGTGGCCGTGTAGAGGGCTGCCCAGCAAATGTCTCGATTACCGACGGTACTGAAGTGAACGCATGCTACCCCGAGTTCACTGACAGAGTTGTGTCTTTCGAAAGCGCCCCAGGACACTTTGAGAACATTACTGTCCTGGCTGGCTCTCGATCGATTAATGAGACTATTGCACAAGCCGCTGCGAACCTCAAGCAGAACCCGAACAACCATCCGCCTTACGGCCTTGTGTCGAGTGGTGCTGATGCTGCGATGAAACTAGCTGGGGTGGGACTTACGAGCGTCTGGGTGATTGCAACTTTCTGGCTTGGACTATGAGATGACATAAGTTTTAAACAGCATGACTACACATGAATGAAGCCATTGCGATTATACCCATGACTCGATCAGGTTTTGCCCTTATCCAGATCGCTTTCACTCTCCGCTGACGTCAAACAACCCTTTCCGAAGTTTCTGAGTGAGAGTCTGCCTTCCAAGATATCGAGCTTGTGCTTCTCTTCTTTCCGTAATCTTTCCTCGCTTGCTTGCCTTTCTTCCTTTGCCAATTCTTCTGCAGTCACTTCGAATTCCAGCCACTCCTCGGGGACTTCGAACTCGCCCTCGTTCTCGAATGAAGCATACATGGCCTCACTGATGTCCTCGGGGACCCCTTGTGCTACTCCAACACGGAATTCCCGTCCATTTGCCAGACTTATGCGGTCGGGCTGCTGACTACCCTTAATTGACGGAATTTTCCACTGGCCAGTGACAATCATTTTGAGGACACTCTCAGACTTCTGTTTGAATTCAGATTCCCGAAGAGCAAGGTAGGCCTCATCACCAAGTTCGGCTCGCACACGCTCATGCTCGGCTTGCCATTCCGTAGGGCTTAGGTCTTCGATGACGAATCGAACCAGAGTAGGTTTGCTGGTCAGATCGACCTCAAGGTCCGTATCCATGTCTAGTATCTCCTGCTTTGAAGCTGCTTGTGTGAGAGACGCCAGCAGAGTTAGTGCGACGAGAAGGACAACAAGAGGTATATTTCCTATTCTGGTCAGCTAGTGCTTTGAGGAGACTTGCCATGACGAACTTTGCAAGGTACGCATGCTCTAATCGTTGATGAATCACAGTATGGAAGCAATTCAAGCGGTCGTTCACTGAATGGAAGGGTTGAGCTTGATTGCGGGGCTAGATGTCACTTTATCGTCCAAGAAAAGAATCCTTCCGCGAACAACCGTGATCGACAATCACGTGCACTATCAGAAATCAATGGATGTAATGCAATCGCAGAGCCATCAAGTGAATGGAATCCTTGATTGTTAAAAGAAATCCTAGCTGGGTCTTTGGATAAAGAACTAGCCCGAGGCCTTCTCAGTTTTGTGCAAGACATCGAAGGAGGAGGCTTTAAGAACGGTATAAGATCTCCTATATGTAGATCAAGAGAAGCTTCACGAGAACGACCCAAGATAGAGTATGTATCCATGTTACCACGAGTCGACAATGCTGAGATGCTGACTTGCTCTTCCATGATAGTTAGAGCTAGTACGGATAATCTTCGGTCCGTGAGTGAGTTTTAGCCTGGTACGGAGCTGTCCCGCAACCATCATCTTGTTCTCACTGACCTCAATATGACTTCTGTTGTTTCAGAATCAGAGTCGAGCCCATGGGGCTGGGTCATCTTCGCACCTGCTATACGCCCGAATCTGAGGATCTCTGGGCAAACGCAATCCGTCTTGTCCATACCTGGCTCGATTACAAAACCCGCCTTGCTCTGCAAGAACGTGGTGAAGAAGAGGAGCACGAAGAAGTGATGGCACAACTCGACAACGTTCTCATTGAAGATCCATCGCTGGAAAACGCCTCGTTCGACCAATTGCGATCGCGCTTCGCAACTTGGCTGGCAACTCAGGACACCGATAACCCAGACGGAAACAGATATCTGCCACTACAACGCTTCAAGGAATTCATTGTCCTCGATAGCAGCGCTCTGCAGAGCACAAAAGATGCACCAAGCCCGGATGATAGGCAGGCCGGCGCGCATGCAAGGCTGGCGCCATACGTCAAGGTTGTCGCAGCCCAGCACTCAGACGGGGCAAGACTCGCACCGACAAGGACCGCAAGGTCCGGCCAGAATGTTGATGAGGACAGACTCTTTCCGGGATTCATGAGAGTCTCAATCATTGAGCTGCGCTTGTTTTGGGAGGAGAGCTTCTCATATGATCTATTGGAGCTTTGTCCAAGGCGCTTTACCGACGAGCCTGATTGGAAGAACCGATTCGATGTATTCTAAGGAACCTGCCAATCACATGGTTCCAACACACGTCTTCACTACAAGTTTCGCGCGTCAGACCAAGACTGGCTTGTTAAAGAAAGAAAACACACAATCGGCTGGAACAGGTGGCTTTTATTGGATATGATTTTTCCGATGCGTTTCTGATGAAAGTTGTCAATGTCGCACCTGTCAGCCTCTTCTTGTGAGAGACCTAGTCTACTACCTCGAAAGAAAATTTAGAGAAACCCGACTCATAGACCATCAGATCCTCCACGAACTTTTGCAACAACTCTCTAGAAAGATCGTGTGCCTGAAGCTCCTCTCGGTCCATGGTGAACCTCAAGACTGGAAGTGCGTGGGGATGTTTATGTACCTCTTCGACTGCCGAGATCTTTGACGACTTGCGAAGTTTGACAACTGAGATTCTAAACAAGTTGCAAGAGATTCTGAACAAATTGCAAGATTCGACGCCGCGATACCCAAGCTTCAGCAAAACTTTTGCCCAGGAGACAATCTGCGATATTCGGAGTGAATGAGTTCTCAAGGACAGCAACGGCTTACGCGTCGGCAGGTCGAACGTGAAGAACGACATTTAGAGCCGTCCCGCCTTGGGCATCAACAGCGTCCCGTGAGCACCCATTCTCGAGCAAGTAAGAAGCGACTTCGCTTTGTCCTTGTTACATCTTATGTGTATCTATCCCGAGAGCTTTCCTCTTATCTCCAGGGTTCTTGTCGCTCTGCAATTCCAATTTTCTCGGCCATCAATCATTGCCAGGCTTGAGGAAGAGCTTTGTCAAAAGCGGACTGCTGCTTAAAGCCTCTTCTGCCCCGGCCTGATCTGGGTCTTGTTTAGGATGTCAGACAGATCGGCCAAAAGAGATCTCTGACTAACGAAAAACTGGCTTCCCTTTTCGCAACCAGTCGTCCATGAATGTCGGCCAGTTGTGATTTTGGTAGCCGTGCAGTTGCATGCAAATGAACTCAGCCTTGCAAGGAATTGAAGTGATCTCTCCTTCTGCATCGATTCTGTAAATCACAAGCCAGTCTTTTTCCTTGTACAGCCGATGGTCCAAGACCGCAATAAACTGCCTGTCTACAAGGTTTTCAAGAGGAACAGTAGCAATGAATCTGAAGGCATCCTCAACTGTCTTGCCGATGAAGGAAGAAACCCGATCAGTTGAGATGCGTGGTTTGGCCGAGCCGTCTGCATCATGTTGAGGCAGTGCTTCGAGATTATTCTCCGCCAGCCAGAGAAAGTAGCCGCCAGTGAGCTTACGGTTCTTCTCAAGCACCTCGTCGAGNTGTCTGCAAGAAATGTTATGAGGAGTTCGAATATCGTGCTATGCAGAACTTACAGTTGCAGGCACCTCATCAAGTATGAACAGAGCATTAAAAAGGTGGTCACGACGGAGATCGGGGATTCGTATGCTTGTTTGGCGGGCTTTTGTGAAAGGAGTCGTAAGCTCATCGTGCTCGAACTCAACTTTTGGTCGAGGTGTTTGTTTTGTACGGGGCATCGCTTTGGGTGTACCGATTCGAGATGACCAGTCCAAGAAAGATTGTGTTGGACGAATAAAAATAAGTAGGACGAACCAGAAGATTGATCATAAGGTCTTCCAACGGACAAGAGCGTTTCGCTAGGTTCTCAACCCAAAGCAGGTCCTCACATCATGAGTCATGTGTAGCAATGTCATCGACAATAATGACAGACTTTGACCTTGGCGGTTTCATCCTGCGGGATCCTGGAACAAACTGCTCTTAGGCCAAATCGATCAGATTGTTGCATAGGAATCACTCCAGGGTCCCCTTGTTCCTGTCATAACTTTAGCGCAATCACAGCAGTGAGGCGTTGATGACTGCTCCGATCAAGTTGAACTACGGATACAAGGTTGTCGTGTCGTGAAGAGGGAAAATTCATCTTCGTGTGTAATGCTGGATCCATCATCCCTTACAATCTGCATTGTAATTATATCCTGTTGTGGCATCTTATAACAATCTACAGATATTGGAATTGTATGGAGCTCAGACAGAATGCAGTTCGAACCTCGTTTTAGATGACAATACAAATTGGACTCCATCCACAGCAACCACCAATATATATTCGCACACTGTAAACAATGTTTGGTTGCTCAGTGGGCATGAAATATATTCAGAAAGCGTTGGCCTAAAGGCTTGAGAATCTTCCAAGACACACAAAGCCTTTAGCAGTCATCTCTTGCTTGACTTTAAAAGTATATCAAACATATCATCCATCACCATGATGCATATTTCTGAGCTGTTTTACCGTTCTTATGATGGCTTGGATGACGAGGGGCCTGAAACGAATTTGGAGGCGCCACACATGTAGCTATTCAGCTTGTGGTGGCTGAATGTTGAGCTGCATGCGGCTCGGCAAGGCATTCAAGCTGAGATAGGCCTGACGAACTCACTGAAAAGGTGCGGGCCCGTTGATGAGCTTTAGGCCAATCTCCCATCCAGTATTCTCCAGAATTGACCACCGATCATCATGATACGAACACGGAAACCATATGCATCATCCTTAGTGAATACTACCGAAGCGCTGGATGAAGCTCAACAAGATTCGCAGAGCACCTTGATCCCAGACGTCCCTTGCGCCAGCGAGGCTGCTGGTATCCAAGCTGCGAAAAAACAACACGAAACACATATTGAGGCAACGTCGATCCTCCCTGCCACTGCACAGTCTCTCTGCCACGCACTGTACGACTATTCGCCTACAGGACCCACAGAACTGACCTTCCAAAAGGTGACCTGATCGAGTGTCTCGACGCGAACGGCTCGCAGAAATGGGTTTGGGGCCGTGTGTACTCGGACAAAGCTGAGACTCAAGCTCGCATGGGTTTATGCCCTACAAAGTATCTCAGCAAAGTCGGTCCAACAGATCCTGCATGCGTTGATGCATTGGCTCAATAAAGCGGTGTCAGGAACCACGTTGAGTCAGAGTCTCCAGGTACTTTGCACGATACAATAACTCAAAGCAAAGATGCTTCGATTGAGAAGGGTCTTGAAGTTGTCGTTACGCAGGACGCAGCAGAAACCCTGCCGCACGCCGAGCATGATACTCCGGGAAACCTTCAAAGATCACTCAACATCCTCCAGGAGAATCTACCTGCCGAGGGAGAGCTCTTGTGCATGGAGTATGTTCGTGGTGCTTGTCGTGAAGGCGACGGTTGCAGATTCTCGCACAACCTCAACACAAAAGTATGCCAGAGATTCTTGACGGGCACGTGTACAGACAACGCATGTAGCCTTCTACATTGTCGGTTTCCCCGTTCGATGTTTGAGGATGATAAAGATCCGAAGATAAAGCCGCAATCGCAACAACTCTCGCTGGTGACAGAACCTATCGTCCTCGGATCCATTACTCGACAGGATTCTGAAATACGACCTGATCTATTGTTGCCACCAGGCGACGGTCTTTCGAAAGAATTCGGTACCATCGGGAAGATGCTGAAGAGAAACCCATTCTACGGTACAGAATCACGATTTTTCCTACCAAGCCCATCCGTTCCTCTACAACAACTGCGCGAAACCTGTTGCCGTAAGCTCCGGGATCAAATATTCGACGCAGGCAAGGCCGATCTCTTCTACACTCTGACACGCAGCCACGACAGCACTCAACCAAAGACGGCGGTCTTGAATGTTGCCGCTTTACAGCATATGGCACTTCATCAGCTGCAATACGACATCTCCTGCTACGTTAGTTTGATGTACCGAACGTCGCGATTTTACATGGAAATCCAGGGCTTTCCACCGCTCGTTGAGCTGATGAACAAGTATTGTCAGTACTTTTCACTGTCTGAATACAAGTATAGAATCTGACTATACCCAGGCGACACCATACGCAATCTCGATTTTATGAAGCAATGCGCCACACGCGGCTACGAGGAAGACACTTTCCTCATGAAATCCTCCCGTGCTCTCGAGCGGAGTATTCTTGAAGCAACAAAGCTTATACCGAACCATGTACTACTTTCCGGCACTCTACCTCTGCCAAAAGACCATGACAACCCACAGCTCCGTGATATGGGCCGCAATGAAGCTAACAAAGCAGCCTACCAGAAGAGCTTACTCCTGCGCTTTACCATGGCAGGAGTGGGTGCATTATTACTCGTGGTGCCAATGTTGATCATGGCAAATATCCCTGGGAAGACGGCCAGTTTGATCACGACTTGCACATCGTTGTTCATCTTCTCCGCACTCATACCGGTGGTGACCGAGCTGAAGCCGAATGAGATCCTCGCCACCACTGCTGCATATGCTGCTGTTCTTGTGGTTTTTGTTGGCACAAGCTTATCTTCAAGTACGGTCGTCAACAGTCCACCTGCCTGAACAGCCAGATATGGTCATGACTGCAGGCTCAAGATCTTAATTTGGATATATCAATCATTTTATGGCGTCTGGAGATAGTCTCATACTGTCGTCGCATGGATGTTACCACATTCGCATCTTGCCATCCGCTCGTAACTTGGACCTTGCGGTGCGTTTCGCTAAGCATCTTGACATCGGTGGAATAAATTGGAATGATAGTATAGACAACGGGGACGTCTTGAATACCGCTATGGCGAGATGCAGCGGCAACAAGATAGAAGATGAGGAACTATCTGATCCTCCCGCCGGATGAAGAATGTCGAAGACCGCTTCGATCAGGCTGTATTGGGAGTGGGACGCTGTCGTGTCAGAGGGAGCAAATAATGAGGGCCCCGGCATCAGGTATTATCTCGTGTTGAATCAAGCCATATCTGATGCGTCAGTCTGGCAAAGATTGGTATAAGAGAAGGCTTGCGCGTGTCTCGATTCCGAGCAAGCGAGTGCTCTGCCACTGTGATTGGGGAGACAAAATGCTGGTGGAAAGGAGAGGTGTTCATTATAATATGGTCGAAGTGATACTAGTAGTCTTCGGTGTTTACACAGAACCAGAAATTGTTGCGACGAGAATAGTATTCGACTATATGTAAGAGGGTAGAGAGTCATTGTTCAATTCAACACTGGAGAAGCAAATCTCAGTAGGTTCACCGATATCACTAAGATTAGTCAAGTCATCCTATCTAATCCTTCTTAGTTTGCTCAGACTCCTTCTCGTGGTCATCGCCTCTGTTCTGGCGGGATCCAAGGCTCGAGGATCCACCAATACCAATCTCTAGATCATTGTGGACCTGCAACCCCTCAAGCACAGCGTTATGATCTTCGGGCACGGGGCCCGCCATATCGTCAAAGAAACAGTACGCACCCTCGCCATGAACGGCGTCGTCGCCCAGGAGCATATCATCCTCGCTCATGCGCAGCGGCACGCGACACACGTACTTGATGAAAAGCATGATAATCGAGGTCCAGACAGCGTCCCAGCCGATGATGAAGAGAGCGCCGACTATCTGTAGCCACACTTGTTTGCCATTGCCGTCGATGGCGCCACCAGGGTTCGTGTCGCCGAAGGCGGCCACGCCGGGGACGGTTGCAAAGATACCTGTCAGGAAGCCGCCGAGAAGGCCCGCGACGAAGTGCGTATGCGTGATTCCNTGAGTGGTTGTTAGCTTGGTGTAATGACATGGCTGCAAGAACAAGAGATACATACCCAAAGTGTCGTCGACGTGGCGCTTGAAGATGAAGGAGCGAGTAGCGACGATATTCATGCTGACCCAGGGAATGGTACCGGTACAAAAGCCGATGATGATGGCGCCCCAGCCCGCGACGAATCCAGCGGCGGGTGTGATGCCGACCAGACCGGTGATCATGCCGTTCACGGAACCGATGATGGAAGGTTTGCCAAAGAAGATGATGTCCATGCATGTCCATGTGAGCAAGGACATGGCAGTGCAGATGTTGGTGTTGAGGACGGCGGCGCCGGCATCAGGAGAAGCAGAGTATGGATCGCCACCATTGAAACCGTTCCAGCCGACCCAGAGGATGCCGGCTCCAACCATCATGAGTGGGATATTGTTAGGAGTGAAACTCTCTCTGTCTTTCTTGAGACGAGGCCCGATCCAGTAGGCGCCAACAAAGGCGGCCGTACCTGAGGATAAATGAATAACGTAACCACCGGAATAGTCGAGAACGCCTAGTTTTGTGGCCCAGCCACCACCCCAGATGCTGTAGGCGCCGGGACAGTAGGCAAAGATCAACCAGAGTGGTACGAATATCATCCAAGCCGTGAAATTCATGCGCGCGAGATAGGCACCGGCGATCAGAGCGAGGGTGATCGCCGCGAAGACGAATTGGAAGTAGACCATCGTTGATTGTGGAAAGTTTTGACTCACGCCGGCGGAAGGAAGAGTCGACTGGATCAATTCATCGCTCATTCGGACGACGGTATTCGGAACACCCGCAATTGGAAGCATATATTCACCGAATGCGACCTTATAGCCCACAAGAACCCAAATGATGAGTGTCATAGCGAAGGCGTAGAAGACCNNTAGCCATTCAGTCAGTGGTAGGTTAAATATCGTTTGGAGAAACAAAGGTACCATCATCATGCTGTTGATGACCCATCTTCTATGCACCAGTCCAGCATAGAGAACACAGAGACCAGGTATACTCTGTAGAGCGACAAGAGAAGCAGCAGTGAGCTGCCATGCGTTGTCGCCAGTATTCAGCCAAGCTGGAGTCGGATTTCCCAAATCTGACATCTTGCAGATGAGCCGGTATGGACCAGTAGAGCCCTGTGATGCGAAACAAAAATGAATCTGACCCAAAGGGAATCTCACGGGGGATGTCGACAAGCGATCTGCAGGGGAATGCACCAATTTATAAGGCAAAGTCTACCAGGACTACTCCCAAGAGCCTCAGCCAGCAGGAGACCAGCCACTCCCCCCAAAGTATTGAATATGAGCTCCAACAGAATACACAGATACCACTGCCACGCGTATCCGTACATTGGTTCACGATCTCAATTGGAGAGGAAGCGACCGGGTAGCATCTAGACATGTTGGAATCCGAGCCAATAGCAACAGGAAAGATAACAACGTTGAGCGAAAATGAGAGAGCGAATCATGGAAAGGAGTCTTATCGCGAGGTTCAGAGCACAAGGGTGGGATGCTGTGGACATGCAAGGCATACATCGTCGCTGCAGTCATCGATCATGGGAACCTGCAGACCAGCATGTGCTTTGTATGACCAACAACCATGAGTCGATATCCTCATGAATGTCTTGTATACCCAGATTGGCAGGCTTGATCAGTGGAGGTTGGAGTCGTCAAGCCCGGCGCTGGAAAACAGTCATAAGCGTGACGCGATGAAATGACACCGGCGCTAGTCGCGATATCTGGACGCCTCGAACAGGGGATCAGCTACTTGAGTAGAGTTCAGTGGGATGATCCTCCGGAGATCGCTGTCGTGGCCGTTGCATCCCACATTTCAAGCTCGCTAAGCTTTCGCCTTATCGCTGACGAATGCTTGATTGCGTCAGCTTATCATCTTATCTTCATTTCCAGACAGTCTACAGACAGATAACTTGTTACATATTAATCACGCATAATCGACTTAACTCTCATCCTGACTTTGAAGTTTGAGAACATCCAGTGTTACGGGTTCTCAGAAGTCCAAAGGGAATTCCAACTTCATCGAAGTTTTGAAACGTACTCTTTGTGCTTCCGAGACGAACATCCATATTCATTCTTGGTTAACCTTATCTCTTCTCGCTTGTAACCTCCCTGAGGAGTGAGGTCACAGCAACGAGAAAGCCTAGGCCTGAAAGGCCCATTGCAAGATATAGCGCTCCATGATACCCTGCTAATACATTTTTGCCACTCTCGTTGACAGTCCTCTCGATTGTCCCTGCGATGCCTAGACTTAATGAGATTGAGTAGTTTACTACTGTGTTGACGACTGATGCAGCCATCCCCTGTTGCTCTAGAGGCATACTGTTACTCAGGAGTATAGTACCGGATGGAAACGACATATCNCTACTTACGCGTTAGTCAGGCAAAGATAGATGAATCTTAGATGAGCTTACCATTCCCCAAGGCATGATTAGGACGGCGACGAAAGTCTGCGCCCAGTAACTTTGCTCGACGGGCATGAAGGCCACGAGCGCAGAGCCGATCAGAAAGGCCGCCATGGATATCAGCATGATCATCATGGGCCTGAGTCTGGCCAACAAGAGTCCGATTGTAATTGCAGCACACAGTCCGGATATCGCAATAGGTGCGTACCATGCGCAAGCAAGTAGAGGTGTTGCGTCTCGCAGGGTCTCAAATATCTGCCAGAGATAGTACACCCAAATGCCAAAACATCCCCAACCTGCAGACAAACAAGCAAGCACGCATAAAGTTTGGACAGCAAACTTCTCCAGGTCCAACAATGGATGTGCCACCTGAGTCTCGATGTAAGCAAATAGGGACAGCAAGGCAACCGAGATTATGAGGAAGATATAGTTGTAAGGCTCCTGCCAGCCAACTGCGCCGGCTTGGTTCCAAGCAACATTCAGGAAGACCAGGCCGGCGATGCCAGCTGCGGTGCCATAGATATCAAATCTGTCTCGAGGTATCGGCCAGGCAACTGGATCGTCTGGTGGGATCACCATGAAGCTCGCTCCCGAGAGCAAGAGGCAGTAGAAGCATAATATCCAATACGCCCAAGGCCACCACGCGAGCTGTGCCAGCAGACTTGAGAAAACAGCTCCAAGCAGAAATCCACCAGGAGCTGTGGCACCAAAGATACTGAAGACCATGTCTTTACGTCTCCCAGGCGGGTACGTACGGCCTAAGATAGCCAGCGCGTTTGGCAAGAGAATTGCAGGCCCAATTCCCTGCATCGCACGAGAAATGTCGAAGAAGATCTGACCTGAGTATACAGCGACCCCAGCAAAAAGGGACCAAAGGGCGAACCATAACCAACCTCCGACGAACAACCTTTTGTATCCCATAAGATCGCCCAGACGTCCTGCGAAGAGGATGAATGTGCCAACCGTCAGACTGTAAGCTGCTGGAAACCAGGCAAGTTGTGCATTCGATGTACCAAAATTAGCGCCGATGATATGGAGTGGCGCGATAGAGATCCCGAGACCAGCTTGTGTGAGCAGTTGGGCGTTGCACACTACAGCGACAAAGACGATCTCCCGCCCGATTCCTCGAGGTTCCATAGTCTGTCCAGATGTCGGCCCTCCCTTGGTACCGTTCTCTAACTGACGATTTTGCTCATGATTTGGGCGAACATGATCCATGAATCGAAGCTGTGTAGGCCACAGGCTGTGCAACCAAAGACTTGGTGCGTTTCAAACAGTATTCTGAAAGCGCCAAGGGAGACGGCGAAAGACGCGAAAGAACTGTGGTTATGATTGATCATCCTGGTCAACATGAGGATGACTGTCACTATAAGAGTCGCATTGTGTGGTGTTTGTGTCTGTTCGTGGAAGATACAAGTACGGGCCATCCGGACCTTACGGGCCACGCGAACCGTAGGATTCGTACGCTCCGCCGTTCGAAAGACCATCACAACGGTTTCTGGTCCTGGTTTGTACCTTGTTATGTTGGGCCCTGAATCATTACAAATGGGATGCATGCCCAGTGTTTCCGACAAGAGATAATTCGCACTTCGTGGAGTGTGCAACTTGTGATCCTTTCGGCCGACCTTCAAGCATGACAAGCCCTATCAACGAGACCATGAGAGCTTTGCAATGCCTCCAGGCCAACTCATTGGTTATCAAGAATGTCGCTGTCCCATCGCCTGGACCAGGAGAACTACTCATCAAGATTCATGCTACTAGCATCAACCCAAGCGATATACTCAACGCCGCCGGCGGTTTCCCACATACTATCTTCCCTCGAATTCCTGGTCGCGACTATGCGGGAGTGGTTGTGGCCGGATCTGAACATTTGCTTCGACAAGAGGTTTTTGGCACAAGTGGACGTTCATTCGGTTTCACAGATGATGGTGCACATGCTGAATTCTGCATCGTCGCTGAGAACGCTATAGCGCCAAAGCCAAGCATTTTGTCATTCGTGCAGGCTGCTACAATAGGCGTACCCTACACGACAGCATCCTTGATGCTTCGGAGAGCCCATGTACGTGCCCAAGAGACAGTACTGGTGCTTGGGGCTTCCGGCAATGTTGGCGCGGCAGCTGTGCAGCTGGCCAAGGCTAGAGGGTGCAACATTCTCACAGCCTCACGCAGCGACATCACAGACATCAATCTTCGATCTGATCCCGAGCTTTTACGAGCACTAGATCTCACTGGAGGGAATGGTGTGGACGTGGTCCTTGACACTACAGGTGATACTGGTCTGCTGGAGGCGGCTGTTAGAATACTGGCTCACGGAGGGCGACTTTCTGTTGTATCTGCTCCTCGCTCTGGCGATACTGGTTTTACCTTCGACCTGAAACGCCTATATCGCAACGAGCAATCAGTTTTTGGCAGCAACTCTCTCAGTAATACGCCTAGTGATATGGCTGCTCTGTTGGGGAATCTCGTACCTCTCTTCGTGAATGGCCAACTGAAAGCACCAAACGAAGAGAATTCAAAGATAGTGAGCCTCGATGATGCACCGACCACGTACGAGGCAATCAGGAATGGTGCACGCGGAAAGTTCGTGATTGAGCCATTCTCTCAGGCGTTGGAAGTCCCATCTGAGACCATCTCATCGCAAGGCCACAATTCGAAACTATACGTGCCAATGTTCTGATCTCGTTCTTGTCAGAGCAAAACGCTAGCAAGGACGTTTAGTACATACCTACATTGCTCATACTATTTCCTTACGTTAAAGCCTTCGCCACGGCGATGTTCGATCATATCATTGTTCGATCTTGCTTCATTACATCCTGTGCCCCTTTGTTTCTACTTCGTCTTTTACTATATTCCCTTCGTTGCTTCTAAGTAACTAGATTTACACAAAATTAGCTAAAAGGAGGGGAGGTAGAAAACATTAACAGATCATAAACTCGAGTTTACATCTCTTTCTTAAGCGAGGGCCATAAGAACGTTGTAGATTATTAAAACTATGTGAACGAGGCCAGGGTCAGGGACTCGTCGTCGGGAGCGCATGCTCGGCTATTCTTGCCAGCGGAAAGCATCGGAAGCTGCGGGAAACCCGGATAACACTTCCTTCAACTCCTCAAGCCATGTACAAAGGCAGAGAGTAGAAAAACATCGACAAGTTTCCTTGCTTGAACCGTATAACATGTCCACCAAACCAAAAGGTCGTCAACGTGTGCGCAAGGCATGTGTATCTTGTCAACAGAAGAAGAGGAAATGCAATGGCCTACAACCTTGCGACACTTGTGAAGGTTATGGCTTTGATTGCTACTACCAACCAGCAGCCCAAGCGCAGAGCATGCCAGCGTGAGTAATATCTCACGGACTGTCTGACTGTTCGCTCATCGCTTCGCACAGCGAACACCCCAGGACGAGTCACAAGAGAGCGGCCCCTGAACACCATACCTCAAGTTCAAGAGCCGAGGATAACAAACGCGTTCGACAAGACTTCCTTGAGCCTAATAAATCTCGCTACGTGGGTGTGGGATCAGCGATCTCCTTTTCACACAAGTTAAGTCGTGATATGGGTTCTGCCAATACAGCTAGACTTCACTCTTACGCCTGGAACGCTGGTACACGACCTGAGGCTTTACCCACTTTCAGCTGTCAGATCGCGCAAATAATTCCGTGGGAGGATCTTCATGCATTGACCGCTGTGTACTTCGATGTAGTCCATCCAGTATTTGGCGTTCTTGATCAAGCAGGCTTTAATCTTCGCTGTGTGGAACATTGGATGGGAGACACCCAGTCTCTGGGATTCGATGCTCTGGTCGGTAGTGTTTGCGCTCTGGGATCCCTATTCTCAGGAAACAGAAAGTCTGTGGGGGAATCTGACCTTGTCAGCGCTACGAAAGTGTTACTCGACAATATCAGCATGATACACGGCGCGACTGAAGACTTCGCCGTCGCATGGATACTACGCTCAATCTATCTGCGCTGTACAACTCGCCCACACAGCTCATGGATGGCAACGTGTACAACAATGCATGTCATTGAAGCTGTCGGACTGCACCGCGAGATCGACACACTCTCGATCTCTACTACTACACGCGAGGCGTCTTCATCATACAACAAGAATTTAGACCTTCGTCGCAGAGTATTCTGGGTAGCGAAAGCATTGGATTTGATCTTCAGCTGTGAGTACGGACGTTCGGCGACTGAACTCGACGGGGCGAACTGCAACGAACCATCAATGGTTGATGGCGACTACACTCTCGAGTTCATTGAGCTCGCTAAGCTGATGTCGATATATCTCATGACTAGCAGAGAAGTTCTTGAAGAGTCGTTGATGACGATATTCGAGAAGCGAAGCGGTTGCCAGCTTCTAAATCTGATGAGAGCAAATGCAGGCTTCTGCATTTACAGGAGGTTATGTTCATTCGACCCAGGTGCGTCCAGCGAGCACCTGAAGATGATCACAAGTATGGGCGAGGAAGCTCTCTTGCCAGCACAGGCCCTGGTCCTGACAAATCAAGTGTGGTGGGATGTACTAACAGTACCGTTCCATTACATCTGTGTCCTACTTCACATCAACTCGATAGAGAGTCTGTCTCAACTAGCTGGGGGAATGTCAGCTTTGAGGAAGGTTAATCGACACCTGGGAACACACATGGCGAGAGAAGCGGAAGTAGTTGCAGAATTGTTGATCAAGGTCTGCTCGCAAAGGAAACAGGAAGAGATACGTTACTTGAATGGGCAGCTCTCCATTCGAACAGAAATTGACACCCAAGCTGACACGTCGAATTTCCAACCCGATGCGATGCGAAGTCGCACGCCAATTCCAGAGTGGCTGTACGATGTTGCCCCGGACTGGGATTTCCTGCCCTCTCTCTCGTTTCAGAACGACTCTCCAGCAGCATAGTTCATTGGATAGAAAGGCTAAAAATGCTGACGGACGTATGGTATGCCAGGACAGCGTATGCCAGGACAGCGTATGCCAGGACAGCGTATGCCAGGACAGCACATTTGTGAGTCGCAACAGATAGACTGATCAGTAGCTTCGGGCCATGAGAGAATCAGGCACATTGAGCATCGGATCGATCTAGGCTTGATACTTTCACATGTCTGTAGACGATTGATCGATGGTCGATCCTATTTTCTAGAGCGAGCTCACCCTGGTGGAAGCTATACCCGCTTGAGAAGATCAATCTGTGAACCATGCCTTGATCACATTTACCTTCCATTGCGACAGAAGCAGGAGGATCTTATTGGCACATCTGCCCTTGCTACTGCCTTCGCGAGTTGAACTTCGATCGTCTCTGCTTCATCCATCTTGCCCAGTTTGACAAGACACTCATGATAACCATGCAAAGACCAGACGTTGTTTGGGTGCTGTAAGGCACGAGGGAGCGTGTCGTCAAAGCCGAGATCAGCCTTGAACAACTTCTCAGCTTGCTCTGTTCTGCTTTGCTCTAGCAGTAGAGCACCTAGCGCATGTCTAGTAGGTTGCATCCAACCCCAAGGCTCATCATATGGCAGACCATCGTCCAGTTCAACTGCTTTTCCNAACAACTCGAAAGCCTTGTCAAAACTGCAGTCACGATATGCAACTTCTCCGTACAGCATCGTCTTGGCTACTTGGAGGATGTCGATGCAGCGGTTGTTGAACAGCATGCGTGACTCTGACACCTGCGCNAGAGCAGTCTCGAATTTATTCACCGCTTCTTTGGCGGCCTCGACTTGACCAGTGGCGGCAAAAGCAATGCCTCTGCCATACAGTATGAAGGCTCTGGTGACACAGAATAATTGCTTGTCGGTTGGAAGCTCCAAAGCCAGTATCTGTTCCCACATGCCAAATCGAACCAAGACGTGAACACGCACAGACAAGAATCCTTCAAGCCAATCAGCCATTGCAGGAGATTCCACGCGCAAAAGTTCCTCGGGCAACGATGCTTCAAGACCTTCAACACTCTCCAAAGCGACCTTTGATTGACCAGCAAACATTGCCGCATAGATCCGGAAATGATAGTCATGCGACCGATAAAGTGTGTAAAAGTTGACGGGCCCGGCTCGACTCAGAAACTTTTGATCTGCCTTGATAGCTTCGAGGTTCCATTTAGCAGCAGACTCGTAGTCGCCGCATAGTATGTCCAAGTGAGTAGGCATATGGTGGAGATGACCGGCATCAGGAACGAGACCTCGTAGAAGGTTGGCTTTCGGAAGTGCTACTTCAGGGGTGCTTGACATCTCCATCAGATGAATGTACATGTGCAGGAGTCCTGGGTGCCGATCAGACCCTGGGTTAGTCAAGGCACGGTCCAATACAGCCTTGGCTTCGAGTGTATGAGCATCAAGTGCGGGCTTGCCTGTCTTCAGATCCCACAAACACCATGGTGTGACATTCATCAGAGCATCGGCAAACAATGTTGCAACATCCAGATCGTCAGGGAACCCCACATATACCTCTCTCATCGCATTCGCAAATGACTGGTTCCATGATCTGAAGTCATCCTGAGTGTATCTTCGGGACAAGTCAGACGGATAACGCGATTGCAGTGCCTCGATCAGAGCTTGCTCAACAGGCGAAGCGAAATCTTTACGAGCTCGCGCCTCGACGGTCGCATCATCCGCTTTTCTCACAGTCGCGAGGAAGTCAGTCTCATCGAAGAACTCCCAGGGCTTGTTATAGTTTGGGCCAGAAGCATACGCCAGACCCCAGTATGCCAGCGCGCAATAGGCGTCTTCCGCAATGGCGCGCCTGAAACACTCAATGGCTTCTTCGTGGTTGAAGCCATAGGTCCAGATCAAACCCCGATCAAACCACCCTTGAGCGGCGTCATTTGCCGTGGTGACAGGCTTATGATACGTGCCTAGGTTGTAAGGATAATCGTCTTGTGTTTTTCTCGACCATGGCGCTCGAGACTGACCTTGTTACATGTGTATTGTAAAAGGAACGAGGCCAGGAAAAGTTGGGGCGGAACTTTAGCAGCCGGTAGCGGACAGAATGCGGAGTTGGTAGCCTACAGGTAGTCGACGTGCCTGCTTCGCCACAGTAGGTTTATACTACAGCAATTAACTTATACATGATCGTGGACAAACAAGGCCAGATAATAGATGTTTCAGCAGGGTGACTGATCACAACGACGGTATCTCGCTGCAGTCCCTCGAACGTGTCGCTCCCTCCACTGTCTAGAGTCCATCGGCCAAAGCAGCACAGCACTGGTGGAAAGAAAAGAAAAGAGAAGATACTCCTCAACATAGTCTCTTCTCCTTGCCCTTATCTCCCCTGTCCTTCAATCTGCCTCAGTGAATGGCGTGTGCCCTCCCGGAACGCGTGTCAGGATCTGACAAGACCTCGTGTACGCCCTTACGTTGTTAGCTGAAGCGCGTTGTAGGTAGAGATTGTCCATAATGTGGCCCTACGAGTATCTGTAGTAGGGGTTTTCATATGCGAATGGGTGCTGGGGGCGAGTTTCGAGATTATCGTCTAGACATTGTGATTGTGATATGCGAGAATGCGTGCACAAAAACGATTCTCTCGTAGTCAGTCTGCGAGCAGTGGACTATCGGCTCCACATAGGGTGTGACCTCGCAACTTGCAACGTTGATCCAAACAAGTCTGCATGCTGTCAGATCTTCGTCAGCTTTCGAACGGACACCCCCATAAACCTGGCGGTGAATTGTGTTAGCAGTTCTCAATCATTCACGCTTGTTTGATCCGCCGCAGTTGATGAAAGCAGATTCATAGAACACTTCGTGATCGTTACTTGTATGAGTAACGCACCTGCAACGTTCCAATGCAGCCAGAGCGTACCAAGAAACGATTGACTCTCGAGTACAGAGATTCGACGACACCATCTGTCCTCGATGGTATCGATTTGGCAAGTCGAGGGGTTGTTACGATTCTTCATTGCCTTGTATCAAAGTCTAGTCTGTTCTAGAAGTAGACGGATGTGAGGATTCTTCTCCTAACAGTCACCGTTAGCAAGCCCTTGTTCGAAACATGACGCGAATACTGGCTGATCTCTCCGCTATCTGATCCATGACTCGTGTTTTGAACAGACAAGTGATGCGCAGCATGTTTTGTTGTGGCAAAATTCTCGTTTCTCAATCATCAATAGCCGTTACTTGCAACGGGAGCGTTGGCGCACGATTGGGGAAGCCGCGCTCAGTACGGCTCACGAACAACGTGGGACGTAGTCAGGGTCCGCAACTTTAGTTTGCTCGTGCATCGATATACCCTCATTCCTCATACAAATGCTCTGGCCAAGGTTAGAAGAGCCGACAACTCATGACCTGGCACGATACGGTGTGTGGCCTAAGTTGCGGAGCAGACCTTACTTCTTAGTGGTAGGCGTGCTTCCATCATTTCCTTCTTCCATCAGCTCTCTGCCGTTCTGAAACAAAACCGTTCGCCATCGCCTATCAACAAAGTCTAGATGATTGAAAAGCTCCAGACCCTGGATCTTTGATGAAGAAGGTACAAGCTGCAGTCAGACCTGTTGCTGAAAGACTTGTAACGGTACTATTGCTAACTTTACGTCAAGCCATCACAAAATCGACATCATGTAGTTTTTGCCCCAGACCGCTGTTATATAAACATGTATAAGGACCACGTTCCTATCAATTTTTCAATAGAAAGGATATTCGTACAGCTACAAGCGACCAGGACTTGAATTCACGAAACTTTTGTCCACTCGAGCATCATCCTGTTTCTTCCAAATCTGAGATATAAACACCAATCACCATACCATCGGGCTTGCCAGATTCATCGATCTAAGCTACGTCGTCATGCGTACTAGTACTGTTCTCCTCAGTGTCGCACTCGTCGTCGGCAGTCTTGCAAGTCCAGTCAAGCTTGACCTTGGAGATGGCATTGATTACGAGGTTGGCTATCCCATCACCGCTGGCCAAGCCGACAGCCTTGATGGTGTCGACATAGTCAAANGGGCTACCACTTCTTCGAAGACGACTTCGACTCGAAAGACATCTTCGGTCAGGACGACCTCAACCTTGAAAGCATCACCTATCGCGACGAAACCGGCCACTACATCTTCAAAGAAGTCCAGCAGTTCCACCAAGATCTCAAGTACCGCGAAGTCATCATCAGCGGCTCCAGCAAAGGCCACTACATATCAGCAGCGCGTCCTTGTCTCACACAACGTCCACCGTGCCAATCATTCCGCCAGCAATCTCGTCTGGGACAATGCTCTTGCATCGACTGCAGCCAAGATCGCCTCAACTTGTGTCTATGCTCACAACACCACAACCGACGGTGGCGGTTACGGACAAAACATCGCTGCTGGTCTTGCTGCAGACAACATAACAGCCATCATCACAGAGCTTTTCTACAACAGCGAAGTCTCGTATTTCAATGGTCTCTACGGCCAAGCCCAACCTGACATGTCGAATTTCGGCAAATGGGGTCACTTCTCTCAAATTGTTTGGAAGGGTACTTCCAAGGTCGGCTGCGCTACTCAGTACTGCCCGAACGGTCTCGCTAATGTGGGACCTTACACTCCACCATACTTTACAGTCTGCAACTATGGGCCCNCCAGGCAAGTCTTTAGGATTCTTCTCTGTGATCGATACCTTGCTAATCTTGTCATAGGCAACTACCTTGGTGAATTTGATGTCAATGTTGGGAAGTCTCTCAATCGACCCACAGTCCATTGGAATTATGGTTTGTAGAGACAGTCTTTTTGAAGCCGGTATTTGAGTTCTTGCTCTTGTGTATATCTTCCCCGTGTGGTAAGAACGGTCACAGTGTAGCTATAGAAATGCATGATATTTTCGTGTAGAACATGACCTCCATAGAGAAGACCTTGGCAAAGGCTATCTCAATTGCCAGACTTGTATTTGGATCGTGACTGTCCATATCATAGCTGGCCATCACCATACAGGTGCAAGATCGTTATTGTCTGAAGCACACTGGGAAGATGTTTCCACTTGCTTCAGCGTTTCATACATCTACTTGCTTCAGAAATGATGACTGTTGCAGTAGGCAAATCGACTCCCGTAAGTATGTTGGTCGTGAGCGAATTGTCCTGTGTCCATATGATTGAGTTTAACGAAAGGTTTCGAAGATATTGTTGACATATCCATGTCAATTGCCCATCCTGGAGTGGGAACAGAGAAGTCAGAGTCTCCTTGTTGAGAGACATGCGAATCAACAGCGCAAGGTTGCTTAGCATGAGCCAGGAGCCTTGAGTGAGAGCGTGGCTCTGATGGTTGGAGATAGGCTCGAGTCCTATTGGATCTGCCGGTCGTCCATGTAGACCGTACATCTTGGGCATGTCATGACAGGTAGGAAACTTCAAGGCTGGGTCAACAAAGTCTGAGATTGTTCCGACTCTGCTTCGATTTCCAAGACAGAAGGGCACCGAAGCGCAAATACCGTCGACCAACCATTGCATACGTTTCAGAAGCACAAAAGCTCCGGTTTGGCCTGCGCTCGACATTTGAACATCGTGACCGCTTCCCTCCTGCCTGTTTGTAAGCTTGAGAGATATCAACGCAAGTGTCAGACGATAACTTCGCCAGTCGTTGATTCTTCTAGCCGCGGTGATGGAAGTGTATACATGACAGAGTCCTTGAAATGTTTGAATGGGCGGAAAGATGAGCCCTGGAGCAGTCCAGCTGAACGGACCCCAAAACGTCGAGACTTGTTCTTGCCACAGAATGAGACACTCATCGAGTCGCTGAATGTCGTCCAAAAGTGTGTAGACTTCCGTCGATGATAGGCAACGAGTGACATCCCATAAAAGCAGAGAAGCTCGAAACTGCATATCGGCAACCTGAATACCTAAAGTGTCCAGATACCTGCTGGGATTGATTGAGATCGACTCGATCACTGACCTCCAGTATCGAACCTCAGAGTTCACCACCCGCTGCTCCCTAATGGCAGCTGTGACCTCGAGATGGATGATGCAGTCCACAAACTCGCTTGCGATGGCTGACCAAGTGGAAGGATGACCGAATTCTTTGACCAAGGCAAGCGCACCAAGATGATGCACGATTGTGTATCTCTTCGAGAAGATGAGAGCTTCGAAAGTCGCGTGGAATTGCAAGAGCAGTGTGGTCAAGAGAGTAGTATCAGTCTGTCGCAAGTTCTGCTCCTGAAGGTCATGGGACAAACTCTTGATTGCCTGGCCCAAGACTTTGGAGACAGTCGCGGTTACGCTTCGATCCATGCGCCACCTCGAGTAAATCGTCAAAGCCACAGCAGAGAGCGACATGGCCACCGCAGAGGTCCGAGGGGAAGAAATTGCAGGCATGACGAACCCGAACAGTCCAGGATTGGGCCCGCCATCTGGTACTGCATCCAGAGAATAATGTCGCATGAAGAATGCCAGCGCTTGTGTCTCCGTGTCATCGTGTAAAGTTTTCTTGATCGCAGTTGATGTTTCGATTCTGCTCTGAAGCCGAGAAGATACATGGCGTGCAGCAACGGCCTCATTCAAGTCTACAAATCGGAGTACAGGTTTGGGCCACTCGCAACATTTCTTTGCACGACCACATCTTGCGCAGGTAGGCCTTATTCGGTCGCATTTCAATTTCTGTCGCTTGCACGTCAAGCATGAAAGAGGACGTCCATTGTCGATCATGGTCCGTCAGTCAAGATGGCGTGTCCAGTCGACTTGTTCGGCACGACTACGTTGTCTCCTGCGAAAAAACAATTGGCTGCTCAAGTATCCATGGATTGCAGATTTGGTTGCCAGGTTTGGGGAAGAAAAGACTGGTAAGCCCAAGCCGTTGGTCGTCAGTTAGAGGAAGGAAGATGAATTGAAGTTGTTGTGACGGAAATGATTGTCGACCGATGAGCTTTCGAAGCTCTGCGACGCTCGCACCTACCCACCGTACAGCGACTCGGGCTTCTTGTATAAGGAACCATGTGCTTTATCAGGAAGGAAACCCGTTTCTTCGATGCAGGGGCGGGGCCTTAGAAGGGAGGAAAACTGCCGATAACGCTTGTGATTGGACTGAACCGTCGGCTGTCGCGACTCTGTCGCATCATTAAGGTTCACAGCTGAAGGTGCCCAAGAGGCTCTCCTCGGTATATCAATCCTCCGTGATCCGGTGACCTCTCTAAGCGATCATGTTCATTTATACGACAGCTGAAAGCAGGACGGTTCGATTCATATAGTCGATATAGTCGACATTAATTTCGACAATTACATTACATGAACACAGCAACAACAACCCCGACCAATCCAACCAAGCTCAGACTCATAGACGATGCATGCGTCGCAGCATTTTCAGGAACATATGGCTGCGGAGATGATCCATTGCCAGCTCCAGCCGAAGTCTGGTTGTAGAAGAGCTTCGTACCATCCTTCAATGTGTAGCCGACAAGGATGAAGTCTTCGGTGATGGCACTTCCATTGGCGAAGAGCATTGCTTGCGCAGGTGTACAGGTTTCCAGGATGTCCCAAAAGTAGCAAGAGGGCACCGAAGACTCGTATACGATTGGTGCACCGATTGAGATGAGAGCAGAGGAGTTGCCGGATGTGGCGTACATGGAAGAGTTGGACGCTGAAGCTGCTGAGAGTTGACCGGTCGCAACATCACGATCGAAGATGACGCGGTTGAAGATCTGGTATGTGGTTTCGGGTTGGTAGTACGAGACNTGCGTACAACATGTTAGAACTGAAACAGGAACTGAGAGTTGGAAAAAGCATCTACCTTCGTGTCCGGCTTGGAAGACTCGAGTAAACGACAAGTTGCCGTATTGTCTTGTCAAACCACCGGTGTAGGAAGCATTGGTCTCGAACTTCGTGTAGCCTGCGTCACTGAAAGAAGACGAGATGCTTGAGTTGATGGCAAGACTGATAGCTTCGCCGCCGAGCCCTNNGCATTCCTGAGTCAATTCAGCCCGATCAAGCGATACAGTCAGACACCTACAGTTGCATTGGTAGTCGCGATCTCCATAGAGAAGGGAGACTTTGACACCACGATCAAGCAGTTGACCAAGAGCGGCAAGATTGTTGCCCTTCAAGAAGTCGCCTGAAGCACCGAACTCTTGAGCGAGAACGGAAGAGAAGCCAGTGAAGTTGAGTGGAACACCCAGATCTTCTTGAACAGTAGCATTGTTCAGGTAGCCAGCTGCCCAACGAGGTGGGAAATTGTGGATAAATGGTGAGGCGATGTCGAAGTGGAAAGCNCTGAACACAACACAGATTAGTATGCAGAACTGCGAAAGTGAAGCGGGCCATGTACATACATCATATCCGTCGATACTCCCCAGCTGGGTCTCTCTTGCAACCGCGTCAAAGCAGTACAGATACGCTTGCCCACAGGCATTGTTGACATCAGTGTTGTTACCCCAGCCTTCAGGATCAAGACGCGAGGCAAGGCTTCTGCAGGTCTTGGTCATGTTCAAGCATTGTGGTACAGCCGCCATCGAATTGGCGTAGGTGGTGTCGTTGAAGACCTTGATTCCGTAAGTGTTGTTTGCCGCCATGACAGGATAGAAGGGGATTTGAGTCTCTGCATCGATGCAAGCATTGATCAAGCCGAGCGATTCGATGGTGAGCGATGTCGCGTTGAGAGTGCCAGAGCTGATACGGTCATTCTGCTTGTAGAAGTAGTCGGCAAAGGCAGGAACCCAGTGACCGCCATAAGACTCTCCCCAGATGCTGAACTTTTGTCTGTCACCTGCATATTCAGGGAANGCTGTGTTCTTGTAAGCAAAAGATGAGGGAACATGTATCAGTCAAACTTACTCCTTCAACCAGATCTGCATGAAGTCCCACATGGGAGGCGCGACGGCCATGGTACTGTTTGGTGCCAAGCTCGAGTTTCCTGACGAAAATACACCAGCAAGCGAAGTGTCGTTCCTGGGGACTTGCGCAGGCAAGACTGTGAAGGGAGATAGAGCTTCGAAAATTGTGCCATTAACCAAAGTGTCGTAGGAGAAGCCAGTCTGCACCGGCTGATCAATGTACAACATGTTGACTCTGTCATTCCAAGACCATGGGTTGTTGACCGCATCTCTCGAATTGTTGAGCAAGTTACATGGACCATTCTCGTTGACAGCAGAAATCGATGTTGGTGCACCAGGTCCACCCTGGAGCCAAAGTGAAAGCGGCGCATTCTCTGGATCATGGCGAGCCTCGAAGAACCAGAACCAAGTGTGGATTGGATAGTTGCGACCTTCTTGGGGTGAAGGGGGGAGGTTGACGTAACCACTCCAACCTCTGACACCATCGGTGGTCTCACAGATGGTGGTCTCTCTGAAGGAGATGGATGCACCTGGGTAGACTGTCGAGTTGAGGTACGTCAAGCCTTGAGGCGCCGGAGGAGCTTGGGCGAAGGTGGCACCAAGGAACATAGTCGTAGCAGCTGCTACCATGGTAGCATAGCGCTTGACTCCAAGCATGGCGGCAAGCGACACAAAAATAGTGATGGAAGGAGTAAGAATCACAATAGCGGATGCTCAATCGCTTGAGAAGTTTCGGTGCGTTGCCATTCTCGTGAGTGGTTGGGTAGCCATACTTATACCTCTTGGAAGGCAGCAAGAATCTGCTCATGCAATTCGGGTACTTTAGCATGCACGAGTAAGTTGCGAGGCTGTGTGTGTATAGAAATGGGATCTGCAAAGGATCAAATCCTCCAAGAGGCTGAGCTGTTGACCTTGGCAACTATGTGATTGGTACACTCGGACTGCACCTTCACTGGTCAGTCCGGATCCTCGTTATTTGTCAATGTCAAATGGTTTTCGACCCTGCAGAGAAGGACCAAGTAGTAGTGCGGAGAAAGGGTTATTTCCAGGTTTGAGCATACTCAACCTGACAAATGAGGCCCCCACGAAGCTTATACCATTGCATTGCCGAATCCTTTGCATGCACGCAGTCAACTGTGTCAGATTCCTACTCGCGGAATGGAGTGCGCAGATTCAGAAACAATCTTGCAGGAGCAGGATGCATTGATCTCAGAAAAGCTCAGTGAAGACTCACAATGCAAGGTATTACAGCGGCCTTAGTGTTGGACATCATCAAATATTCATAATCAATAATACATAATACTAATCATCATCAAGGTCATCATCCCACCCAAGAGCGGCATAGATGTTGTCGGCTTGATCCTTTGACCCAGCTTCATCAGTGCTTTGCGGACCCGTCAACACAGACGAACCACCAAGCACGTTTCCCAATGCCGCAGTCGCAGTGGCCGCAAGCGGTGTGTTGGTAGCGCTCTGCTTTGCTCTGGCTTTTCCAAAGATCAAAGGCGGAGTTAGCTTGCTTAGGGTGATGCTGAACTTCGGTCGTTGCGGTTTGCTCGGTGTCTTCAACAAAGTCGGACTCTCGCGCAAAGGAGAAGAATCACCTCTGTTCTGGTCAACATGACGGTATGTCTGCTCGTCCTCGTCCGGAGATGCGCCTGGCAGCGAGGTAAATTCAACGCGAGGCTTTGAGGGCGTCTCGGCGAGCGCATCCCTATGGCGAGGCCGGTTGTCCGTAGCGGGAATTGCATCTTCATCGTCAGATGCCTCATTCACTGGAGGGAAGTGCGCGAAAGGCAAAGACTTCTGCTTGATGTTGGAAGAAGGCACCAGAGAAGGGCCAGATGAGGAGACTGATGGTCGAACAAAAGAGGGAGCCGGGATGTGGTGGGGTGTCGCAGCAATAGCAGAGTTCTTGTGGCCGTTCTTCGGAGTGGCAGAGACTTGTGCGACTGACGAAGACTTTCGCTTGTGCAATGGCGGTCTAGCTCTGCCTTCTGCCATACGCTTCCTCTGTTCAACAGCGTCCACAAACTCTCCAGAGACAACAGCACGACTCGGCCTCTTCAATGTCGAGATTGCATCCTTGAGTTTCTGCTCAACCTCTTGTTTCTTCTTGGCCTTGGTCTCGTTTGCTGCAGCAATGGCACCAAAGTCGACTTCTCTTTGACGCAGGCGATGTTTCTCTAAGACATCACTCTTCCGTGCCATAGATGACTGGCTATCTCGTCGAAGCGGGATAGAAAACAATGGAACTTCTGGTGTCTCGGACTTGACAGGGACGACTTGTGAGTCGGTGGCCGAGCGACTAAGTGAGCGAGGAGTTTTGGCAGGTTGAGAGAAACTCTCTGTTGCGACGCGAGCAAGCGAACGACGATTTTTCTTGTCGGCGGTAGTTTTCATATCTGCTTCAGAAAGCTTGCGACTGGGCTTGGGCTTGGTTGTCGACGAAGAACCTGGACCACCGAGCTTNTTGTTGACGAAAGAGGCATGCTCGTGAGTGCGAGACATGTAGAAGGGAATGATGACCTCGACACAGAAGCTGTGTAACTGGTTGGCACCATCTTTGGCCGTCTTGTCAGGCTTTGGCGCATCGCCCAGCAGGTCGGCGGCGTGGAGAGAATGCCAGATGCAGAGTTTGTCTACGAGCAATTCGAGGCTCATGATGATTGTGTCGCCCTTCTTGCTCTTTGCTTGTGTGGCTTGTTCCTGCACCAACTTGAACTCTGGGAGCGCCTCCAGACTCAGAATTTCCAACGCCAGGACGACTTGCATGAACGTCTCACGAGTCCTGAGCTGCGGACCTCTACGTTTCAGCGATTGTTCAGCCGTCTCATCAGACGGCGCCGAAGCTTCATCCTGGTACCACCACTTGGTGAAGAATTCATCCTCTTCAGGAAGCAGGCCATGCTTGTCCGGCTTGAGCTTCCTTTTCCGTCTCTTCTTTTTGGCAGCGGGTGTGTGATCTTTNTCTGGAGATTGCGATGGTAGGTCTCTCAGAAGTTCAGGCAACTTGTCGCGATACTTCTTGTCGGCAGTGAGGGACGATAGTATCAGGCTTCGCAAAAATTGTACTAGATCGGAGACGGTTGTGTCAGAGAGCTGGCCTGTTGTGTAGGCAGCACGCAATCGAGATAGTGGGCCCTTGGTGAAGAAGGCAAGTGGTGTCTTGGAAAGGTAGAGCGTATCGAGGTATTGTGATATGAAACGGGCCAAGACGTCCTCGGGGGTCTGACATGTCTCCTCTGCAAGCACAGGTTGGTCTGCCACGGCTGGGGCGATTGCGAGCTGCGACACGGGCAAAGATTGGGATAGCGACGGCCGACGACGGAACAGAGACAAGCAGGGAGCTTTGCGAGAGGTTACAGTTGGTATCGAAGGCACTTGAATGGCTGCAGTCTGCCACCACGAATCGCAAGAGATGTCACTTAGGAATTGTGGCAAGGGTTTCGCAGTCGTGAGAGCCGGTGGTGCGAGAGTTTGAACGTGATCCGGGTTCAGCCAAGCAGCCAACTTGCAGAGCGCATATCTCTTTTCTCCGACTCTTTCTATAGCGTACAAGGGCTCATTTGGCTGGGTCTCGAGGCGAGCGATAAGGACGAGCGGAGCGGAGATGGAGTCGTGATCGAGCTGCGGTAGGTGGGCGGAGAAGAGGCGGGTAGGAGAGGTCGAGTTGTCGATGTAGCTCAAGGGCAGAGCAGCGCGAGGGAGCGTGTTCAGGATGCGGAAGGATAAAGGTTTGTCATTGTCGACAGACNNTGCACATGATTCAGTAAGGCATGCGGCGATGGCTGGAAGGATGAAGCGCACTCTGACGACAAACGTTTGCGGTAAGGATGATGATGGAGTAAATTGTTGTGGTCGGAGAAGACGAGTGTCGGAGAAGGCCTTGTGCAGAGGGACGCCTGCTCTTGGTGGGACTATGGGCAGACGAGATGGCGCTTTCGTTGGCGGAGTGTCGCCGTCTCGCTTGCGCTTCCGGGACAGTAATTTGTCGGCGAGAGTGTTGACGGGGACAGCGGAAGTTTCGGTGTTTAGTCGTGAAGGATAGACAGCGTCGCTAATAATTGACATGGTAATAACATGGCAGACGACAACAAGTCGCTTCACATCGTCATTCAAAACATCCAATCTGCGGCTCCCGCGTGTGTTTTCGCGTCGCGCGATTTAAGCTTGTTCCGCACAGACTTCGGCTTCTCGGTCCAGCCCGCACCGGAACTCCGCTCCTTCTATTCTTGAGGAAAAGAGGCACATGTTGCTCTTCAGATCTCACAGCCATCAGCAGATGCACTGTGCAATCGTATATGTGCGTCGCAAGTGTATATACATCTCACGACCGGTGGGAGGCAGCAGAAGCACACATTCGCGCACCATCAAGGTCAAAGAATGCTCACCTGGCCACAACCTTCCCCGCATCGTCCTTAACGTCATGGATGCCGCTATGGTTATGAACAGACATATGAGCCGCATGAGCACCTTTCTCTTTGCTCTCTGTCCGACCGATACACCTAAGCATCCTGCAATTCTTACAACTCCACCCGCATATTTCTAGAAGAATACCTATATCTTACAACGCCAAAAGACATTGCCTCCTCATATCACCTTCAAGTCCAGCATAGCAGCTAAAGCTCGCCGCATTCCAATCTCGTCAATCGCCTACAAGTACTCACAACAAGCTCGACATGATATCCACCACTGACACCGATGCCCTGCCAAAACTCCTCCAGCTCCCCCTCGAGCTCCGACAACAGATCTACTCCTGTCTATGCCCACCCTCACCAATCTCCAACCCCATCCCCACAGTCGGCATAACCAGCGTGTCGCATCGTCCACCGCCCTTGCCTCTACTCTTAACCTGCCACGCCATTTCCAACGACGTAACTTCCCACTACTTCAGCATCGCAAGTTGGAAACTGATTGCCTCGCACGCCTTCAATTTCTACCGCATCGATCCTACACTCTCCAATCTCGCTAGCTCGCGATTGCTCAAGACGATTCAAAAAGTAGAGTTGGTGTTTTGGTTCGATGGCAGTTTGCTCAAGAGTTATCCTTCTCTCAAGACAACGACGTATTGTCAGGAGATTAGGAAACGAGCGACAAGGGCTTGTGAAATCTTGGCTACGGCGCCCGAGTTGAGGACTGTCCAAGTCAGTTGGGTGGACTCGACGACTCAGGAAGCGATAGAGGACAAGAGAGAAGTCTTGGATGCATTGAAGATACTGGACGGCAAGGTCAGATTCGAGGTCGGGGTTCTGGAATGGAGCGGTGCACAAGCTGAGCCCGAGAGAGGAGATTTTGAGAAGAAGGTGAAAGGCCTAATCGATGTCGCTCATCCCGTTGCTGCTTTCTGATACTTCTTTGGAAGCAAAGACGATCTTTGACGATTGACGATACATCATGATACAATTATGCGACTTGTGCATTTCATGACCTTTCTGCCAGATCATTTTTATCTTGCATCCTGCTTGAACTCATGTCAGATATCGTATGCTATGACATGTCCTTCCCGTCACAAACCCTCGACATGCCGTTGTGAGGCGTGAGCGAAGACAATTCACCCGCTCGGTTTACCCAAATGGGCAGTTCCAGGCTCTGGAACCCCGCCATGCACCCCGCTCTTCTGCCCCGCGTGTACTCGGCGACCTGCCCGACACAGCTCACCCGGCCTGGGACCATGCCTAAGACCAAGGCTCAATTACCGGTGACAGGCTGCGTTCGAAGAAGCTATGTAAGCAGGCGAATCCTCTTCCTTGGGCTCGCTCTCCTCCCAAAACACCTGTTTGATTTCCACCACGTACAACAACAGGCACAGTGATTGATCACCTGCAGCAATAACAGCCACAAAACAACATGGCGACAAAACACTTCTTCCCCGACACCCACAACCTCGTCGTGCGCGGTCTCGAGTCCCTAGTAGCCAAAAACCCACACCTCTCCCTCGACGCCGCAAACAAAGTAGTCTACCTACCCTCACACTCAACCCAAAAAGTTTCCGTCCTGTCTGGTGGAGGTGCCGGCCATGAACCCGCATGGTGCGGCTATGTCGGCAATGGACTGTTGTCCGCTGCCATCAGTGGAGAAGTGTTTGCTTCCCCCAGCACAAAGCAGATCATGGCAGCTGTGGAAAAGGTGCCGAGTGACAAGGGTGTGATTTTGTGTATCACAAACTACACAGGAGACAATCTGCATTTCGGATTGGCGAGAGAGAAGGTAGCTGGATCAGGAAGAAAAGTGGGTATGTTGAGGATGACGGACGATGTTGGTTTGGGCAGAGAAAAGACCAGTCGATTGGGAAGAAGAGGATTGGCCGGAAATATGTTTGGTGAGTTCTTACATTACTTGGCTGTTGATTTTAATGGAAAAAGAAAGAAAGAGAAAAGAAGAAAGCATGCTGATGAAATACAGNTACTCAAGCTTTGCGGCGCTGCTGCCGAAGAGGACTATGACTTTGACACTTGCTTCGCGATTGGTGAAAGCGTGAATGGTCACTGTGTCACCATTGGATCGTCGCTGGATTACTGCCATATCCCTGGGCGAACACATCACGAATCCCTACCTGCAAACACTCTCTCCGTGGCTCAAGGTATTCACAACGAAGCCGTAAGTGTGCCATGCCCTGGGAATGGAACAAAACTGATGCGGAGCAGGNGACTTCACGAGAAAGAAATACCTCCACCAGACGAACTGATTCAAGAGCTGCTGCGCTACCTGCTCGACGAGAACGACAAAGACCGTGCCTTTGTCAAATTCACATCGGATGACGAGGTTGCACTGCTCATCAACAACTTCGGCGGGCTGTCCAACCTCGAGCTCGAGGCTTTGACTGCCTTGACTATTAGCCATCTCAAGTCAGACTGGAACATCTCACCGACAAGAGTGTATGCACAGCCATTCGAGACATCGCTCAATGCACCAGGCTTCAGTATTTCTTTGCTGAACCTGACTGGTGTGGCTGGAGAGACAGAGATGGACGAAGAGAAGCTCTACGCGTTGCTGGACAGAGACACGAATGCACCAGCCTGGCCAAGGAACTCGTACGGGCAAGTCAGGGTTGACAGCCCAACACAAACAAGAGCTTCGCTTGCCGGACACGAGACGGTCTCGTTTGGACCCAAGTTGGACGTGGCGACACTCGAAGGTGCGCTCAGAAGCGCATGCGAAGCGGCTGTAGCAGCGGAGCCCGACATCACCAAGTGGGACATTGTCATGGGCGACGGCGATTGTGGAGAGGCAGTCGAAGGAATGTGCAATGGCGTCCTCTCACAACTGTCATCAGGTCTCGTCTCGCGACACAACGGAGCATTGCTGCCCATCATGGACGAGATTGAGAGCGGGATCGAAGAGATTGGAGGCACGCTTGGAGCCATCATCAGCATCCTGCTTGCTTCATGGACGTCGGATCTGAAGAACACATATCGCGCCAACCCTTCTCTTACATTTGACGAGCATGTTGCAGGTCACAGCGCTGGCCAAGCTTTGAAGAACCTGCAGACGTATACGCCGGCACGTGTAGGTGGACGAACAGTCATGGACACAGTGATTCCTTTCTGCGAGACGCTGTCGGAGCTGGGCGATTTGAAAGCGGCGGTGATTGAAGCGGTCAAAGGTGCAGACAAGACGGAAGGCATGCCCGCCGTGTATGGAAGAGCGACGTACGTTGGCGACAAGATTAGTGCAAAGGACGTGCCGAGGGATCCTGGTGCATACGCCGCCTCGGTCTTCCTGCAAGGTTTGTGGGACGGGCTGAAAGACAAGCTGTAGATGTGTCAATTGTAATTTGTGTAGCGTATCGACAGTCTTTTCGTCTCTTGTTCGTCTTGTTGCCTGCGCTGGGTATCCGTGTTCACTCCGTCTCTTTCTAATCTTACAAGTCGTTCGTCGTCCTCCGTCTCGCGCATTTTTTTATTTCTTGTCTCCTTCTGACGACTTCTTGGTCGCATCGGCAGGCGGAGCGTGTCCCGCAGCGGCGGCAGCGGCCAGCGCTTGTGGAGTGTTGTCGAAACCAAGATTCTTCATCTCGTCGGGCGCCATGAGGTTCTTGTCCATGCGGCATTGGAGGTAGCTCTTGCTCAGCATGCGGCATTCATCGTCATTCATGCCGCGATGAGCGCGCAGGCAGCGTAGGTACGACTTCATGATGTGTTGACATTCGGCATCGTGGTCGAGAGGGAATGAGCCGCGCTCGGGNTCTGCGGTGCGCAGTCAGTGGCGGGTGTCTGAGGATGTGAATGAGCCGCGAAGATACGGTGTAGGTTTTGCGATGACTTGACGTCCGCCGGGTCCGCCGAATGTTGACATGTTGCTATGAGAAAGTGCTTGTCTTGAAGAAATGGATTGTTGAGGAAGGCGAGACGCTTCGGCGTCGGCAAGCGCGATAATAGTCAGGGTGCTACCCAAGACAAACTTTTTGAAGTTGTGACCTACCTATCTCGAGCCCACTTGAATTGTGCCTTCGTAATTCTTTGCTCGGTGACTCTGATGCCGTCCAGACTTGCTCATTCCGCTTTACAGAGTGATAGAGCTTCGGAAGGTTGCTGCTGGGTGGTGACGGCCATCAAGCTTCCTGTTGAGCCGAAAGTCTCGTTATGCCGGCTTTACACTCGTCGACACTCTTGAGTGACCTCGAGATACCACTCAGGTTTGGGAACGATGCTCGATTCTATTCGCACAGTATGCATCAAATATGTCCCGGTAAATGACGTTCTGTGAAGTTCCTCCAAACCGTCTCAGCAGCGCCACAAGGCTGCGCCTACTGACCCTAGTCGTGCCTGGTTTAAAAAAAACCAAACCCCCCACGCTTCCCCATGATCATCAAACTCCACTCCATCCCTTCACCATGGCTTTGACAATCGCAGGTACCCATTTGGCTCTTGGACCCCTCCTGTCAGGATGTTACAGCATTGTAAAAGGCATTAATCAGCTTCGGCAAAGCTACAACTTTATGCCCTTGACCTTGACATCCATTGTCTTGACCTGCAACACGACCAGCTCAACCTTGAACAAAGTCGACTCGACTCTTGCAGAATACTCTGGAACAGCCAGAGACCTCACTCAGGAGCTTTTCGAGCAGTTTGATGGTATCAAGATTGGATGTACCATGACTCTTTCCCTCCTCGAAAGGCATGTCTCAGATCTACTCGACACCGCTAGCAGCGAGATGCCGCTCAAGGCTCAGAAGGCATCGAGAACGGACAATTTAAAAGCCTTGTATAATGAGTCTGACATGAAAGAGCTTTTTGGACAACTCAAAGACTACAATGCACTATTAAACACGATTTTGAACCAATTGCTCAGGTATGGCGGTGGTGTATAGGGCCTTTACTCATGCTGACTATGCCTCAGCGACAAGCAGAACACAATGATAGACATGATGACGAACCAGGAGAAAACACTGAAAACCATGTTTCAAGCTCAAAACTCGCTCCGCAGATTTCTCCACGATGGTCCCGTCGATAAGGAGACTGACACCGCAAGCATCCTTTCCTCAACCACCAGCGGGACCGCTTTGACTGCGTTCGATTTTGACTCAATCATCAAATCTACTGCAGTCTACAAGCGTTGCATGAACCGGCGTGGCGACGAACAAAGCCTCTTGGAGTGCTTGAGGGGATTGACGGTTCAATACGATCCAGCCCGCACGACAGATGGAGCAGCTACCGATGAGAGAGGGGCATTGACCTCCATGCAGAGTCACCACAAAATACTCACAGAAACCATAGCAACACCACGAGAAGATCATGTGATGACGGCATCTCGTTCTAGTCCTCCACCGCGAGTCTTCGCATATCATCCTCGTCCATTCAACAACGAAGCGCATGCGAAATCATCCGCCGTCCCGTTGGACTCGTCGGACCCGGACACTACGTATGGTAGTGATGCGTCAGATCCTGAAGATGTCCCGCCCATGCGACTCTCAGATTCTGGGAGGACGATATCAGATCATGTGAAGAAAGTGGTTGACACACGATTACCCCACAGCGAGACCATCTTCGTGCCCAGTAGCAAGCATGATTCAGAGACATACGGCCCTCAAAGCGTAGAGGAGAACAGGCATGCGCCACCGCATGCTCGCTCAACTCTCCTCTATGACATTTTCTCAGGGATCTGGAACATAGCATCGCATATGGACAGGGGTCGGACTACGAAAGACTGGTTCTGGATCTTCGAGCCCAAGGAAGAGACAATCAGTGTGGCGGTCTCGTCGAACCATCTTCTCGCAGCCGCTACGCGAAACGGAATCCTGATCTGGAATATGTGTACTGGTGAAGAGTTGGCTAAGATCAGCTGCATCATTGAGGCAAATTCCTATCCAGGAGTGATCTTCTCTCGTGATGGGACGATGCTGGCTTCGACGCATAACATTAACCAGTCTCGGAGTACGAACTCTGCTGTGAGTGTATGGGATCCCTGTACGGGCACAGCAATCTGCTCGCTGAACATCTTCCAACCTGCGAAAACCAGGGTTGGAGCTATCATGTTCGGATTGGATGGCAAGCACATGATTTGTGGTGAGACACGTCACAGGTCCTCGCAGAACGACAAACCCACGATTGGCCTTTACAGCATCCCTGGCGGAGAGAATTACTGCACACTTACAGACCTTGAAGCACCTGCTCGTTCACTGTCTCTCTTTGGAACGCGGTTGCTATGCTGCTCCGACGACGGAAGAGTGACGATATGGGATTCAGCAGGCGATCATGTCTCAAGTCACGACATAACAAATTTTAGGATGCTCGGCCGTGTCGTCGGGACGCATGACGGTATGTTCATTGCATGCGATGGCATCAACACAATCAGGCTCTTCGATTGTCGGTCTGAGGAGCCGAAGAGAAGAAAATTGAAGGTGCCAAAGGAGGTTCTTTGTCTGGCGTGCTCACCTGGCACACACGAGATAGCCTTTGCAGGTGGCAACGGCTTGGTAGGACTCTGGGACCCCAAGAAAGGGACTGTGAAAAGACCGAAGGTTGTGTACAAGAACGTCCACACAACTGCGATAGCGCTTTCACCCAACGGGAAAGCCTTGGTGCATGCTTCGGCTAACCTGATAAGGGTTTGGAATTGGCATCTTGAAAACTATCGTGTAGAGAAACTGAGAAAACCTGCCACCCATAGCATAAGGAGGACCTAGTGGACACACGGTGCCTTTATTTTTCCTCGAACCGTTTACATCCGCTATGCCATTGAATCGTCTCCTTTGTCAGCTGTTTTTCGTTTGCTGCAGGTCTGACTCTTGTGAGCAGCCGAGCAGGTTTTCCTGTGGCCCAACCTGATCTTGACAGTGCGATTGTCCCTACGATCACGAAAGGTCCGAGAGAGTGCCAGAGTGGAAGGGGCATGTATGGATCGATCTTTCCGTGCTCGAACATTTCCTTGGCCCAGAGCGCGCCGTCGCCTATAGCTCTCGCGTACAGGAAGCTATAAGAATAGAGCTGCAATGGATGCATTAGAACCTCTTGCCCCAACTCTTTCTTCTTCGAGCCTTCTCGCAATCTGCCACAAATTCCTGCTTAGCCGACTCCTAGCACCCGAACGGTTAATACATAGCAAGGCCTATAATGCTAACTACTATTATGCCTACGGTTCCAAAACGAATCTAGTTCTACTACTAGGGCTCGTAAAATGCTAAGTCTCGTCCTAGGTTAATCTAGATAAAAGTGCTAAGATTAAAAGTAATGTCTACTAAGGTATAACTATAAAAGCTAAAGAATATGAATATTAAAAGTAGATAGAGCTAGAATGCCTTATTAGATTTTAAAGTAAGATAGAGATAAATATAATAGAAGTAAATTATTACTACTATATATTTATATAAGATAAGTAGGGCTAGTATAGAATCTATAGTAGTCTCTATAATATTAGATAATAAGGATTTGAAGATTATATAATGAAAATTAGAAGATAGAGTTAGAAGATTTATAGGCTACTTAAGTATAACTTAAAAAGTAATAGTACTAATATAAAGAACTATATATAAGGTAAACTTATACTTTTAACTTCATATTAATTCTTTATAATAGATCTAAGAAATATTAATTATATTAGTTTATTACTATAGCCTATTATTATTTTATAGAATTAAAGATATAAAGTAGTTTTATAGCTATTAAATAGTAGTAATTATCTATAGCTATATATAGATATTATATATATATTTTTTATAGATATATATAGTTAGTTTTATATATATCTTTCTACTAATTTATAATAACTATATCTAAAAAACTGACTAGTTTATACTATAGTTATTTCTTTTTAATCTTATATATACTCAGTTACTATAGCCCTATAAAGAAGAGGTTTAAATAGCCTAAGCGTTAAACTAGTTATAGACTTAGGTATTTTCGAAAATCTAGGTATATATATAAAACTATAAATATTGTAATGATATATAAATAAACCCCTAACTATTTTTCGCTAATATTATAGAGTATATTAATACGATAATTTTTAATTAACTAAAAATTCCTTATATCTATTATTATTATTATTAAGTTATTTATAGTTAAAAGGCTATATAGTATTAACTACTAGTTTTATAGGTATAACTATTATAGTCCTTCCTTATATAAAAGTAGCTATATATAGTAGGTAAGTAAATATATAATATAGTTTCTAGACTAAATAAGTAAATATATAATAGAATTTCTAGACTATTATATAATAACTTACTAACTATATATTTCTAAAAGATAGATATATAGAGAGATATATATAGATTAATAAGAAGTATATATATTATATATAAATATATCTTATAGAAATAGTTATAAGAAGTAGTAATATATTTTCTAGACTATAAAGTAGCTATATAGTTCCTAGACTATTAAGTAGCTATATATTTATAGTCTATAATAAAAATACTCTAAGTATAAATATAGTATAGAAAGATACTATAGGAAAAGAAAAATAGAAGAAAGATACTAATATAATTTTACACTATACTATCCTAGTAAGATAGCTTAAACTTTTATAATTCTATAAATTTAATATACTATACCTTTTCTCTAGGAATATAGAAGTATATAGTAAAGATAGGGGATCTCCTTTCTACTTCTAAATAGATTATATTACTATAGAAATATATAAGAAAGCTTATTATTATAATAGCTATATTAAAGTAGGGTTAGTAGTATAATAATGCCTTAGAAAATTCTTAGTATAGTTAATATAACTAGTTAACCCTATAGGGCTAGACTTTTCTTATAATTTAAAATAATAAGCAATATTTTTTATAATAATTAATATAAATAAGTATAGTAGTAAGAGATTATATAACTAAGGATAAGAAAAAAAAGTAGAATATCTTCTAGAAAGATAATATAGGGTAGAATATAATATTATTTAACCCTAGCTAATAGGATACTTAGAGAGCTACTACCTCTAAGTTAGATTTAGTTAGTATAAGGACAACGCTAGGCGTATTAGGTAATTTTATAATAGCCCCTATATATAGCCTCTAGGTTATTAAAATTTATGGCGACGACGTATTACGTCTTTATAAATAATATATAGCACTCTTTTACTATTCTTATATTAACTATACATTATTATAATAATAACTTCTATATATTTATATATTAGAGATAGTAGGGTATAAAGTAGGTAATCTAGCTAAGTACTATATAGCTTTAATTATATACTAGAATATATACGACACTATATAAACTATAATATACCGTCTACCTAATATAATAAGTATACTAAATAATAAGTTAGATTTATTTTCTACTCTAATAGTTAAGTTTAGAATTACTATTAATAATACTAATAATTAGCTATAATATAAGTTATAGTATAGAGTACTTATCTATAAATATTACTACTATACTATATTAAATCTTACTAGTTATCTATATACTAAATAGGGTTTAGGGTTAGGGTTAGGGTTAGCAAAACTTCGATATAATACTATATAAGCTATATTTCTTAGGTTAATAGTCTAAGTATTAAATATAATACTTAACCCTAGCTCCTAGGGTAAGCTAGCTCTCTATTAGATATTACCTTTTAAGTGTCTATATAACCTAACGACTAGAATTATTAATAGTATATACTTTATATTATATAATAGTAGTAATAAATATAGTAGTATTATCTTCTATATACTATAAGATTATCTACTACTATAACTTACTATAAATATACTAAGTCTTTAGTACGCCTATAAGATATCTACTCTTAAGGATACATATTAGATAAAGGCCTTTATTACTTTATATCTAGTTTACTAGTTATTTATAAAAATATATCTACTATGCTTATAGTAACTAATAGCTACTAAAACTAATCGTATCTATTAGAAGATTACTAGTCCTTTATTCTTTACTATCTCCTATAGCTTAGCCTACTTTACTATATATAATAATTTACTAGAAGCTATACTCTAGTTATAGTTCGGCATTTTAGTTATAATTAGCCTTACGCTCTTTATTTTACTAATGCCTCTCTAAATTAATCCCTAGAGGAATCTTAAATTCGAAGTAGCTATCTAGACTTTTCTATAGTTTAGCTACCTTATAGCTCTCTAGCTATTTTAGTTCTCGCTATTTTTAATAAGCCTTAAAGTTAAGGATTAAGATTAGTATAATAGCTATATGCTTATATTAATAGGTGTCCTATAGTTTAATATAGCTATAGCTTTTCTTATAATAGTAAGGATAGAATAATGGTCGACGATACGGTTTATACTTATTATTATAAGTCTAATAGTTATGGTATATATTTATTATATTAAGTTATACCTATTAGTAAAAGGCACTTTAGCCTTACTATTACTCACTTAAATATAAATCGATAGTTCTTAAAGGACTTTATTACTATATAACTCGACGCCTAGGGGTTACTAGAGATAAGCCCTATATATAACATAACCTAACATCCGAGGCATTATTCTCTAGACCTACTCGTACTTAATCTTCGTAGGAATACTATAACCTACTTTATACCCGGCCGGTTAGTCTAAAGTCGGCAAAGTCATAATTCTAGTTACGACGACGCTTTATAATTATAAACGGGAAATCTTATGGTAAAGAACGAGACATCTTCTAGCCTATTAGGACTTATTAATCACTCTTCTTCACCTCGCGTATCTAGGAAGATCCTTAACTAACAGTATAGAACTAAGAAAAAGAGAACCCTATGCATGACAAGGCGTCCTCGAGACCTGTCTATAACACCGAGAATCGAGCATAAATACGGATTCTGTTTACTAGTAAAGCCGGCATAACACTAAGATCATTCCCCTATAGTACTGTCGCGTGCGTAGTTATATGATTAACAATCTACTAGCTATCATCTGCTAGACCTCAATTTTGCTTTGTTAAGCTGTTAACAATAAATGCTTTTTCTTCTGTCTAGGTTTTATCGAGTGACCAGTTAGGATGGGGGCAAACTATATTTCCATGTTACTCGAAAAGACGACCCGTCCTCCTGACGATGATACAAGTCTTGCATAACTCACATCAGAGGCCCTAGAGCAAATCAATATCGAAAGCTTTGTCAGCAGTATCGGCCAGATCAGTTCCATTGCCCCAGTCGATGATCTTAACAAAGTTGAGCAAGCCACCGATGATGCCATCAACCTTCATGGCCAGTCTCTCGACATCGAAACAGGTCTCGCCGAGTATTCCGGTACAAGTCGGCATGAGCTCTTTCTTCTGCATGTTACAGTACAAACCCTCGGCCAGATTGACAAAATCCGGACCCGAGGAGGTCTCGCTTTCGCAGAGCGTGCGAGCACTTTGACTGAGTCTGCTGGTCTTGACCAGACGGTTGTCAAGCATGGAACGTCTGGCGACGGGAGCTTTGTGATGGAGTTGTCCGATAGGAGGAGGATAGGATCGAGTTGAACTAGCAGCATCTCTCTTGTAGTAAATGGTGCCAGGGTCGTTGCCATACTGGAAGTTCAAGGCGTTGGGAGAGTCACAGTACTTGCTCTGGATGTTGTTGTTGTCTGTCGTGGCATAGCCATTCTCGTTGAACTCGGGCCACTTGACGTGGAAGGCCGTGACCGGTCGGTCGCCTNNGTTCGTGTTAGTGGGGACAAGCTATGAGGGAGGATGGGTCTCACCGTTGCCATCGATCCAAACGCATTCTAGTTCCTTGTTGTCCTGGTAGACTCCAGAGTAGTACCAGTCTTGACCACAGGTGTGGCCCCAGTTCCCGGCAAATGCGTACTGAGATCCATCAGGCCAGGTCNNTGTGCCATGGGTCAGCGGATGGATGCAAGTCAGAAATGTTCAACAAAGCCAGAGGCTTACAGTAGTCAAGTATGCAATACAGATGGCATCGTTGTTGGCAGTCAGAAGAGTGTAGACTGGTTGCTGTCTATTCTGCGAGATTCTGATATCCTTGTAAGTACCGCTACCGATGTAACCTGGGTCGTAGTTGGCCCCGAGAAACTCGGGGTTGTTGTTGAATTGACGGATGTCTGGTGCATCTCCTCCAGCATTGGTGAGTCCTTGAGTTCCGTCGAGGCCGACGAAGACGCGGACCTTGCTCGAGCTACCATCGTTGGATGGAATGTTGCTCTGAAGGAAGCTAATGGTACTAAGAATACCGGTGAAGACACCGAAGGCAGTGGCCATGTTGGAGAGAAATTATAGATATTGACAATGAGTAGAGAGAGCTTGGGTATGTATGAGTCGAATTGATGGGCAGAGGATGCTTCTTTATAACCCTTCTCTGCTACTCTAGCCGTCTCTGTTGTTTTGAGAACGAGGAAGGCTTCCAGGATGGTGGATAGCGTTCACTCCACACAGTCAGAACGCTGCATGATGCTGCGTGGTATGGATCCAGAGCCAAGGAATCCTTCGAGGAAAGAAAAATCATATCAAGTAGTGGAGCCGGACGATGTTCGAAGGTTAAAGACTGGAGTAGTAAATAGTGCAGCGAGTCGGCAAGCTCGAGATTCAGACGACGTGAACAAGTGTCGAGCTAGAGGTCGGGGCCTCGTCAATCTAGCAATCCCCGAAAGGTTGTCTGTATGGAAGTGGAAAATGGAGGATGACATGTCGTCTTATTCCCTGCAATGACGATGAGAGGCTCCTCGGAGATTGAGCAGCGGCCCTATGAAAAGCGGAGCGGGACATGGTTGTCGCCTCCTGATGACCACATTCTTGGCAAGATGTATTGGCAACCCCGCCCCGGGAATACCTCTTCCATCATTCTACAGCTTTCCCCTACAAAATCTCCGCGGTGCCTGATCTTGGCTTCTTGCCTAGAATCTTGGCATGTCGGGACACGGAAACACCGGCAATAACATACCCCCTCCACCGAACGCTATTGTTTGATGATATGGCCATCTGTAGATCGACCTTCCCAACTTCATCTTGCCACTGCTGACTATAATAACTCACTGATGTGACCACTTTTGCCAGAATAATACCAACGAACTTCCAATCTACACCCCATCGTTCTCTCATACTCTTCAGATCAACGCCTACACTCAACATCATGCCTCTCTCTCACAATCTTGGTACGAAAGCGAGTCTTGTCGCGCTTTTGCTCCAATCAACATATACATCAGCACAATCTGACCTATTGTCTTGCGCCAGTGTTGATTGTCCTGTCCTCGACAACACCGCAATCTCAAATTGCTCAGTGGCAGGTGCAAGCTACCCTGTCATCGGCCTCAGTTCAATCCAATCTCTCTCTAGGTCCAATGTCGAATGGACAATCGCAGTCAATCAGTCAAAGACCGGGAATGATTCGCTCATCAATCGCGCCTTCTATCTAGGTGTCGAATCAAGCAATACTCTCAAATCGCAGGGCCAATCCGCATGTTCCTTCTTCTTCACAACACCTGACCATGGACCTTTGTTCTATGATCCCATGGCTTCTGTATCCACAGACTGTACCAGCCGTGATGGTACAGGGTTCAGTAATCAGTGCATCTCGGACCTCAAGTCACAAGCCAACAAGTTAGCCACCTCGGATACCTCAATCTGCAACTCCATTGCCCAGACCTTACAAGACGATCCTCCATCCTCTTGCTCTTTGGCATCTGGTACGAAGGTCGTAGCTGTACCACTTACAGGTTCTTCAGCGCCGGAACCCATCTCGTCAGCTGAAAACCAAACATCGAACTGTTGGCCAACGTTACCGAAGACCAATCAGCTGATTCCGGTATGGACGGCTAGTATCTATACCTCGATTGAGAATGATACCACCGTGAGGAGCGGCGCGGGAACCACACCGGTCATGACGATCTTCTTCGCTGAGGGAAACAACGAAAAGTCGAGCACTGAATTGGTCTGTTTACAACCCTTGGATTTGAACGATAAGAGTGTTGNNGAAACAATGGAAGATGGGACTAATGGGGCTCAAGGCATGTATGGCATATCTCACTGGCTTGCTGTGCTGGGCTTAATTATGTCAGCCACCGTTGTGCTGGTCTAAGGCAAGCAATTCTAGACGTACTTGTACATAGACGCGAGTCTGACCCATAAAGAGTTTCTTAATCTTAAAGACGATTCCTATAGACCTTCAAGGTTCTCGTACTTTGACACGCATCAGGTTCGATGTTGTAGAGCGTGCATACGGCTCCACTTGTTGCAGAAGTTGCGAAGGAGCCCCATCCCAGCCACCTTGCAACTCCGTCGTCAACTCTCCATCGCAACCATCGACTTCGTTGTGATCATTAACCCAATGCAAGCATCACCTGAGGATGAAAAGCACATCACTAGACTTTCCTCTTAAGATGGTGGAATTAACGGCAGTCGTGCTGTATCATCTTAGCGCCTACCTTAACGACCGCGACCTTCGCAATTTCTCCCTCGTCAACCGACTGTTTAACCACATCCCATGCAGATTTCTGTATAAGACAATCGTTCTTAGGCTTTCCTCTCCGGATCTGCTCGACGTTACAGTGGCGGTCTAAACTCGTCTACTAGAGCGTGCTAATAGCTTTAATTATGTACGACACGTCAAAGTGCTCGCGAAGCACGTCCATGTTAGCAGGCGCGGCACCGAACTTACGTAAAGTTAGTTTATATTCGAAAAACTCTAAATAGCCCACGTTCACACCCTAGTATTAGCGAGGTAGTTAACTCCCTACACCTTCGTTAGGCATAGGGGCATTATAACACCTTAGGATCCATATACTACCACTAGATTAATTAATTAATTAATTTAATTAATTAGGCTACTTAGTTCTACGGCAAACCTATTAGCCGTCTCCTACTAGTTTTACCTTTTATATCCCTATCTATCCTTATTCCATTCTAGCTTCCCCTTACTTAATAGCTCTCGTCTACTACGTAAACCTACCGGACTTATAAAGAAAGTAGAGGACCGCCTTTACCGCCGGGAGATTTACCTTCCATTTTTCCTTTAGCCCGTCGACTAGTTACCTAGTTCTTAGGTCTTCCTAAGGATTCTAACCCCCGAGTATATAAGATAGGTCCCTCTACCTATACCCTACTACCTCGATAGTAATTTAACGATCTTCGCGTAGGAGGGGGCATTCGTATATAACGTGCTTAATAGTTTCTCGCGTAGCTCCGTATTCGCACCTTACTAAGTCTACTAGTTTTATCCGGTATAGGTTACTCTTTAGTCGGGAGTGCCCTATCCGGCATTAGGCGAGTATCGACGCTTCTTCCGCTAATAATGCGTTATATACTATCGCTATATAGGGGCCTAGGAGAGCTCCGTCTAGCTTCTACGTATATAATCTAGTATATAGCGTGTCTCGAGGTCTTATATTTCTAGCCTATTTCTAGGTCTCGTCTAGCTTCTTTTAAAGTATCTTCTTAGCTACCCTTAAGACTATCTTCTTTATAACTCCTCACCTCCATGCCACGAACAATTCGACCTTTCAAACATTTTGACCCTTCCTCCGGAGTTTTGCCGCAACATCGAACCTTTTCAAATGCACACAACCTCATAGCCTCTATACACCTTTGCATGTTCGTTAGACCATATTTTCTAAGCTATCCACATCTTAAGATTCCATCTTAACTATCTAGCAAATTATTTCTAGCAAAGAAACATCATGCTGCTAATAGCATAGTGTATCTCCGGCATCTGGGGTTGCTAAGCTGACGCGCTAGTTCCACGCGCCGGATAGCGCGCATCGCGTCCTGACCACTACGCGTTCTACACTTCTTAGACATTTCTTACCTTACCTAGCTAATAGGAACCATACCTAGCTAATAGGAACCATACCTAGCTAATAGAATCCATGGGTTGCACTACAGCCCGTCTAAAAAGGGTTTCGCGGGGTTATGCTTTCGGCGCTTGGCGGGGTAGAAGTGAAGTTGAACCCGTAGTAGAACCCCGATCTTGTAAGTTGTATGAACACGACTCAATATTTGTAAAACTATGGTAGAGATGAGTTAATATGATACAAAGGCAATTGCACCATTTAGATTTCTGATTCTGGCTGCGACTTGTTGAGTATCGTTGTCCAAAATATGGCAAGTATGACTTTCGAAGTTTGCCAAGAATTGCGCCCGCAACTCCACCCGACTTCTTGTAGGCATGCAAGGTCACCCCAACAACATTAACACCAAAGATCTGGGAGTAAGATATATGGTCAAATTTGTGATCTATATAGTGAACTCTTCAGTTTCTTCGTCAGAAGAATCTTGAACCACTCGCAGCAAGCGTTTAGATTTTTGCAAGTGAGGAGTAGGTTCTTGAGTGGTCCCATTGAGCGTCCGGCCTGGAACCACTTCCCGGTCACCAAATATATGTTTTTGACTTGCTCAATACCAGCCACTGAAGGTATAAGATCTGCTTTCAGACATGCTAGGGCACGAAGCGTATAGTCGCGACAGGAGTCACAACAGTTACGGACAAGTTTCGATGATGAGGTGCCATGCTTCTCGAAATATGCGTGGATCTCAGCAAATTTAGCAAACATGCGAGCGAATTCAGGGCCATCACAGGTTGTCGCATTATCAGAACCATCAGCCGATGTCACCGCTTCGTTATCAAAACTGCTTAAGGGAATTTCATCTAACAGTTGCGACAGGCCAGCAGCAGGAGACTCGCAAGGTGGAGTGACTGGTTCAATGATCCGATGGCCACGGATTCTCTTGATTCGAGACTCGCCGTCTCGGCGTACTGTATTCGTAGCTTCCGCTACGTCTTGAGGACCATTATCCAGACAATCTGTACCATCACTTGGCTCCAAATCAGGATTGGCGATAGTAAGATCATCGTTTTCTATGCGCTTTCTCTTCCGGGAACTGTCTTTTGTTCGGATAGCAGAAGTCGGCTGCTGTTGCGGTGTTGTCGGGACCACAGGCATCAGCTCTAGCACATCTTCCCGAACGCTCGAGGCGGATGCATTCATGGTACTGTTGAAGAACTTGACATCTTCTGGAATAAGCTTACGAGTCTTCAAGATTCGCGTTCGAGGAGGACGGTTTGCAGGATCAAGACGTCTCTCAATAGCACAACGCCAACCGATCACAGCTTGTTGCTGATCTGGCACGTTTGCACTAGTGATGGCCACTTCACTCAGCATTCTCTTAGATAGGTCTTTGACAGACTCGGCAGGTCTCATTGAAGCAGGAATAGTATCAAGCCAGTTGTCGCCCCATATCTCAGCAATGGATTGCTGGTGGTTCTCTTT